ATCAGAATCTGTTCAATGCAAATGGCTAGTTGACCGTCGCTGGTTCAGTTAGAATTGATCACTGGAGACAATTGTAAATAATGATCCGCGCTGACATTCAGTTGCGGACCTCATGCATCGCTCACAACCTACACCTGGAGCAGAAGCGTCAGTTTATGCCGACGAGATCGCGTCTACCCGCGCGGTCGAGTCTACCCCTAGGCCCTTACCCACCAATCATGTCCCAACCCTCGGTCCATCAGCTGACACGGATATCAGACGCGAAAAACATGTGTTCCGCGAACATGAAACGATACACGATCGTCCTGGTCATCACCACAAAGAGGTTGATATCGATGAAGTTCATGACGTTCAACGGGAAGGTACTGCACGTGAGTTTCTCATCTCCTTATCAATCCATGTATGTAAAGAGCCTAGCTCCACCTTCAGCGGTCATGTCTGCTCACTCATCCATAGTTTCAGAAAACGAGGTTCATCATGGACATCATGTTCCGCATCATACGACGACTTCAGCTGTTGACGTTGCTCCTACAGGCGCTGGAGTTCCGACGGCTTCACGACAAGGTGTCTCACTTACACCTCGACCCATGTCTTTGATCGCCACTGAAGCTGGAGATGTTCCTGGTCAATTGATACGTGAAGAACATGAAGAAGTGAGCGTATTCATTTCCGTCAACTATCGTACAACTAACTAGAATCAGATTATTCAACGTCCAGGAGGTGGACCTCCCATCGTCACTCACACTACGACACGGACTTATCAACCTGGACCTCCTGGTTCTCGTGGAGCCACTGTCAATCGACCTGCGACGGCTTATGCCGATCAACCTGCTACGACTTATGGAGATCCTCCCACTGGAACACCTACTCAGCATTTCCAGGACGAAGAGTTCGTTCAGGCAGATGCTCCAAATGCATCTATCCAAAGAGATGAACAAGAAGCTTTATCAACAGGTCCACCTCTCCGACCCCTAAGTAACGTTCATACTGGTGCTTCTCAAGGTGGAGGACGTAGAGGTACGACAGTAGCCGATCCAGCTCAGATGTGGGATACGAATCATGCTAGACCTGCAACGACCGTGGCCAATGTTCCTAGTCGAAAAGCTCATTCCGTTGCTGCTCAACCTGATTACGACGATGCCGATGCTCCTAATGACCCTACTGGAGGAGGAGGAGGCGGAGGTGATGGTATTGCACCAGGTACTGCAACTGTTGAAGGGGATGGATCGGTTGGACCACCTCAGGAGCAAGCCGCTGATGCTGGTGATGGAAATGGAAATGGAAATGGGAAACGAGGAGTACATTGGTCCTCACATCTACCTGTTCGTGAAGTCCAAAATGTCCCGTAAGTGTTACATCTCTCTTGATCGGATCTAGATTGATATCTAGGTCTCGCCCACCTTCAGCTAATGGGAGAAAGAATGGCAAGAAAGAAACCAACATTGTCTTACCTCCTGGAGAGTCTGGCGATCCGACTCAAGGAGCCGGACCAGGTGGTCTTCCTCAAACCACAGAAGGCGATGCTGGAGATCCTGGGGATGGTACGACCGGTGCTCCAGGCGGTTCAGGTCAGTCAGGTGTGGATGGAACGGCGGCCGATGCTGCTACACCTGGTCATCACATGCTGGGCGGTCATCAGACCGGCTCAACAGAGCAACCAATGTACGACACGAATCATGCCAATCCCAACCGTGGTAATGAGCAGGGAGGCGGAGGTCTGCTTCAGAAGCTCAAACCCGCGAAATCGAAAGAAAGTCTCAGAGGATCAAGACCTGCAAGTACGACACAACAAGACGCTCCAAACGCTGCAGGTGGACCTCCACTCACCGACGAAATTGCTCACGATGCTGCCGGGAATCCAGTTCGTGTACCTCCGAACGGCAAAGATACCAGATTCTCCGACACGGCCTTCACACAGCAATTACCAGAGGATCACAGCGGTCTTGTGGAACCTCAGTTTGAATCAACGGCCCAGCGCCCAGCTTCGACTGCGTCAAGCACGAAGAATAGGTTGAGGAAGCCACCTCCGGCCGATTTCACTGAAGGGGACATCGGTGGAGGTGGAGGTGCGAGTGCGGACCCTCGTTTCACAGGTGAGACCGCTTCGCTTGGTGGTGCTGGTGGAAGTCAAGATTCGACGAGATTGAAGAAAATGACTCTCCCCGACGGTAGGACGGCTTACGTCGAAGAGGAGATCACACCTTCGATAAGTGAGAAAGGCGGGAAGAGGGGTAAAGGAAAAGGACAAGAGTTGGAGAATGTCGGAATGGATGGAACAGGTAGAGGTGGACATATGCCTGGAGGACATTGCAGTGTGTGTTGTCCCAATGGTCCTCCCGTTGGAGTCGTGCAACCATGCGAACATCAACCCGGCACAACAGGACCTCCAATTCCACCTGCAGACCGACCCGCTTCTCTCGCTCCATCGGCTGTGCTGCAGAAGAAGAAAAAATCACCGCCTACCGCCGGACCATTGGGACTTCCAGGGGAAGGCATGTCGCAAACGGGAGGACCTGATGGTATCGAAGGAGATTTGGCTGGGGAGAACAACAACATCGCCGTTGAAGGTGCACCCAATGGCAGTGGTAAACTGAGGAAGGGTAAAGGATCAATGCCTCCACCGGCGGAAGAACAACTGGATGAAGCTCGACGTCTAGCTCGTGAGTATATGTATTTTGACATGTGATCAGGAATGCTGATGGAAAAGAACGACAAAAAGCTGCAGCGGAACAAGCCGGTGAGCTAATTCGCTGAGACTCATCTGGTTGATGACTGACATGATAGCTGCCGAAGCTGCTGAGAGAGAGAGAATCGATAAGGAGAAAGCTGAACTTGCTCGGATTGCCGAAGAAAGACATAAACAAAATGTTGAAACTTTACTCAACCTTCAAAAAGCTTTGGTACGTCTTTTGTCTTTGTCTTCCGTATGAAGTGACTGATGGATTAGGACTCTATGGCTAATGATAATAAGACATGGCGTAGTCTTCAAGATGGTAAAGTCAAAGATAAAGATAAGAGAAGGTCGGACAAGACTACTCGGGATAAAAAGTTACAAGAGGCTCTTGATAAATTGGTAGTGGAGGCGAACGAAATGAAGAAGAGGAATACGGCGGATGAGAAGAAACCTGGCACACAGGCTATTCTCGATGCTTTGAAGTGAGTTCAGCTTTGTTGCATCACCTCTCACCCCCCTCCTTCCCGCCTGTTATGCTCTAGAGTATGAGTCTCGCTGACATGTCAGAGTGGCAGGAGATAGTCAAGCTGGGTTCTTGAGGAAACTAGCTGTTGAGATCAACGAACAGAATTCCAATCAACACAGTCAGACGCAAGCTGCTATGAAGGCAGCTGCGAGGGAACAAGTTGGGTTCAACTTGGCTGGATAGTGAGTTGTCTCTTTCACTTGAGATGTTCTGAACTAATGTGAAGTTTGGATGACTTCTCCAAAGCTTTATCTGTGAGTCATCAACCCCGCTTGCCACTTGGACACCTACGACACCAAATACAAGTATCAATCAAAGACGCGTCGTACCCCGCCCGGCATGGTCGATGGGGGGATGTGGGACCGCGCGGAGACTAGTGCTGACGATCAGGGCGAGGTGCGCGCGCTATTGAAAGAGGTTGGCGATTTACGCGAATCCCGTCGTGCTTTGTACATGTGAGTCTAAAATCTCATCCTCTGTTCTCATGCCTGACGTAGTACACTATACGAAGATCGGTGCTGACGATCCAGGGAGCTAGCCGAATTGTTATTGATGAAAGGTCGTCAATCAGCCGGGTGAGTCACCCTTGAATGTTCTCCCCACTTGTCCCGGCGCCACTGGCCACTGTTCCACTCACTATACATACTGTTCTCTCTCCCTCTCTCTCTCGTCTTTCATCTTTTTCCTTCTTGGACATCAGCGCTGACGCTACTCTTCTCATATGTGTCCACATTCAAATCTCACAACATGCTATCATTGTCTCTCTGCACCTCGAACATACATCTATCAATCCTCTTTCCACGACGGTCTCATCTACGCCCATCACTCCGCTCCTAACGTCCCACCCGTTCCCGGCTTACCTCCCTTGGTTGGCGTACACTTCATTCAACCGAGCAGTGACTTGATGGCTATCTTGCCTTATCCCGTGGCACCGCCTAAGAATCCTCAGGGGAAAGATCAGAAGAAAGTGAGTGTAAGGTTTTCTTCACCTCTAACCTCTCACTCTCACCCTCATCATGTCACGTCATGTGATCACTCACGCCCTTCCAGATCCTGTCGCTAAGTACTGAACGAAAGAGGGCTGGATGAAGGGGACATTTTGTGGCTGACGAAATAGGATGGAGAGAAGAAAGATGGTAATCAGAATAATCAAAACCAAAACAAGCAAGGTAACAAAGCCCCCGCTGGAATCCCATCTTGGTCAGCTTACATGCCTCCTCAAGGTATGGTAATGGGTGGACCTAGTAGACCTTTACCTGTTCCTGGATTGAACATGATACCTGGTGTTGTACCAGCTCCTCCGCCTCCTTCATTCTCTGTGAGTTCCGTTCGTAATCTTCCAGCTATCATGCTATCAGATTAGGTTGATCTTGTTACTTGTCCGTCATTCCCTGTTCTTAGGTCTGGTCAGGCCCATCAAGTTCCATCGTCCAATTATCCTTTCGACCCATCAGCATTATCATCAGATTTCCAAGTTGTGACTCGATCAATTGTATGGCAGTTGCTGATATGCCAGACCCGTCCTCTTCCCCAAGTTTGATAAAGGTGCTTCACCTCGCCACATATTTCCGTAGTCAATGTACAATATAAGTAGCAAGCGAACGGACGAGGTCTTTGTGAGTGTGACAAAGGGGACTTTACTTGTGTATAATTTCATCATCACGATTAACGACTTGGTAGAAGGGAGAAGGTGTGATGCATATAGTGTGTCTAGTATCGTGCAGTCTACATCGTCTTTCTTACTTCACTGACGCCCTCTCCTGCTCTGCTTCACAGATGCCAATATAATAATATCCGAGGTTATCTCACTTTACACACCATGACAGCATCTTTACCCATTGTCTCAGTATGTAGATTGATCAATTCTGGCAAACTCTCTTCCTCTCCCTGCCCGTCAGTCCAGCTCACAACGGTATCAGTCCACTTTCCATTGCTCTTCAAATCCTTTAACTAATCAACCCGTCGGTCCACCACTTCACGATCTGGACGAGAGGAAATACCAGTTCAATGAGTGACATATGTAATACTTACAAGAGGGACAACACCTATACCATTTCCAATGAACGTAGGTGCAACAGTCACCACCACTTTATTCACCAAAGAAGATCCATCTTGACGTCGAGCATGTAAGAAAGAAGATAGGACTCTGGATCCACCTTCTATCATCACTGAACTCAAACCGAGTTGCGTCATTATAGAGGGTAATGATTGTGGTGGAATACGTCCTATTTGAATCAGTCAACGATATCATCTAACTTGATCTCCTCTCTTTCTTTATCTCTCTAGCTAAACTCCTCTTGCTTCTTTTTCTACCTTAAGCTCTCTTGGTATACTACTTCTTCTAATATCCGCGGAAAATGCGTATGGTTGAGCAAAAGGACAAACCTCACCATCAACAAGAGAAACGGCTATGACCCTAGCACCATTTTCCTCCGCGGAAGAAATACGTTCTTTCGATACTTCTTCCCCGCACAGAATCCAAGGTTGGCATACGGACCCAGGAGGACGAAGCGATCGAGAATTCCATTCTTTTTGAAGTTTCGCCGTTGAAGGAAAACGTAGTTTGGGGTCTAAGATAAGAGGTTGAGGTGGGAGAAGGGTGGGTGAAGGAGGAAGTAAATTGACTTAAGGGTTAGTGAGGGTGTTCCTCATTTTTCATACCGTCTCAACATCAGATTTATATCAACTTATTCTCTCTCTGTCAAGATTGGACGGAAAATTCTTCATAGTCGTTTTCTGATTATCCTCATCTTCCAACGTCACCTTTTGTCGACTGTTTGAGAGCTTTGATACCGAGAAAATTGATGAGAAATGAGATGTGACCGATATCATGAGGATGAGGAATGAACATGGTATAAAGGAGAATGTTTTAGTTATCCTTGGGAGAAAGGACTTTGACCCACTCTGTAATCTCGGATCATCAAGTAAAACTGTACCGATTCCGACTAATATAGATTGATGCATTGATCTCATCCTATTTTATCAGCTCTTTCCATTCCTTCTTTTTCCATCCTGTCCATCTCCCAGCCCCATAACACCATGTACCCACACCCCGACACCGCTCATGAAGTCAAGGTATCACTTCAATGTCTACTTCTGATTCAGTCGTATACATTATGATGAGAAGATCTGTCTCGACATCAAAACGAATATGAAAAAACATGAGATTTTTGACAATGAGAATGAGATTGAGAACAAGGTTGATGTGAATGGGAGTAAGTCCGACCCTCACCAATGAGTCATCAACATACTTTCTTCACCAGATAATATCACTCTTTTCCCTCTTTCACCCGCTATCCTAAAATCGAGAGATTGAGCCCATGTGAGGGTGATATGGGGGTTAGAGGGAGAAGGATCGGTTCGATCTGGAAGATTGAGGTGTGAAAGGAATTCAGGTGGGGTGAGTTGATTTGACATTTCTTCTCTTTTCCAGCAGAGTTTCAGGCTGACAGGCAGGAATTTATCGGAGGGAAAATGAATGTTTTGGAAGTGAATGAGGAGTTTTCGATGCTCAGAAAATTGTCAATTTGCAACAACCTGAGCGGAGAGAGAAGTGTAGAGGAGGCTCAAAGCTGAAATTTGGCTGATCGAGAGGTGGGGTAAAAAGGTGGGGGGAGGTAAGACATAAAGTGGGGGGGAAGGGTTAGGATTTTAACAAAGAGCTCCGCTACATTGACCAACAATTTGAACAAGTGGATATCATAAGCTTACTCAACAAGTATACAAAAGTATAGGCTACACACAATCTTTCACTCGCCTAATAAAACTCCTTCTCTTACCAGCTCCTCCCAACTCAACTCCTTACCACTACCCACTTTCTCTTCCTCCCTTCGAACTTCCACATCCCCTCCGACTTGCCCCCGGACTTCCCCATTAATCCTCTGTCTCGCCTTCTCCCTCTCCATCAACCCCCTAGTTCTCTCCTCTCCCACAGGTTCCACCACCGGACAATTCCTACCCGAACCATTCCCCACCTGAAGATTCTTCATATCCGCCAAAACACCCTGTCCATCTCCAGCATACTTCCCCACTTTACTCGACGGGGAGGTTCTTTGGTTACCGCATTGAATCACTTCGTTAACAGTGAGATTTTCCGCAGACGGAGAAGAAGTCTTCTTGTTGAATTCAGTCGTTACAGGGTAGACACTTGGAGATAAATCAGATTTCAACCCAACGTGAATCAGAGGTAGAACTTCCGTCGCTGCTCCTGGCCATGCGATAGTCAAAACTCGAAATAAAACATTTTGTATTACCGCAGGATGACTACCGTCAAAACGGAGTCTGACGGCGAGTTCTTTGTTGTGATATGAGGAAAGAGAAGGACATTCACGTCGGACCATACGCATGACGTCCTGTGTGTAAGAATTCTGTTATAATCATTCCATTTGTCTCTCGCCTCTCCTTTTAACCAACAAGAGGGGCATCCCAAAAGGATGATCTTCCAGATACAGTGGTAAGAAGGAGACATACTATGAATATAGACGATTGTGTAGGGGTCGCCGGTCTGTCGTTGCCGCGTGAAGACAGCGTGTAAGGGAGACCGATGGGGCGAAGAAAGAAGAGCAGGCCCTTAAGGGGGGGGGGAAGGCGTAAGGACAGGTAGAGACAACCCACAAGTATGTTATCATGTATCGGACCGATAAAAGCTTCAGCTTTATTATCCGGTAAATACCTAGCTAGCTTCTTCACTTCCACCGCCACTTTCACCTTCTCACCTTCCTCCGTAATCGGTTTCTTCTTAGGCGAAGTTGTATCAGCGGGGTTCTGGATCGATGGATTTTGCTTGGGGACAGGGGAAGGGTCGGAGTTGGTGATTGGTTCGAGAGAAGGCTGTAAAGGACTCGAGGCAAGAAGAGGAGAATCACATTCCATTTCGCTCAACGTAGGACTTGGAGGTTGCATCCTGTTCGATTAGTATGACCAGTGAGCGATTGGAACGGTCAGATGTTAGGTGAGTTCGAGGCTTATAGATGAGCAGATCAGTTGGAAGGTAACACGAAAGATGATGGGTCTATCCAGAGAGAAGTTATGTGGATAGGAAGAAGAAAGAAATGTGGACAAGAGGTGGTTCCAAGTGGAGATCATAGAAGGCGATTGAAAGGATCTTCTCTCCATTCATTTTTCCTTCGTCACATTTTGAAAGTAACTCAACTTCCTTTACTGGTTTCCCCTACCCTAGTCGATCCCTGGATACCTCAACCGAACATGCGACGCATCATGACAAGCGCGTTCGTGATTCAAAACCCCTTTCATCATATCGACATCACCTTTCTTACCATGTTCCGTATAATTTCCCAAATATCTCCTTTTCCATCCAGTGGAACACCCCACCATGTCTCAAATCCCATCCTTTTTTCCTTCTCCAATTCAAGCACCTGTAGTCGTACGATCAGCCAAAAACCCAAGATGGCAACCAAAACAGCAAAGACGATCCCCAAGATCGGCAATCGGTCTGAAGGTCGTTTGGACGGAACCCAGAGATCTATTCGACGCAACCTGTCATTTGGCCCACCATAGGTTGGATACACATCGTGCCACCATACCCAAAGACGCTGTCGTTCCCAGTCGAAGAGACATCGTCCTCCAGACGAAAGTTGATACGCCGTTGAATCTTGTTGATACACTCGACGAGGAAGAAAGATCTCGGTTACTTCGGAAATGAGTGGAGAGGAACTGGGGGTGAGACAGAGGGGAGAGCGGAACCGATAGGTATAAGAGGAGGTAAGAGAGTCGTATGACTGAGAATGGGGCGTGCCAGAGGTCACTATCGCGTATGGACGCTGGTCTTTAACATCCTTCCATATTCACACTCAGATGTAAAGCAACAGACGACTCACGACGATAACGTCCAGTAATCGCCCACCGAGATCCAGACTATCCTTTTCGCCTTTCTCAAGAGCAAGCTGACGATTATGGTCCGAGTACCATGAAAAGTTCTCCGCGTTCCACTTGACCGTCAGTCACCAAATGTGAACAAAAGATGGACTCACATCGTCCCCCGCATCATCCCGATTGGCCGGGTTGTACGTCCACAGACTGTGGTATGAGCTCCGATGCAGAGATTGAAACGTTTACATACTTGTATCCGACCATATTCTCCTCAAAAGCACAGATAATGGCATCCATCATGCGAGCTTGCCATTTCCAGTTTCCAGTTTTGAATGCCACCGCATGGCTGAGCGTCAGCATTTGGCTTTCATTTGCGTGTACTTGGCTCAATAAGCCTCATTAAGAGGTAGGAGAGATGGGGACAGCGGTTAGGACTCACTTGAGATCCATAGGGACGCCAGATTCACCGAACACGATAGGTACTTCGCCGAGGGATTTACGTGCGGCATTGACCAGATTAGAGATCTGTAGCTTATAGTTCTTTTTGGCTCCGTTACGACCATAATATAGAGCATTGAGGATGAACATTCCCTACAATTCAGCTGTTGCTTCACATTCAGTGGATCTCACTGAACTTCTGCATGGAAGAATTGTGAGGTTGAGTTAGCACTCACCTTGGACAACCCCTGCACGTTCACTGTGAAGCTTCTAAACTTCTTCTTGAAGAGTGCGTCCAGGTCATACCTATATCCTCAGCTAGGATCCCCTTTCTCGTCTTCTCCAGCTGACAGCAATCACGAGCCGACAAGAAAGATCAAGTACGCAGAAGAACTTACCAATGCGGCGCAAATACCATATTCCTTGGTCTACTATCATCCGGCCATTCTGGACAGAGCTCATTGGGTAACGCTTCTACCATCCTCGCCTTCTTCGGACCTCGACCGGCCATAACCTCATCGAACCTCTTGACGAAAGGAAAGTAGAAATCTCTGTGCCATTCCACTTTTCGGCCATTCCTGTCTTTAGAGAAGTAGTCACCTTGCATCGACATTCCTCTTTTCTTTTCTTCACTCCACCTCCATACACCTTCTGTCTCCCATGGACATTGACCCTTCGACGGGCCGTCTGTACGCCAGGTTGAGATTCCATCAGGGTTTGCGATGATAGTGCCGCCGGGGATAGTGGGCCAGGGGAAGGAGCGACGCCAGATCGTGATCTGAGTTGGGTGACCAGCACCCAGAGAAAAGGATTCTAAAGGAGAGGGAAATTGACCGAGATGGAGATCTGTGTTGTAATTCTGGAATCAGTCCTCTTTTCTTGACATGTAAAGAATTGATGAGACTCACCCATTCATTGAGGTTGTCCAAACCGATGTAGCCGGGATTAGGCTCATTGATAAGCTACAGCATCAGTACGTTCATCGTCCAGAGACTAAAAGGAAAGAGGGGACGAACCTCTACACCGATGACATTGTCGATATCTGCGACGACAGAAGCTAATCGATCTACTGCGTCGAAGAAGTGATCTTGAAGATACTGCTGGACGTTGATCGACCGCCCTTCATGTTCTACCCTTAAGGAAGGTGCGAAAGTCTCTCCACCCCAAAAGAGAGTACTACAACATCAGCTTCTGCATGCTCACGTCAAATGTGACATACTTCATGGTGGCCGCAGCGAGCTTTTGATAGCCTGTTTCGTCAGTTCCATAATATACGACTATCACCAAAGCTAACCCGTGGGCCATAGTCCTCTTTCGCCTTCTAACTTTCCGTGTCGGATACCATCTAAGTAAGCTGCTCCAGTCTGCACGAGCTTTTCTCCGTTATCTGATAAATCAAATCCAGCAGCTTCTAGGGTCCATCCAGGAGCACCGGACTATCGATCAGCGGCTGATGTTGGTCGTGACGATACTTACGCCACCGCAGTATCTTGACCAGACGTCTTGATGAATAGCCTTCAATCAGCTGCACGACGACAATTAGGGTGAAAGACGTACGACATATGCGAACAGCCCATGAGACCGCATGCTCTTCAGTAGATTGGAAAGGTATGAGAGGTATTCTTCGTCGTAAATGCCCCTGTCTGTCAGTGGAGGGGAAGGTCACCGACAGCGGGCACAGGAGATGAAAGGGGGTTGTGGGGACGATGAAAGTAGGGAAGGCTAGGTCTCAAACTCACGGTCCAGCATGTTCGATAGCATCCCAAGTCACAGTGATCCTCACTTGGAGATCAGCTTTCTCATCCACTGTATCCGCTCAACCAGTACAACTGACGAAAAGTCAAACCCCAGTTCTTGAGTCTACGCCAATGTTCATCCGCCTCTTCTAGCGGAAAAGGTCTATTAACATAGCTGACTTCGTAGGATTTGTCGATAGGTGAGATGGGGTGGTTTGGTCTGATTTGTCAGTTTGACTTTCCATTGACCGATTATCAGTTCAGTAGCAACTAATGATGATACCTACTAATTGGTTTCAATGGTAAAGAAAGAAGAGAGACAGGAGTTTTGTGATTGTTATGGCGAGTATGGAATACAGACGTACACTTTACTAGAAGCTGAAACGTTGACACCACGTAGTCCGATCACTCGTCCGTGTTCATCGACAATATGGCTATCATGGATTTGTAGACCAAAAGGAGAGAAGGGAGTGAAAGTAGGAGGTTCGTCCACAGCCTTTGAGGTCATGATTCTTCACCAAATGCTCTAGCTTTCTCTGCCTGGATCTGACCAGATGCAGAGTCGTGCGGGATGTGAAGAGCCGGCAGCAGAGAAGGAGAGGAGAACACTGAGGGTGGAATGGATGAGTAGCGAGGGAAGGAATTACAATTGACGATTGACGAGCGACATGGGGGGAACGGATCGTTTTTCGCTTATGACGCAACCGATCAGGCTTGGGTTGGGGACCGAGACCCAACATAACTCCAATAAATATATGCAATGATAAGAATGGCCTTGAGACTTTGTACAGACGTCCTACTTTTTCCCCGACCGATACTTACACACCTGCCCCGCCCAATTCAAAGAGAGCTTTTGAGACAAATCTCATCCTTCCATCTGATCACCCTTCTTCCACCTCTCCACACACTTCATTCCTCTTCCATCTCCATTCTTTCCCTCTCCAAATCCCTCACAGGCAGAGGATCTTGTCCCCGGACCCTTTTGAAAGCATATCGACAGACCAACAATCCATTCGTCAGACCAGTTCCCATCCAGGCTTTTTCGACAGTGTACAACCCATCGTACCTATACCCTTCCGTGGGTGCGTAAGGGGATTGTAATTTGAAACCTCTGATAACTCTGACAGGTTTCTTCGTCTCTGCCGAACGCTAAAGGTTAGCTTTATTCGATATCCAACACCGGAAGATGAATGCACAACACCGAGAGATGGATGCAGACGTGATATGAGAGAGGACAAACCTTGAGAGCGGCGTTGAGTGAATTTTCAAATGTCTGATCCGACGTCTGAGGAGCTGTACGTAGATTCTTCGGATTTTGTTTGGTTCCTTTCAAATCACGACCACCAGAACCGGTGTAAGTGAAGGCTTCGCCAAGGTCCACACTGATGCGTTAGCGGTAACTTGGGGGATTGGGGATGAAACTGACTCGTCTGGGTATCCTCCGCTGAGGGCGACGGAGTATGCACCGACTGTTGCATTACCGGAGATACCTGCGACGGTTGGACTGTTGTTAGTGCTGTTCGACGTGAAGGAAGGCATGCAGAGGTGTCCTGACTGTGCAAGATGTCATGTAGAGCGCAAGGGTGTGTGTAAAGGACGAGAGTAGGAGCTTGGCGAAAGTCTCGGTTGAGACGACTCACGCATGCACGGCATCGGTTGAAGCTTCCATTCTGTCGATCAGCAACAACTCCGACCAGGGTTTTGAACATTGTGATGCTTATACAGGGCAAACGAGTGCGGAGAAACAGAAACTTTGGAGCTCACCTACTGGCCCACCATCGACCAACTTCCACTCCAGAAATATGACCGAAAGTTTTCCTACCTGTCAGCCCAACAAGAGTTTATCATTGATGTGACTTACGGATTCTGTGTTCTCACTCCCATCCGTTTCGCGTTCCTCTGTCTCCCATCCATCCCATCGTCACTTTCCCCGCCAGCCGCATCACTATCACTTTCATATTTATAGGTTCGTTTCCACGCAGGAGGAGAATTTTCCCTTGCATAATTCAACACCCTTCCTTGATTCCTAGCACTCCGACGAAGACCATTATCGCTGACAGAATCATTGTCAGCATTTTGGCTGACATAAGATCTACGTCGATTTTGTTTCTCTTCCGAGGGTTCAAGAGTACGTCTTCGAGCGTTAAGATTCGCTTTCTTCCTCAATGATGTGTTAGGTTTAGAAGGGATGAGTTTGGTTGGTGTTGATAATCCAAGAGATAAAAGTAAAGCTTGGTTGTCTCTATGATATCAGCTTCGACCTTTATACAACTCCTTAGAAGTCTCGTACAGATGGATAGAGAGGATGACCTGACTGGGTACTGACCTGATATTCTGTAAACGTTGCTGTTCATAATCTAACTCTTGTAAATCTGCAGTCATCTTTGTTAGTTTCAATCTTGTCCAAAGCAATCCGACCCGAGGGGTATATATATAAGTATGTGTGTGGTTGACAATGAAGAGCGCGTCGCAATACGGCTGATGAAAAGCTGCTTTTGTGTGCATTTCAAGGGGCCGACGTACAAGGGTGAGGGGAGAAACAGCATGGCAGCAGCAAGAGGGAGGGAGTACGTAGACGTTTAGCTACTAGGCTACTCTCGGTAATGAGGGTGCAGAGTACGACGCGTTTGATTTATTTCTTCATCTTGTTTGACGATCACATGACCCTCGGATATGACCGGATAGCCGCTCAGACCGCCATGACCGCCACGCCGAGACTTTTGTACCTGTACCTTAAGCTGTGATCCAGTCAACCCCCGACACACGCAACCAAATTTTGACCACCATTTCGCTTTCTCGCTCATCTTTTTGTCCTCTTTCTCACCATCAGATTTTAATGCCCCACACCATCACACCATTGTCCAATGAAAGTGAACCACGTTTCTCCCGAGCTTCCCCGGTTCATTCCGTCAGAGGAGGAAGAGATGAAATGATCCAGCCGGTGAAAGGCTCCACATACAACACCCAGTCCAAAGACGCCAACAAAAAGCAGAGATAGACCGGCTAGCCAATGTCGGAATGACTCCTAACCCTAAGGTATGTCTTTTGTCTCTGATCCTCTGTTACAATACACATCTCCTCCTCCACATGTACATATCCGTATTGTGGCTGTCCCTCTTACCGTCATCATTTGTCTCTTGTTCTACATCAGATCAAAGAGGATGAGGACATACATGGTCATGTAGTCGGAACCCGATTCTCGCATTTTGCTCCTCACCGACACAGGCACGTGAAGGAAACACATTCTGACATACAGTTCATATACCCACCCAATCCTCATCATCCATCGCGTAGTCCCTCCCCTATCCCCGACCCGCTTTCATCACTCAGTCTGGCGTCTGATGCAATCCCCTTCCGCCAGCTGGGTCGGACACAGGTGATCGTGTCGTCGAAATAGGTGTGTGTAGTGGACTATATCCCTCTCTTCAGCCTAGATGGAGAGAGGACCGATGTAACGAGCGAACGGGTAAGTCCAACTTCATCCGATTTATCGGTGAGGAAGGAAATATCTGGTACCACAAGCTGGTGTCGACCGTACCACACTTGATCCCTGGCCGTTCTTCGCCCCATCAAACGATGGGAGAAGAGAGTTGTGCGACTGTGGATCATGTGAAAGTGTTATGCGACTTTGTCAAAAAACACAGGATCGATACCGCATCGGTCGGTCTTCTCTGTTGGTCGAGGACGAAGTGGTGGTTGTCTTCCCGGGAACCACTGGATCATTCATCATTTTCTCTGCAGACGTATCGTGGGAGAACTGGTTGTCTATCTTCGGATTATGGGGTTCTGTGGCGTATGGTCTGAATGGTACAGAGGGGATATGGATGAGCTGTCAAGCAAATAAAGAAAATTCCTCTTCGTGAACTGTATCGCTTCCCTCTGGAATATCTCAGGACCCGTGGACAGTTACGAGGTTCCGAACTAGCTTCGGAATACAGGAAACGAAATCTATTTTCCAAAATATCCCAAATCGACTACGATCCCTCTCCACCTCTTCTCATCCCGTCAAGACGGGTGAGCGTCTTATACCTACCTCTACACTCTAGACTATCTCGCCGTTTGTTCATCCCGTGGAGACCTTTCCTATTCACATCCTCTCACCTCTCCGATGATCATAGGGTTCCATCTCTGGGTGAATCGGAAGAGATCCATCATAGCTCAAAGACCGTCTTCCTATTCGATCAACCCCAACATGTCCAAGCGCACAGGTCCCTTCTTTGACTTCAACCTCACGGAAGAAGTCCGAGGAGGGAAATGAGAAAAAGAGGATTCCCTTATCTCTTGACACCGTCACGGCGAAGAGCTTTTGCTAGAGCCATGTAGCTCGGGACTTCACACCGGGTGTTCGAGGGATAGAGCGTGAATCTCTCTTTGACTCATGGTCGTCTTCTTTCTCTACACCTTCTACTCATCGGTAAAGGGGGTAGATAGGGGAGGGGTGTACTGTGCGCTGTTGGGTCAGTTAGGATAAGAGAAGACGCGAGGGTAGATGTATAATTGAGAGACACGGGAGGTTTACCGGATGATGAAGGGTTGGGGGAGATAAGTCTGGAGGATGTATGTGGGCTGACGGAGGTGGATGGTGTAGTTCGATTGACTCTAGGTTCATTAAAAGAGGTTGGGAAGGCAGATAGGACGGGCGGGGGAGGGTTGAAAAACTCGGAGATCCCGTTCGGCCACGAATATATGATTTCACTCTTCCAGCTCTCTCTTCACGGTCAAGGATGGCATGGTCTGTATTATGTACGGATGGAACGGCACGAGTGTGTAGCTTTCGAATGCTGACGGATACCAGTTGCAATTGCATGATGTGTATGTCTATGATGTACAACAGATGTCCTGAAAGAGTCACTCTCGGCACAATATGATGAGCGAGAGAGGGGCGAGATATGGTCATGAATTGTTCCCTAAAGACCGGAAGAATTCGTTGTAAGCATGTTCGATGTCAAACAGCATCTGGGTGTCAGTGACATGCACCTCATACTCGTGGGTGCCAAAACAAACATAGCCCTTAACGCGCGGACGCGTCTTTGTAAGGGTTGCGTGTCTCTTGATGGGTATCAGTAGATGACAGGAGATCGAAGTGGATGAACAAAGGTAAGCCTGCTGGAAGTGTCTGGACTACGGGCGGAAAAGGTTGACGGATGAGAAGTGATAGTAAAGAGGAATAGTTGAGGGGGAAGGACGATACCTACCTGACGGGATTGCTCTTCTGTGATTTCGTCCGAAGCTTTGAGAGCGTTAAGAGTTATCAACCTGTGGGTTAGTTCCGAACCGCATCAGGTGAAGAACCGAGAAGAGATGAAAAGTAAGACGGGCATAGAGGCAGACCATATTAGATGACGGAGTGGATGATTGGGCAGATTCAAGTGCTATAAAGATCACATGAAAAAGAACAAAGATACATGAGGGTTGAAAAACATGAATACGAATGAGAAAATCCAACGTACCAATGTAAGATTTTGGCTCGACCTTCCCATTCTTGACTCCCTTTGAACCTCGAATATCCACTCATGAGTTCTGTCAAAAATGGGTGAAGTTGATCTTTCGCTCGAAGGTTGAGTTTTAAAGCATCCATGAATGTTATGAAAGACTGTTGTTTATTACTTGTCACCACCCTCCCTTTAAAACAACATCACGCATATCCCTAGGAATGAAAAGAGGCTCTTTCTTTCGCAACGACCATCGTCGATAGGAATAGATCGAAGAAAAATTAAAAAGGTGATTGGGCAATATGGAAAGGTAAATACTCCGATTTGTAGAGGAGAAAGCGAACAAGCGAGAGACTAAAGAAGAAACAGAGAAAGAAGGAAGATTGAGATACGTATAACTCACCTGAGTAGTCTCCGCAACCCATTTCCCCATCTCCGCACCACCTTCACTAGCTTCTGTACTATGTTCAACAGTCGCCGGTACACCCACGGTCAATCTATGTAAAGCGGCAGGATGATCCATATGATAACGTTTCATGAAATTTTCTATATCACCAATATCATCTCCGACTAATTTGATGAGAGATTTATATTGTGCTAAGAGTTTTATACATGCTGGTGCGTATCTGTATCGATCAGTATCACAATTGCAGTCTCCCCGTACGTCTTTCCAGATATTATTCCACACCTACAGGTTGGTACACTTCTCTTCAATCCACAATAACCTCGTCGACGTGATGGATATTCTTCCATATTTGCTCTAAATCACTCTCCAAGTTTTCAAAAAAACTGGAGTGTTGTATATGGTATAAATCTCAAACACATGATGAGGAAGAGTAAGAGGAAGGAAAGAGAAGAGAATAGACAAACTTGACTCACTCTTTCCCAGATACACTATCTCTCACATACGCCCTCTCCAGGTATTCTAAACTAACAATGATACTGAATAACGTAGCTAGATTCTCGACTTTTTCTCTCTCTGCGTTGGTCGTATATAATCTTACTTCTTGATCCAAGTTCATAGCACTCGACTCGGTGCGGACTTGATCTAGTGAAGCACTTCAAGTGACTTACTTATCTTACACCAGTTGCAAGGCATCTGGCTTCTCACAATCTCACCATCACAGACGGAGTAGCGGTGATGTCCGCCTTTTGGGGTGACAAAATTACCGCTTTCGTACAAAATACAAAGACTCAGACGCGAGTTTGAAACGGCACTGCTTGACTGACTGCTTCACCGCCCCAACCAAACGGATACTCTTTGATAAATTATCTGATCTCACCACTCCACTTCTAAAAAGAAGAACCTTTCGAGTTTCATCTGTATCTCTAGGCATACGATAAGAGGAGCAATCGGAGTGTCAAGATGGAGGTAGCTCAACATATCAATAACATTCAAAATTACGCTCGGTCATTGAAAGATACCAGGTTGTCCAGTCTCAAACACCCAGCAGAGTTTTTCGACTATCAAAGGGTTAGGGTCTACGTCCACAATGACCATGAATAATGAGCTGATGAAGAAAGGTTTCAAGACCGAAAGATCAGTCAGAATTGATGAAACGATGGGGATACAATTTGTGAGTTCCATCGTTTCTTTCTTCCTTCTCTGATCCGTACTTCCACGTGTCACCCATTCCACTATCCCCTTCCATCTCTTCATCCGCTCTTTGCAAGTCAGACTTCGTTAGATATGCTGTATGAGATGAAGATGACCCAATGCGGTCGGATTGAGAGAGCTTAGGAGCGAGATTGATAACGTGGTCGATAATGGCTAATCAGTCTAGACGATACTTTTCCGCAAATTACGCAGTTTGTGTTGCCCTATTAGGTGCTTATGCACTCATCTCCAACCCTCTTTTATTGCTCGCATTGGGATTCTTGATCGGAGGGTTTGTTGCTATTTCACGATATGGTTAGTCTACCTTCTCACCTCCTCTGTCCAAAGCTCACTTTCCACCTGGTTTCAAGATCCGACTGATATTCCCACATCCACATTTCACAAGTAAGATCAAGTGAGACACTACAAGGGTTCCTTGGTGAACGTCATATCCTCCCGTTCTACCGCCTTCCAAACAAATGCTACAGAAAAGCTATCAACTGTCTCTGACCCAAGCTAATCCACAGCAACCGAACCTATCGAAATATCCGGTAAAGTCATCACCCCACAAAACCTCTACATGGGTCTTTTCATCATCGGTCTCCCTCTTCTTTGGTTCGCCGCCCCTATCTCGACCTTCTTCTGGCTCGTAGGAAGTTCAGGTTGTATAGTAGGTGCTCATGCGGCTTTGATGGAACCTGGGGTTGAAAGTGAGTATGAAGGTTTAGAAACTGTCTAGGGGAGGAAAGCGGGTTGCTTTTCTCGGAGTAGTTTGGATACAATAATAGTCTTGCTTTTTCCATACTTGGTTTCTTTAGACATTGTGCATTATATGACGTAGATGGCTCTCAGTCCCTCGCTCTCTTGACCAACTTTGACACTCACATGAGGGTGGTCATATGTAGGATTTGGGTCTACTGTAGCAGATTTGGACCTGACAAAGGAAGAACATTCAGCATCTGTCACTGGTCGTTTCATTTTATCTTGAAACCTCTCACATTAGACATCTGACTCAATCATCTTCTTGGCTCTTGGGGTACTTTCTGAGTCAACGATACACAGAAGTTTAACACCTTCAACATCTGCACTGGGTCATGTCAAGCAATGAACCGCAAATAACTGAACGAACAACCTTGTTGTCCACCCCAGGTCCTTCTTACCAGACCGCACAACCAGATGTTGAATCACCATCATCCTCTGCTCCGATTCATACGGCTCCCATCTACTTAGACACTCTGGCCAATGATCTCCTACATCAGCTTCGTCAAAACTCATCGTCCACTTCCTCCACAAAGTCCAGTACCGAGGTCTTGAATACTTTACAAAACCTATCGATACATCGTCATGCAGAATTGGCCGTGCTCCTTTACGCCGTCCACATCCTGCGGAAAACAGCAACACGTCCAGGTCGTCGAAGGAGTGGTGGGAATACCAATACAAAGAGCCTCATCACTGCACTAGGAGACGCCGTGGTGGAGATTCTTGATATGGGAGGGAGTAGGGAGCAAGGGGAGGAGGAGGAATTTGACCGGATATTCTGGTCCAGGTGGGAGGTGCAGAAGCATGAGGATGTGACAAGAAGACGGGTGGACGGGGTTTCTGGTGAGTTCATGTTCTTCTGTGATAGATCTACCAAGTATATGATATCGCTGGTCATGCACCCTCCTACCTTGATCTTTACATATGTAGTGGCAGAAATGTCAAGCTGTCGACATGATTGGGAATTGTCAAAAGTTGATAAGTTGATATGAAAGAGATAATTTAAGCTGATGGGGTCAGTCATTGATTTACTCTTACCACCATACACCACTCATAGATCTCATATATGGACTCATACCTTACTACCTCATGTCTTACAATCAGCTTGGTATCAAGGTATTGTGACGCCCGTAACGTCCTCGTCAGGATGGTATAGTAGAATGGGTAGATTGGAAAGGAAGTTCACCCCTTGGTAAGTCTTCTCTCGCTCTCTCTTCTCTTCTTTTCACTTGGACAGTGTGCTGGTCCACTCAATACCTCAACGAACTGGTCTCAGAATTACCTCCGGATCAAGTCTCGAACCCCAGACGCGACCGTTCACTGGTAAAAGTTTCCGTGAAGGAAGTCACAGCTGCCCGATCACGATGGAAACCAGATAGATGGAAAAGAGATGCAAAAAGCTGATTATCAGCCGAACACACTTGCTTCATCTCCTTTCTTTCCTTGTATTATTGTCCCTCACAGTGATCGTTTCCCTCCGACCGGGGATGTTGAGTCCATACGACGATTCGCCTCAAAAACCCACAGGGTCCGAGGTGACATGGATCGTCTTTGCTTTAGGTTCATTCGTAACTGTAAGTTCTATCCTATGGTTGCGTCTCATATCCATCTTCCTACCCATGATCTACAGACCAGACTTTCGCTGCTCCCCTTCAATCCCTTTTAAAGACCTATCTCTATGAAAATAATTCAGCGACCATGTTCTGTGAGAATACAATGTAGCATGTAGCGGTGATCAGAGTTCAAGTTGACATTGTAGTCTCTTCAACAACCACCTTCACTCCTTACTCACTTTCTTCTTCTTCCCACCAACATATCCCTCTTTCTCTTTTTCTTCATCCCTTCTGTCTCTTACATCTCCCTCACCTTATCCATAATCTCTCTCACTCTTCACCTCATCCTTCCCCTACCTCCATCACTCCCATTCCTCTATCCTCAATTTCATCTCTTACCTCTCTCCGTCCTCCTTCTCCAAATCTTCACTCGTGGAATACGGTCGAGCGGGTTGATACTCCCACTTTGTCTTGTGACATTCATAATCTTTACATGGGCCATGAACGGTGATATATTTCGTGGTTTTTTTCTCCATCCCATATCTTCATTTCAACTTTTATCCCATTTCATCTTACCCTCTTTCTTCCCCGCTGTCCTTCTGTCTATATCCTCCCTGTTATCCTATGGCTCGTATCTCAATCCTCATGATTCACCTACACGACAAACAAAGGGGAAACTCGATTTCCGCCACATGCTCGTCGCGGATGAACGTGATATACGCACAAACGAAATACAAGAAGATGGAATAGCTCCTTTTCCCGCTCGAATGGCTTTATTCACAAGTTTCACATTACTCTCACTCCTCTCAATTATCTTGGCGGTAACACGTTCTATTCAATCTCCTTTTCCTCCATCACAACATTCGGATCACGACACAAGAGATTGGGTTGGGGAATACGGAGAAGATGTCGCTTGTTCCTCTTTGATCAAATGGGCAGAGACGATCCGAAATTATCTCATTTTCCCTTCATCCTCTTCACCCCCATCTCCCGCTTTTTTGGATCGTCTGCCAGAAAGGACTTCCACTTCTCATACCGACACAAACTCGAGTCAACAGACGAACACTTTGGAAGACGCAGAAAATGGGATCATGCTACACTCGGAAGTTAACACCGACCCCACCAAAGGGAATATCATGAATCCATTCAATCTGTTGGTTTTGCCTTTGGACATCATACATGTTGTGTTAAACATCATGGGGTTACTCCGTGTTGCTGAATATGTAGGACGGACGAGATGGTCAATTAGAATTATCATCATGGGACTTCCTTGTGCATTAATAATGATGATAGAGAAGATATTGGGTTTAGACGGTTTAAATCCATGATGTTGTACTATGTGTAATTTATTCAAGGAAGGACATGAATGACGAGAAGAGATATCTCTTCAGACGACGCCGATTTGATTAATCAGTCTCGTCATCTCTCTCTTGACCGAAACCACCGGGCATTCTACCTTCTTGATTCCTCTGTCGAGCCATCTGTTCTCCAAGTGCCGCCATCTAAAATAAGCTTCATCCAATTTCACGACCTTTTCACTCACATGTCCAACCACAGCATCCCTTGCTTCCTGTGGCATAGCCTGAAATTCTTCTCGTTCGGTGAAACGAGCGAACAATCCATCTAATGCAACTCTCCAATTGACCCCTTCTCGCATAGCGGCCTCTACCAACTCTGCCAACGCCGCTCCTAACGTATTCACCCGCGTCATGTTATCTTGCCCCTCCACTCCCCGTCCTCTCCTTCTAGCCACGATCCCATTGAAATATTCCGCGTTGTATATAGTCATGGCGGTGGAAGGAGGGAGAGGATCATAAGCGAGAATGGTCATTGACGTGATTTCAGGTGGTAAAAACCCAGCAAATGAGGTAGATTCAGAACATAAAACATGTCGACAAATGAATGTGGGAGTATTGGTCATTTGGTCCACTGGATCACGAGGGGATTGTAAGCAAGATAATGCGTTTGCACGGGATAGTAAAGCTTCAGCTCCATCGATGGTCTTTAGTGCCAAGGGAAGTTGAGTTTGAAGCCAAGATAAGTGGGAAGAATCTTTCCATAATGCCTCCGAACGAGACACGTAGATGTGGCTTAGAAGATGCAGGGGGTTAGAGGGATGAGGTTCGTAGCCTGCGTGAATGCTCAGTAGATCCTGACTTCGAGCTGAGGGGGGAAGGGAAATGGAGAGCTTGTCGAATAAAGGGATGATGACTTGAGGGAAGGTTTGCATGGCGAAACGTAGTGCTTCATCAGACTTCGTGTGATCCTGCAATTCAGCTTGCGCGTCGCGATCAAGAACAAGCTGAGAGAGGAGATGCGCTCCAATGAGACGTGACGGGAAGCAGAATTATGCTGAGTATGAGAAGACATGAAACATACCTCGTTCTTAGACATATTCTCTTGTTCTCGAAGTGCGAGAGCTTTGGCATATGCCATACCTGGATAAGCTTGGAAATTGCGGGCTGCCGCAATGTCCGTCCGCTCCGACATGGAAAACAGCCATTCCCGATTACCAGATTTGATGGCTAGAAAATCTAGCCAGAATGCCGCGCCGTGTGGATCACCCTGAAGTCAGCGTCATATCCATTTCGAGACGGACAAAACGAACGAATGGATCTAGAGAGAAGAGGAGTTTGGCGAAATTGAAAGCAGTAACCCAGCATCCCCGTCTTCCCAAGTATCTGTGATTCAGCGGGCTTCTTTCTATATGAACCGAGGTGAGAACTGACGAGATGATTCTATGAATGCCGGTGAAGAGCGCACGATTCTCCACTCTATCAAAGTCTAATCGAGAAGTACCTGTCGACACGCTGAAACCAGGGATTAAACAACGATCAAAGGCGTACAAAGCTCTTTCTGCATAGTCGGAGGCGGCACCAATATCTGCCACCGTAAGCACTAGTGATTTTGTGAAGAGGCAATTATGACTGACCCGACTGAAGACGATACACTTCACTCATTTGCAGCAATGTGTCCACGTGCCAAGGGTAGACTTGCAATAAGGCCATGAGCTGATTTGGATCTTCGTGTCAGCTTGGAGCTTGATGAGTAACGAGAGGCAGACCATGTGAGCTAACAGCACCAAGAAACTGTCTCTCTATCTCCCTCCATGCCCCAGAATGCTCAAACGTAAACCATTTCCCCCCGTCTTCTGGCTCCCCCCAGTCTCTCCGATCATAGAGATCGTTCACTTCGTCATCTGTCATCTCTCGCATTCCCAGTCCAGACAAAGAAGTAGCTGGAGGATACTGAGGTTTCGGTTTTGAAAGTGTGAACTTCAGCTTGGTGGAGACACTCGGTCCCCTGTGTTTGTTTCCAGTCGAAGCGGAGGAGGCGATAACCTTTGACCCAAAAAATCGCCGTAACTCTGCATCGGCGTCAAGATTTTTGGGATCGACCGAGAGAAGGTTTCGGAGGGCAATAGAGGAAGAAGAAGGTGTTTGATTAGATCTTTGCTGAAGTGTAGATGAAGAGGGTTCTCCGTATTTCTTGCTTATATCGGCAAGTGCACGATCAAGATCATCCATTTCCTCCTCTGGCGAAGACGTCTTAATAGCCCCTTTCTTCTTGCCACCTTTTCGAGGGATAGTTGAGGACGTTCCCGCTTTCTCAGGATCCTGTTCAGACACGAGTGCCGCAGGAGTTTTTTTCTTCTTGTTCTTCTTCTTCTTAACCTGTTGAATGAGCAAGGGCTAAACGGGAGATCGAGGGGAGGACAAACTTTTTTGGGACCGGTTACAGCCACTTCCGCATCATCTCCCTCCTCCTCTTCTTCTTCCTCTCCTTCGCCGCCAAGCCGTAGCTGGATAGAGTCAGTACAGATAAGTGAGAGATGAGAAGCTGCTCACGGCGGCGAAAGCGTTGGAAGGACCAGCTGCATCGTCCGCTACTTGTTCTTCCTCGGACTGGCCGTCAGATTGGGAAAGTTCCTCCTTCAGAATCTCTCTTTGGTGTGACTTGATAGCCGCGAGCTCTTCCAGCTCTCTCTGTTGTCTCTTGTTCAACCTCTTTGACATGACGAGTCAGTCTTGATAACGGATTCAGACGCCGATCGAAAGTGTAGCAATATCGTCACGTGATGCGGGCAAAAGTGCCACAGTCGGCTGTCTCGGGGTTTGGATCGGCGAAACTTGATCCCTTCTCTCTTCACTCGTCCTTGAATTGGGCAAAGTGACATTACTCAAAACCACATCTTCATCATGGCGGAACAAACTGAGAAGGCGTTCAGGAAGCAAAAGATCTTTCAGAATGCAAAGAGCAGAGGTACGTGACACTTTTATCAATGGAAAACATCAAGCTGATGCTGTACTTTCTTCATCACTCGAACCCATCTTCGCCCTCTCTACCTATTCGATATTCCATCGCTCCTGTCGACGTTTAACATCTTCACCTCTTCATCCGTTCCTACGGTGGACTCTGGTCAATCACACAGGTACTGCCCGTCTGCACGCTAAAACGAAGAGATGGTATAAGGATGTCGGTCTAGGCTTCAAAACCCCTCAAGGTCAGTCTGGCTCTTGATCTCTCGCGACTTGAGTGACATTACTCCGAATCATCCTTCATTTCTCATCAAACGTTCACTTCGAGTGTGAATCGCAGATTTTTATTCTAGAGGAATGACTCAATCTCGATAAAGAGTTTAAACGGACGACCGCTGACATAACTCAGAGGCCATCAACGGTACTTACATCGACAAAAAGTGCCCATTCACCGGAGAGGTCTCTATTCGAGGTCGTATTCTGACCGGCGTCGTCCACTCGACCAAAATGACCAACACCATTATCATCCGTCGTGAATACTTACACTTGTGAGTGGGACTTATTCTTCTCACCGGCATTCTCTTTCACTCTTGTCCCGTTAAGCACCATATGGTGAGAGGTTTATAGGCCGTGGCTGACTTTGCAGCGTTCCTAAATACCGTCGATACGAGAAGCGTCACAAGAACCTGGCCGCTCACTGCTCACCTGCCTTCCGTGTTGAACAAGGGGACACTGTCACCGTTGGTGAGTGATCCTTCCTTCCATGCTCTCCGTATTTCCGATGTTAGCACACTATTGACACGCTACAGGTCAATGTCGCCCTCTCTCCAAAACGGTCCGATTCAACGTTCTCCGTGTGAGCAAGAACCAGGCCGCCGCTAAGGCTTTCGGCAAGTTTTGAGCTCGGAGTATGATGAGGTCTCAAGGCTTGTAAGATGATGCATGGCATTCCAGCGCTCAGTGCATGTTTGGGATGTCCCGTCTTGATCGTGTGCATGTTGAGTATGCGGCTTGCTACTAGCTGCTCGCATGGTATCGTTGTGTTATGCTACAGTACTCTATGATCTATGATACGCCGCCAGCTGCTGGGCATTCTGATCGCAATCACCGAATGCCACCAGCTATCTCAATTCAATGCAGGATCATCACGACCTTTCCCATTCCACTCACGTTTCTCTGTCACTTACTCACCATGCCTCCTCGTACTACTCGCCCTCCCACCACAGAGTCTCTCCTTCCCCCTATCTTAGACTTGCTCACGTCGTCGCCTCCGAACCCGTATTCTGCTCATCAAAAAGCGCTCACCACCACCGCCCGTCTGGTCCACTCCGACCATGTCAACGTCGCTCTCGATATCCTCTTCGCCACGGCAAGAGAACTCCTCAAGCTTGGTGAAGCGGCCTCAGGAGTGGAATTGGGTGTACGTATGACGCAGATCATGACTGAGGGAGATGTTGCCGTTGATCAGAAGACTTTGGGTGAGGTTCACTCTGGCTTCTTTTGACCAACCAACCTTATAACGGCGCCTTGGGATTGAGTCCTCTTTCACGTCTGTCTTCCTCTGGCTATACGGCACTACCTCTGCATGTTTGACTCTTCTATAAGATCATACCATACAATTCGACATACGGAAAGCCCAGAAAACGCTCATGCTGGAAGATACCGACGGCAGCTGACCCACAGCATCTCTGACACAACTGCTGGCCCTCACACCTCCATCTGGACCATGGAGGAAGAAATTGGTAGATGCGGCTATCAGATGGACTCAGGTGAAGGGAACTTGTCCTACTGGTGACCCAGGATTACATCAATATGTCGGTGAGATGAATTATAAAGGTAAGTTCAACTTCGATTACATCTATCTACTCGCTCATACATGATTTGTGTTGTTCTAACCTACGTCTGATCCTCATCTTTCTATTGAGCCACTCACCGTCTTCTTTGTCGTCACTGTGATTTCTATCCACGTGGATAACTCTGTGTCATATGGAAATTTTGACGGACTGGTTTGAATGATGTTGACTAAGATAGACCGACTTTACACTCAAGCAGAACATCACTTGCTCGCTTCTGGCAAGAGAGATGCAGCTATCACCCTCGCTGAGATGATGTTCGATTGGTCAGTCATACTTGACTTGGGAGCTAGTTTGACTGACGATCAGGTGTGAGAAAGGTGTATTGGATCCGTCACCTTATGCTCTTAGGGGTACACTTCCGTCAGTCTTGTCTTCACTCTTACTCTCTCGCTCTCGCTCTTTCCACAAAGCAGCCTGCACCTTACGCACCTTTGCTTGTGCCCCTATATCGCCATCTTTCCTATTTGATGATCGATTGCTCTCGAGTGACTGAGACTGTGAGCTCAAATGCTGAATACTCAGGTTTCTCACTCATCGTCCTCCCTCCATCCTCCCAGCTCTCACATTCCTCACAACCTTCTTAAACCTCCTTTCCACCTCCTCAACATCTTCTAAAATCTTCATCACCAACCTTCCCTCTCACACCCTTTCCACGCCAGAAATCCATCTTACCACTTCCCCAACTCTCAACTTTCTCCAATTAGCTCTACTCACTGTCCAACGTGCCCCCGCTCCTGGCGTCTCCCCGGTCCAAGCGAGAGGTATGACAGGAGGTGTTGGACGTGAATGGGAATCACTAGTAGGACGATACAGACGTATCAGTGGACTTGATGGAGTGTTGAACCATCCTGAAGCGGTAGAGGTGATGGACAAGATTGGCCAAGAGGTATTTTTGATTCCTCCTAGAGGTGGATCGGGCGGGGGAGATTTGTTACAGAATCTTATGGGTAGTTTCTTTGGTTCTGGAGGGTCTATGTGATATGAGGGATTGATGTGAAGGGAAGATAGTTCACAGAAAGATGAGTTTTATGATATGTTGCGAGTGAAATGCCTCATTCAGTTAAGGTAGTAACTTAGCCGAAGACCGGAAAAGTTGAAATCGGGTCAGTACGATGCATTTTTCTCTTTTTTCTGTTCTGTTTGTCTTCTGACTCTGGGTCATGTTCATAAGAGATGAGCACTTATTCCGATCCATATGCTGTCAAGCTAACTTCCGGCGTTCTGATCACTTGGTAGGTACCCATTCTCATTCTCTGATCACCTTGCTCAACCCCTCTATCTCTCCACTATCTCCAGATCCCCAGATCTCCAGGGCTCAACACTTACCCCTTCCTCTTCGATGAAGTGTGTTCAACCTCTATAGGGCTAAGCTAATACATCAGTGACTCGGCAGCTAAACAAATATTATTACATATCGATTCTCAACGCGACGGACCGAGTAAATTCATTTTACGGGATAGTACGTTATTTCAATTCTTGACCTTTTTTTTTGAAGATCATCCTTACTATTTCCGGATTGTTGAACAGATCGTTTCTTCGTCCGATAAAGTCATTATTTGTGGAGTGATGATAGGAGATGAATATGACAAGAGCTGTTTGGAAAGTGGAGATGTTTGACAATACGTTCAGAGATTTGGAAGGGGAGGGCGGGCGGGGCGGTCAAGAATGATGGATAGAGAAGAAATGAGATGGAGTACTGATGAACCAGTCGATGAAACACACGTTTTGGTCAAGAAAGAACATATTGAAATTATGAAAGATCTTCTTCAAGTTGAAGTCAGTTTTCTCTCTTGACTTTCATCTTCATCATCTTACTGTTTTCTCCTCTTTCTCTCCCCTGTCCATCGACCAGTGAGATGGGCTCACATGTTTCAACACCTCTCTAATTTAATTGACCTTGGTCGAGGATCAATTCGTTGATATCTTCTTCCACGATCGATTTTTGTGATACTGTAGCTTTAGAACTGATGAACAGCTCGAGCAAAATACGTATATTCGAGATCCCAATATATGATCATGTAAGTTATATATATACAAGTTGTGACATTTGGCAAATCTCCCTCTGCAAACCGGTAGATTATGTATGAGAAGGTAATAAGGACAAGGATGAGCATATGCATACAGAGATTACTTCTACATTCGTAAGAATACGTCCAAGAACATTTGCAGTAAAAACAGATGGTTTGTATCAAGAATATACTCTTCTCTCATGCAGATCGGAATACACTCGGTAGTTGAAGTTCTGCAGAAATACCATTACTTTCCCTCGTCCCACTCGTTTCGTCCACAACGCTCATCTCGCTAGAATCTCGAAGTTCCCTGTCCGATTCGCTCGGAGCTGTTGTATAATCCGTTGTGGTACTTTCCGAAGTGGAAGAACCTTCCCTATATTCCAACTTTTTGTCAATTTCACCAGGATATAAATTCGATTTTTCGTGCTCGGATAAAGGAGAAGGAGTTCGGAATTTCAAAATGATCTTGCGTTGCTTATCTTCCCCCAAGTTTGTTTTATACGATGGAATGGATCTCAATCCTTCGGGAACAGATGACGAGGTGGGTAATGTCTTGGGTAAAGGTGGCACCGGTGGCGTTGGGGATGGAGGTTCTACCTTGAGCTCAGCCCCAGAGGGCAAAGGTGAATCGGGCAAAGGGGGTAGATTATCAAGATCAGGGATAGGGTTTCGTAATGGATGATGAGGTGTTTTCTTCGGTGATTGAGTACGTTTGCCAGCTGCTATAGGTGTAGGTGATGGACTACCGACACCCACACCTCTGGTCCGAGGTGTATGAGCAGGTGTTCCACCTCGTCCTCTACCCCGTCGTATGGCAGTCGGTGTTGAAGTGGTCGATTCGTCACCTCCATTGGCACGCCTGCCTCGGAGTGTCATTCTGGATGCTGGCTGAGGAGTGGTAGTGTTAGATGCCGGGGAAGGATCTGAACCTTCGAAAATTGAGAGAAGGGTGTGAGTTCGGAGTAGATGGGATGAGGAGGATAATTCAATTGGGAAAGGCGCAATTTTACCCGTTCTTTTCTTCTTTGTGGCCTTCTCAATCTTTACCGTCAGCCGTTGTGAAACACATGACGACAGGGGGTAACATGATAGAAATGGAAGATAGAGAGAAGACTGACACAAATGAGTTCTTCCTCTGTCCACCAACTTCGCAGTCCTTCCCGATCCAAAAGCCCGATAGCATGACCCATAGCCGCACTGGTCAGAGCTCGATCACTGTACCCTCCCTCAAGGACGGAAACGATTTTACCCTCGGTGAATTCGTTGGCGAATGATACGATATCACGAGTATATCGAGAGAAGAAGGAAACGGGAACACGACGGTCGTGTCGCTGCATCGTTTGATATTCATGTTCACAAGCATCAAATCCAGCACTGTCACATCAGAATCTGACTCACAACGACTCGGGCAAGTAAAATCTAAGACATTGTTGTGAGGCAAGGACTTGAGCAAGGAGACTTACCTAATGAAGACCAATGTCCGACTGGGCTCAGCTTGGGTATCTTGTAAATAATGTTTCGCCTTGTCTAGCAAAGCGAGATATTGGGGATATATCCGTTCGTAAAAGTCCTCCTCTGAAGTATATGGCTGAAGGTGGATATTCTCTCTGCGTCGTCAGCCGATGCGCCGCATCTCATGTAAAATCCCACATGAACTGCCCATGAGCCGCCAAACTGATTGAAGCATCCGAGATGAGGTCCAAGTCACCATCCTATCCTTAAGCATTGTGACATCATTTGTTTTGTCTGATAGCTCACCTCACAAGGATAACTATACTGCGACTCGTCAGAGACGGCTCAAGACAGAAACGAACACTGACGATATCATGAACAGAACCATAGAATCCCTTCCATCCTCTTCTCGTCTTGCCATCTCGACCCTTCAGTCCAGTCGGAGGTTTACCCGCCTTGACAGCCAAATCCTCAGCATGTGAGGCTGCATTGAGAGGCATGACCAGGGCCTGAGTACCATTGCCTGCCTTACTCAGCTACACCCCAGATGAGTCTGTCATCAGTAACCTCACCATGATGAAGGTCAAAGTCAATGATAACAGCTCGGTCAACATCGTGCTGAAGGTACGCTGGCCGTCAGCTCTACGGTGTCGATATTGGTGTCGACCTACCATGCATTGCGCCAGTGACAACATTGTTCACATAACAAAATCTGTTTCATCAACGGCGAACATATCTCGTATCGGGTACTCACCCTGACGGGGCATCTTCTCCACAGTGATGTCCTGGCGGTCTGATGGCGCAAAAAGCTTTGCAAAATTTGCCCGTCTGATCTCCCCCAGTGGTACCGCTCGAAGCTTCGCCTCGTGTTGGTGTCATGGGATCCGTCTTGACTTCGGCAGGCGGCCGAGCGCACACCATATCGACAGCTTGACAGATTGTTTGTACCGCTCCCTCGATAGCGAGGATACTTCCAGGACCGAGATACAAATCCCCTTGGTTCAGTCCTAAGCCTGAGGGTATCTCACACCCCGTATCCCGAATCTTCTCCACAGCCTCGGCAGCCCACTTGTGTAGCTCGCGGAGATACTTGGAAGTAGGTAATGATGCTGTTGAGATTGTTGCGGCTCCAAGACCGACGTACGGTAAAGAACCTTCCGTCGGAGTAGAGTGAGCGAGTTGCAAGGCTGGATGGTGAAGCAAGACTGAACCCGGATTGATCGGAGGAGCTGGCGGAGTCACGAGGCTCAAATATTGGGGACAAGGATCGAGATTGGTGGTTTGTATGGAAAGAGATGATAATAAGCTTGAGAGATCATCCGAGGTTGAACTTGAGCGAGGCATCGATGAGCTTGTTGGAGGCATGGTACCATCATTTTCTTCCAGACGAGCTATAGCTGCTGCCACTCCCAAGAGGACGGCACGAAGACGTTCTGGCCGTTCAAAGATGTGTGACGAGTTGGCATGACGTATATAACGATGTTGGAGACAAGCGGGCTGGATGAAGAGCCCTAAGGGCTGCGAGGTTAGGTCGGAGGTCATGATTGATGGGACATGGGGCGAAGGAGGGTTCAGCTGGTGGTGAGCCTCTCCGGGCGGGATGGCTGTTGACCGGAAAACAGCAGGAAAAGTTGGAGTGCAGATCTGACAGGGCAAGATATAGAACCAAGAGAGCTGTGCGTTATTGAGTGAGAGATATAAGGTGGGTGGATAGACGAAGAGATGATGTTGATGAGAAGTTGACGGACAAGTCAACTCAGTCGCGTCTTTGCCTTCCCTTGCTCCTTTCCTTCTTTCAACTTTTCAACACTTTCTCCTTCTCCCACTTTTGACACCTAGTGCTTTGATTTCGATCTATCGTCGAAAAGTGCACTCAGAGGACCCGAGCATCTCATTAGTCATGTCCAACGACCCACAAGTAGCTAGCAGCACTCCGTCCGCTCCTCCTGATCCAGTGACAGCCACCGAAGCCTCTGTGTCACCCTCGAAAACTTCAGACGATGCAAAGCTGAAGCTGAAGAAGCGTCGTCTGGGTATCGACACTTCGTTGATCATCAGTGATACTCGTTCGAAAAGACGAAAGACTCCCACTCCGGAGCCTGAGGAAGAAAAGAAGCCAGAGCCAGATCCAAAAGACCCCAAAAGGGCCAAGGCGTTAGGCATGCAACTGTATCAGAAAATCATGGATTCCAAGGATCCTAAGTGGGTACAAATCTCTCCCATTCATCTGTCACTGCTTAGAACTGGGTAGCAGACGTATATAATATCAAGAAAAGAATTGATGCATAGCGGCGAGATCATGGCTGAGCCATTCATAAAACTCCCCAACAAGCGCCAATTCCCAGACTATTATCAACAAATTCATAAGCCAATTTCGCTCGAGATGGTGCACGAGAAACTGGAACAAGAGGCTTATCAGACTCTCAAAGAAGTGTGTACCGACTTGGGTCAGATATGTGTCAACGCTAAGCGATGTGCGTTGGAGTCTCCAATTACTCTCAACTGTTGAGCTGATGAAGGAGATAACGTCAAGCAATCACTCATCTTCCAGTTTGCAAAGAAGATACATGTGAGTTTGATAATAAAGCCTTATATATGGAGCTGACGGTATCAGAAAATGATCCGCACCTTTTACTCGAACACTATCACCCCTGGTCAGAAAGACGAGAGCGACTCTGACGGCGAGCACGATCTCGAACCTAAAACCGAGCCAGGGTCTGTCAGCATGGAAGCTAAACCCTCCGGAGATAGTCGCGGCGATGACGAAGATGGTGCCGGACCCTCGAACCATAGTGCAGCAGGCGAGACCGCCTCGGAAGCAGCAATCCGCCGAGAAAACAAGAGACGTGGAAATTACATGAGAGAAGGACCGACCGTGTACAAGCTTGTCAAGCCGGTCTTCAAGGCCATCAGAGAGGCGAAAGCCCGAGAGTGGGTTTCGATGCCTTCGGAATATCATGAGTGCTAATTCGCAGTGGAAGCGGACGGGACATTGCGGGGATCTTCATGACTCTGCCAGACAGGAAGGATTTTGAGGACTACTACAAGGTCATGAAAAATCCAATATGTCTGACAGAAATTGAGGCAAGTGTAATATTCCAGGTTGACATGGGTACGGCTGATCACCAGGATCGCATGCTAGGCAGGAGGTATGAAAAATGGGAAGAATTTTTCGAGGACGTCGACCTTATGATCAACAATGCTATGATATATAACGAGGATGAGAGTGAGGTATACAAAGATGCCGAACAGATTCGGGTGAGTGTTTGATTGTTCCCGCTGCCCTTCTTCCCCTGACAAGGTAGGACATCCTCGAGCAAAATAGGGTGGAAGTGAAAGATCGATCCACAAAACCCGTCATACCGAAAATGCGACTCAAAGCGTCTACAGTTACACCTGTACGAACTGGCAATCTTAGTGGACGGAACTCCATATCGGCCGAGCCACATGCAGGCTCGCCAGCCTATTCGCATTCTCCTCAATCGGTCCCTGTATCCACTCCATTGCCCATGATGACACCACCTGTTGCGCCTGTACCGTACCTCCCCGCATTACCCCCAGGCGTGGTGACAGAGGATGTGGTGGCGTCCCTCGATCGATATCCGATATACGAACGACAAGCCTGGGTCAATTCCTTACCTCCCCTGGCCGCTCAAATCTATCGTCAGATGGCAGCTGCTCTCGAGGCACGCAAACGATACACTGTGCCCTCCACTCCTCCCATACTTGCCGATGGCCCCTCTTCAGCTCGACGCCCTCCCCCGCCCGCTGAAAGGCCGCCATCAAATGTATCTGTGGAGAACCGAGCGCCACCTGAGCCGACAATCAAGTATATGGACTTCACCTTTGCTTCCTCCTCCGATGAGGGAGATTTCCGACCGACTGTCCGACTCCATAACCTGCGTGGGGTGGTCACACACGCCGTGGTTGTAGGATCGGATACGACCGAAATTGAGCTCACGGCATATATCTCTCCACCTCGCAAAACGGACGGGGATGTGACGGATGTTATTGAATCGGTTCCAGAGCTTTCTCTCAGGGTCAATGGTTCCCAGGGCAGTTTACCTAGGTTCGTATTTGCGGAAAGCGACAAAGAGCGTCCTCGAGGTTCACGATGGAGTGTTCAAATGCCCGCGGCGAAAACGGACAATAGAATTGAAGTCATAGCTACAAAGCCCGGCAGTATGGCGGAAACAAGCACTGTCTTGGTCCTGCGGCAGTATTGATAGGAGATCTTCAAGAAAGACGGGAAATTTTGACACCGCAGTCACACTCGGCTATGGAAGAAAATATTGGTAATGCGAGGAGCGGGGTCAAAGGGGAATCATACAAGTATGGCCGGTACGTGGAACCAAGTAATGATAGCGGCGTTTGATCTTGGCTGCCGGCAACATCTTTGTCGAAAGAATCTTTGATGCCGGTGGGGATCAGTTGATTCCGGTTCAAACGGTGACCAACGTGCCGATTTGTCCATCGCGGTGTGTGCGGTGCATCCAACACCGAGGAGGATCTTGCGACATGTGATAGCGGGAAGTCGGGAAGGAAGATCATCGACACTGGGGATCATGGGTGCCCTTTCTAACACTAGCAATGGAAGGATTTTTGACCAGACGCAGACACGGAAAACTTACCACTTCCGGTCGATTCACTGTTACTAACCCTCATTGGTCAAGTTCCGACCTTCGATGGTATGCTCGATAAGTATGTGTTGGTCTGACAATGCAGTAGTCCTGACCGTTCTGAATAATAAGTCTCCCGACGACGGCCGAGAGATTCATTGGAGTTGCAACGGTATTGGACGATGACACCACGTGCAGGAAATCATACCAGCCATCGCATTCCCGACTCGGACTGCTCAGCCACCGTTGACACTAATCTTAGAAGGGTCCAGCTGACTCGAATGAGACCGACACTTTTCTATCACCTATACACTAATCTCCTGGCCCTACCTCCTTGCTTCATTCGCTATGGCATCAGGCCAACCACGACGGTTCCAGATGAAATGGTACCATTTCCCAAAAGGAAACATAAGTCAACACCGATGACGTCCCATCATTCCCCACTTCATGACTCGCATGGAGATGACGAAAAGCGCTCCGAACCCCGACTACTCCAATAATTCCGGTGGTTCGGTGGTGACCCCAACGGCAGCGCATCGAAGAACGATCACACTACGGCAGGTCTATGATCACTTACGTCCAAATGTCAACATTCTTACCGCTACCGTTTTCGACCTCGGCCTCGGTCAGAATTTTGGTCTCGTCAACCGTTGTCTGGTACGCGTGTATACACTACGCTAATTAATAAATCATATGAACTATCTGCCGGCCAGATCTTGGACGATTAAACATCGAGCGACTCGCCCGTAATTGTCATAGATATAAACATCCCCTCTCCATCCGACTCACCTCGACAAGCAATCCATTTGTTTCAGTAGGAAGACTCCTAAAGGTATCACAAAAGTCTACAGCATCAAGACAAAATCAACAGTATAATTTCTATATCAGATCAAGAAACAAGATGCGTCTGTTCAGTAGAAGAAAGAAGTCAAACACACCAGCTGTTCAAACACCAGAGTTAACTCCATTAAAACTTGTGAAATCTCTCTCTGGAACTTCGAAAGTTGGATTCGGAATGGTGTTCCCATCAAGGTTGACGAGTTCTACCACACGACCCCACGTTGTGCCAGAGGTGAAAGAGGTGATTGAGAGGAAGATGATCACGCTGAGGGTTTTGGTCGATGATTTCAATCCCGGAAAGACCAGTATGCCTTTTCTCGTAGAGGTGGACGGGGATGGAGATATTGGGGATCTGAGAAGGGCGATAGTAGGACATATTGGAGAACACTCCATGTCTTTGTTCAAGGTAGGTTTTCTCTTTTCATTTCCTCATCGCAAATTACATTCTGGGTGAATATCAAACGTGGATTATATCATCAGATTAGGGAAATAAAAAAAAGTATGGTGTTAATGATATTTAGGTATCAATCCCTCTCGATGCACATTCACAAGCTATCACCTATGTAAAGAAATATAATACTTCGGTTGATCTTCTTACGGCGTTCCCTTCCTTTAATCTGGACGATCCGGCTCAGCTCGCCATCAGTCGTGCATTGGGTCGATGGCATGCCCCTGTCACAATGTCAGAACCGGAGGTGGATCCCATTTTGAAGATTAATGATTGGTTCTCTGATTCTAGTGGGAAAGATGTAATAGATGTGCTTGTTCGTATTATGCCTGGGTCAAGTGGTGAGTTCTATCTAGGTCGATAATATGATCTTCACCCCCTCAATACAGTCCAAGCCACGATTATCTCCATGATTTGGGCCGCCAGTGTTATGATGAAGCTCTGTTCAGGTCATCGCTGATCGCTGACCAACAGCCGATATCCCTCTTACCATTCTGGCACATTTCGCATCTTCCGATTCACCTCGCCAACGTACCTCTACTCCCACTCCTAAACCCACTCGTCGACCGCCGACATGTCTCACCGTATCTTCCAAGAGCACCATCAACGAACTCAAACGTTGCGTCCTTCTCGCCGACGGCAGACCCGCTCTTCCTGAACTTGCAGAACAAATCATCCTGTGGCGAGTGGACATGAGTGAAGAAGAAATGATTGTCATTGAGGATCGTGGAGGACTAAAAGATGGACAAATGCCATGGCCTTATCCTCCGACCGCTCCTGTCCCAATATCCCTTTCCGACCCTGATCAAAGGATTGACCAACACTTCTTGGAGGAACATTCCAACGTTCGGATGGTCAGTTTATCAATATGGATCCCACCTTCTATAGCTTATCAACTCTCCCGTCCAACTTCAAATAACACGATCGAAGTCCCGGTCTTCAGATATCCAATGAACTTTGAAACTCCTTCAGTCTCCTTGTGTACCGAAAGTCGACCTTCCATCACACCTGTGAGACCCAAGAGACATCGACCTTCAACAGCACCAGCATCCGTGGTACACCCTATCACTTCTCGCTCCGCTTCTCTATCTTCAGTCCCGATCACACCTATTACACCTATTACACCCAAGGAGAGGAAAGGAGAAAGAATCAGACATTCGTCTTACGATATGAGACCAACTCTTCCTTCACCATTATCAGCTCCTATCATCCCAACAGCTGGAGGTTGGGTAGGAGGGATGAGTCATAAGATGCAAAGGGTCGTCGTTGGCGGATCAGACCAAGGAGTTACAATCACTCAGTCAGACCATCGACGTCACATACGACAATCTTCAAGTGGAACAAGTGAAGTGAAGATTGGTAAATCGTACGAAACACCAAAGACCAGAATAAGAGAATCATTTTCATCTCAAGTTGATTCAGACATCGAATCGCCCCCAGAATTGACATTATCCAAATTATCTTTTTCTAGTGATATTTCTGAAGACATCCAGACTCCATTGGCTGAGACAAAGGGGGAATGGTTGTTCGGTTCCTCAGGATCGAATGTACGTAAAGAGATGATAAGAGGAAGTATGAGTATGAGGGGTAGAAGTGAATCCTCGCCTTATCGATTTTAGTTCAGAATTCTTGGTCAGCGTATGCGGACATTTATATGGGTGTGGATACGTTTTGGAATGCTATAAAGTTGTACGATTAATGCACCTCATGCACGCACCTTACGACGAAGTCAGATGACGAAGGGTTGAACACAAGTAACATGTAGCTTGTAGCATGCAGCATGCAGCGTTTACTTGAGGACAACAAGAAGCATGTTCTACAACCGGAAATCTCGGCCGAAATCTCGATCGATGACGCAGACATGGTTGCCACTCGTCTCCCAACTTACTTCTGACTCTTCCATTGCTGACATTGAAAAATCGAAAAAATCATCATCAACCTCATCCGCCGCTTGGGACTTCTTGAACATGTCATCTTCTTCTGAATCAGGACCAAGTTGTTTACCTACCTCTATCTTACCTCCGAAAGAAACACAAAATGTCAAAGTGGACGAAACCCAAAAACCCACTTCCTCTGTATTCGCTAGAGATCAAGGTGCGATACATAACGTTCCTATGTCGGTCATAAACCGACCTTTGCCCTCGGAACTAGATGAGAATAAGGTGTTGACTTTTATGGATGAGATGAAGGTGGGTCTTTTCTTAATTTCATCAATCTGCTATTCGATGTGATAGTGAGACATGTATCGATAAGCGTTCCGCTCTCCTTGTATCTTTGCAGTCTTATAAAGGTTCATAAATCATCATGTCTTTAGAGGGATAGACTCTTAACATCATGTGAATTCTCTATAGACCTATCACTCCAAATGTCTGTTCAGATAACCTGGACACTCAAGTTGAAGCGACTTAGAGTCATCTCGATCATCCACGGATGGAGTAAGAGACGCATACTGACGCATCAGCGAGGCGACTCTTTCACACCCATCGAAATTGTCAAAGTTCGAGCTCCACTCAAAATCGATCCAACAGGTCCAGCCAGACCGTTCTACTTTGCTATGGGCGGTTGTCATCGGTACGAAGCTACTAAACGACTTGGCTGGGAGACTATACGAGCGAGGATTATCGAGGTGCCGGCTAGTCAGATGAGGGTGTACTTGGGTGCTGGGAGTCCATTCTGAGTCACGTTCTGGGTCACTTACAAGAGTGAGGCTCGTCATTCACAGATCTCACAGATCACCCACGTCCATGGGAGTGAGTTGGGGACTATTGTCAGCCAGGTTGTCGTTCGGCAGTGCAAGAGGGGGAGCTCATAGATTCCATGGTGACAAGTGTCACCTAGCACGTATCATGTAGCAAGTAGCATGCACCATATACAATAAATATCAAGTGGACATTGTAGCGATACCAGGAGTAAGGGGGGCGAACTTTAAGAGACATAGGGAGACGAGGCTATATTCTGCATGCTGCAGACTTGTCGTTGGATCAGAGGGAAAGTTTGGCTCAATTTGAGTAAGTATGACGAGAAACGCAGAAAGAAGTGAAGGCATGAAGATGCATGACTCTACATTACATCTCTCACCACTTCGGATACGCAGGACGGATGAAGAAGTCGACGCGAGACGTTTAGTCGAACAGACCAAAGCCCTGAGAGTTAGCGACGAAAGCATCTCAACCACTTGCAAGCCAAATCAACTCACCATGTCGTCATCAGACTCCTCCTTAGCCTCCTCTTTCTTCTCCTCCTCCTTGGCGGCCTCGGGGGCGGCGTCAGCGGAACCACCAGTGGCGGCAGAAACAGCGCCAGCGGCGGGGGCACCACCACCACCAACGTTGGTGAGCATGTCTTTCACATTCTTGCCGTCGAGCGCCTTGGCGAGAAGGGTGGCCCAGATGGAGTCGAGGTCAACGCGGGCTGCAGAGGTGAGGGCGTGGATTTTTTCACCCTGACAGTTAGTGGACCATTCCGCACGAAGAAAACTCTTGAGGGGTCCTTCGACGGGTGATACAAGATAACCATTCATAGTGAGCGAAGGGTTGTATCAGTCGAGTCCCATATGAACGGGTCATAACAGCGAATTGGGGAAGGTTGGTGTTAGGATTGAATGAACGCAAACGAAGAGGTTCATTTGACTCACGGTGATTTCAATGCCATCATCGGCAAGGATCAGAGCGGCATAAGTAGCGGCAAGTTCGGATGACTACATTGTATCAGTATCTCCTCTCCATTTTGAATATGAGGCACTCACCATCGTAACGGCACCTGTTTAAGCAATAATGCGGGCGACGCTTTGAGAGATGTCTTTGTGAGGAGAGAGAGAGAGACGAGTCCACAGGCAAGTAGACAGTTTCGGGTCTGTAGAAAGCCGATGTGGCACTTTTCTGACGTGTCACACAAATTTTGGTGATGAAGAGTTTGATACGGCGTTTTGTTCGGCGTTTCGACTGTGGAGAAACTTGGACCCTGGTCTCTTCACCCAGCAACGTTTCCTCTCTCTTTCATCCTTTCAAGAATTCTGTACAAGATGGCCCCATCTACCAGGTAAGTCTCCGTGGTCGTATCATATGGATAGCTGCTGATAAACTCAGTGTGCCTACGGCTGAGGTGAGCTATTCAGGCTTTTCACATGAAAGAGGGGAACGAAGGATGATGGGCCCTTCAATGTGGAAGATTGGTCACTGATCATGTCTACAGCACATCCTCGCTCCTGAGACTCTGCTCAAGAAACGCCGAACGACAGAAACCTCTCGTGAGGCCAAACTCCAGGCTGCCATCGAGGCGAGGAAAGTGAGTTTGATTTCCTTCCGTTTCATCCTCTCTCGCATCACCAAGTGGTGCACAATGATGCAAAACAAAACCTTTTTCTCGACTAGCTCAGGCGATGTTGTCGACAATTATACCATCTTTCGGGACTGACTCTCTTCGTCTTTACACATGGTCGTAATATTGTGTACGGGCATTCGGCTGATCCATTCAGTTGCGAAAGGAAAAGCGCAAAGTCATTTTCAAACGTGCAGGCCAGTACATCCAGGAGTACAGAGATGCCGAACGTGAGACTATCCGCTTGAAGCGCGAGGCGAGAAAGACGGGAGACTTCTTCGTTCCCGCTCAATCGAAAATATTGTTTGTGGTCAGGCTCAAGGGGTGAGTGGTGTTATCTGTGCACTGTCCATCACCCTTATCTCCATTGCTTACTTCCGTGGACGTATCATTACGAGTAAGTAAGCACACACGCTGACGGTTCAGTATCTCTAAAATTGCTCCTAAACCCAAGAAGATCTTGCAACTTCTTCGTCTTTTGCAAATCAACAACGGTGTCTTCATCCGTGCAACCAAAGCCACCCTGAACATGCTTCAACTCGTCAACCCCTACGTCACCTACGGCGAGCCCAACCTCAAAGCCATCCGCGAACTCATCTACAAACGTGGTTACGCCAAAATCGACGGTCAACGTATCCCCATCACCGACAATCAGATCATCGAGAAGCAACTCGGCAAACATGGTATCATCTGTGAGTTCCCTCCAATGATTTTGATATTCAGTCTCCCCTCTCATTGGTTCAGTCTCACGTCTATGTCTTTCTATGTGGTCTCCAAATTCGTCTCTGAAGGATGACCAGTCCGGAAAAGTTCCTCAGACCAGCGCTGACACTCTTAGGTATGGAAGATCTCGTGCACGAGATTGCCACTTGTGGACCCAACTTCAAACAAGCTACCCAGGCGCTCTGGCCATTCAAGCTGTCCAACCCTAACGGCGGCTGGCGTCCTCGCAAGTTCATTGGATACGTTGAGAATGGTGACGCCGGAGACAGGGAGACCAACATGAGTAAGCTCATCCATCAGATGGTTTGAGTGATGTCTGGGGAACTCGTTTTCGTATTGCCATATGTACCCATGACCACGCACAATTTTATGCCTACTGACCTTTGACGTTCACGTCGACCCTCTCACTCATTTCACATGCTGATACACTTCTGCAATTTGTGCTCATTTCTCCGGCCCCGTTCAGGATTACCTCTTGACGCCGAGCGATGACATGTGAGCTGGTACGGCACATTTCAATGCACAATGCATAGTCAAACTAGTGATACAACATCAGCCCCTTTGCCTACCGATCTCAGATCATTCGTCATGTTGTCTACACTGTCCCTTCGCTCATTGTCATCCGGTGACTTTCCTGGACCAGATAACCTTAAAATCCTGCTTGCACAATTGTATACACTATATATATGAACCGATATCAATTACTCCTGCTACTCTTGGGTGGTGGTGCCCAACCATATGGCATCATTGCGGGGGGTGACCAACTCATCCCTCTATCTTCTTCTTGTTTCAGTGCCTGACCCGTCTCAGACAGCCTTCGAGGATTGAGCATTTGACCTCGTTCTATGTCTCTATATCGTCCTGCCACGATCCCCGTTTCGGGGAGATACGTCGGATCAAAGATTAACGGAATATCATACTGCTCACTCATTTCTACTTCTGTTTGGTGTGTTCGGTCGGTAGGGAAGAATCCAGAAAGATGAGGGAGAGAATCAGACATGGATGATATACCTCCATTATCGTATTGACCTGATGCGTGAGGGTAAGTCGGTGCTGTACTTGATATGTTGAAAGGGTAAGATTGGGGAGGAGAAGGGGGAAGAGGATTAGGAGGACTTGATCGAGAAGGGTGGACTACTTGGTTAACGAGTTCAGGAGTATGAGAATTGAGTGAGGAAGGGTGATGATTTGGACGATTGGAATGTTGAGATTGTATCTTTTGTGAGTTTGGTGATTGTCGAGAGTGCTGATTGTGTCCATTGTTCTGAGCTTGCTGGAAGCTTGAAGTATGTTGAGAAGATCGCGATTCGTGTGGCATATGTGGAGAACGAGAAAGAGAAAGAGAAGATGATCGATTGGAAGAATTCGTTAATTCAGGTAAACGGAAATCGTATGGCGATCCTTTAGATGTGAATTTTTGTTCAGGAATGAAACTGTCATTCGGACCTCCTATTTGTTTTTCTGTCAGAGAATTCATCGTCTGCCAGGGTTTTGGACGTGTCGAGAGTGTTGAGATTGATGGTGAGGCTGTCTAGTGCGTGAGCCCATGTTCTCGGTCTGTAATGTCATCTCAATGATCTTGTCTTGTTGTAGACTGGACTGTTCGATTCGTCTGTCTCTCTCTAGCTGACAACGTGAAGGGTGAAGGGTACGTTTGACGTTGACACGGATGATCATCTCCGAAAGGATTCTCCTCTGTGATCTTTACCCTCCTAGAGAAGCGCATACTCGAATGGGGATCGGAGAATGAGACTCTGACCTATGATAACGAGGGTTGAAGTCGGAGCACAAAGCGGCGAAAGAAAGGGAGGTTTGAGGGTAATGTTGGAGAGAAACAGGTACATGAGTAGCCAAACAGCGGGTAAGATAAAGAGAGGTTGTATTGAAGATCGGAAAGAGGAGCAAAAGCCAAACTCACATTGATAGCATCCACCACCATCCCTTCACCTTCCCTCTGAGCCTGAGCCACTTCACCCGCTCTACCTTCACTGATCAACCTACACAACATCGCGAAACTCATTCCTTCTTCCCCTCCCTCTCGACCGGGAAAAGATGACATCATCCTTCTCGCTTCCGCCAGATTGTTCAATTGCGCCAGCGGATCAGACGGGCGCGCTGTGGAAGTGGCTCCTGGTCTTTGACCTGGTGGGGAAGATAGAGAGATGGTCCCTGATTGGTTGGCAGTTGGGTAAGTTCGGATTTGAGATTGAGAATATTGGGCGTAAGCTTCCCAGGGTATTTGAAGGTTTTTGATCCTCTTCGTCAGCGGATCTCTTAGTGAACGTACTTCTATATATCTCTCCGCGGCCGCCGACGTCAGAATCTAATGCGTTTTTGCAGTCAGGTAGAAGGTATGTATGTGAAGGTGGAGCGCCGATCGGCAAACAACCCATCCGGATCGAACATGGATTGAGTTGAAGGGCGGGAAGATATGGGTGGAGCCTGAACAGGACGATTGAACTTACCGAGTAAAGTAGAACCATTGAGCTCTACCGATCATTTCGTCAATTTGAGCGGCTGTTCTTTCTTTCGCCCGTATAGCAGCGACAACAGTTGGTAATCCTGCCTGTCCACATTAGCGAATGAAACACATCGCCACCGCTTAGTCGTAGAAGAGGGACTCACCTTAAAATCCGGGTCATCGGAAAATGGATAAGCCTCAAATTCGTCAAAAATGGCTTGGAGGGGGGCGGACTGACCACCTTGAGGCGGAGGCGGAGGTTGCATCTTGTTTAGAATATGTTGAATGGTAAATGAAAGTTGTTTTTAGAATTCTGTGGGGTATCCGGGATATACGGAAGGATGAGAAGGATAAGTTATAGTCGAGGGAACAGGATTGATTATCTAAGTATCTTATCACGCGGTGCGCAAGTTCGGCTTTGTAAAGAAACTCTCTTCTGTCAAACGCCGATGACGTCTATCGCTAGAAAGAAGAAAGCAGTGTTCGGATTTTGACCCACTCGGTTGTAAGCTCGGCGTCGGAGTCGGAAAGGCTGAAGGAGAGATCACACACACCACGACGCTACTAGAGTGGTAATTCGTACTCGGTGCTCGGTGATCCAAAGAATTTTGTCCGAAGTGATTCCAACTGTCACCCTATGAGATTATTATAACACTTTATAGCTGAACGCTTTTGCATAAGAGGGGACGAAATCGTTGCTATGTGAAATGGGGTTTGTACGATGCTGACTGATTTGAAAATCAACTCTGATCGCATGAGCTCTTGGTGAATAAACCAAAATGACCGATACTTGGTTAAGATGTCTAATGGCTGACCAATAAATGCGAAAGGAGTCTCTGTCAGAAAAGATCGTCGCTTGTGTATCTCGGAAATATTAGATACCGTCGTCCCGTTCCCGTCGCTTTGATCTTCTTTGTCCTCGTGTTGCTTTCGTTTTTTTTTATATCCCTCGAAATGGTTCTCGTTTCATAAGCTTTAGTCCGATTAGCGGGCGATTGGAGTAATCGAAATGTTGACTTTTCCCGAACAAGGTAGAAAGCGATGGGTGGAGTATGATATGTAATGTTAGCTATGAGTCAGCATTACCTCTCATGGTAGTTTTTGACTATATAAGAATATCACTAGGTCAAGAAAGGAAGGAAGGAAGGGTGACACCCACCCACGTACAAAGTCCCTCAAACCCATGCGATGACACCGGATATTGGAATCTTCTTGCACTGCCTATAAGTTAGGCGCTGAGTGGAAGGGAGGAAATTGGCGATGAATCTGTATGATTCTCGCACAGGATTGTTGAGACTTGGATGAAAGACCGAATGGAGTCGATTGTCAGGGGGTGTCATGCGTTGTAAGTTGATAGCTATGCTTTTCTAGACGGATCGTTGAAGGAGCCGTCTAAAGCTTTTTACAAGTCATGTTCATTCGATTTCGGCCTCGGATCTCGGAACCGGGGACCGCGGACAAGACGTTGATCATCTCGATCGAATCAAAAGGATCCCTCCTGGCCTAGTAGCTAGTAGCATAACAACTAATGGCTCTACTTACTACGTACCTACTTTGTGTCCTCGTGGTACCTCCGTCACAGTGACCTCATTTCGCTTGACCATCCATCGTTTCTCACCGCTTGAACCTATCATAAGTCACCGTCTAACATTCCAACTAAAGTCATCTACAACGCCACAATGATCTTCGGTGTTTGCTATGATGCTATGAAACTTTCTCCTGACATTTACACTGCCGTTGGATACCAAAGCAAATCCCGTCCACCAACGGCCAACGACACAGCTTAACACGGGAGTAAAAATGGAACAACGGACCATCGGATCCGACCCTACTTTTACATTCGGGGGCAGATCTTACGACGATGCGGGTTTTAAAATGAGGGTTCTCAACTAAGCATAGTGTCAACAAGGAGATTCAGTCCACCATTGGGAGTTTGATACGTTTCATATCTCGTATAGCTGACGAAGATAATATTTGTGACGTTCATTTACCTGCTTAGGACTTACGAAAAATGGAAGGGGGAACAACAATTGGTCATGTTCGGCGACTCACTTCCAAGACGACATGATAAGGTGGAGGTTACTACGACCTAATCGATTGGTCTGTGCGTCGTTGACACTAGAACTAGATCCCGTCCCTCACTAACCAAAAAGATCTAGACCAACAGACAAAGGTCCCGATAGATGTCGGTCCCGAAAGTCGAAGGGGTGCAGTAGAGTAATGACACGTCATATCAATCGATAGACAGCCTCTCCAAGACTCCGACTACTTTTGATTACGTGGCCCTCGAATCCATTCATACCACCTCAATTGAGTGAATGCCAAATGGCCAAGTGAAGGTCCACCTGGCCACCGACCCTATGAGGAAAAGGTGGAATGTTCCTCACTGTCTTCTGTTCGATCTCTCAAGATCGGAGAGTTCTTTTTTTCTTTCTCGGAACTGAATGTGCGTCTAACCTTATTCCACCTCCGCTGCCGCGCTGCCGCCCCTCATCCACCGCGCCTGATTTTTTAGCTTTTCGCAATTTCAAAACTACCAAATCCGGACAGAAGAACAACCTTGCTTCTTTCATCCTTCCAAATACGTTTCCCACACCTGGCCCCTAGTGCGTCTTGGGGGATACTATACCGCCGGAAGACTCGAAATCCGTACTGTGTGGCTGTTTCGGACCGCGTGCCTGGATCTTCACCATCCGACTTCGGCGTCGGTTGTTGGCCTTTGGCATGTCAGGTGCACAGAGGAACGAGGTTCAAGCAAGGTTAGAACGGATGAAACAATGCCTTATTTTGACCGTAGTGTTGCGCTTGTACACAACAGTCGATCTTTGACTGATTTTGATAATGAGAGGACCCTCGTACCTTGATCAGAAACATCACTGAGAGTGGTTATCGTTAGCGTCTTTTACATGATTTTTCGAATATTGTAGCTTTCGTCTTTTCATTTCAATATTGTCTCTTTCACTGTTTTGATTCTATCCCCTTAGTCATTCGATCTCGATTGTCTTTCGATTGGAGAATATCAACATCGACGGCCTTGACGGCTTGGAACACTTCTTGGACACTGTTAAACAGGATTCATCTCTCAATTCGACATAGTGAGTCACACGTTCCACTTCAATTCTTTCCCATACCTAATCCCCCTGCCTGCATCTTTCTCGTTCGTCTACAATATGCTTCCATTACAAATGACAGTCTCACCATGAGTATCATACGATCGCCACCGCTCAAACAATTCCTGACTCATATCCGACCGGATTCGCGGATTTGCCAAACATAGGGACAGATCATGGAATACAATTCTAAGACAATCGAAGCTGACATCAGGAAGTCTTTGATTTGAAACAAGGTCTTTCTTTTCCGACGACCTCAATAACGCCTCAGCCTGAGACGTACACAGACCTCTTGATTCCCCGCATTGACCTGTCACGTCACTGCACGGGCCCCGGGTCATTCTCTCCCTCTCGCTTCTTCCTCCATCTTCAAGTCGAACAGCAATCGAATTTCCAAAATCCTTTGTATATTTCCACAAGTCGACAGCTCGGGTACATTCGGAGGCTACTTCCTATTCGGGCAGACAAATAAACTGTCACGGGGCATAGAGAAACAAGGTCGACGAGTGGTATAAGATCATCTTGATCCCCCCTTTGCCGCCACCCGTCATCTATCATCCATCACCATCACCATCAACCGATCTTGCACTTCCGGGTCGTTCCTGAAAGTGTGGACTAAACACCAATTCTTACGGCTCTTGGGCTACACGGACCTCTCCAAATATACAAATTGCAAACTCGTCTCCTCAAATCGCCAAGCAACACAACATTCGCCCGTCCCAATACCTTCTTCGCCCCCGGTGGGTGACGCCCTCACAGGACCACCTTTAGTCTTTCGCCTTCCATCTCATCAGCTTGCAAAACACTTACAACAAGTTCACCCTCCCACCCTTGCTCGCCCATTGGTCACCGCTGATCGGTTGAGCTAGCTAGACGCTCGTCCCCCTTCACCTGGGTCCGTGACCTCCTAGGCCTGCTAGGTGTACTTTGTTCCATCTAGGGCAAGTAGACAGAATTCTTACAACCATGACTTCAACTTCTACATTTCAGTTCGACGCCCTTATTACTCCCACACCGGATGTTATGCGCATGGTCAAGCAATCACACGTACACGATCAATCTATGGAAGCTTGTATACGTAGAGAAAGACGTAAGGCTCGTGTTGTTCCAGTCGGAAATCAGCGTGTAACTGTGAGTTCTCACTTACTTCCACTATTTGACTCTCCTCACGCTTCGTTAAAAGCCAACGAACGCTAATGATTAGATGACAAACACTGCTCAACCCATTTCAGCACCTACTCCCTCTCCCTCCTCACGTAACAAACCACTCCCACCTTCCATCTTGCGTCGCGCACCACCCTCTTCGTTTCACTACGACACCCACTCCGACGCACCTCTCTCAGCTCCTCCGGCCCCTCCTTCTCACTCCGACTTTTCTCCAGCGGAATCATCCACTGCAGTCCGTCGACGCTCCTCGAGAGTCCGTTTCTCAGACTATGACCTTCCCTCTGCCTCATCCGTCCCTTCAGCCCTTCGTCGTCTGGCATCTGAAGACGGACTACGCTCGGACCCTTCGTCTCATCCGCCCAAGGCGCTCGTCGGCAGCCCAAGGGCCCGCGCTAGCGTAGCCGAATTTAGGTCAGCCCGTAATGCTCGTCGAACCAGTATCGCCTCTGTTCAATCCAACCATTCGTTCGCTTCCTTCTCTTCCTTCTCTTCAGACCCGTTTGCAACCGAGTCGAGCATGTCTTCATGCTCTCTCAGTGGGGAGTCGCAAGAATGGGATGGATTTGCACCACAAGCATTACCATATCCAAAGGTTCCCAAGGCGCTCTCGCGTTATAGTGTATCCACGGAATCGTCTGTCTCAGATAACGGTTCGGAACCGACCAGGGCGTCACGATCGATAACGACAACTGCAACGTTGACCCGGAAACCATCCATTCCTGCTTCTGCGGATCTTAGACGGACATTATCAGCTACTGCTTCGTCTAGTGATATGACGACACCCATACGACCAAGTTTTCTACGAGCTACCTCCCTAGGAACCGAGGATACTAGATCGAATGGGGAGGTCAGACCGACCGGAGTTGTTTCGAAATTGTCGGTACCGAGATTGAATCGAAGTCATTTCCGAGGAGATTTGGGTCTGTCACCACGTACGCCTACGCCCGTTTTGGAGCAGAACGAGCGAATGGAATCGACTCCTGCCGTACCTTCAGCCGAGGTGGTGTCACAAGTGAATCATTGCATTCCGGTTGAGCAAACCGATGATGTCAACGACAAGGTGGTCGATGGAATGGAACGAGTGGGAAAGGTCGAACAGGTGGGAAAGGTGGAAAAAATAAAAGTGAAAGTCAAGAAACATCGCAAGACAGACTCTGCGTTGAGTCTATCAGGAATAATGACATTTCCTCTTCCTCCCGATCGACAACAAGATTTACAAGTCACTGTGGAAAGTCCTACTACTCCCTGTCGACCGGGTGGCTTATCAGTCGATCTTGGTGTTTCAAAATACACTCCATCTCTTTCCTCATCCACTGTCACATCTCCAATCGTAACCGTGACATCAGCTGCAATCGTACGCTCAACCAGTCCAGATGTGAAAGAACTTCGACGAAGAACATCGGATGCTAAGCGCCTTCGAAGACTTTCTGCCGTCGAACCAGAATCTGATGAATCGGAGCTTGGTGAGTCGTTTTCACTTACACATTTAGAAAATCGTGCTGATAAGGAACAGAAATTAACGTGCCTCTCGCCCAAGCAGCTGTGAAGAATAGAATAGTCTCACCACATTCACGTCTTCTCAAACGACATTCTAGACCTTCGTACGACCTCAGACCGAGTTTACAACGTAAAGCCAGCGGTTCTGATCGTGTTGGATGGAGCGGGTCTGATTCAGAAGAAGAGGAATGGGCTCAAGCAGTCAGAGTGATAACATTACGAAAACTTTCAACTCCGTCTATTCGCAAAACTCCTAATACTCCTATTCCGACTCTTTCTTCCTCTCCTTCGCCACATTCACTCCAATTCTCTTCTTCTTCAACTCGTTTATCCGATTCTCATTCTCAATCCTACCTCTCAACGTCTTATTCTCATTCGACACATTTATCAACTTCTCCATCGTTATATTCTCTCCGCACCTCAACAACGCAGACATCAGACATTCACTCTGATCTTTCAAAAGCGGTTGAATCCAGGTTCAGTAGATCATCCCAAGATTCAGGAATGTCTAGTAGTTCTTATACTTCCCGATTATCACACCTCTCTCAAGCATCATCCAACACTGCCATCTCATCAGTCTCTTCGGAATTGATGACACCAACTACATCAATAACGAACTTACGTCCTATTCTCACTTTGAAAAAACCTGGTAATTTCAATTGGGGTGGTTCTGCACCTCCTTCACCAGGTACCGAATCACCATTTGGAATCGCTCAATCTCAAGCTCAGGGATTCTACGATGGTCTATTGGCGAAACTAGGAAATCATTCTAATTCTCCCCCTCGTTCACATTCCTCAATCAAAAACTTACCTACCACATCATCCAGTGTGTTCTCTGGAATCAGTCCTAGTGCAAGTATAAATGTCAATAACGGACCAACACAGACGGTTTTACCTCAACCGACAAGTCTAGATCCAGACGTTTGGGGGGAACCAGAGGTACTGGAAGATGAGATAAGTTCGGACGAAGAAGGATTCTCTTTTGAGAAATGGTCAGAATTACATTCTTCTAATCATAATATTGCAGCTTTGCTTCGTTCGTCCAGTCGAAATGAGGATGGAGATATGGGACATGTGAGAGGGATAGGTATGCCAGAATGGGAAGATGGATTAGGAGTAGAATTAAATAGAGTGATTGTTATTTGATGGTAGACTGTAAGAAAAAATAAAAAGTAGATTTTAGAATTTTAAAGCATAATCATATTGGAATTGAATGAATTTTCTTGTCGTCTTGTTCAAACCTTTTAACTCTGTTCTACTCTCTTACACTCTATTCTATACCTTACACTCTGTTCTACACTTTGCATTCTATTCTACTCTTTCACACTCTGTTCTACACTTTTCACTCTGTTCTACACTTCACTGAATACCTTATGAGATGAGTACTCAAACGATACAGTACAGGCGACGAGTCTGAATGAAAGGTAAAACGTTGCATTGTCCCATGATATCATCGTGTTTAAAATCTATCACACAAAAGTCTCATTCTTCGCATTCTTCCGGATCACTACCATATCCTCTTTCAGTAGCTTCTTTCATACCTTTCTTAATCTCTTCACATAATTCAACCTCCATTCTTACTTCCACACCACCATTCCCTTCCACCTTCATCTCATCCCCTCTCCCTCCAATATGAACGTATTCAGAACCTCCCATACGATCAAGATTGCTACCTTCCTTCGGTGTCCAAACATGTTCCGATATCCTCTCTCCCCTTCCAGTCCGTTTAGCCCGACTCCACATTCCGACATTTGAATCAGTTATGAATTTCCAAGTCACATATGGCCAAGATGAATGAGAAGGTAAAGGATCGTAGAATTCATGTGCTATTTCACGAAGTTTAGGTAAACGAGTCCATGGGACGGAAGGAAAGTCGTGGTGTTCGTTATGATATCCGACCTGCAAGTAAGATTGTTTCCAATCGTGACATTGGTACGAGTTCATGTGGCATAGCGTAGGGCAAGTGCAGGTGTTATAGTCTGATACGAGTGTTTGATGATGCATCATGAAGTATGGAACATACTTCGACACGAGGTTGAATTTATTTATCACGTAGCAGGATCCACTTGACAGGCGGGAGGATTGAAAAAATAGAGAAAAAGAGAGGAAGGGGAGGGGGGGAGGGTACATTGTGTGTTTCGACAAGAATTTCTCAATATCCCTCAGGAGATAGCAATATTGTGGATTAGAACCAAAGCGACAACTCACGTTATAACACAAAACATTCAACCAACCATAATAACTAGTAGTCTCTTGTGCTAAATCCTGTACACTCCCCACTTCCGGAGCAGGTTGCATAAGATAATGTTCCGCGATGAAATGAGCAGCACAAGGATGTAAACTTCCCGCGAAGAAAGAACTCATGATTAGATAGATGAGTGAATTCCATCCTGCTACAGAAACGAGTAAAATGTCGAATGTAAGAACTGAAATGAGATTTAAAAGATGCCAACGAGTGAAAGTTTGAGATCTGATGAATCCTGGTCTCAGGGCGTAGAAGAGGAGTTGGAATGTTCTATACGTCAACTTTTGTACATCTTGCAACTTATGATCATGAGAGAATCACACTTATGACCGTTGAAACCAGTCTACTTCCATTAGGTGACCATGGTGATAGAGATATGTAAAGATTGCGATTAGATGCGAAAAAATCGTCATCGGACACGTAGAAATTAAGGATAGATGTGGAAAAGTGACCAGATGTGGAAGTAGGAAGCAAACATACGCAAAGAAAGTTTTCCCAGCAACATTATTCAACAAAACAGCTTCTAACCTACTAGGTAAATCCGTATCGATACCATCTTCTCCTAAAAATTTATGATGTTCAATATGATATCCTTTAAATGCCATGGCGTATGGTACTCCAATAGCGAAATTTGCAATTATTGCCAATATCTTATTCGCTCGAAGAGAACGAAATGCTAAATTGTGGGTGATTTCATGTATCGCCAAAAAAGTATTTTGGTTGAACGTCCCTCCTAGGATATAAGCGGTGAGTATGAACTTGATAGAGAAAGGGTGTGAATTTCGTAAGATTACAGAGAGGGTGATTTGGGATATAAGGACTAGAATGACTAGGGGGAATGTTAGAGAGGTCGGCCCCATGAGTTTACGGATCTGATATCAGCATAAGTCAAGTGTGTTTGTGTCTTGTATCTTGTGTCTTGTGAGTTTCACAGGACAGAAGGGGGCCGATCTAAGTGATTTTATAGTGGATTTCGGAATGTCGGTGTGAAGATAAGAGTGGGACGAATTGTTGAAGAAGATCTCTTCCTAGAAATCGGGCGTATATCGATAAAGACAACGACTTTTAATCGCAATTGTGTGACAATGAAGCTCGGAGAAGATCAAGATAATGAAAGTCAAAGAAAAGTCAAGGATGGAAAAATATATAGAATGACTTGCAGTAATAAAACGTTAACTGACTCACCTCAGGATGTACCTTCAAAATAGCCATCCTCCTACTTCTATGAGGTTCTTCAGTCGTCATCCAAAGAAAATCAGGTAAAGGATCGATGAAGTCTTTCTCTTCTTCCAATATAGTTAATTCAGAAGGAGAATAAGCACTGGAAACATCCTCTATGGTCGAATCTGATTCGATCTCTGTTCGATGAACTTCTTCGGAAGAAGGAACATTGAGTCGTTTTGAAAAATCCGTCTGATCGTCTACTTGGTTTATGAGGGTATTCGATAGAATGGAAGGTTTAGGTATGGGTCGACGGATGAGATGAGTCAAATAACGAGAATAAGACATTCTGTTGGTGATTGTTGTGTTGTGTCTAAATAATGGCAAGTGGTGGGATTTTGGAGAATCTTGAGGGAGCGGTAAGGGTTTATCTCTCTAGTCGTCTAGGAATCTATGATTCTATTCTCGTAGTAAGTATTTACGGTTGCGAGTGAGATGTGTGAAATGGAGGAGAGAGATGAAGAAGTGGGAACAAGAGTTAGATGTGGAATGTGCAACTGCAACTGCAACTGCGGAAAACTGCAATCCCACGTGGTAGAAAACACCTGTCCAAATTGACGTTACTTAGTGGTGAGTAAGTAGTAGACTAGTAGGACTACGATAACTGGCAGCTGTTGATGTGCATATGATATAGACAATTACATATGCTACATGTCAGTCAGATGAAACAACATACACAACCTTACAACCCCAAATCATCCACTCAATCCATTTCCAACCACTTCCTCTTCGAGTCGTACCAACCCCTTCCTACCCTCTCCCACACCTCTCATCCTCCATTTTCTCCTCCTTTTCAACGCCTCTTCCCAACCTTTCAATACCCACTTCAACCACGCCACCTCTTCCCACCTCTCATCCCTGACCAAACGTTGATGCAACACGTCGACATCTTCGAACAGCATATGAGGCGGGATATCCGGTTCAGCCACGATAGTCCTATCTGTCGCTCTCACCGCTAAACCCATGTCTTGAACCGGGGTATATCCCATTGTGATCTTCTCCGGCGGGTAAAGAGTATAAAAGTCTTTGAGATTATCTAAGGCTTGGTCGAGGTGCTCGGATAGGGTCAGAAGTCGGATACGTGCTCGCCAGGTTTTCTCCACTTGTCTAGGACCTAGTCCAGCTAGGAAGAGACGTCGAACTTGTGTTGTATCTGATGAAGACTGTGACGTTGAAGAATCATGGATTGGTCCGAGTGAGAAGGAATGAGAGAGATATTGAGAGTGCAATGTTTGCTGTTGAGCTTGGTGATCCCAATGGTTGGCGAAGAAAATGTACTCTTTCCACAATTCCTCGCCCCAAGAAAGAGCGGTATCACGATCCTCTGAAGACATACGACCGCGAGAACACCGTTCTAGTGCTTGAAGGTATGACCAGCCATTAGGTCTTGTAGACACTTGCGACCAGGTCGCTTCCCATGTATTCCTAGCTAGCTCTAGGGAGGAAGAATGAGCGAGATGAACAGAGAGATACGAATTTACGAGTTTGGGACCGAGTTGAACGTGAGAGAATACACCATCGTGATTAGATGAGGAGATATCTTGAACCAATCTGACGAATAGAGCTTCGGCTTCACGAAGAGCGTCGGAGCTTGTCATCGGCATGTGGTTATTGTCTTGGTCGTCTGTTGTTGACACAGAGGCGATGGCTTCTGACGAAGACGATATGTCGTACAGCTCACCCATCATATCGACTTCGAACAAGTCGTCTTGCGGAACCCCACGGTCCGCCCTGATCTCTTTCGAATTGTCGTGTTTGGGTCCAATATTCTCAGAAGTCTGAGCGACTTCCTTCAGCATCTTCCTAGACACTGGTGGCTTCCAAGCGGCATAAGTCATGAACACCCCACTCAACAGCTCATCGTTGACCCATCCCAACCATTCCCTCTCTCCATGTCCTAGCTCTTCCACACTTCTCATAAGTTTTACAACCTCCGTCAATGCCCATCGGGCTCTCATCAAATCTCCAGCACGTTTTGTTCCTTCTAACAGAGCCGTGAATGTGTTAACAGTGGGCACATAGTTCGACCATCTACCACTCAATTCCCCGTCATCTTCGAACGGCCGGAATGTCGCGTCTGTATGTTTCGCCAGCATCTGACGCAGAAGATCAAAACCCTCCAGATAATCCTTCCTTGTCGAACATAACGCGCGGATGATAGCATCGTATTCTTCACGTTGAGGTATAATACCCCCTTCGGTCATCTCGATCCATAAATCTCTAGCTCGTTCCGGTTGAGGATCCGACGATACGGAGCATGCCAATATCATTGTGTTATAGATTTTCGTTGTGGGAATGGGATGTGCAGTAAGACGCATGTGTGTGAAGAGATCCCAAGCCAAGGCACGGGTATGAGAGGTGGGTTGATGATGAGGAGAAGAGGAGGTCAAGTGATGAAGGATAAAATTGTATGATGTTTGAGATAAGGGTGAACCGAAAGTTTCGTGTTGCTTCAAGATACTTATAGCAGCTTGATAATCGGGTGGAGTGGTTTGTAGGTGTGCTCTGATGAGTACGTCGGAAATGGGGGGAACAATGAGATCTTCTGATACATCAGCGGAGAAACATAATCATGTCAGAAGGACATACGGGGTACATAAATTTCTTGAAGTCTCATAATCTCATGTGGTCGACCGAACTTGGCATAGATGTTCATGATATCAAGGATGTATCCTTCCTTGAGACTCATACCGTGTGACTGACCGTTAGTGACATCGCAATATTTGTCATCAGCACTTACCTCTACAAGCTGAAGGACTCTCTCTGCTCCCGAGGGGTCATGTCGGTCTACCTACACCTGTCAGTCTCCGCATGCCACTATATAATTGACACTCACATATTCCTGTAACAACACCTCCCATTCTCCTCTGCTCAATATTCCGAGGGGCACGCTAGTCGGAGTTTTGGGATCAGCATCGACGGATAATGTCCCCAGCAGTTGTGTTACTCTTTGGTGGACCTCACTAGAGCCAGCAGATATCATCTCCCCAGTCTCCATTCTCTGCGCCAACCCCATCTGCGTTCTACTTTCCGACATATTGTCCAGGCTCGTATCACCTTGCTGTCCAATTGCCATCTCCAGTAATCGTTGTTCGACCGTTGTCAATACATCGGTTGACCGCTTCTGTCTTTTTAGTTCCGGAGCCATTATTCTAGGCACTGAAGAGCCGTCCTCCTCTGATCCGGTAAGGACCAGAGCAGCGTAGAATGACCGAAGTGCCTGTTCATCGAGTTCCGGTAGATCCGCCGTCAATTGGGCAGACAGCCGAGCTTTGATCTTTCTCTGTGAGCGGATGTCGGAAGGTTTAGATTGTGAAATAACACTCTGCTCGACATGTCTGGGTGATCGTGATGGGCGGGGCGGGACATGGTCGAGAGACGGTGAATGAGGATCCGGTCGATAGAGGGGGAAGCGAGAGGGGTCGACGGAAGGAATGGAGTGAGGCTCGAGAGGTGCTTCAGTTTGTGCAAGTTGAGCATGTACATAACGTATGAGTAGACGAGATGGGGTTGAAGGGATGATTGTATGAGTTAGGGTGGTCCGTAGCATGGTGGTGACTGAAGGCAATGGAGAGCAAAGTACAAGTAGTATGGACCAAGAAATCTTTCGAGGGGAAAACGGACGCCGGAGATAATTCAAACTCCGTGTCGACCCACCCTTGCGGCAGGCGGCAACAAGGCAAGCAACACAGCACCAAGCGACATGCGGCATGCGGCAATCGCTATGAGAGGCATGGGGGTAATAGTATTGTAGTACTTAGTGAGATGGAAGTGCAGGGGCAAGTATCGAGTAGATGGTGTATGCTGCATATGCACGAGCTTGCCACTGCATTCGTTGCAGCGACCACTACTCTACACATGTGGCCATGAACCAACCCAGCCATGCCAGCCAGCCAGCCGACTCAGGCACATGGTTTATCGTCCATTGATCCATTGATCTATTAACGCCCCTTGTCTCTCGATAAGGACCTCTAGGCATCCCTTTCGTCTTGTCACTCAACTAGTCATCCTCACTCTTGTTGCTTGCTACTACTGGATTCTATGTTTTTGCCTCTCACCAAGCCGCTTCAAGCACTGCCAACACCACTCGTACAAGTTTTTCGCGTCGCATAGGTGACAGACATCTTTTCGCGCTCGGATCGTTCAAACGCCCCCGCTTGCACTTTTCCTCGCTCAGACCCACTCACAACTTTTTCTTCTTCTTCTCCCCCATAATGTCCACCATAACCACTCCACCTCGTACACCTTCCTATCACACTCCCAATTCTTCACCTCCTCAACCCCTATCACTCTCACCCACTTCTACGCCAGCCTTCCCCTCTTCTGGCCCTTCCACCCTTACCCCTCCCGACTATTCCTCCATCGATTCCTCCCCCGCCCCCGCAGGGCAGTCCACAAAGAACAGGGAGAAGCAGGCTATCCGGGATCGTCATCGAGAAGAAGAAGAACAGCTCCTTGCTCGACGTCTGGGAAACCCCACACTTGACCCAAAATCAAACTCCCTCCAAGCTGACAATCTCTCTGGATCCGACTTTGATTCTCACACCGTTCGTCCCAAGCAAACTGCACGGCTGAGTAGTCGCTCTCCGCCGACCCCGATTACACCTGCGAAGAACGGTGCACAAGATCAGAAACAGGCGATAGGACATCGGGGTTTCCTTCCGCCTGGAATGGACGTGAGGGATGCTTTGTCAAGATGCGAGGATCCGACATTAGGATGGAGTTTGCAATTTTGGGTCACCATCGCAGATCCATTAGTCAGTTCGACTAGCTGTTTTATCTGACGATAGCATACAGCTTACAGACAGACACATCACGTCTTCTTCGCCTGTCCCGCTTCTGGACAATGCAGTTGGGACCCTCCAGTCGGAGCGTTTGTCGTACCTCGTTCCCCGGATGGAGAATGGTGGGAGTTGGCAGACACCACTAGGAAGAACAGAAGTTATTACTACAGTAAGATTGGAGGTAATTCTCTATCATTGCTGACTACAGACACTTTGACGAGTAAAACCCAGTGGACCAGACCGGGCGGTGACGCATTTGTGATTCCCCTCGGCCTCATTCAAGTAAGTGATCGCGCCTTCGTAAAGTCAACCAGACCGCGATATAGAAAGCACGACTCTTGACTGACGTAAAGAAAAACGCTCTTCCACCTCGACCAGATGGTTCGGACGTGATCACACCCAGCAAAAGACAATCTCGCCTTACACCTCGGAAAGATCGAGCATCGGTTGTGTCACCTCTCCGAATGCCATCGACCCATGTAATATCTCAACTATCAGCTTCAGCCTCTATCCACTCTCAGGATACCATTCAGAGCGCTCTGGGCGATATGCCCAGCGCTACACATTTCCCTGAACCTCAACCCTACTCCTCGCCAGCTCGCGGGCCACGGGCGAAAGTTGCGAGTAGCACTGGAGCCTTATCCCCGCCTCAGAACGGCTTTCCGCCACGTTCACCGCTGGTCACCGTCGATGAAGGATCGGGGACCGAGACGGACAGGAGTGACGGTAGTGGATGGTGGGGAAGGAGGAAGTCGAATGCTTTGACGGGCATCTTGGGCAGTCCATTGAAAGGGAGGACGAAGAAGGATTTGGCCATAATACCATTGTCTGATTCCGAAGGTGGGCCTTCCGTCTTCACACTCAGCCATCAGGATATATGACTGACAGAGGAAGACGCAAGTCAGGGTCGATCACCTCCACCTGAAGTCTCTCCACCCATCCCGATCAAAGACAGTCAGTCGAAAAGTCTACCCAACATCGGAGCCGCCGAGCCAATCTTCGTAGAATCCCGAGTCAGAACAAAACGTCTTTCTACGGGGTGAGTCAGATCGCTCGTGTCATCGACAACTTTCACCATCCAGAAAAAAGATAGCTGATTCTCAGATGGCACCCCCTCCTCCCTGCAGATATATCCAAGGCCATTCAAAGTTTCCAAGGAACCAACTCCGCTCACAAATACTTTGCTACCCAGCGTTCTGGTGTGTTGAGACAGAAAGTTCCATTGGAACGTATTATGGAATGGCAAAAATCTCCAATTTCCTCCCCTCTTCTGGTGCTTTCCCGTGCAAGGCACAAAGACGCCTTGAACACCTTCAAAGTCATCCAACATGTCATGGGAGAACGAGACCGACATGTCGAAGGTGCCAAGGTCGTACATGCTAGTTCTAGCTCCAGAAATCTTGCTCAAATCGCTTTAGGCCGAAATAAGAACGTACCTGGAGGGATCGATGGAGGTGCTGGGCGAGGCAAAGGAGCGGAGAGCGGGAATGAAGATATGAATGAGAAAATGGTGGTCCTGCAAGAAATCAGATGGTTGATTCAGCTGGCAGTGAGTAATGGGGAAATGAGGGACGAAGTGTATTGTCAGTTGGTCAAGCAATTGACAAAGAATCCTGATCGGTGAGTGTTTCATATTTGACCTTTTCTTCTGATGATTTCATCTGTTTTTTATCATATGAGTCATTGGTGTTGATTCTCAGTGATTCGGTCGTGTTAGGATTTCAGCTGTTTTGCGTTCTGGTCAATGCCTTCGGACCAAGTCAGAACTTCGAATCTTTTGTTCAAAACTTTCTCAAGTCCCATGTCGGTCAAGAAGAGAATGGCGTTGGGGTCATGGCAGATTGTGAGTCATGATCAATCTTAGTCCCATGTGCACCCGACCCTCTTGCGATCTGGAGCGGGAGATTGTGTTGACTTAGGGTCATGGCTGATTTCATAGACTGTTTGAGTAAACTACAAGTCATGGCCACTCAAGGAGGTAGAGGGAGAGTTCTGACAGTCGGCGAGATTGAACATGCTTCTGTGCGTTGTCTTATGTCCTTCCTTGGTCTCCTATATCTCATATCTCAATGTCGTTGATACAAAAATTCTCTCACGCATACCTATGTTGAGTGAAGATGAGAACGTGCTTTGGAGTGTCAGGATAAACGCTCATTGACACAGGATGGGGCATTTTATCCTTCTGTCTATGGGGAATCCTTGGACAGGATCATGGATCTGCAGGAACGGTCATATCCAGATGCTATGGTTCCGGTCATTTTACCTTTCCTCGCTGAGAGGATCGTTTCGCTGGGAGGAATGGAATGTGAAGGTATATTTCGGATTCCTGGAGATGGGGATTCGGTTTCGGAGCTGAGAAGTCGGATGGACAGGGGGCATTATCAGTTGGTGGGTTGCGCCGTCATTGTCTCACTTCACACCTCGATCCCTCCAAGACATGTCTTTACTTTCGTCAAGATCATCTTCGGATCCTGTTTGGTGTCGCATCAGACCGGGCCTTCTTGACAGTGTCCTCGCTGTCATCGATCTGATGGCGTTAGAAGGAGAACGAAGGATAGTACTCACCATGCAGCAAGGTATTGACGATCCTCACGTCGCTGCCTCCCTGTACAAACTGTGGCTACGGGAACTAGAAGAACCCGTCGTACCTACGAACATGTACAACGACGCTCTCTCTTCCTCTCGTACGCCATCTCAGGCCATCGCTTTCGTCTCGACCTTACCTACGAATCACAAAAGGGTCTTAATCTTCGTCATCAGCTTCGCCCAAGTTTTTCTTCGTCCCGAAGTGGTCGAACGGACTAAGATGAATGCTGGCAACTTGGGTGAGAAATACCATACTTTTGTTAGACGAAAGCTGAATCAAAGCTCGAGTACTCGCACCTAACATTCTACGTACAACCTCAAGCGATCTCACGACAGTCTACACCAATGCCACCTTCGAAGCCAAGTTCATACTTCATCTTTTGGAACATCTCAATTGTCGATCTGTAGATTCAGAATATAAAGGATATGTCCTTTCCAAAGACGAACCATGAGCTGGATTCTTGATTCGTATGGGAAAACGGGGAATGTGATCTCAGAAACAAATCTATTCATCTTGCATTCGATCCGTGCCTAGCTGAAGAGGGAACTGATGTGATCTTGTTTCACCTCTGACATCAAGGGACGAGTGGTCCGCGCGAAAGATTAGATTCAATATTCCATCAAAAATCTACTCCACACGCGTCTGACTTTGTAACGCGACGACGAGCAAGACTCCGAGTAGAGTGCATGACAACAGAGGACAAAGCTCAGATCTAGATTTGAGATGTTGGGAGGATCTGTGAGTATGCACGTCAACAACTTGGTCGCAGAGGATGAGGGAGGTTATGTCTTTTTAACTTTTGACATTATCACAAGAACCCACTGATCGTCGTTCTTTTTGTGCAAGTACTGTAGTAAGTATCGTAGTCGCTCATTCTCAACTTTGATTTTTCTCAGTCGGGATCGTTGATCGGTCTGTGTTTGTACAGAGGTATTCAGGAGACGAGGACGGTGGGGAGATATGGAGACGTTTATATCAGCTAGGTGAGTTGTTTTTCTCCTCCTTATATCACTGTCTCTAGAGAAGAGAGCGATTGGTCTCGTGTCGGGCCAGTAGAAGCATAAAGAGAGGGGGACATAATTAACAACGTCGCAGTTCCCCACTCGTCACTTATACCCCATGCAAATGTGATCCGGCTGTAGGATGGGGAATGTGGAATGGGACGGAAGTCAATGGGAGTGATCCGGGCTGGTGGACTGTGGCTCAGGAGGCAAGTGTGGAGATGAATTTCACTGGTGAGTACGTTCCTAGTGGATTTCACATACTTTTTCCTGCTACACGAATCATCAAAACATGAAGGTATTGATACTGAGACTAAGGGACCGGTTTGACATTTAACCTGACACTTTCTGATCCGTCAAAATATGAGACAATCATCACGATCAACTCTACAGTCCCACCTGCATCAGCTATCTCGAATGCTACCTCTGTTTCTTCTTTACCATGGGGTCGACATATGTTTCGTCTCAATCTCACTCGAGTTTCCTCGAATACCTCTCAGAGTCTTACAAAGAAATCTGATCGTACACAACGGTCAGATGTCGATCATACGAGGTTTTCATCCCTTCCCAAAACTCGACCATACAGTCATCTCGAAGATACAAGTCGGATCCATAATTTTGATCGCGCACAACAGGTCAACGATGAATCCGACTTTCTCGATATAGGAGGATCGTTCCAGGAAACCGACCTAGGTTGGGCTAAGTTAAATGGGGTAGTGGGACAGATGGGATCGTCTCAAACCTCAGGGTCGAGGAACGAAACGATTGATGACACCGCTTGGAGGGATTGGAGGGTGGTTTTGACCCCAGGGTGGAACATGCTTGAAGGTCCGACAGGGGCTAGTAATTGGATTGATAATGTTCGTCATTTCAACCCCGCCTATTCGTGGCTCTTTTAGCTCTCTTCGAAGTGTACTTCGCCCAGACCCATTCTACAATCTATGAGATATCGATTTGTATGTCATACCTCAATATCGAGGAACGAAGCTCCTTGCGGATCTTCTGGATTGAGATTTGGGCATTTTGGGAAATGAGGAAGAGATGACTAACTGACCTTGATAGACAGACGTACAAAACGAATTCCCAACATTATCAAACGATTATAACTCTTCCATCTCCTTCACATCCCAACCAGATGCGGCCACTACCATCTTATTCTCCGGTTCTACTTTCTGGGCGTATGGTATTTCCGGTCCTAAGGAAGGTACATACGAAGTAGATTTGGATGGACAATCTCAAGGCGTGTTCAATGCTTCTACACCGCAACGCGTCTACTCAAGTGTGTTGTTTCATACTTCCGGTCTCAAGGAGGGGAACCATTCTGTCGTTTTGAAGAATAAAGATGGACGGTTGAGTTTTGATAAAGCTGTCATTTGGTCTGGATTGACATTGTGAGTTCAAAATATATATACATTCCAATCCATCCTACACTCTTGTCCGTGTCCATTTCTTCTTCTACCAGCACTTTCTTCCAACTTTACCTCATATGTCATTAGTCATGTCCTTGGGTGGAAGCGAGATCACAACAGGATCAATCGTCAAATCCGGATGACTTGTTTGGTAGGATGAGGCAGACGACAGTAGTGATGACTGATCTTTAGTGCTCCAACCATCAATACAAACACAAGCTCCACCTCAGTGTCAACACCAAGCTCAACTCCTGGTGCTATAGTCAATCATCGATTAGACATCCCTGCTATAGCTGGTATTTCCGCAGGTGCAGCCGCTTTGATTCTGCTTGTGTTGTTATGGGCCATTTGGGCGTGTCTTCGTCGTCGTCGACGACGAAGTTTTACTGCTCATCAGGCTGACCCGAAAATGACCACTGTGAGTTTTCTTCCCTCCACTGTATCCATCTTTCGTTTTCTTGCTCATTATCATCCTTTACACTCTCCACTTGCGCATTCCCTTCGAGCCGAAAGACCAATCCCGTGGCATCAAATATCTCATTGATCATCGCCTTTCTCCTCTGTGAAGCCCTAAAGTACGACGTGTGGTTGTCGTTTGGAAAGTAACGAAAACACAGAAATAGAAGAAAATGCTAAGAAACACCAGTTCTGGCGATGGTCAGCTAATAAATCAAAAACATCTTCAAACTTTTTTCGTCTTGCCACACCTACATCAGCGACTTTTGATCCTCATTTTCGTTTCCCATCACCTTCTTCTTTACTCTATCCTCATCCTCAAACTTCTCCTACTCCTATAAGCAATAACATATCAAATGGATCACAAAAAGGAGAATCACAAAAGGGGAAAAGCTTTTTCAAATTTTCTTCACCTGTCAAAACTCCCACTAGTTTACCTGATACTATCAAATCAGAACTCAACGTCCAACGATCGAATCATCCGTACCGTACCCATCCTCTCGGTCAAATAACGAACGAGGTGATAGAGAAAAATGTGATTAGCCGGATGAAGGGAGCAGAAGTAATAGTCAATCCATTGGACGGAGGAAATATAAATCGAATGAAAAGTTTTCAAAAAGAAAATACATTATCACCAGCTATTTCAACGGCTTTATCAGGTCAAACTAATAGTCCATTAACACAATTACGTTTAGAACATGATGAAAGTTATTTTCCAAAGATGAAATCTAAAGCTAGTATAAGTAGTAAGATGACTTTTGGTATGAGTGATTTAGGTGGGATATTAGATGGTTATAAGATTACTTCTATTGATCGAAATGATAAGAATGATTTGAAAGATTTTTTGGATCAAGGTCCACCTGAAGAGATAGGAAAGACGTTTGTGGATTTGGAACAACAACCTTCTAAAAAAAGATTTTTCGGGAAAAGTGAAGGTTAGTCATATATGTCGTTGTCAAATGGATATGTTTTGGAAAGGAGGCTGATCATTAGGGAGACCTAAATCGAGCGAATCAGCTAGGATGGGAGGAAAGGGATATTTCTGATTAGTTTGACGATCAACGAAGTCTTGTGTTCATCATCCTTGTCACGTCACCACAATGGTGCAGACATGCGGCACATTACGATGGAAGGGAGACGTGGATTGTAAAGGAAATGAGACGGTGATTGTAAGGAAGAGGGGCGACGATTGTAAGGTGAAAGAGTAGGTAGCAGGATGAGCAGAGAGTAAGGGCCGGACCCTGGGACTTTATGAATACAATGGACAATGTATGAGATGCATGCATACTATGATCATTGAGATGGGTATCTGATAATGACTGATATATATGAATTAGACTAATGCTTCGGGTAGCATTCACAGAGGTGTAGATCACCTCTAGAAAGTACCCTATCATTCAATCATCGAAGCATCTAATCCCTACCAATCAGCAATCCACAATCTTCAAAGAAGAAAAAACTCACAAGACCATGTAAGAACATGTTAACATTACGCAACCTCATTTCAGCTTTAAAAGGAGGAGTCACGGGATTCCTTGCTCCTTGAACAGTATGTAAAATCTTGTCTCTTAACGCAGCTACGAGATTCGTTTGTTCTTCCTCTGGTGCATTGACAGCTAATCTAAACATTAGTATTAGTCATGGGCATGGGGGAGAAATGAAGATGACTGACGCAGCTGCTAAACCCCATACTTCCGCTTCTCGTCTTTCCATCTCTAAACTCTCCTTTTCACCCACTCCTTCCCCTCCGAGAAGATAAGCTCCAGGTCCGAACGCCGCCTTTTGCGCTACTGAAGCGGGGAACAATTCGGGTAGATGAGGAAGTATGAGATGGAGGAAATAAGCAAAGGTTCGCTGCCAGTGATCCACTTCTGCGGGATCTGGTCCAGGGATTGGCTGAGGGTTGTTCGGATCAGCTGGGGAAACACGGATCAGACTTTGAGCTCGGGAGAGAAGAGCCGTGAAAAGGGCTACACCGGGCTACAAAATCAGCATGCTTGTTTTCATTGGAACCGTGTACGGTTGGGACTCGAAGGGAAAAGATGACTGTTGTAACGATCGCAATGAGGGCAAAAATTCGCTGGGACGGTTAAAGTGAGGAAGAAAAACTCACTCTAGTCGACGCTACCTGCTTCAAATTTGGCATCTTCTGCGTACATATGTTGAGTAACCCCGCCACAAGACCCAGATTGCAAGTGCTGATCAACATGTCCATACCCGGCACCACGCATTGCAAAAAGCAATCCGTCTCTGCTTCCCTACGAGCACGCTCGACCCTGTCCATCTTATTGAGCAGAGATGCGTCCGCCACTGGAGGCGGAGGGGCATGAGCGATGACATCGAGTTGAGGGTAGGTAGCGATAAGTAGGGTGAGTAATGTGAGAGCTTGAGAATGAGGGAGGTGGCGTAGGACACGAGGCATGAGACGTTGTCCCTTGACAGCATTGAGTAGAGAGATGAAAGGGTGCGGTGTGCTAATCGTCAACTCGCCGATATTTGCCGAGCTCCTTTCACAGGGTGACTACACTGATCATGGCGAGGAAGAAAGTACGAGAAACTTACCTAACGTCCAATGGCTCCATCACCATCAACCGCCGCCAAATCTCTTCCACCTTTAACTGACACTCCTCATCCCATGCTTTCATTTCATCCGACTCAGGTGATGGCTGAGTACGTCGAAGCTGCTCCAACTCCAGCACGAGGTCGTACATTTCTTCCAAAGCGTACATGACCTGTTTGCGTGTAAGAGCTGGACGATGCACTCCAGATGTCTGGTTGAGAGCGCTGGTCGGTCGATGTTCAGGTTTACTACCGACAGGCACGGCGAGGACGGGTCGAGGTGCAGCGATACCACTTCGGCTCACACGTCCAAGTGCTCCTTTCAGAGTTGCTAGAAATATCAGCCTGTGTTCAACAGCGTACTTATCAAACCTACCAGAATCCATGGTTTTCTTGTGAGCAGCACGACTGTCTACCAGACGTTTGACTTGAGTGGATAACCGTTGCATCGTTTTGCTACCCATTTTGCCAAATCGGCTTTCAGTAGGTGCACTGACACTGAGAGCTGCACCAGGTGCAATCTGTACGACAGCCGTCTTCTCATCCGCCTGTTCAGCAGCCAACCGACTCCTTTTGATCGCCGAAAAAACCTGGGCGTAGAAATCTGACGTGTAAGGATCGTCGGTGACCAGCTGCGACAGCTGCATACGAGTGATGTAGTCTTTGTCGGATGAACCCATGGTGTGATTGTATCGTGACATAGACTCTATCTTCGCTGCGACGCGTTTGCGCAAAGCGTCTAGTCTTGCCAGCTCTTCCGGTGAGGGCTGGGGAGGAAGTGGTGGTTCAGAAGCGGGACCAAGATGGGCGGGAGGTAAATCCGGGCGAGGTGTAGCGCCGAGTTGCGGGAAGATGCTATCGAGTAGGGCGTGTCCAGAGGCGTAGCCTGAGCCAGGTAGGGGGACAGTTGGGGTCGAATCCGGTCGGGAAGGCGGAGACAGTAATGACTGAACCGGGAGCGAAGGCGGCGGTAGGATAGGTTGGGGTGGGAGTGAAGGCGGAGGCTGAGACATTGGGGGCATCGGAGTAGTGGTCATCATCTCCCTTTCGATCTCTTCCAAACTCAGAATCCTAGGTTGCTGCGGGGGTTGAGGTTGGTGTGTGAATGGTTCAAGATCTATGCCTGCCATCTCCGCTTCAATCTCCTCAAGGGTCTTGATATGTCCCACGGGGCGTTGGAACGTTTGAGGGGCAATTTGTCCTGGAGGAGCCACTGCTTCCGGTCTGGCGACTGAAAATGTAAGGCGATGATGACAAACTGGCAAAGACTACCTACCTGATGTCGGTTGCGTTCCCCAAAGTTGACTAGGAGCAACATTTGGCTTATTCCACAAACTCCCTCCAGCGGCGGCTGAGAGCTTGGAGGGTTTAGCCTTTGTGTCCACTGGCTTCTTAGGGACTGATTCTGTACATGTCAGCTGAAGATGACAATGTTCCGGGTAGCTCACTTGTAACACGAGAAGAATAAAAGTCATCCTCTGACATAGCAAAAGGATCAGCGACAGGTTTCGGCTTGTATCTCGATTGAGTTGATGCTATAGGTCCCCTTGGTTTACCTGAAGTCTTGCTTGGAGCTGCAGTTTGTTTGGGTGCTGCGAATTGAAAGTCTGTACCTGACATGTATCAGCTTGAGATCGGAACCAGTCAATAGATTTATAAACCCACCCAAACCTCTCGGATCAACACCAAAAGTCTCATGGTTGAAATCATCATGAGCGTCACGTAACGCGTCGTCCAAGCCTTGTCCCCAGGTATAAACCGCTACATCTTCTTCCGCGCCTTGACCGATACCAAAGGCTTGATCGACGTGATCAGCTTGAAATCCTGGGAAGGGAGGTTTGGATTGTGAAGATGAATCATTTCTACGTTCAGGAAGAGCAGAGTCGAAACCGAAGAAACCGCCTGACATTGTGGATGTGAGTTGTAGGTTGGAGGTTGGTTGTAGTAGTGTGTGGTTGGATCGAGTGAGAGACGGAGAAATTGGACTTAAGTTCGGGAATTCCGTTGACGCCGGCGTTGTTGGCCGGGTGGCGTTCTGACAACTTGCTCACTTTCCCTAAACACTCTCTCCTCTTTCACCTGAGTACGAGTAGTCGAGATACCACTTGCAGGGTCTTTCAAAGGACAGGATACCCGCTTTGAACCGTTCACATTTATACCACAAGCAAACTAGCGTCTCTTCTTTCAATTTGACTTCTTACATTTTCACAAGGGCAGACATTCAATATGCTTATCAAAACTTCCTACCGTGATCTCCCTACCGTCGCTGACGGTCGAGATGGTACCATGCGAGTGTTCATCATTGAGCCTTACGTACCGGATTATCCTCAGGCGAAATTCCCAGGATGTGTGTCAAATCTTTTGGATCCTTTTCTGCTGCGCTGACAGCTAGGTGTCGTCTGGTCTGAGATTTACCAAGTCAGCGCTCCTGTTGAACGGTCAGTCTCCTCCCTCTACTCTATCCAATAAAGCCGGAGATGATCAGCTATGGATCCAAGGTTGATATCGCAGCATGGCAGGAAACATCGCCAGTGAAGGATTCGTGGTCGCTCTTCCTTCCGTATATCACGAATTCCAAACTTCCGAAGCTATCCCCTATGACGATGAAGGTACCGACAGGGGAAACCGTTTCAAGGTGGGTCATATATCGACTGATCCTTTGCATATCGAGTAGAAGACTGATTATCAAGATCGAAAAGACCATCGAGGCGTACAACGAAGATGCAAAACTCACTGTGGATCTGTTAGTATCGTTGCCCAGCTGTAACGGACGTATCGCTTCCACTGGAATGTGTCTTGGAGGTCATCTTGTGAGTCTTCCGTCGTATTATGAAGTCAATCGCTAATGACCCAGTCTCTCAGAGTAAGCAGCTATTGAACAAAGCTTGTGTTCTAGCTAATTAGTAAGTGTGCATTCGATCCTAGAGTCTTAGCTGCGTTCTGTTTCTTTGCTACCGAGTGAGTCTCCCATTCACTTCGTACCCCTCCATATTAACCCTTTACTCACAATTCAATCCTTGACTCTTGGTAGTATACCACAACGGTTATTGTGTATGTCAAGATAGGGTCATGCTGATCTCAGCGTACACTCTGCCACTCTTGGTAAAGGCAAGAAAGATGATACTCTCATTCGTGTGAAAAGCGGTGAACTATCCAATGGGACGGAAATCATGATGGTGTTCGGTAAACAAGACACCCATGTAAGTCGTGAAGGAAGGACTTTGATCCGTGAGACTATGGAAGATTCCGGTGTCATCTTTTCTGTAAGTGATTAGTTCATCCAATCTTTCTTCCTGGTTCTCTTCCCATACCAGCACAGATACAAACTCATCGCCTCAAAGTGAAGGTCTGAAACCGATGTGTGCATCCTCACTGCTTGCATTGCCCATCGTCGCCCAACACCAAACTTGACTGGTCCTTCAATCTTAGGGTATATGTTTCCAAGAGAAAGAAGAATATCCATTCATAACATCCAGTTCATCGAAGTTCAAGCTCAACACGCTTTCGTACGTGACGAAGCTTCCAAAGGTCGTTGGGACGCAGCCTTGACACGTTCAATGTTCCGAATGATGATGGAACTTTTCAACCGTACCGTCGGTCGTGATCTCGGTCCTAGGGTCGCATTAAACGAAGAACCAGAACATGTCTGTTGATGTGCATCATCTCATCAATTAGAATCACAAACCAAAGATGAGAATGCAATGTTTCAAATTGAAAATATGATACATCTTCTAAATTACTTTCATTCTTATGATCTATGCTCGGTTATTTCTTTTCTTCCTTTACTTCTTGGGTGGGTATCTATATGTTCATGCTCGATCGCAGAAAGAAATACTAAGGGGAAGAAACTATGAAGAAGGCCAATCACCAGACATCAAACTTCCTCCTGCTATTGGTATATTTGGTAAAACTGGTGTTACCGCTGATCTAGATTTTGACCATTTCTCATTTTCCCCAATATTCGTCATACTTCTTCCCGTTTCATTACTCGTATTATCCTTCTTACTAACTTCAGTACTGACACTTCTCCAACTACCCGTAACACTTTTACCTAAAGTCGCGACATCCGCCATTCCTGAAACCGATGATTCTGATCTTTCTAACCCTGCATTCGACATGTCGGAGCTCCGAGAAGTCATGCCATTAATTCCAGTATCGTCTGATTTTCTAAAGTGGTTATCTTCTGATCGTGTTTGACTCGCTTTCGTATTTTTAGAAAATACTTTCATACTTTGTTCTCTTGCTAAACCTCCATAAACATCTTCATGTATCTCTCGACTTTTTCTTTTTCCAGGTTGAGAATACGCCATGACTGGAACCATTACCGAACTGAAACTTGATCGAGTTGTTTCTGGTGAAAAATGTGAAACTTCAACTGTGGCCGTGGGTGTATTGGCAAGTGCGAGAACATCATCATCCATCCATAAACTTGGATTAAGTGCGTCTTTACTTAAACTTAAATCTGGTGGTCGATGTGTTTTCTTGTTCAGATTTTGTTTTTCTTTCGATAATCTTTTCTTTGATGATTCACCAGAAGATGAAGATGACGATGATTCAATTTGATGAGGTTTAGGAGGAGTGAGTTGTCGAATATTAGATTGAGAATTTAATGAATTTCTTTTCTCCCTCTCCTTTTCCTTTTCCTTTGCTTCTACTTGATTTCGTCTCGTTTCTCGTGGATCCTGATATAATGTCGAAGGTGGACTATTTTGTCTTGGTGGTGGTCTTAATCCTCCCATACCAACGGAATTAACAGTAGCCGCTATAACAGCCGAAGGTAAATCTTCAGCATCAGGATCGAATATAGTTTTAACCCATTCCATTCCTCTTCTACCTTCATCTCCTTCCTCATCTTCATCACGTTCATTTGCTCTTTTTCCAAATCCACCTCCTTCTTCATATCTACCTCCATTTCCAATTCCTACCAAATCTCTAGATTTATCATCTTCTGACCATCCCATCCAATTTAATCCATTATTATCCCTTTGTCTCATTTCTTGCATTTCTCCCGATTCAACGTTGTTCTCACTTGGCAGAGGAGGGAATCCCGGGATATTGATAAATTGACTTAATCGCCCCAAAGTACTTTTCGATTTATTTGATCGACCAGATTTACCAGAAGTACGGGAAGCAGTTGTAGATACGGATATACGTCGAAGAGGACGTGAAAAGTTTATACCTTTTTTCGTACGACGTGATGGGACGGGAATAGGGGCTATTTGAGCAGTGGTGGATGGAGAAGGCAAAGGACGGAATTTGAAGAATGAAGAAATCATTGAGAGTGTGGAAGGTGGACGAGAAGGGAGATCTTTAGATTTGAGATCGAGAGTGAGCTGAAGGTAAGCGAGTATTCTTCTTGACATCTGAGATCATATGAAAAGCACACTCCTCTGGTTAATGCATTTCAAGTCGACCTCGACATTCTCACTCAAGAAGGACGATAGTGGAAAAGGGAATCGATGTGAGATCAATGTGTAAAGGAAACATCACTCACCCTCAATTTCTTAGGTGGAAGATTCATCCAACCATCTTCTTTCTCCAAATCAATCTTCTCCGTGCCATCCCCTTGCCCATTCTCGACCATTCGACTTCTTCTCCTCTCATTTCCTTCATGACCTTCCTCTCCATCCAACCCCTCACCTCCCTCCGCTTCCAACTCTTGAAATCTTCTTTCCCAATATTCATCACCCCAAGTCTGTGCTTCTCTCTCTCTTCTCTTACAATATCTTCTCAACGTGATGAACAAGAAACTTCCCAATGCTAACAAAACGAAAACTCCTACTATCGTACCTGTTATCACTGCCCCATTGGTAGATTTATGACTTCCGACTTTATCAGCTCCTGATCCATTTCCTCCATTTCCTGAACTTCCACCACTACCTCCGTTTGCCGGAACAGACGAATGAGAATTAGAGGTTGTAGCGGTGATTGTTTCAGTACCAGAGACGATCTCTTGTCCTTGTCCTTGTCCTTGTGTCGTACTTCCACTCCCTACACTTATCTCACTTGCCGGGTTCGATTGGATATTTTGGACTGGTTGAATAGAACTGATACCTGCTTTAGGAGTGTTGGTGGTGTCTGGACCGGCCGGATTGGTGGGAGATGGTATGGGAGAAGAGGAAGAAGAAGGCATAGTCACCGCTCCTGAAAATTGTGCAAAGCCTAAAGTCGATTGACTTGAAGAATGCGTCACGTCATCTGCACCAGGTGGACAAGTGGACCATTGTGTAGAGACAGGTACGAGAGAAGTGACCAAAGTACTGGTGGTTATAATTGTAGGTACAGTTCTGGTTTCGGTGGGAGTTACGGTATATGGCTGGAGTGTGGAAGTGGGAACACAAGCTAATCCGAAAGCGTCACATTTCGAAGTGGCCAAGGTTGAATACGATACGGTAGGTGCGCCGAGAAAAGTTGAGAGAAAGGTAGTGGAATAAGATGTTATAGAGGGTATTTGGGTAGTTTCGTAGACTGTTTTTGTGGGTGTTGCGACACAAGCCATCTTGAACAGGTTGTAAATTCTTCCCTAAGACACAAGATCGTGATTCAACAAAGAGAACCCGACGTTTCTTTGAAGATAAAGAGTTACCCAAACCTCCTATGGGCTCACTTCAAACTAAGACGTTTTCGACGCCGAACAAAACACGTTATCTTGTTCTTGCAAAACCATCGACACCATGAAGTGCTCCTATCGTTTAAGACTATCGATCAGTCGTTCGTCGGTATTCTATCCCCGTGTCAAGACGACTAGCTCAGAGTTGAAGTACGTTAAGCTGTCAAGAGGAACAAAAGCTTGAGCCAACGTCCACACTGACTCACACCCCATCCCAGGCATCAGAAGCCCATCCTAGTCCGACAAAGGAGTCTGCCAGACCATAAGACCGGCAAGAGGGGGTCCCTCTGTCAAAAGGGCGTTCGTCTGTCCAGGGGAGACCTTGGAGGTAAGGGGGTATGCTATCAAAGGTCCAAAGGAGTGTAAAATTTCTTGTAAAGGGTTGTTAGAGACGCATGTCTCGGTCAGGGAGATACCTTTGACTGTTTATTTTAGTGTGGGAAGCTTCCCACGACGACTTGGTCATCCTTCAAATTCGACATGATACTCCGGTGTCCACCCCACGATCGAGAGCGATGTTATGTGAGGGTCAAGTCCGTTAAATTGTCTGAGATCTGCGACATAGGGGTATGGTCAGTAGGAATGGGGAGGAGGTACCTTTCTAACGGCTGGAGTTGCCGGTAGTAAAGGATTGTGAGTGATGATCGAAATGCTCTTGAGAGTTGCGACTCACTAGTGCGGGGCATTAGTTTGAGAGGAGTGTCAATAAGATAAGGTGTGAGTTTGATGAATGAAAAACTCACCGGAAAGAGAAGGTAAAGTGTGAAGGAGATCATGGAAGGATGAAGAACTTAGCGAGGAAGGATGAGAGATTGATGCTGTCTTCACATAATGATACGGGATCTATGATCATTCAATCATTCTTTCTGAAACGGGTCGTTCGGTGAGTTCTTGTATGTATCGCGAGATGAAACGAGATAAACTATCGATACACCGAATCTGTCGTGTATGTATTCGCAGTCGGAGTAGGAAGTTGTTCGATTGATATATGTTGAGCAGGTAGTCGGTTCAGACATTAAAGGGCGAAAAGATGTTAGTAGTATACGCAGTCTTGCGATGAGGAGTCGAAATGTCGGAGTCTGGCCAGAAAACCCTCAGCGACGGCTGGCAGAAGCGTAGGCCAACACTTGGAAAGGCCTGACCCATAATTCTCCACCTCCGTAGCCGACGCAGGCATGATCGTCGTCGACCAAGCATTCTGGAAGTGAGTCACGAATTTCATTGAGAGACCACACAGAAGTGACGACTTACTGCCTGGATGTTGTCCGCTATGCGGTCAGCGTCATCTTCATCAAGAGCCAACGTATCCAGTCAAAACTTAACTGAGATATCACTGGAAGGGAAGCACGCCAAACGATGATACTTTATTAGTGAGGTTGACGAGAATAGTATCTAACTGACCTCTCATACTCCCCACGAGCAACTAACAACGCTCTACCATCTCTTTCCCTCCCTCCTTCTACAGGCTGCCACCCGTCCACGGTTGCCCTTTGCCCATGATCGAAAGACATCCATTTGATGATATCCGGATCGGCGGGACCACATAGTACTTCGTAGACGTCAAGAGAATGTTCCGAGCCGGCGTAGGAAATGGAAGCGGAGTCGACTAAGTGGATGCCTGCTCTGATCCAAGTGAGCTTAAAGTTTCAATTTCTGTAGCTCATCACTGGATCTACCGTTGCCTGATTCGACGAAACGAGCTGGTCGAGACGAGGAAAGATAATAGTAGTGGTGCGTCGGAGGAGTGACGAGAAGGAAAAGCGAACCGAATCCCTCCTAGGGTCAAGGAGCTGGAACACGGAAATCAGTCGTCCAGGATCAACAAGACGGGACCGAGGGTACATCCCGAACACCCCGATACCAGATGACATAGAAGATCGTGAGAGGAAATAGAGTGAAGTGATCACATACACGGAGACGACGGGATGAGAGTGAGATGAAACATAATATTAACCGGCGCGAGATGGGTTGCCGTCAAGAGAGAGAAAGTGCTAACGGTCTAGCACGAAACTGAGAAGCCAACACCCACTTGCCCAGACTAGGTAGATCGACAGAAGAGATGTCGATGTGACCGGTCGCGCGCCTATTGTAACGGTACTGGAAACACGATGACTAAGTCGCAGGTTTGGTAGAACTTGATGGAAGTCTGGTAGAAGTCTAGGGGTCTCTGGTGCTAATGGATCGTGTCTCCTCTGCAATCGATGTAGCCAAAGAATGATATTGAAGAATCAGCAAAGTTGGTACTCTGCTGATTGTACTATATACTGTCTATGGTATCCTTGTCCTTGTCCTCTCCCTGCTGCAAGCGTCTACGTACATACTCAGACAGGTGAAAAACCGCTTTTGAGCAAACCCAGTGGGGAAATCTCGAAAAGGGGAAAACCCGTCCCTACCTAATGCAGCCTGCCTCCAACTCCCGCTTTCCTCCATCCTAATCCGTCAAACTCGATGGGGTTCTCTCGATTCATTGTTTCCCCGTAAGACCTATCAACCAGAACATGTTTGTCACAGTCATTGTTTCTTCTCCTCTACTGACCCATGGTCGACAAACCTTGGCTAACTAAGTTGTACTGGGGTGTCAATGTCTCACAGAGACAGGGTAGTTGTTGGGGAACCACGGCTAACTACGCCGTAGTAATGTGCCAAGTGGTTAACAATAAGATGATCTTCCCCGTGGTACGTCGAACTGCTTGGTGGTAGCTCTCCCTAACTCGTTGGTTGTACCTGTTGGATATATCTCTTGCTCACAACAATCAAGGATTGGTAAAGAAGTTCAGCAATCTTGTGAACTATCTATACCTCTCTGCTCCTCTCATAGAATGTCTCTCAACTCCTGCACTGCCCCGCATTTAGTCTGTCACGCAGCGCTGTGTCACCTCCTCCTTTCCCATCAAACAAAGTTCCTTTGGACATCAGTTTGCTGTCAACGATCCTGTTCTCATGAACTTCACCACCCATGAGGGTATTAGGAGGCCTGACAAAGTTAGTCATGTAGGAAGTTAGGAGGATGCAAGGTTGGGGAGATGCAAGGTTAAGGAGATACAAAGTTAGGGAGGCATAAACTTTGTTAGGGGCAAAGTTTGCGAGGTACGAAGCTCGGGGCTTTGGGTTGAACGAAGTTCTGCGTTGGCAAAGTTAGGGAGGAACAAAGTACTTAAGGGCCAAAGTTCCCAGAGATCTTTGACGATCTCTGGTTGTTGTCTTAGTGATAGAAGTTGGTGAAGCACGAAGTTAATACACCCCGGAAGTTATTGTCACCTAATTCATATCTCAAAGAGAAAAACCATTGAAGGTCACAGCCCACAAAGCTATTGGCCGTTGGTCTTGAGAAGTAAACCAAATCAACCCTGTGACACAGTCCTCCTTCATCCAACTTTGCCATACCTCGCATCCTCTGCTCACTTCGCTGCAGTTCGCCTTGCTTCCACTTACTTCCACTCTCCACCCTGCATTGCTTGATCTCCTTCTCCAAACTTTGCCGCACTTCTCCGCTAGGCAGGGTTGTTGTTACTAATACTCCCTAGGTTCTTGAGGAAGCAAACAACGGACGGGCATTTGGGGATGTAGGCCAAAATGCGTCAAAGTAGGCCTGAGCGTAAGAGGGTAGAACAATTATCCAGGAGAAGTACATATTAGTAGCTGAGAAGATTGCTGACAAATTTGAGCCATCCTTGATAGTTGTCAGTAGTAGAAGAAAGATAGAGACAGCTACACCTACATTGAAAAACATCCGCAGCAGTAAAACCCACAGACAGAGCAACGTTGCCAAAGTATGTTGTAGTAGCACCCTTTTTGATGGTGCCACTGTATTGTTGGTTGAAACAATGATTCCTGAAAGTACAATGTTAGCTCAGGTTGTCGACCATTGGTCTGATAGAAAGAAGTTGTACAACAGTCGTGACACCCTGGAAGCACAAAGTTAGCCAAGGTCTGTCAACTGAGTCGTGACAGCAGAGTGGTGACAGTGAGTGTCACAAAGGATGTGACAAGTCGAGCAAAAGTTGGGAAAGGGTATTTAAGCAGCAATCAGCGGTAGAGTTAACCGCCGATCAATAAGCTTTTTCATCACAGTGGTTTAGAGCACTGTTCCGCTGGGCACTGTTATATTGTGCCAATGCTGGTTAGTGGGTCTCGTGACAGTGAGATAGCAAACTGATCCGTAACAGAGCTTGGATGTGTGATTCTCAAGGTGAAACTACCTACTATGTAGTAGGACGTCAACAATTGTCATTGAGGATCTTGTACTTTATCCACTTTGCTGACTTTTTGATACATCTATTTGGCCATCTTCATAGAGGAGGACATCACACCACATACATCCACATCTTGCCATGTCTAATGAGATCTATTGAGTTCAACCCAACCTGCGAGAGAGTTGTTGTGTTTCCAGTACCATTACAACATCCTCACCACCTGTCTGTCCCTTCTGCGAGGTGTGGGAGTCGAACCACTGACCTGGTGATTTTGAGGCAAGCATGCAAACAGGTAGGACTATGAGTTTGAAGGAAGTGCCACACTAGAAAATCCCTCGGAGTTTGCTCCTTTTTTTCCAGGAACGTCTGGGAAAGAGCCCGTTATATACCGAGCTACGCCCGGGATGAACGCCTCCTTCCCACCAGGCTCTGGCGGTATAAAGGATTTGACCATTTTCTTCCCTGCCGACGGGTAGAGCATCGTTAGGTAAGTGCTCACCCCGTTCAACCAATTTCCACATGACTAGAGGTTTGACGCCTGTTGTGTCTGTCAAGTCAGCGATGGACCCATTTGAGAAATCTCGCCTCGACAGTGAATTCGCATATGTTTTAATGGAGGGACAGTAATTGAAGAAACGAGGGGGTTGTAGGCACGAGATTCAGAGAAAAAACTCACTTTTGTAAAACTCTGTTCTGGCCAAAGCCGCTTTATACCATTCATCCTTCCCACCTGTCTCCCCTGACAGTCTGAACAAATTCCTCTTTCTTAATTCCACCCTCTCAATTATCGAATAAGCCCAAACACCTATCCCCCCGACTCTCCAAACTTTTCTACCTTCCAATTCATTCTTCAACCCTTCTTCTTCCTCCGCTTGATGTTCTTCTTCCCTCAGAATTAGATACCTCAAACTTTCACTAGCTCGAGAAGCTAGGAAGGCTCTGTCCGTATTCATCTGACGGCGATCTTCATCTATGGAGGATGAAGCTGTAGGACGGACTGTTTCTCCAGAAGAGTTGGATTCTGAACGACTTTCACCTGGGGATATTCCTGATCCAGAGCTCGAGCTTGCGCTTGGATCGGAGTGGAGTTCAGATGCCATTTTGATATTGTTATTTGATGAGCTCTCGGCGTATTGGGTGAAAGGAAGTTGAGATTCCAGATGGTGGGCTGGGTGGTGTGAAGAGACAATTTCGGGTGTTGGACTTATTATTTGTGCTGGGGTGTTGAGGTTGGAAAATTGGGATAAATGACTACTTCCGATAGGTGTCCAAAGATGAAGGTTCAAAGATGGCTTGATGTTAGTGATGAATCTTTCGCTAGTTTCTCTTTATCATTTCCATCATTCAAGCATTATTCACAAATGAACGTATGAGTTTTTGTCGATTGAAGTGATACAGTCAAGATCCGATCCCCTGGGAAAGCTCCTGTCCCACACATCCACGTAAATCACTCTGTGTGAGACACGAGTGATTTGGGAATGTACTCGTACACATCTGAATAAAGGCAGTCAAAGCCGGGATGTTCGGATTCCCGATTCATGTCCACACATCTATCAATAACCAAACGAGAGAGGATGGAGGGAGGGGAGAGATAATTCTGGTGGAAGGGAACCAAAAAAAGAAGAAGAAAAAAACATACAAGAGATTCCGAAAGATTACCACCGAAATGATCTTGCTCACACCTCCACCAAGTGCCTTGAGAATGAACCACCATTCCGATTGTATACCTGGTGTTCTCTCTCCATACTGGGGGAGGTTGACCAGGAGTAGAGACCATTGATTGGTCGTGCATGTTGGGGGTGGATACTGTCGTTGTCGAGTGCCGAGTGGTGCGATGGGGAGTTTTTTTTCATTTCAAAAGAGACTAGTTAGGGGTCTGTGCGGCCGTACGGGAATCAATGAGGTCAGGGCTTTTCAGGGTTCAAGGGTGCTTGCTTGCGTCATCATGCGTCGAGACCAACAGGGGGCTCCGCATGACGAGTGGCACATCTTCACATACTCGTACTCGTACTCCCAGTAGCTGGAGTACTCTACGAGTAGTATTGCTCGGCAGGCCACAGCCGGACCGCGGACCGTACAGTAAGTGGGGCGCGTCATGTCAGATGACGCGTCATGCGAGAGGACATGATACATCGTCATGCGGGTATGGATACAAGAGGTACTACAGTATATGCGGCAATGCCGCATGCGGACATGTGAGCTCATGGTTGTCCTGAAGCTCGTTTTTTAGCAGCGTCAATCTCCATCTTTCTCTTTTTGAACAATGTATGTTGAGGTCCCGTTTTCCCCGTCCCTCTTTGTCGTTTATTCGCACGATCTTCTCTCGAAAGTTCTTTACTGCCACATCAGTCATCTTCTCCGAACGAAATCACAATCAACTACTTTATTGTATCGAAGAAAAGGAGACCGAATGAAGGCAACCAGGCCAAGCAAAAGAAGGGAGCATTTAGAAAGGAATATAACTCACTTCAAACTCTTATTCTGTTCCTTGTAACTCAAATTCTGACCTCCACTCAAATGTTCCAAAGGAGCCATAAACCTTTGAGGTTGTGGTAAACCCCCCGCATTTGTTGACAAGCTCGGTTGAGCACCAGCGGCTTTACGTTCATGTTTACCTTGATTTAAACGCATATAATGATCTTGCGTTTCCCAAGCGTTATCACCGGTATTGAGCACTTCTTCCAATAAAGAGATCTGTTGTTGTTTAGTTGGAAATACGAGATTAGGTAATTGATCTAATCCGTGAAGCTCGGTAATGACTTTGAATGCGTATCCCTGAGTGTGAGCTAATGTGGTCTCAGTCGAGGGTGTTCACTGAGGTGAAGAATAAGACACATCATGTTATGGCAAATGAAGAATGACCTACCTGATCAATCAAGAATCCCTGTCTTTTACTGCTATAATACATTTCCTGCGTATCTGTTGAAACTAAAGAATAGAAAAAAGCATTAAAACCTTCATCATTCCTCCTCTTCGCTCTCAATATCCTTCCTAATCTCTGTGCTTCTTGTCTTCTCGAACCGAAATGTGATGAAATCTGAATCAAACAAGTAGCTTCTGGTAAATCTATACTAGTATCTCCCACTTTTGATAAAAAGATAGTGTTGAGATTAGGATCATGTTGGAATCTTGCCAAGATTCTCAATCTCTCCCCTTCAGGTGTTCCACCGTGAATAAAAGATTTTCCCAATTTCTTTGCGTAGGCTTCAAGGGCGTAAACATTGTCGGAGAAGACAATGTTTTTGTCCCCTCTTGACTCGTGGTAGTTGATGAGGAATTGACAAGCTTGAATCTTGTTTGGGTTCATGGCGTGTAAGAGGATACGTTTACGGGATGGATTTCGGAGGTATTCTCGGTAGAATTCGGGGGTCATGGGACACCATACTTCTGCGCACTGAACGATTAGCTGATGGTCACTATGCTCTAGCCGTCTAGACGCCCAGTTCCAGCATGCCGATATTGAGGAATTGGACGTACCTGAACAGTAGCGATATGTCCGTTTTTCGCCAAATCCATCCAATTGGCTTCGTATAATTTCGGCCCCACGAGATACCCCAGATCCTTGACTTTGTCGTCTTCACGAACCAGTGTCGCTTCCTGTCAGCTATCCACCTCCCAAGATTGTTCACCCGGACAAATCTCGTATGTAGAACGTGAAAGACCCCGACTGCGTGCTACCAGCTCACGACTTGAATACCAAAGCTGAAGTGAAATACGGAAGGTGACGATATGGATGGAAAAAGGGAAGATGTAGAGACGAGAGAGTCTAGAACCCACCGGTCAAACCCAACTTCGCATGCACTTTGAAATTGTTCAGACATTTTCGGAACATCTCAGCAGGAACGACATGGACCTCGTCCAACAACAAGAAACCCCATTCCCGACTTCGTAAGAACTGCATCATCTTTTCGGCGTCATGTGCCCTTTTACCCGTTTTGGCAATCATGGAATAGGTCGAAATGACGATACCAGCCGGGCCGGCAAACTGGGATCAGTGACGTACAATGAATACCTCTCATGAAAGCTTTGGAAGGGGGAACAGGATCGGTTGGTCAGAAGAGAAGCAAGCTTACCATTTCCTTCTCGCCCTGAGTAAAGGTCGATATTTGTCTTTCGGAAATGTTCGAGAAATGAATAAATTGTTGTTTCCACTGTGCGACCGAAACGCTGCATTTCAGCGTTGCCGTCATTGGTCAAATATTCGAAGGATTTGATGATGTCCAGGTGAGGTAACTCGACCAACAAGTGGTTGGATAGGAACCTGAGAGTGGAGGGAGCTATTGATGAGGAACAAGTCCAGAAAGGACAGAGGGACGAGTAACGTCAGCCCACTCACGCTGAAGTGCACAGAACCAAAGTGGATTTCTTGATTGTACACGCCGCGGTGATACCGACCAACGTCTTACCTGCTCCACAGGGCAAGACGATGATCCCACTCCTCGCACGACCATTCCCAAACATCTTAGCTAGTGAAGTTTCCTGATATGACCTGATAACGGTCATAGGTTTGAGTTGAATGTCTAGATTGGCATTGATCGTATCGTTGCGGAAATCGTATTCTTCCAAGGCAGGAAGATCTATATCTGTACATCTACGTCGTACTACCTAGATGGTGTCAGCATCCTTCATGATATTGCCCGTAGCCCACCGCTCACTCCCCAGCTTTGGCTTTATGTTGTTATCGTTCGTGATAAGAGGTTAGGAATATGCTTCTGTGGACGAATGGGGAGAATGATGTGGAACCCAAAATCACTCACTTCCATGCTCTCCCCTGCCACCTCAAACGAATGAACCTCATCTTCCTCCACAATCTCATCGGTCTCCTCTACCCCGATGACAGCCCCTATCACATCATCCCCTGGTCTTCCTCCCGCACGCGCAACCGTATTCTCCCCACCCACATCTCCTTTCTCCGCCCTCCTCGCTTCTTCAGTTCCAGGTATGAGATAATCACGTTTCGCAACCGGACCACGTTCCATTCCGAATACTTGTTGACCTTGTTCATCCTCCCTCGCCACTCGACATGGACCGATGACAGGATCATTCAGTAATACTTTCAAGAACTCAGGAACACTAGACTCGAGAAAGTATCGATTATGCTTTAAAACAAGTCGAATTTTCCCATATGATGATGTCCATTCGGTGATTCTGACCCGTAATTTTTGAGGGAGGGAGATTTTAGAAAGACGATCTAAGACTTCGATGATATCTTTAGTTTCGAGTCCTACGGACATGGCAGCATGTAAAGATGGTTTGGTGATTTTGTATTCGTGTATCAAAACAGGTCGAGAGACTGGTTCAGAGATGGCTATGAGAAAATCTTGTGCGGCTTGAGCTAGGGGAGCGAAAGCTTCCAATATTCTTGATATGTCAGCTTGTCCACTCCAACTCGACATGTCCGACGTTCTCCCCATGTCAAGATTCAAGCTTCAATGTGAGGTATCAGAAGCAGGACTGGAGAGGTAGATGTGTATGTTTATACTCACATATTCCCATACTCATCCACCCATAATGGCCTTGCAGCATGATCCTTCTTCAAATCCTGATTCGAAAAATCTGCACCTCCTAGAGTATTACCCCCATCCTCATTGCCCATCAGATAATCATCCTCTATAGCTCCCTCTGTAGGATGTTCCGCAGCAGCTTGAATGGACTGGTTGATAGCGGAGAGATTGAACTTGAGAGTGATCTTCTTCGATGGACCGGCGGCGGATGTGACGGCTTTACGAGGAGCGCGACGAGAATGTGGTACATAGTCGTCTTCCGATGCTGAGCCTGACGACTCAAAGTAGTCGAGAGAAGAAGCGGGGGACGGCGAGCGAGACATGGGTGTCAAAGTGTGATCTATACGTTCGCCGTCCCGAATGGTGGATGAAGAGACAAGTGAAGAGGAGGTGTGTGAATTCTTTGACTTATGAAAGGAGCTTGAAAGGTGGCGAATTCGTGAAGATTTTGATCCCGCGAGTCAGTCGAATGTTCAGAGTAGTGGGATGGTAACGAGATGTTGAGTGTTCCCATCACCGCTGCGTGAATGTGTGACCAGCTGGGGTTCAGATTTGCTGCCTATTGAAACAAGAATCCATTCAGGATACTGTATCTAGACGATATAAACCGACAATCAACCATTCGACTTGAACATTCATCCAATATGCCAGCCAAAACCACCGCTCCTTCCTCTCCCGTCATAGAGGCCACACAATCGACGATAGACCCCAACCCCGAACCTCCTGAATCATCTGGTCCCCATCTAGCTCATGACGAACCTATGGACGCCGATGTTCCCGGTCCGTCAAATACATATCTACCCTCTCAACCAACTCCACCTCTTCCCTCTTCTCGTCCTCTACCCAAGCATATAACATCACCGGAAGATGACGAGATTATAGAAGAATTACCAATTTATCTCTCCGCTTCATTATTCCCCAATTTAGCACTATTCCAATATCCTCTCGTTCAAAAAGCTCTCTTGTCTTCATGGGCGAGGGAAAGAAGAAAACATATATCTCTAAGAGTCAAGGAAGATGTGGGAAGGGTTGAAGTGGAAGTACCTGTCAATGAAGATGAAGAGTTTTGGAGGTACGAGAAAGCTTCTGAACTGACTTTTACGACGGATGTGGGGAATGAAGATGGGGTCGTCGGTGGGAAAGAGGGGAAGAAAGGGAAGAAGAAGGAGAAATGGGGTGAAAAGATGAGGTTGAAGAGTGAGATGTTACCACATAAATCGGGATATTATTGTGGTGTGATACATGAGGGTGAGTTGTTCAATGTCATCCTTCCCCCTCATACTTCACTACAAAGTGAAGGTTACCCTCAACACGCCGCTCTCGTGAGAAATGGAGGTAGGAACAGGAACACGAAGGGTTGATTGTCTGGGTCACGAAATTGATGTTCAGGTGCTCTTCATTTGCATCCCGTATCTCAACAAATGCAACTTCGTACTTCCCTCGCGTACTTAGATGACTTATCTGCTCCGTCTAAAAAGAAAGAAGAAGAGGAAGAAGAGGCCAAGAAGAAAGGCAAGAATGTCCGACCGGCTCCTGTGAAAAAGGTATGTATCGCAGACACACAACATCTCATCTTTACCTCATCTCGCTTTTGTGCTCTGTCAGCACCAAATGCTAATGGACAGTTGCTGGATGACGAAGATAATGATGGATCAGGTTCTATACGTGACTTCCGTAAGAGGATGCAGGTCAACGAACAACGTGAATCTTCAGATCCGTGGGTTGCGTACTCCTGGGAAGATGGTTTGGTCGGTTGTTCCTCTCCTGCCCGCCATTCCCACCCCGCTGTGCTCCGACTTTCGCGCCTAAGACATCAAATATGGTCTGGTAGCAAACAATACACAATGAGTGATCTCACTGACAAAACAGTCGGACAAAGTGGTCAGAGCTTACAATCATCTGATCACACCTATCGATAAACGTAAATCATTGGAATGTACCACTCGACCACTTGATTATCTCGACAAGACTTCCATGAGCTAAGTATGAGGATCTTCATAGATTATTGGTAAAGGTCATGATTTATCCGTGCATATGATTACTTTCAACTCGTATTGTAGCTTGTAGCTCGAAGAAACCGGTCCGGTGCCGCCTATTCCCCGATCCAAAGTCGTGCACAAGCCGTCCTGATGACCTGTCACCCTCTTGGAGACTTTGACATCCGACAAGCACGTCCTATTTGCTGATTTATATCATTCCTCTTGATCCTTACGTGCTGTATAAAAAAATCTCTTCAAAGCCCGGTTGAAATAGACTTAGGATAATAGAACGGAAGCAACAATATTTCAGGTGAAATCATCTCCGGGCCCCACGGATCGATCCACGGACTAAGCTTTAATACCGCATGTCAAACCCCCAACAATATCCACTTTCCCCCCATCAACTAACCAAAGCCCTCACTCCTCTCCTCCATTCTCACTCTCCAACCACAACTGATCCCCCTTCTTACCTTGCAACACACACACAACCCTTTCACTCCCCCCATACTTCCCGATCCACTTCCACCTCGGCCACTTCCCAAATCTCCAGCGAGAGTGTTACTTTCCAAAGGGATATAAGGATCATGTCAGGTGTATCAAATGGGATTCACTCTCATGATGGTGGCATAACTTCTCATACTCATGGTGGTGAATGGACTCCTGAACATGGACATACTCATGAACATTTGGAACATGCCGGTGGGTTTTTATCTTGATATGTTCGGGGTACAATCTTTGACGTGATGTCTTTTCCAATTTCATGCTCCTGATCTGCCGCTGCTCATCTGTCCTTGTAGTCTCCAAACTGATCAGTTCTTGCTGATGTTGGTTTAAAAGAGTAGAAACTGAGAGGATGATCAGATTGGACGTTAGTGAATCAGTAGGGATCAACGCGGTTGAATCACATTCCGATTTCTACATTCCGAGGAAAATGTTGGCCTTTTGGACGCGCACAGATGAGAGGTCTATTCTGTTGCTCATTAGCTGCTCATATGAGCAAAAACGAAGGTGGAGGCGCTGATTAGTAGGGAAGTTTTCCGAGAGGGATATGCCGGATTATTCAGGGAGAGATTGGAAAGAAAGGGCGTTCACCATAGGAATAGGAGGGTGAGTTGGTTATTCCCCCTTTACATCCCACTGGCCACTGGCCTTTACATCATATGTCATAGTTCTTTAGAAAACGGGAGTCTATGATATGTTTCGGAGCGAGGTTTTGATTGAACATCCGGTGTAAGAGCGTGTTGGTGGAGATACCAGTGTGGGAGAGAAGAACTGTGTAACTCATAGTTGAAGAAGGATTAGCACTGACAGACAGTCCGGTAGGATCAGGAAAGACCGCATTGTTGTTGGCACTTTGTAAAGGTCTCCGAGAGGATTATAATATCGGTAAGTTCTTATTCCCCTACATGTCTTGAATTTGGACTATGGCATACGACTTTTTCTACTTCACCTTGGTCATTATATATGTGTCACCTTTTCTTCCCTCGTAACCCCCCTCCGAACCCCTCCTCCCTCACTTCTTGAGTCTTTCAGAATAATCTATGCAATTGTGTTACGCTCGATTAGACGAGCTTTGGAGAAGTCACGTTTACGAGTCATGACACACAGACGGAGTAGTCGGCAGAAAAACAGTCATCAGCTAACTGCCAGCCGCCGTCACAAACGATATATTCACTCGTGAAGACCAAGAATTCCTCATCCGTAATGAAGCTCTTCCAGCCGAACGAATCAGAGCCATCGAGACTGGCGGATGTCCCCACGCGGCGATAAGGGAAGATATATCTGCCAATTTACATGCGTTGGAAGAATTACAGGAGAGTTTCGGATGTGAATTGTTATTTGTCGAAAGTGGGGGAGATAATCTTGCTGGTAAGTTAAATCACCTTCTGACTTTTCCTTTATGAACTTTGTTTCTCGTCCCTGCCTTCGTGACTCTTCATTCGTCGCCTTACAAGTCATTTGGCTGGTCCACATCCATGCTTGTATGATGATCCGTAATGGTTTTGACGTCTGCATCCGAACATTCGGGACGGGTTCAATCTGATACCCAGCCAACTACTCTCGTGAATTGGCAGACTACATTATCTACGTTATCGATGTCAGTGGAGGTGATAAGATCCCACGTAAGGGAGGTCCAGGTATTTCACAATCAGACTTGTTAGTGGTGAACAAAGTGAGTTCAAAGCACATATCCTCATATCGATCCATCCAAGTTTCTCTTATCATACATCACCTTCGACCTAACTTCCCTAATTACCAGTAAACTCGCCTTTTCTTACCTATGAATCCCCTCACTCTGTTGGGGAGAAGTTGTGACATGCGACACGAAGTAGTGCTCACCTTCAGATCGACCTAGCACCTTACGTTGGAGCTTCTTTAGATGTCATGAGACGCGACGCTGCTAAAATGCGTGAAGGCGGTCCGACATTATTCACGAGTGTGAGGAATAACGATGGTGTTAAAGATGTGATGGATGCTGTCATCGGTGCTTGGGGAGCTAGCGGAGCGAGGGGTAAAGGGAAGAAGAGAGGGTGATCCAACGTCTTTTCTGTATATATCATTACGATATCTTTAACAACAATAACTTCATCCATTTCACATATCATCGACTTCTTTTCATCTTTTCACACCAGGTCTGTGCAGTAGAAGTTACAGTGTGGAATACCCACGAGCATGCAACAAGAATCTTCCCACGGTCACGAATGAGTATTCACTACGAACTGGATACATACTCGATTAACCGGCTGGGTGGAATTACCGGTCCCCCACCGTCCCGGTAACCATCTTCCCCGGATTGATCCGTTAGATCGTGTGGGGTAAGGCGCGGGGCCCAAGCATTCCTCTCCCCCTCTCTTTTCCCTCTCCCCTCTTACCTCTAGCGACATGAGCCTTGGCCGAGTGAGTGAGTGGGGAGGGAGAGGAGGGATAGACGGACCAATGACTACTATATCTACTGTACCTTGACCTCAACCCCCCGACTCTTTCCGTCTTGCTTCTTTCCTTTTCATCTACTCATTTGCCTTTTATCAAAGAACCGTTGATTGTAGACTAGAGTACTCTACAGTGAGTATCGATATGACTGAACTTGGGACTTCTCCGACAGAGTGAGTTTATACCTTTTTCAATACTCGTACTTCAACACCACCACTATGAGCCTGTATGATGTGACTGCGCCCTCCCTCCTTCGGTCGAATCGTCGGTTGTCGAGTCAATGAATTGGGGTTCGGGGAGGATATATCGTACATTCCGTTCACCTATACACTTGGTATCGACCCATGAACTCGTTGACCCGTGAGACTTTCAATTATGGTGTTGATTATCTATTTGAGCCTTCGAGGGGCGTGACTAGTATGGAGACACTTTATCCTACTGGGACCATGAGTCGTGTGACTATCTCTGCTCGTCGCTCGTCGAGTCGTCTGAATACCCAATGGTCCCAGGCTCATGAGATATAACGCTGACGGGTAGTTCTACTTCTTCCAGTTGGTCACTCGCCCTCCCCCCCACCCAAACACACACACACAAATTATCCTACCATATACCACCTAATGAACTTTCGTTGACCTCTCGAGGCGAGGGAATATGAAACCGTCAAGCTGACATCCAGTCGAAGTGAACGACGCCCTGTTCTGCGAACATGGACTTGAAGTTTGTACTAAATGCGCTTTTGATGCCAGGGAAGGTTAGTCGTCTCGGTCTTCTCTCTCATCCCGATATCATCTTCACAATTTTTGGCAACAATTGTTCGTGCTATACATTCTAGATGCTGATGCTTAGATAACGATGCTATGATGGGGTATGTCAATCTTTGGTCTAATCTTCCACTTGCCTTCTTTCCCCCCTCTCCTCTCCTAAGTCGCATCCGTCGATCTCCCATGTCATAGCCGTTTGAGTCACGACTCTTGCTGTTCCAGGGATCAGAAAGACAAGAAGAAAGATAGTGATTGTGACAAACAGTCGAGGTAGCTTACGAACAGACTTGATCCAGCACCTCGTGCCCCACTTGAGATGCCCGCTTATTATCGCTCAAACAAGGATCACTCGATCATGTGCAAAGCCCATGCGAGTTCTAACTGCAAGTCATGCTGTGAGTGCTTCTCTCATTCCCTCTCCGCTTCATCTCCTACTCATTCTCTTTCCAACATCTTAGTGATATAGCCTAGGACATCTAAGCCTGTCGTGTTCGCGTGAAAACACAGTCGTGAAGATGAGAGGCGTTTCAGTTGAAGCTGACATTCTAGTCGGATGGAAGAAACAGATTGTCAAGCTTCATAAAGAAGGCAAAAAGTCGTCGAAGAATAAGAACAATGGAGGAAGTAACTTCTGATTCGTTGCTTGTCCAAGTGGACATGCATCACAAGCGGAGGTTGTATATTGAGTGAGTTGGGTCATGCGTTTGAAGTCAGTAAATGGAATGAGTTGAGTTTGTATTGATCTCGGAAAGCTAGGGAAGTCAGGAAATCAGTTCGAAAGTGATCATAGTGATTGTTGTAGGTATGATCTCTGGATGTAAAGAAGTCGTCGTATTCTTGCTGTGTCTACATCATCTAATCCCCTTCCTTCCAACCCATCGTTCACTCAATTTCTCGTGGCTGACCTTCATCTAAGCTGCCTTCCCCAGTCTACACACTGACTCCTGCACCGGACGACAATTCAAAAAGAGGGGACTGATCGAAGATTTATGAGAGGATGAGTGAGATACTCAGGATACAAGCTCACTCCAAATCCATCGTTTTCAACCTGGCTCGAGCAATCTTCCAAACCTCTCCCAAACCTCTCTCACATTCTTCCTTCCATTCCTCACTCCCGAACGGTCTTATTAGCCCCTTCACCTCCGTACTATCCAGAGTTGGTATGTCCAGAGGCCAATCATCTGGTATTGGAGCGGGCGAAGGGGTGATCCCTATGATACGTTCCAGTTCAGGTACGATATCCGATCTAGGTCTACCATTGACGAAAGTGATATATACCAGACCTGGGAACACGATCCGATAAAGACTATTCAGATGTTTCAGACTAAACATGAGTCTTCTGACCTCTTTCTTCTACCTCTAGACGGGCATCAGACGTAGAGGAATATAACTCACCGACGTAATACAGCCTGGGAAGTCAAACCTGCTTTGTTTTGCTCCGTGTTAGATATCCCAATTGCCGGTGCTCCAATTTCAGGGTGACCAGATAAAAATTCTGCTTTTTCTTCCCATTTCCATCGTTTGGATATTGTCACACAGATATCGATGAGTTCGAAGTAGGTCGTCGGGGTGTTTGTACGTAAGATGGGAAGGAGTTGAGGGACGAGGAGAGTTCGAAGTGGATGTGAAGGTTCGAAGAGCTTAGAAAGAGCTTCGGTGAGGATTATAGGGTCAGAGAGGGAGGAAAGTGGGGGTAGAGTGATGATTGACATATTCTCTTACACTGTTAATTTGTAAAGAGTTATCGTTATCAGAAAGCGACATGAGGAGGTGTAAGGTATATGGAGATGGGGTAACTCAGTCAGAGGGGTATTTTCGTAGAGTATCCGGTCCGATCGGAGAGGGGAAATGCGGGGCTCCAGATTTTCGGATCCGAACGTTTGACTCGTCTTTCCTTTCACACCACCATAAATACCTGACCTGTTGTTACTTTCCTCATTATAACTTCATCACCCCTTACCTTCCTCTCAGTGGTCCACGGAGATCAGGGATAAGAGAATCTTCTAATACAGTATAGCTTTACCCAACGTTTAAAAAAGTAGAAGCGTAAAGTAAGAGGTGTGACCAAAAAAAGACTTATCAACTTCCCTATGCCCCGTAAAATCGCCTTCTCGGCCAAAGCCAAACGTCAACAACTCCGTCTTGCCAGAGCTATCAAACGTGGAGAATCTCCTCCTCCTCAAGAAAATGATTTCTCAACTTGGAGACCTAAACGTCCAACTGGTAGAGTCGGAAAATCCGCAATTTTAGGGACTAAGAAAGATATTGAAAAAGCTGCAAAATTACAATCTTCTTTCATACATCTTTCTCCTGAATATCTCTCACTTACTAGAGATTTAGCTTTCACCACTACTATAGATAGACCTGTAAGGAAGGAACGAGGTGTGTTCAGGGAGGAATGGTTAGATGGAGGAGGTTTGGAATGTCCTAGAAGACCAAAGTTCAGAGCTGGTCAGAATAAAAAGGAGGTGGAGAGGAATGAGGAGGGTTGGTATCTCGGTTGGTTGGAGAGGAGTAAAGGATTGGTGGAGAAGTATTTGGAGGAAGATGGTGGAGATTTTATAGTGGGAGAAGAGGAGGATGGGATGGAAAGTAGGAAAGAGGTACAAGAGTTGGGGAAAGAGAAAAAGGAGGAATGGCCAAGGAGTAGTCCTTGGTTCGAAACGAATTTAGAAGTGTGGAGACAATTGTGAGTCAGACACTGCCCACTTTGTCTGACTTTTTGTCTTCTTATCTGTGTCTGTGATATCGAAGGAAGTAGCGTCTTTCCTGAAATCATCTCTTATTTCCTTCTACATGTCCTGTCATTCCTGGAGGAGAGTACAAGAAGGAGCTTGCCATTTAATCCGGAATTCCGTCAGCAAAGGTGGCATGAATGTGGGACCTACCACTTAAGGAGGATTGTCCACTAAATCCTGGCTGACGATTGAACCAATAAACAAGAGGGTACGCTAGGGAGGTATTTCACTTACTGATTCCCAGATGGAGAGTATCAGAACAATCTCACATCCTTTTAGTCCTTCTCGACGCTCGTTGTCCACCCCTTCATCTACCTCCCTCACTTCGATCATACCTCCACGATCTTCAACCTAAGAAAGAGATCATACTCTTACTCACCAAATCAGATCTTGTTGACCCTCTGGCAGTCAAAGAATGGATGGTGTGGATGAAAGAATATTGGGGAGGAGATGTAGAGGTCGTACCTGTACGATCGTATGATTCTCAAGCTTTAGGTGTCTTATCTTATTTGTGTCTCATTCCAACTTCTATCCAACCCCATGATCACATGTAGCCTGACACTCCTCTGCTTCTCCACTTCTTTGCCCCTCTTTTCTTTTCCATGCTTTGGCCGTCACTTCGTCTGCTGAGTTTCCATCTGAATCTACCATCCTCTCGTTCGCCCCGGGGCCGGATATCACAAAATATGACATCATCTCTCATGCAGTGCTTCCCTTCTGACCACCGCTAATGGCACAGAGAAAGGTAAACATAAAGCCGACATACCTCAGGATAGCCTGCACGACCTCGTACAAGCTATCCGACAATCTCACACTCGTCTACTCTCGAAGCAGAACAACAAATCCACACTCGTTTCTGACATTCCCTGGGAACGACTCGTACCCGGCACCACCTCCAATCAACTAACGACACAGACACAAAAACTGCACGAGCAAACAGAGGAAGATATTTCACCGCTCACCATTGGTCTAGTTGGACAACCGAACGTTGGGAAATCGTCTTTACTCAACGCGCTGTTGGGTGAACATAAAGTCCGAGCGTCGAAAACGCCTGGGAAGGTGAGTCATCGTTCTTCAGCATCTCAAACCCACACCACAAGTTTGCCAGACGAGACATGCAACAAATTTTGTGCAGAGTAGTAGGGTTCCAGTTGAAAAGGTTGTTCGACGAGATGAGTTTCATCAAGCTGTCCTGTATAGAGGAGGATTGTGGGATGAATGGGAATACCATAGAGTTGAATGTTGAATACTGATGGCAGACAAAACATTTCCAAACTCATTTCTGGGGTTCCAAGTTGGTCAAAATTGTAGATTGTCCAGGATTAGTATGTCCTTCACTCGTACCACATGAACTACAGGCTCTTGCGGGAGGTACGTCCTTTCACTTCTCCTGTGAATCCACCTCCTGCTTCCTCGTTTTTCTCCTCAACTTTTATCTGACACTCTCACCAATCTCTCTTATCAACAATCGCGATTGTCTTCGCTCTTCATACAATGCACTCTATCTTCTGAACGATAAGGTATTTGGGTTGATTGAATACAGTCTTACCCATCGCTCAAATCCCATCTTTACCATCATGTATCCACTTTACCGCTTCTCTCCTCCCTCTTGAAGATATTTTCAAGCTCTCTCTTCCGGAAGAAGAATCATCAGAAGATCCATATGCGGATAAACGTACTTGGCGTACACCACGACTTACAGAAGAGAAAGTTGAAAAGGTTGTCAAAAGGAAGAAAGTCACCGCGGGGACTATCATGGAAGCTCATGCGTTAGCCAGAGGCTGGTGTGAGTTCATATTTTCCATCCGTTGTGTTAGGACAAATCATCTCGTCCACTCATCATCCCTACTATATTCACACTCCATCTCCCGTTGTCTCAACAAATAGGTTATTAGGAAGACTGGAAATGAGAACGTTAAAAGGGCTGATGACAGTGACGGCCCGTAGAGGATGGCCAGATACGAATCGTGCTGCTAATCACAGTAAGCCTTTTTTTCTCTCCAATCACATACCTAATTCTCCTCTGTCTCTGGGAATAGCCAATCATCAATGTGATCATTCGTCACACAAACCTTTGAGCTTTTGCAATCTCCTAGTACATACTTACTTTTGAGGCAGACGTCGTTTCGAGAAAAGTCCAATCTTTCCATCATACAGTTTATCGTTCTGAAGGTGAACGAGCGAAGTACACATGCTGATCTCAGTGATGCGAGCTTTGGCGGATGGTAAACTCCGATGGAATTTCTGGCCTCCTGACTCCAATCCCATTTCTAGAGAAGGTCTCGGTATCCTAACTTCTTTACAACCTACCGATCTGTCAGATGATCCGGAACATCCACTTCCGTCCTTTCACCAGGAATCTCTTGGGTCTGATACTTCTCGGTCCGATTCTGAAGAGTCAGAAGGATCGGCAGAACATTTAAATGACTTATCTGATCGTCATCGACAAGTAGAGAGTGATTCATCAGAGGAGGATACAAGTGGAAGGTTTGCCGCTCTTGGTTTGCACGACGACGACGACGATGATGATACAGACAACATGAACGACGATAGCGACGAAATGTATCATGACAAAATATGAGATTTATCACCACCAGATGTCACTCTTATTGACATAAGAGAGTAGAGTACGGGTAGAGTACTCTAACGTGTCATACTACACATTGTATCATAATGACACGAACCAGTGCATATACACAAATTAAACACATGACAACAATTTGAAAAAACAATAGATACAATCACTCACTTTCCCTCATCTTCATCACTTAGATTCCCCAACTACATCTTCCAAATGTACCGACCCCAATTTATCGCTCGCTTCTCCATTCAAAGCTTCTTCATTCTTCTTTTCTTTCCTCGTACTAGGTACTCCGGATCGTGTACCATACGCATCACCCAATTCTCGACCGATAATCTCCCTCATTTTCTCTCGTAAAGGATTAGAGGGACCTTGCGCTCCTTCTAAGAACCAATCTTTCGAGAGGTAGTTCCGTACGCCGTCAGGAAGGATGATGATGACGTTTGCGTTGGGATTGGAAGCTATAGATTGACCTTTAGGGGAATGAAGATATTTTAGAGCACCGGCAAGAGCGGAACCGGATGAACCTCCTACGAAAAGAGCTTCTTTTCGTCTGTCACGTTAGTTTCGATATCGCGATAATGATCAAATCATCTTGAGTCACCGCTTTTTATACTATATCTGCTACGACCTGACTAAGAGAGTCGAAGGAAGTGTGAGAGGGAGGAAGGGGAAGAAGCCGTCTCTGCTTTCTCATTCGACGAATCCCATGAGGGTTCATGGATGTGGATGCTGAAAAGACTCACATCATGAGTTTGGTCATGGCGAACGCCTCATCATCATTCACTTTGACCCAATCATCGATAGACGGAGCGTCGGGTTTCAGCACCTCTGGGAAGAAGTCCTGATGGTCAGCTTTCATCAATTCTTGCATTTTCAGCCCCCACTTTCCCAAGTCTTTGCAAATATATTTAAAAGGTAGAGAAGATGGGTCAACTCACATAACCAATACCCTCCACTGCATAATTTCCAGGTTCACCACCACCCAAGATCGAACCCACAGGATCAACAGCTACCACCGTCGTCTTGTTCTTCTCTGGAAAAGCTTTCTCCCTATCTCGTATAGCATCCGATAAACCTGTTATCGTCCCTCCTGTTCCAGCACCCGCAACGATCAGATCGATTTCTTTGTTTTCAAAGTCAGAACTTTCCAGAGAATACTACCTATGAGCTCGGCACCGGTACCAGAACGAGGGACTTGCCATGATTTCCGGGAAGGTGGTGTGGTAGTGTGCAAGAGGATTGTTGGGGTTACTATATTGGTCCAAAATCACAGCATTAGGCATGGAGTCTCTTAGTTTGTGGGCCACACCTGGAATCAGGAACAATCTCAACAACAGTGTCAAACCAACCTATATGACTCTCGGGACTATCCCAACTGCTCTTTCAGTATATGCTATAGAGTTAGACAGAGGTTCACGTACGCTGCCTCGGTACTGTTCATCAGTCTTGGATGGACAAATTTGAATTGGGAGACTTACGGGGTCCGAACAATCTCAGCTCCCAGAGCACGGAGCATAACTTCCTTTTCTAAACTCATTTTTGCCGGAAGGGTTATGATGCATCTCGGGATCAATTCCTCCCACATGGTGCAAAGATAAGAACCTACTGATATCCTTTTAGCGCGGAGGCCAAAGCGAGTCCCATCCCTGACAGAGTCAGTCGAGAGTCAGACAATGAAATTCGTTGCAAAGCTGACCTGTGTTACCGCCTGCTTGTCAGCCAATTGAGTGGATGTATGATTGAGGAGCTCACTGGTAGGCTCTATGATGACGCTTTTGCCGGGTATCAATCTTCCATCTTTCTCCGCTTCCTCAACCATTCGCTAACCATCAGCTTCAGGTATTGAATATTAATCGCTTGTGTAAGACTCACCTTGGCAATACGATCTTTGACCGATCCGCCTGCAGAGAAGAATTCAACTTTGCCCACTGTCGATCAGTGACGATGTGAGTGAGGACAAAGGAAAGGACGAACATAGTCTACATTGTAGACCTTGAGCCTCTTGTATACGCTTCAAGTGGATGAGAGGGGTATGTCCCACCGCATCGAGAGCCGAAGAGAGAACACCCGACCAATGATGTTGGTTCGCAGAGTTGCCACTCATATTGAAGGGGAGTTGTGATGAGAATTTGAAGGGTGGAATGAGTTGAAGAGATAAGGTATCAGGTTAGCATGAGTAGGTTCAAGGATGTGGGGACTATGGCCGTGGTCGAGTAATTGACGTATTGGGAAACTAGGGGAGGATACTTGAGGTGGTAGGGGTAAGATGTAAGACATGGCCGATGGTAGCAGCTTTCAAGGTTGGATGGACGTGTTCGGAAGCTTTGCCACACTTCTTTCCGACGGAAACATCTCGATCACACTTTGTTGTTTTCTTAATCGATCCTCCCACTTTCTTTCTTCCACGCGACTTTCTCTTTGCAGTAGTAACTAGAAGTAAACCCACTCAACAGCGTTTGCATCTCCCCTCCCCTCCCCTCTGCTGTCATCTTGGCGCCCATTCTCACCTTAACAAATCATGCCTCTTGCTCCTATCTGCCCTCCCCTCATCAACTCAACATGGGTTTCTTACCCCTCTTCTTCCAGTCGATCCACATCCGACCCTACTTTGGAGCGCAAACGGGCCAGAAGTTTGGACATCCGTTCTCCCCGTTCTCCTCGTCAACTCAAACGCGTAAGAGAACCAACGCCCATTAGAGAATCCGAGCCTCTATCACCTGCTGGTGGAGGCGACAAGCAGATCAATGAAACGCGCGATCGAGTAGGTATCTCAGCCCAAAGCCCACCGTCTAACCTCATCAGCGATGAAGGTGGAGAACGACCAAGCGTACTTTTCTCCGAACAAAGTGAAGCCATCGCTACCTGTCCTCGTGGCATTCATATTATTCTCAGATCAGACGGTCGTATTGGCTACCAAGATGAGAACGAAGATTGGGTAGCAGAAGAAGCCCTCGTGAATGATCAAAGCCCTACCGGAAGTCAGTTTGATGAGGAGGAGCCACCGGTCACAAAACACCTATCACAATCCATACAATCTACACCGCATGTCTCTCCTAAACCCCGTCCACAATCAGCCCCAAAGCGGGAGCCCTTTGCTGAAATGTCAAATAATACACGGATTCCTACAACTTCTCTACCTTTCCCCCAAAAACCTGCCGATCAGATGACCATGGTCATTGACAAACCTCTGGACGAGAGAGGTGTAGAAGGCGACTGGTCCCAACATTCGAGCCAGGAAGTTCCCTCTGAGTGGATGACCAGTAGTGAGACTTATCATTCAGGAGATACAGATGAATATGAGATGGATCATCGACCACCGATGGAGCGAACGGCTATCAAGAAAGATATACGAGGTTTGTATGACGAGGTCATGTGTTTCTCGGATTCTCGACAAAGATATTACAAAGTGGTGGATAAGCTGGGAGAGGGTACGTCTCATATTCATCATTGCAATCTGATACGGATAGGAATATAGTGAAAAGTCTGGGCTGATGACGTAGGAACGTTTTCTTCTGTATATTTGGCTCGAGATGAGGGATGGGAACTGCACTCTAACTCTTATTGGACCCACGGAAAGGGACCTTGCAAAGTGGCTTTGAAGAAAGTCTTGGTCACCAGTAGTCCACAGCGAATAGAGAACGAAATTGCCATCTTGGAATCTCTCCGGTGAGGTCACATATCACTTTCCCGACGTTGAGTCACCAGTCGAGCTGATGACTAGGGGCTGTCGAAATGTCTCGCAGCTCATCACCGCTTTTCGAGAAGCTGATCAAGTCATCATTGTGCTTCCTTATCATCCCAGCGATGACTTTCGAGTTAGTCTGCTTCTTCCGATGTTGCATCCCAAGCTGACGTTTAGCATTTTTACCGTCATATGGATCTCCCCCATATCAGATTATATATGCGAGCAATACTAATAGCCCTGAGAGATATCCATCAACGCGGAATCGTCCATAGGGATGTCAAACCTGCGAACTTCTTGTTCGACTACGAGGCAGGGACTGGTGTCTTGGTTGATTTTGGATTAGCGGAGGTGAGTCATTTCTGAGTGTCAGCTTAATTGGTTCATGCTGACCAGGAGCGTTATTTTCCACCCAGGAAAGCGACATGTCAACACTCCCCGGCGACACTCAAAAGTCTACACGGCACTAAGACGACGACAGTCGATACCCCGATCGTGGAACAGGCACTTTACGATGCCCGAAAGAGGGCCAAGTTGGCCGAAGGAAGGCTCGGTTTACCTCATGATGATAAACGACCAGCTCTCAAGGCGAATCGTGCTGGTACTAGAGGATTTCGAGCTCCGGAAGTCTTAATCAAATGTCCTGATCAGACTGGTGGTGAGTGTTTCACATCTTGCTAGTCCCACGACGATAGGACGTTGCTGACATTGTCAAGCTATCGACATATGGTCCGTTGGGATCATACTCCTCTCTATCTTGACTCAAAAATTTCCCATTTTCAATTCCAGCGACGATATCGAAGCTTTAATGGAACTTTGCGCAGTCTTCGGTCGAACAGCCATGGAACGTGTAGCAATGTTACATAGTGAGTCTTGTATATCTCATCATGATCTGTGTTATGTTGACGTAAGATCGTACGATATTGAGCAACGTTCCTACTCTTGATTATACTCCTCAAAGTTTAGAAAGTCTAATTCTTCGTCTCAATCCACATTTGTATACACCTCCCTTACCGCACGTATCTCCCACAGCGGCGAAAGAACACATCGAGGCCGTATCAGGGGCAATCAGTTTGTGTGGCAAGTTGCTCCGGTTAGACTCTACAAGACGTCTGACCGCCGAGGCAGCCCTGACACATCCGTTCTTGGCTTCGGAGGAGGATGAAACGGTGAGGTTGTTGAAAGGGACCGATGGGAAATGTGGGTTATTACATACGTATGTGGATGGCAAACGTGAGTCGTCGTCGTCTTTCTCTGAGATATAGATGTGGCACAATATAGTGAGATGATGACTGATTGTTAGACAAAGCGTATTTTGGTGAGAAATTGCAAGAAATGCAATTTGGTCAAGGTATTCCTCCTACACGTTTTTCACGTGGGTACTTCTATCCCTTTCTTTCATCCTTCTCCCATCGTCCATGCTCCCGTTTCCTAGGATATCAATTTCGTCCCGGACAGACATCCGCTCTACAGTCATAAGCCAGATTGAGACCATGCAGAGGGGCGGATTCGATCATGTTGGTAAACACCGTACGAAGGCTGATCTCAGTTTGTCCTGAACACGAACATTGGCAACAAAGAATGGGTGTAAATCCTATTGCTATCTCGTGTCGATTTGACCAAGATGAACCTTCTCGATCAACTCATGTTTCTAATGCTTTCGATAAAGAGGGTTCCCCTACACGACATCTCGATTCCCCTTTGACTGCACATGATGTTCCGGGGGAAGAGGAAGACGAGGACGGGGATGAAGTTGAAACTTGTGATGTGGGTCAACGAGATTATGGATATGTTTCATGATTTTCTTCCTAGTAAATTCGATTGATGGAAATGGTTTATTGAGATCATGTTTTTACGTTTGTACAAGTTGGATCTTTATGTTGATAGATTTTTCTTTGAGGGAGGGTAATCGATGGAGAACAAAATATGCATTGGTGGAATGTTTTTGACAATTCACCCTAGAGTACTCGTACTCTACTCGTATTGTATCTTCATCCATGCCTGACATCTTCTGCAGTAGAGAAAGTACTCGGGAAAGGTTTCATCACACCAATGTCATCTTACAAACGTATCACATCATAAAACCCAAGATGAAAGGTAAATCGAGTCTGACTAACTATATGTAAATAAGTAAAAAAATTTAAACCTCAAGACTATCTTCCAAAACACTTTCAACTTCTCCCTCTTCTTCTTCCTCCTCCTCCTCTTCATCTTCATCTTCCTCACTCTCTTCAATAACACTTTGCATCCTCTGTCTTTGTCTCACTTCCCTTTCTCTTTTTTCTCTAGTGGGTATCACCCTCCTGGGCGTTTCTTCTTCAGAAGCGGATTCAGAGGAATCTGATGTGATTGTTGATGTAGCTCTAGACCGTGGAGCTCTAGATGGTTTTCTGGATCTTGCACGTGAACCAGATTCAGATATGGTATCATCTATCGGATCGCTATTTCATCAATACCATCCATCTTCTACGCCTTTCTCAAAAATTTCCATTGCTACATTTCATAGGATGAGCACTTCCTAGCGGTACATATCATGGGGATGAATTTGGTGTGTGATTTCAGGTCATACAGAAGGGAAATGAAGACGTTAAAGAATATGTGAAAGAAGAAGGATGAATAAAACGGATACTAACATATCATCAATGAACCCAAATAACTCTGCTATTTCTTCTACAGTTTCCCTTTCAGCACGGAAATGTTCTGAAACGAAATTCTCCAACTCTGTGGGGTATTTCTTGTTCAAAGTAATTTCGAAACGATTCAATGCGTTTTTAGAAGCTAATTCTGAAAACGGGCGTTTCTAATTTGATCAGTGATTGTCTTTCCCCCCTTTTTGGGCAATGATAGAAGAGATGGAGAGTGAAGATCACAGGGCATGTAGAGTCTACTCACCTCTCTTACGGCAATCACAAGTGTCATGAGGGATTTGATTTTCATCAAATCGATTTCTTCCGGTTCTGGAAGATATAATTTGTTCAAAAGGGATACTAATGTTTTTCGGCTTTCCTCTGCATGGGTCAGTTTGAGTCCGTCACACAATCCATATGAAAGATATGCCATGAGGCAGAATCAAGAGAGGAATCAGACCAAAGGCATGGTGTACTCAACAGTGATACATGGATATTTGGGCACACAGAAAAAGTAAAGGGAGATGTCGAAGAGAAGGAAAAGCAGAAGGAGAAGAAGATATCTCACTTGACTTTTCCACCAATATACTTCGAAGAACGACCAACGCTAAATCCGCATGAACAGCTTGATCAGGTTTGACACCATCTCTCTCTACAGCTTTCTGAGGATCTAGCCAATCGACCATCATCATTCCTACTTGTTGTGGAGGTAACATATCAGTCTCGCCTTCATCTTCCATCTCTTTGTGAAGTTGGGAGAGCATTTCGAAAGTTTCACCGAAGATCTGCTAGTCAGTACGTGTGTGACACCGCTGAGGTTGGATTATCCCCGCTTCTTCTCCTTATGATAGACACGGATCACCCAAGTGGATAAATCCAGAGAGAAATTCTCAATGACTCACAGAAAGCATACGACGTTGGTTCTCCGGGGAAGAGTAACAGTACACGGGCAGAAAATACGTTAGACATTGACGCAGAGCTTGATTGTCCGCCGTCTCGGGGGAGAAGTAAAGTAATACCAAGGACTGTAATATCTACTCGTCAGCGTTGAAGATTTGGACACAGATTATTTTTGCCAGAAGGTATGAAGATGTGAGTGGCTCACCGTCTCATCCGAGATCATTCCGGCTAACATGAGCTTGGCGGTTCCCTCACATGCTGCAGCTTGGACTTCCGGAGCTTCCTGTGCCAACATATGTCGGACCAATTCTGTCACTTGATCTGTCTAGGCAACTCAGCACAGACCCCGTCCTGTGACCTGGTGAACAATATAGCAACTACTCACGGGCATGGTCTTTGACACCAATTCTTGTATATCTTGTACCATCAACAAATCAAAGATGATCTGCACAACTTTGACTTTCAATTGATCGTCCGCTGCAGTCAATTGTTGCACAAACAGCCCGAATGAATTAGCTGCCATTTTCTTTCTCGTCAGTTCGTTCTAAATGATGAGATAAAACTAACCGAATCTATCATGCAGCACAAGCCTATACACACAAGACCTTGATCCCGAAGAGCAGGTTCATCTTTGTTCCTCACAGCGGGTACGATTAAGTCCGGTAAGAGACCATGAAAGACCGAGTTGTCCTGCAAGTTCTGCATGTTCAGTAACTGATTTAGTCAGAAAATGTACTTTACATACTGTGTTGACCCGCTCAAGTAGGCTAATACAGATGAGCAGACATCTCAGGTCGATGAGTGCTGCCTGCATCCGTTCTTCCGGGTCATCTAGGTTGAATCGTGGCTGTGCAGTTTTCTTCGAAGGCGTTTCAAGCATCGACGATTGACTAGGGGTGGGCTTTTTGTCAGCTACGCATGGATACATGGATCTGACATACCATATCCGCTGGCTCCTCATCACCATCACCCTCACGTAACCCCGTGACCACGTCTACCACAACGCGAATAAGATCTCGCTCCCCGTTGGCAATTTTGCTGAGCACATCAATGCACCGTGGTATCAGTACTTCCGGAAGGTTGTACTGCGATAACATCTCTCCTGCTCCATCAGCCACGACATGACCGGTGCAGAGGGGCAACGTACTGGCAAGTTGAAACATCTTCCGTCTCCCGATCTCGTCGGCATAATCAAGACTAACGGCCAACTCGAGAAGCTCCTCTACGATGAAAGCTTGTTCGGTAGGGTTGGGTCCATCTCCGTTCACAGCCCCGACGAGCTTATTGTATTCGTCCTGTATACGGAAGGCCAGTGCGGTAACTACGGGCAGAGCTTCTTCGAGGCGAGCCTCGTCCTTCTCAGTGATGCAATGTTCCACAAAGACGCGAGCGAGAAATGCCTTCTCTGGTGTTAGAGATGTCCAGTATTCGTCTATAGCGTCAGAAAAGCTTATCGGGTGAGATTTCTGACCACTGACCCGTGAACTCTATGGCAGCAAAGACTTCAGGACGAGTAACGAAAACAGAGATCAGTGCTTCTTCTGCCACTTGGCTGGAAATGACGTCGAATCGGGAGAGAAACTAAAGGTCAGATACAGCGACAAACAGCTGGGAAAGATAATCATACCTCCAGGATATCTCCCTCCACTTGATCCACCCATCCACCCAGCATCGCTGCCGCAGCTTTGCGTACACTCGGTTCTCGATCTCCCAGACCATTCCGCACTACCTCTTCTCTCTGAGCGATGGAGAGCACCCTAGCATCTGGTAGAGCGGCATGTGAGAGGGATCCATGGTAAACAATTTTCCGTAGAAGCGGATCGACGTCCCGTGCTCGAGCCAGAATGTAGGGGAGCAAAGCTGGCGTTCGAGGCAAGTTATACAGAGCCGCTCGCCTGACCTCCCTGATCGTCTGTCAGAACACCTCGTGAGAAGTTTGGGGAGCTCACGCAGCGGGATCATAACGTAAGAGGTCGAGTAGAACTTCTCCTAGAGGTTCATCCCCATCTTCAAGATCTGCTTCGTCTTCTCCGCTCTGAAGCTTGGCCAATCCGAGCGCAGCTTGGACTCTGACGGCCGCTTCTTTGTCTCTAGATCTGTCGAGTAGACTCTTTCTGAGTAAGACATATACGTCGTCACTGAGGCGTAAGTGCCAGACACTCTGTGATAAGGACCTCGAACTCACTCGATCTCTCCAAGACCATTGATCATCGAAACAGTTAGAAGTGTCACTCTGAACCTGACGTTTTTATCTTTTGCCTCCATTCCAGATAACAAATATCTGAGAAGTTTGCCTACAAAACGTGTCGAGGCAGTTTCCGCATCTTCTTCCCCTTCCTGTCTACTCGTCATGTCTGCCATCAGCCGTACCTCTGGATGAATAAAAGAAAACACACCTTGTTCGGTGGCGTAAGCGACGTATTGAGCGACAAACTTGACCACCCTATCTGCCACGGCCACGCCTTTTTTGACAGGCAACACTCGGTTTACCATGTCGATGAATGAGCCATTGAAAGCCTTTTCACCCACGAGTTTGATACCTTTGGGAGAGGCTTCGGTGATGGTGGCACAAGCATCTTGTATCTTGCGGAGGGCGACCAAGTTTTTGCGATGGTTGGCGGTCGTATGTTGAGCTTGATCAAAGATGGGTGGTAGGATTGTGGGTAGAGTATCTAGAAAGGATATTGATAGTGCTCTTGAGCGTGCTGCGACCATGCTGCTGGGCTGTAACGACTGGTAGGCTGGTAGGCTGGAAAGGAGGAAGAAGTGAGCGAATTCCTCGAGTTCTCTTGACCTTGTTGACTATGGACGCGACTGCTTTTGATGTTTACGTAAGCAGGCGCGTTGTGCCGCAAACATAGTCGAGCCAACAGCTCGTAGGTACATTTCGCCTCTCTCTTTCATTCCATCTTATAACACAACCTCTTGTCGTAACCCTAACGCTAGGCCTCGTGAAGATGTCACAAGTCAGAAGGGCTCCGGTTCCGCAAACCAACCTTCCGGGGTTTCCGATGATGACGACGGGGGAAATCATGGATTGTCTTGCCGCTTTAGGCATCAACGTCGCTCAGGAAGACATAACCAAGCCTACCTGGAACAGTGCACAAATGATCTATTCTTCGCTCCTCGACGCTCTCATGGGTGTTCCTCCTGATTCTTTGGACCAACCGAAAGCCGCTTTGTTGGGAATGATGGAATACAAGGTTTGTATCACGCCCCTCGTCCATAACTCCGCCTAAGTAAAAATTGGTGTGGCTGATCTCGCAGGAGTTATACGCCGATGCTCTTCAATTCACCATGCTCTTTCGACATTGGTGAGTCGTATCTACTTCTTCTGGGTTTCAGAGTTGGGGGAAGCGTTGCCGATACTGACAAATAGTCGAGCCTTGGCGAATCTATGTGGTATTAGCAATTTCAACATGTCCGATTTGACGCGTCCCGACGCTCAAAGACTTCGAACGGCTCTCAGTGGAATTATGAACTTTGCAAAGTTTCGCGACGAAAGATCTCAGTTTCATCTGGCGTTGGTTGCAAAGGTGGCAAAACAGAGTGACAAGTGGGTTTCGAAACATCATGGTATGATCATTTCTCCGTGCTGACTCGAAGCGCACAACAATTGCGAAAGAAATTGGAACAAATCGACATTAACATGGGAGAAATCACTGCTAGACACGCTGCGGATCGTCCGTTGACCGACAAGGCCAAGGAGAGGAATGATTCTCTACGAAGTGAATTGATGGGTTTACGGACTGAACAGGTCAACCTCTCACATGAAGTGGAGGATTTGAAGAGAGAGAGAGGGGCTTTATCGGAGCAAGCGGTGAGTGACTTTAGGTTATCTCTTCATCTTCTTCATCTTCCCTTCTTAATAACTTTCCTCCAATCATCGTATACATCATGTGGTTGACCCTTTGTCGAAAACGGTCTGCCAAGTAGGAAGTGGGATGGCTTGTCAGTAAAAGGTAGCGAACTGATCTCCCCAGACCAACAAAATGCACGAGCTCGCCACTCTGACATCTCAAACTACTCTCGCCCGATCTCGCTTGGTGCAATCACCCGAAAGGATCAAACGGAACATTTCCGAGATGACACATCAGGTCACAGTTGAGAAAGCGACTCTTTCGACATATCAACAACAAGCCCGGTCGCACCAGAATCGTCTGGAAGTGTTTGGTGGGTTAGAGAGAGATTTGAAAGAGTTGATCGATTTGGAGAAAACCATAGAACAGCAGAAGATTAAAGTGGAGGAGGCGAGAAGGTCTCAAAGTGCTTTACAAGCGAGATTGGAAGGGAAGAATATTGAAGGGCAGGGCTTGAAATCGAAACTTGAGGTGAGTTGTTTCTTCTCTCTTACTCTCAAGTTCCGTCGATATCAGGAAGACGAATGGTGAGAGAAGTGTAGAGTGTAGAATAAGAATATGATTACACCACTATGATGAGATTCTTGATTGACAAACAGCAACTCGATCGTCAACTTCAATTCGCTTCTGATAAACTTCATCGTCAACAAGAACTAGGTCGAGAAACAAGAGATCGAGCTAAGAAAAGGATAGATGATGTCAAAGCCGAATATGTCAAGTTGAAGAAAGTCAAGAGTGTTTGGCAGAGAGAAAAAGATAATTTAATGTCACAGATTAAAGAGTTGGAAGATGAAATGGGAGCTTTTATTTCTAAAAATGAAAGTGAGATTGATGATTTGTTACAAGATTATTGGACGACGAGGAAACAAGCTGGTAAGTCTTCGTATTCTCCCTCATCCCATCTCCTCTTCTTTTCTCTACCATCTCTACGTATATATCTCTCAGGTTTTAGGACTTTGTCATCTTTTCCTTCTTCTATTCCATCGTTCTCATCTCTACTACCTCTATTGCGTTCCCTAGATATTCTGTATCTTATCTAATTCATCTTCAACCACTCTGCTTTAATCTTCTCTTCTATCTCAAACCAAGAAATCATACACTGTGGTTCATTATCTATCCTATCTCTTCTTACGCCTTACGCCTTACGCCCCTCCACGTTCCCCACTTCCTTCTTGACGCCCTAAGCCTCATGTACAGTCCCTCAGATGTCGCCATCCCGCCATCCTACATATCTACAATACAGTATCGTATCTTCCTCCAACGCCCTATTCACACACCACCGCCGTAATCCCCGATCGATGCCAAGACCCAATTCCCCCACTCCCCACTTTCCCTCATCGTCAAGATCTCATGTTTTGGGCGTATCACGATTAACTGTATGGTATATGACATGATGATATGAGAATTCGGAATTCTGGCAAAAGGTTTCACCCAGGGATTCAATGTCATCCTTCCCTAAATGGGAAATGCGGAGATGACGGACTTGGTTTTGATAAGAAAGAAAAGTCAAAGATAAGAAATAAAAACTGATGATATAGAGGATTACATGAATACCATGACAGTGAAACTTGGATTGGAAATTGGTTGATATTGTTATTTTGTATGACTCCTGGGTTTGATGTTATGATCTGTTCTGGAGACTTCATTCATCTTACGAATCTTTCTGAACCTAGTACTAATTGTTGGACCAATAGGTCTGCAGGACTATTGGCTGGGAAGCTTATTTGCTCCAACGTTAATTGAGCATTGAGAATATCTCATATTCGTCTCACTTTGTTGTTATCTACAAACAAGATGACAATATTCAGATCCATCAGCATCAGATCAATATTCATAATATCAGCATTCAGTTTTCAGTCGTAGTTAGCCCATATCACAAGTGACCAGCAGGTGGTCAAAGGTCGACCATGAGAGAATGACGAAACGAGCAGTGAACAAATATGAGAGAAATATAAAATCACATGCAACATTCCTTTCTAATGCTACCAAACCACCAAAAAGATCGTGCACAATATAAAAATGAATGACCTCTTGACTTCTTTCCGGATAAATATCTATCTTCTACATTCCTTCATCTCCTAACCTTCCTCCTTCCTTTCCCCGAGGGACTTCCCTCATCCTCCTAATGTCCGGATTTGTAGACAAAGAAATCTAATGTCCATGATTGTTCTCTAAATAGATACTCATTTTATACACATGGTAGATCGATGGTTCGAGATGATATTGAGACGCGAGATGAAATGGTTCCAGTTTAATAAACATCAATCTCCAAATCTTCAAAGGACATATCGTCGTATCCGAATGTCGACTTCTGTTGGATTTTCGGAGTGGGTAATAATGATCTTGGAATAGTAGGAGTGACTGGGGTTTGAGATTCGTCCGATTCACAAGAGTCGGAAGAATCAGAAGATCTAGTTTCTATTTCCCAGTCATCTTCGATCGATTCGTCCGATTTAGATGACATCAAAGATGACGAATCGTCTTTGTAGCCCATGATGAGAGAGTCGGGTGGTGTTACTCGAATGACAAGATTTGTATGTTTGTTCATGGATTTTTCTTTCACCATAAGGAATTCTCCTTCCATCTGAGCTTCGGAACCCAGTAACATAGATTCTTCACCCATCACCAACGATGACTCGGGAATGACCAACGTAGGTCTCTCGTGGGTCACAGGAGTGGGAGGTGTGGTGAGTGCCGCGCGATCGGACATCTCCATTTCATCTAATTCCGACTCGGACTCTGCATCGGAAATGGACTCGACTGAAGAAGCTTCCACTTCCAACTCGGAATCTGATGACATGGCCGGATGAACAGGTTTATTCTCTTCATCTTCAATCGTCCAAGACATGACCAAACGTGACGGTCGGTTCGGTCGAGATGACATATGAGCAGCAGTGTTGAGTGGTAATTCTCCATTTGAGTAAGCTCGACGAAGAGCGCGATCACCAGCTTTTCCCCTTTCTAACGATTCCAACCATCGGCGTTTCCCTTCTTCCCTTTCATACTTCGTGCCCAACCGTTTGATCGCGGCTAGACGAGAGGCGATCCGACTCAATGCAACTAAGCGGGCAGAGTAGGCTTCACGATGTTCCACAGGCAGAGCATGTGGGGGAGGGATGGAAAGTAGAAAAGATTGGGGTGATGGAGATGATCTGCGAGTGCTCTGAGGTGTGGTACAACCTGATTGAGTGGATGATACGGATGAGGCTGGAGTGTAGGGGTTACAATCAGATTCGGAATCTGATTCGTCTGATGAATTTCTGGAAGAACATCGTTGAAGTGGTGCACCTAAGAATCGGTGGTCCACCTTGGAAACGGCGAGGATAGCATTGATTTCTCCTCGCAGAAGGTCAAATTCATCCAACCTCTTATTGGTTTCGCTCGCAATGATCCACGGGAGGTACGCTTGTGAAAGGCGGTCTTTCAAGTCAGGAAGGACGTGACGACGGTAAGTGTCGACCAGGATGGACCGGGCTTGTCGTCGATGAATCCGTGCCGGAGATATCTCGGCTTCAGGTCTACGAGGAGGAGAAGCCGCACGAGAGGCTTGTCCCGGGAGTAAAGGGGAAAGAAGAGAGTAGAGGAGACCTGAAGGGGTTCGTTTAGACTGAGGAATCTGTATACCACCGTAGGCGCTGTTTCCAGAGGAGGTTGACGAAGTGCTTGCTAGACTGGAGGTGCTCGTCCTAGCGGTCGGGGGTGGTGGAGCAAACGACAATCTGACTTCGTGAACAACTCTTTCCAGTTGAATGGCGCAGACGGGATCGATAGGCATGGTAAGGCATGTTCCGTCGATCATGTGGGTGGAGATGGTATTAGTGGGAAGAGAGAAGGTGACATCGTCTACGGCCTGTCACGTTAGCATATTGTTAGATAACGATACGAAGGGAAACTTACACCTCCAATCCATGATGACTTTTCGCCAAGCAGAACATTGGAACATTCTATTTCTTCTTGTAAACAGACCGAACGATGGGCGAGTAAGTTGGCAGGCAGAGGGAGGGATCGAGCAGTGTAAGGATGACTAGGAAGAGGAAGGGTGAAGAGGATAGTAGGTGGGTTAGGCTGATTAGGGGTGGCAGCGGGAAGAAGACGGAGAAGCATTGTGAGAGATCTAGTATGAGTGATTAGAAGGACGGGAAAAGATAAAAAGGGAGATGTAAAAGTCTATTTGAAATGAGATGAGAGAAAGTCTATGAGATGAGATAAATGATGTTATAATCAAATGAAAGATAAGAAGATGAGATGAGAATGTTATCGAGATAGATCTTGCGGGTTTTTATAGATATGTTATGTCGGTGTAAAAGACTTAGACGGGTATGGTGACGACTGAATCCTTTCTTTGCTAGTTTGTGAAAGTCGTCCTTCTTCTCGCTACTCCCACACTTGTCTATAGTCCCGTTCCCCGTTTCCTTTCGACTATCTACTTTGAGAGAGAAGATAAAATGTCGTTGTATCGGGATATGTGAAGAGTAGTTTGATAAACAGTGGTGATGGTTGAGAAAAGAAAAGAGATCGATTTCGATAAGGACGGGATCTAAGATTGACAGTGGAGTCTGAAAAGAGGTGGTGTGGGTGGGGTTATCAAGGCGTAAAAGGGTGAAGGAAAATCTATCGTGTATAGTCAGGAGTCTAGGTGATGGTCTGATAGGTGACTTGCGGGTGGGCGTGATGTAAGATGGGCGGGTGCGATAACTAAGGGGGTTGGTGTGAATGTAGCACCCGTTGTTTTTGAAAGATGACTAGAGCCAAAAAGACAGAGTAGTAGGAGTAGGAGTAGAAGTAGAAGTGTTGAAGGAAGAAAAGTAGGTCTAGGTCATTGAATCCAGCAAGACTAGAAAAGTGCGAGCCATGGCGACATTGGTCAAGAGCGTAAGAGAGAGACACCCGATAAAAGATGCTAAGGTTTACTTGGACCTTTCGGACAATTTGTCACTTGTCGATCGGACATTTACTCGGCTAAAGCTAAATTTCAAACCCTGAAGGGGAAAAACCACGGTGATAGCGCGTCACACCCGAACTAACGCCCCTGACCGGATCCTTACCGCTTTCGGGTAAAAGAATTTTTGGTTCCTCGTTCTTCACTGCCCAGTTCCCAATGCCCAGTGATCCAGTGACACCCAGTGTGAATCCTTCCTTTCATCCGTGTATCCACGTTGCCGCCTTCCAATCCCTCCCTCCCTCCCGTCTTTCCCGTATCATAACAGCTACGACATGATTCTTCTCAGTTCCAAAAAAACGTTCGAGACCTTGAACCATAGCAATCACAAGATCCAAGTAAACCATTCGTCGTTGACATTTCGTCCTCTCTTTAGTCTCATGCGTGGAATCGCCGTACGCGGTATGCCGTATTACCGAGACACCGATACATACACCGCTCAATGTATCAATTTAATCCATCAAAAAGAAAAGGACTTGGATCATTCATCATTCATCAAAACACACAGAGACTGCGTGCGAGCGTGAGAGACGGACATCAAAAGGGAAAAGATCTTCCGTCTCCCGCCGGTTGACATTCGGGCGCAATTGCCGCAGCATTAACGCATCGCGCATCGCGCAGTCAGTCATGTCAAAGTGGGGGATTGGGGGCGATCTAAGCTACCGAGATAGTGAATCTTTCTCTATGACATCTTCGTTATAGGAGGGTTTCATCCTCATGCCTCTATCGGCCTATGACACATGGCGTACAACATCGTCTAAGAACTCACAACTACTCGAGCGTTATCTTGTGCATGTAAAGTACTGGTGTTGACAAGGGAACTAAAACATCTTATTCGGGTCCGTAAAAGAAAGACCGCAAAACGGAACCACATCTCAAACTCCTTTCTTCTCTGTTCTCTGCTTCACGGGCAAGACACAATGGATTTTTTTCCCGTACGGCTCACAAGCTACAAGCCGCGGGATCCCAACGGCATCCGGGAGCTTATTCGTAGTGTGTTACCCTGATCGACCCGGCGGTCATAGCCGCCTAGCCCGTGAAGTTACTCCTTCCGCATGCTTCCCCTCCCCCCCTCCCCTGTCTGATGCTCGTCTCTGAAACTGTGATTTTCGCACTGATCACTGATCACTGAGATCATGGGAACTCACCCGTTTATAACCCTGGAACTAACCATCACCATCAATATGAGTTTCACCCTCCTTTACTTAATTGCATGTGAAAACTCTCATCTTTGAATCGTTTCGTATGGGTAAATGTTGTAGATTTTGTAGATCATCCGATTCAAACCGATTTTGAGTCCGAGACAGAGATAAAGTCCGAAGCCTATACCAGTACGGCATGTATGACTTTCACTTTCGGTGTCTGAAATTTATAGAGTCTAAAAAGTCTCAAGAGAGTCGGAAGGAGGAATTTTCTTGCATGTTAGGGTTCGAGATGAGAAAAGAGTTCAGGGTTCGATTGAGCTCAGGGTAAGAAAAAAAGAGAAGAAAAAAAGATTTTGCGAAGTTCCGGTGCCTAGGTGCCTCTTTCTTTGAAGTATATCGGAGAATTTTCTCTATCGTCCTTACGAGAGAATAATTTGAGTAAGACGCGTCGGATGAGGATCGATAGGACTTTTCAAGGAGGAATGATTATGTGAGGTGAATGATAGATGTGGTGAATCATTTTTTTGATAGGAAGATATGGAAATGACATGTGGGCATGTGTACATTGTCGTGAACCTGATTATATCATTTTAATACGAGTAAGCTGTAATCAACTGTGAGCTGTATGCTGCACTGGTGGTGACAGAGCCAAACTCATACTTCTCCACCCCATTCCATCGCACCATTGTCGCGTCTCCTTATCTCGAAGACGCGTTCATGTTCATTTTCCCTAGGACTAAAGGAAATCACATTCCTCCCACGCCCCCCTCACTAGCGCAATATAATCTCCTTTCAGGCTCATCAAGGATCGATCCTGCGGCCTGCGATTCCTTCAGTCGGCGCCGGCGGTAATGCGGCATCTTTCAAATCAAGCTAGCAATCACCTCCCTCGGCAACTTTACAACCCTGTGAGTCTAGAACGGACGAATGTAGCGTGTGAATTGAGCATGCGCATAAGCACATAGCACACAAGAAGCAACTTAGCAGGGATTGAATGTCTCCTTCCGAGTCACACGTGCGCCACACCGAAGCCACACTCTCACCACCTGGAATGACCGAAGCCACCACGCCATCAAGATAACAGCAACTTTATCTGCATCATCCACCACAGCGGTCAGTGATCAGTGATCAGTGAACAAGGACAGACGAAGTTCTACGAACGACTCATTGAGTTTAAAGGCGTTTTCCATATTCTTCTCATCGTTCCTATGAAGGCTTACACTTTGTTCTTGTTTCAATTTAATTGGTCAGGTACTACAGTAGGTACACAGAGGTGCAACCCTCTTCGTGGAACTTGATTTCAAATCTGGACTTGGGAATGAACAATCCCTATGAGTGGGGGAGAAGCAGGCAAGACATTGCATGATAGTGATGACAATCGTAAATGACAAATGACAGAATAATGCTAGGAATGAATGCTGGTCGGTCGTACGTTACAAAGAGTCGAGTCGGGATTGGCAACGATAGTGGAACTGTGAAAAGGTGAGATTTAGATCACAACGCCGCAACGCACGCTTCGAAAGTGAGGAAGATGACCATGTTGACCTGAATGTCAGTGAGTTCATCCTTCGCGATAGCAGTACAGGTGTGTATTGTACGTCCCCGGGGACGAGGTGTTGTGAGAGTGAGAATGACTGGAGTAAATGGTTGGAGTACAGTTGGCAAGTGGGAAGGTAGAGGTTATTGGGTTCGGATGAACGACGTGACTTACAGGTACAGCTCTAGAAATCAGTCCAGACCTCACTTCAGACAACAGTCAAACTCACCGTATTAACGTAGGACCCAAACCTGCGAAACATACTCTCCACCCCTCCGCTCTCACCGCATTGACAGCGGTACGGTGAAGTGACAAAGCTTTCACCGATGATCTCTCTTCCCACGACGCTCCCTGCATGCGGGTTTTGAGAACGTCGAAAGGGAATGTGGTCTGGTTGTCAGCTCTACCTGTAAAATCACGTTTTATCCTAATTGTCTATCGAGATCCGATGTGCAGGATGAAGAAGGACATCGGAGCGAGAGATGTGATGATGCTTGGGGGAGTCAAAGAGAACGATGCGTGGAAGAGTCAACGGGTCAATACTTACCAACCATGCTGCCAGTCCCGCAAGTCCTCCAGCAGTCATCAGCTCTGGCCAACGCAACGTTCCCAGCTCAGCCTCGGCCTCTTGTATCAACCCGTGTCCATGATGATTTGCAGGAAGGGTTGCTGGGGGTTTACGTTGATTTCTGAAGTACCGACATACTGCCTCGTAGCTAACTCGTCAGATCCCTGTACCTAGTGAAGTGACTGATGAACCCTGACCGACGGTGATCATACTGATTAGATTGACGGACGGGGTATCTTTTGTCAAGTTCAATACAGAATGTGATGACACTCACGTGCAAAAGTATGGTCCATAAGCAATGTCCCTCAGAGCCGTAGCTGAGAACCCCCGATACAGTCCCCTCACCCCCTCCGTCCGAACGATGGACCGCAAGATCGAGACTATAGAAGGGTCCAGATGAGGAGGAGCGGATTGTTGTCGGACCTACTAGTCAGATTGAAGCAGTTTTACAGTCAGAATGGACATACCTTGATCAGCTCGATAGGACAAGTGAGGGACCTAAGCATCAATGAGATGTATTTGTAGGGTGTGGCTTAGACTCACGCTGCTACCACTCCACTGCCCGCTCCTGCTAAACAAATCTGCGACAAACTTGGTTCACTGTCATTTTCGGTAGAGGGATGCTGAAAACGCATGAAGAGGGAATAAGAGGAGAAGACAACTCCGTTGATCTGAATTTCTCAGCATAACTTCGAAGACTTGCAGTGAAACTTACGAAGGCGATCCCTGCCTGATGATTAGTCTGAGTGTCACCGCTACGAGATGTGGATTGACTGACCATGGGAGACCAAACACCTTTGAACAATCCATGTACCTGTTCATCAGAACAGCCCTCAAGCAGATGGTGTCATAGTCACTTTCTCCTCGCGTACAATTGCACCTGCAAGTCAGTTATTCGAACTGTTTCCATGTAGGAGGATTGTGAGGAGAGAGAAACCAACCAAAAGTTCTCCATACGGATGAGTACCTACCATTGAACTCTGGCGTCTGATATCTGACCTTTATCACGTCGAACGGTTGTCCAACTACTAACCCCGCAGCACCAGCTATGACACCGGCGGTAAAGTCAACCACAGGGGATATAGCTTTGTTGTTGCCTCGTGTTCAACTCTTCGACCACATTACGACAAGATCAGACTTACCTGGAGATGTCCCGTCATTCATCTTAATCTGATATCGTTGTTCATTGACGGAAACACAAGTGGCTGATAAGTATAAATGGAGCGTGACAGATGTGGTCGGTGTTGTTGTTGTACAAAGGAATTAACCGAGATATTATCTCCCAGTTGAGTATTACTTGGCGTAAGAAACATGGAGCCTTGTTGGCACTTTTCTGACACGCTTCAAAGAAGTACGTGGATATTAAAGATGCTTTTGATGATTAAATGATTGAGAAGGTAAGATAAGAGATGGGGGAGATAGAAGACAGTCGTTGTATCCATCCATTAGCCTCACTCACTACCTTTTCGGTTAAAGACGGGCCGATCAACCGGCAACCACTCTACGTATGTAAGATACATTCCTCTCCTCGCTCTACCTTTATGCTTGCTTCTCTATCCTCGTGCTTTGTTGCCCTTTGTATCATATCATGAAACTCAATCCCGTCGACGGGGAAGGGGAAAACACCCTATCCCAGATCGAAGAGACCATACGGGTCTTTAGTGATTTCATCAACCATCATGTCCCCTCTACCTATTACCGAGCTCCCATCATCGATCATTGGAAGCCTTCAGATTACTCGCAGCGTGAGGTGGCTGGTATGAGTAGGTTCTTAGGTCAACTCAGCACTGAAAGAGCTCACCTCAATGCTGTCAGTCGACATTCATCTCTCCTCTGCTACTCATTCTCAGACTTAGCTGACATCACAGGTCATAAGCACCTCTAAGGGCGCCACTAACTCCAACTACCCAAACCTTCGTGACATGTGTAACGCATTCATGAATTCCACCCCACCGTACATCGGTATATGCCAGAATATGAAATCACCTTGTGGGAAAGAAATCAGAGTGGACATCATAGCTGCTGGAGGAAAACAATGGATAAAGGTCAACTCGTAAATCCCACTTATATGACCTCATCACTCGTGTTGATCGTCAGTATACAAGAATCTCGTCTTTTGACTGAATTTCGATCTCAAGATATGGAAGCTATCAGTAAAGCAATGGAAGAAGATGATGATTTTCATCAAACGGCCCTTGAAACTCTCAATTTGAATCAAAAGTTAGGTCAGAGTAATGATAGAGGACTGATGGACGAATCATTGGATGAGAAAACGGAGGTTTGTTATGTGAGCCCGTGAGTCCGATCATCTTCTAAATTCATGAATGTTGATGTATAGTGATCAGATCTCCAAACTTCTATCCGAATATCGACAACGACAAGGGACCCATTCGAACCCACAGGACTGGCATTCCGATAGAAAACAACAATTGAATTGTTCCCTGATCGATCGAGCGCAAAGTCTAGTTGAAGCTGCTCAGAGTGCATCCCAAGATCTATTCGGTTCCCTTCGCTCCATTCAGATCTACTTCACTTATACCCGCCTACCCTTCAAACCCCGTGATCTTTATCAAGACCCCCGCATCCCTTCCACTCTAGAAACCATACACTCTTTGGGTGTTCAACAGATCATCGCCGTCGGGGCACCACCGAAGATTCCTCCTCCTTGTGTATATCCAACACTCATCCCTTCTAGAAATATACTACTTGATCTCTCCGTCTTGATCGCTATATGTTGTGACTCGTCGCATCACCCATTACCTACTTCAGAGGAGGATGTGGACAGAAGATTTCGCGCTATGGAAAAGGACTCAAACGGGGTCAGATTAGAACCACATTCCAACGTGTCCAAAGATCTGAAAGAACATCTCGTATCGGAGATGGATCATCCTCTCATCCAAGAACTCCAATCTCGCCTAGGTGCCTTAGGTGGAAAAGGTGAAATTGGGTTTTGGGTGACCGAAGAAGTCAAAAGTCGGTTCCCACGCATCATCAACGTCATAGGTGGACCTGGAGAGAAACGAAGAGCAAAAGCTCTCTTCGAGGATGATCCTCAGACCTTTTGGAAGGGGAGCCGATGGGAAGGAAACGAAGGACCTTTGAAATTCATTCATGTTCGATCTTTACCATCACCTGCGACGGGCGTTTATACAGGAAATTATCATTTCCTTTCAGCATTCGATCGTCGTCTAGTTCAAACATGCCAAAAAATGTTGGAAAAAGGAGCAGAAGCTGATTCTGGGCCTCGATCACGTGCGAGAAGGAAGATGAAAGCGAAACCTGGGACAACGAAATTACCCTCTGCTCATACACTACGAACCATGATGGAAGGCGTCAAATGCGGCTGGACAGTATTGACCAATAATCGTGGTTCGGTTGGGAAGGTGGTTCGTGAGATAGGTGTGTATGAAGGATTACCAGAGGAAGATCTGGGGAAGATGACTCAGAGGGCTAGATTGTGGGTGGTGAATCCTTCCAGTTTAGCAGAATGGAGTAGGATAGAAGTCGAAGAGAAGAATTCACGTGTCATGTCTTAATGACATCACGACGAGATTAAACAGATACGAAGCGATTGAAGGACATTTCAAACGTCACATGTTAGATGTCACGTATCATGGTGTTTTGTAGCCCTAAATTGTTGTATCATGTACAGATGATTATCCTCTGATTTGAAGGAGTCATTCGCTTGGAAGGTAGGTGATTCTGGCTTTCCTTTGACTGCGTAACCGATCATTCGCGATAGGCTGATGAACAGGCAACTTCTGACCTCGCTTATTTACTAACTCCATTGTTCAACGGAAGACATACCATAAACATGTGAAGATATAAATACCCCTCGTTCTCATTTGTCACTATCCTTGAATCATCTGATCAATCTTCATTCTTACACCAACATCAACACAACCTCCCAACTCAAGAACACTTTAACACAACTGACACAAGTGAAAGGGCTAACGATATGGTCGTAACTTTCAAATCTGAGACCACTGACCGTACTGAAGCTCCGTCAAACGGCGTGAACGTCTCCGAAACTCTCAACTCCTTGTTCGATCAAGGTATGACCGCAGAAGAAGCTATAGACAAGTTACATCCCTGGTCAGCAGCTGACCGTGACCCGAACACGTTCACTTTCAATATTCCCACGACTGGAGAACCGACCGCTGAACCCACGTCGACGAGTGACAAACCGAGAAACTCGTCTCGCCCATCCCCTTCGGCAGACATCAAATACAATCCATATGGGCCGAACTCTGTTCGAGTGTCGCAAAGGCCAATATCCTTATTCTCAGCAAACGATCCCGGTCCCGCCCCTCCTATGGGTCTTCCACCTCTACCGTCGATGGTTCCTGTGTCTATGGGTTCCACTGGTGCTTATACAGTGGTTCCTATCGCCCAACTAAACTCGGATCTTTCTCAGGTGTACCTACAGCGTCCTGGTGCTACTCAACTCAATATAGGCCGCCCCAACATGTATAGCACGACGAACCCCACTGGACCCCCTCCATATCCGATAATGCAGTCTCACGGAATGCCAACCATGCCGAGTACCAATCCTGCAGCATCGTTACCCGTCCCAAGTCAATCCCATTCGACTCAATATCCACATCGTCACAACCTCTTCTCTCCAGAGCCGGAATGCCGTGAAGCAGCGGCTCGATACTTGCGAGATAAACTGTCAGCGACTGGAAGTGAGTACACACTCTTGTCCTCGGAACATTCTAAGAAGCTTCATGAAGATTCAAAGGCGTTGGGAGCGTCTAAAGACACGATCCAACGATTAAGCGCCCAGAGCAGAGAAGCTAGTGAGGAAGTGGAGAAACAGAGGGCGAGGGCTAGTAAGTGGAAGGTGGAGGCAGAGGACTTGAGTAGTAAAAGATACGCGCTTGAAGAGCGGAACCAGAGCATGAAAGAAGAGATCATAAGGCTCAGGAGTAGGCCAGGTGGTGATGACAGTGACGAAGATTCATTGGTGGATGATTAGGGAGCGAGTGCGAGGAATCAACGAGCGAATAGCGTCTGTTTTATGTACCCGTGATCAAGATGCAGAGATGACTGTATGACGGATGTCAGCGTCGTGATCGTGAGGAAGACTCTAGCGAACAATCAAGCTGATTTTCATGACCTTGAGGATTGTCGACTGTATTGACAGATACAACAAAGATGAGGAGGTAAAAGTGGCCATGCCAAGGTAAGCTCAGTCATTACTAATACCTGACTTAATCCTCATTAGGAAATCGAGAGGTCGGAATCCTAATGAGGGATTAGTAACGGAATCAAAATTTCACCTTGATTTCTCGACTGACCCAATTCACTTTCTTCCCTCCATTCCCCCCCTCTTCCTCGTGTTTGACCCGTCATCTTCGCTCTTTCACTCTCCCTTCCTCTCGTATCCCATATACCCTTCTCTCACGTCTCTTTCAGCTCTTCCATACCTGACCTTTCACCCATCTCAACATCCGAACTAATATTCAACAAATGAGAAAGTCATAACCACCCGTCCCACAGAGGTGTTTCACAATGTCCATCCCACCCAGGACAGGTCGTCCACGTAAGGCATCCATCGCCGCTCTACATGGACCGATCGGGACACCCACGATGGAGACATCGACACCTTCTATAGTCGGAGCCGGTATGAGTATGCCACCACCCAGTTTCAGTGTCAGTGGACCTATGACTGTGGCCGATTGCGAACATTTAGCTGCTCAATTGTTAGATCCCAGTGTTGGTGAGTAATTCGTCATCACCACATTTGTTTCTTGAAACAAACTGACGGTGTAGGTTTGAAACGAAAACTTGACATAGGTATGTCTTGAGTCAACAATTCAGAGGTAGAGGTTATGTTGATGATATAGCGGTGGAATTGAGGGATTCCGCAGAGACAGCCAGGGATTTTGGTTTCTATGAAAAATACCTCGGAGCTTTGATCCCTTCAGTATGTACCGTACTAGGAGATGAGAGGACCATATCTTTCACTAGAGATAATCTCGAGCAGGTGAGTCTACCCAAATGAGATCAAGGGAAGAGCTGAATGACTTTCATTAGAGATTGAGACATACCCTTCTTTCTTTCATACAACGCTTACCTCATCATGAACCTCTTCGTCCTCACGTGGCTAAGATCATGGAGCTCATGATCAAACTACTAAAAGTAGAGAATGAAGAGAACGCAATGTCATGTATAAAGATAATGATTGATGGTATACGAAGTCATAAGGTATGTCCCTCCTTACATTCCACATATGTTGCTTATACTTTCAGGAACAAGCTGAACCACTGGCCGAACAGTTCTTGGATTTGGTCAAACAGATGTATGCTAATATCAAATCTGTGGTAGAGAAAGAATTTGGACCTCCATCCACTGTCAAACCTCTTGTGAGTCATCTTCGACAACCATTTCATACATCTGTTGACGTTGAAAGATTACTGGGCCGTCTTCTTCACCTGTCCCCGTTACACCAGGAAGTGACACTCCTTTTCCTCAAGCGCAACCTACCACACCGGCTCCTACCGTCCTTGCCCGTTCACTGTACTCTCCCAAAGTCCTCACCGAATGCCCTATCGCCGTCGTCCTCATTTTCCAAACTTTCAAGTCCATCATGCAAGGTGCTCTACTCGATTTCTACCCCCTTGTGCTAGAGAGCATCAAACTACAACCAGAACCTCAACGACTGGCTCATCTTGAGGCCAAGGAAAGAGGAGAGACGTTCACGGGCGTTACACCCGCCATCACCAACCGTGAAGTTTATACCGAACTCATCAAGGCGCAAGTCAAGACAATGGCATTTGTAGCGTACATTTTACGAGGTGCTCAGAATGTCAACGTCAAGGACTATCTCGAAGTGTTCCCAGAAGCTTGTATCCGACTACTGAGGGACTGTCCACCTGAAGATGTAGGTACTCGGAAAGAACTTCTCGTCGCCACCAGACATATTCTTTCAGCAGAATCCAGATCGGCGTTCATCCCTTACATTGATACGTTGTTGGAAGAGAAAGTTCTAGTAGGGTCAGGCGTGTCAAGTAGGGAAACACTACGACCTCTTGCATATTCCGTTGTCGCGGATCTCATCCATCATGTCCGTAACGAACTCCCCATGTCGCAACTCTCCCGGGTCGTGTATGTCTTTTCCTGTAACCTCAACGATGCTTCCTTCTCTGGAGCTATCCAAACAATGTGCGCAAAGCTCCTCAACACTCTCGTCGATTCGATCATCAGCAAAGGTGAACCCACCGAAGCGTCTAGGATCTTACGCGGCATGTTCTTCACAGCGTTGGAGAAGTTGCGATGCATGACGGAAACATACGATCGTTTGAAAGCGATACAGACGTGGGACAAAGCACAAGAACAAGCGAAAGAGGAAGGAACAGAGCGTAAAGATCAAGTTGACGTTTCTGGCGATGTCAGCATGACCGACATCGAGGATCCTGCCGACAAGCAGAAATTCGGATGGAGATTTATCGAACAATCCATGCCGGTATATTCTGTTGCTTACGCCAAGGAATCTCTTGAAGCTTTTTGCAAGGAAGCGCGTTATCTGTTCAAGACACTGCTTCATACCATCCGAACTTTACTAGCAGCATCACGTTCTTCCGGTCAAGATGCCCAACCTATGCCTCCTCCAGATGGTGAAATGCTCGGCGAGTTCTTCCGTCACGCTCTACGTTGTCTTGCCATTTTCGAAGGTCAACGTGAGCCACGCGAGTCCAAAGATGCTGTGGAATTGGTCGACCAAATATTACTCATGTTTGAACCGCACGTCTTCGCTGAAATCTGGACACTCAACATGGACTTCTTCGTCGAGCAAGCTACTGTCAGCCTTCACGTGTTTCCTGTCCTACAAACTTTGATCACCCACGAATCGGTCTCTCACCAGCTTGTCGCTATCCTCCTCAAGTACCTCATGGCTCATTTGGGCGACCTAGGTCACGAATCAAAGGCCAAGACCAGTATCTGTCTAAGATTGTTCAAGATGTCATTTCTCGCCATCAACACGTATATCGCCAGTAATGAGTCTGTCCTCGTCCCTCATCTGCAAAAGCTCATCATGGAATCTTTTGAGCATGCTGCCAAAGCAGACGATCCAGCCATCTACTATCAAATCCTTCGTGCATTGTTCCGATCCATCGGCGGTGGAAGGTTTGAAGCGTTGTACAAAGAGGTCTTACCCATCCTTCATGAAATGTTAGACACTCTGGCTTACCTCTTACAACACACCAGTGATACGGCACAGAGAGATCTCTTCGTCGAACTCACGCTCACTGTCCCCGTCCGATTGACCAATCTCCTTCCTTACTTGTCATACCTCATGAAACCCCTCGTACACGCACTGCACGCGGGCCCAGAGCTCATCAGTCAAGGTCTTCGAACTTTAGAGTTATGTATCGACAATCTCACTGGCGACTTTCTTGATCCTACCATGACTCCTATCCATCGAGACCTCATGATCGCCATGCAAGCACTACTCAAGCCCATCCCTGCCAACAGACAACATGCGGGAGCAGCGGTCAAGATTCTCGGCAAGCTCGGCGGACGTAATCGGCGTTTCCATGAGGTAGATCACGATCTACAATACTGGAGTTCCAACTCTAGATTGCTTGTCCCTATATCTTTCAAAGGGAAAACTGGCAGTCTTCCTTTGTCGCCATTGGTTCAAGCCGCAACTTCTGCTCTTCACGATTCCGACGCGCTATATCAAGACGAGGCTCTGCAGGCCCTGATGCTTACCTCTTTGACGGTGTTCGAAACGGATGCTCCCAATCCTGAAGGGAATGATACGTTCCAGGAGACTATTTGTGGACTTGTGCAAGCCACTCAGCAAGAGGCTATCGCTGAGAAAGCAATCAAGTTTATCCGCAGCTTCTGCAGCAGAATGTTCACGTCTGAGATCAATCGATCGGATGCTAGCCCTGGCAAATTCTCCCATGAATCCAATCGTAAAAGACTCCTTCCGCTCACCAGCGCCTTCTTCGACTCTTTTGTTTTTGCTCTCGCCCAAGTCAAGGAATCTGAACGACCCGGCATCATCTCCGTACTTGTCACGCTAGTCAACGATCTCCGGGGAATGTCGCAAAATACACCATCGAATCATTCCCCAGAAACGGCCCGTGTCATACAGACCCTTCTCAGCCGTCTCGTCACTTTATGTCAGGACGAAGATTGGTCTCGCAAGATGGCTGGTGTCAACGCCATAACCGCAATCATGCGAATACCCGATATCAGCCGACAAATTTTGATCGATCTTGAAATAGAGCTAGTCCGAGCTTTCATGTTTTGTCTTCGCGATGCTCCCAAACATGTCCCGAGATCAGCCGATAAAGTCAAGGAGGCAGTCATATTCCTTCTCCGCACATGTCAAGGACACGACGAAGGTAAAGTACGTATACCACGATTGGTTGATTGTTTCATCACGGAGTTGAATGGCCAAAATGAACTCTCCCGCTCAAGCACGCGGGAATTCATCAGCTTACTAGCGGAGCTTACGGCGCAACCGATTCTCAACCTCATTCAAACCACGGTCAAAGCTCGTTTACTAGATCCACAGGGAGCTATCTTTTCGAAGCCTCTTCGAGCTATAGCGATGCCTATGCAAGTCGGGAATATCGACGCTATGACGTATATAATCGAGCTCCGTCCTCCACTCGTTGAGACAACAGAAGAGTTTGTGCGTATGTTACATGAGGTGCTTGCACTTGCGGACGTGGACGATCCAGCACCCAAAAGTGCCAATTACAAGGATGAAGTGTGGCTGAAACGCTTGAGGATTTCTTGTCTCAAGCTGCTCAACGCGACCATGGCATGCCCTGAATTACTATCCAAACCTCATGTGGCGAACATCCGCTCAAAGTAAGTTACTCGCTTCAACATCACATGTGTCCGCTAATGCAGCAGAATTATACAGGTCTACTTCAAGCATGTGTATTCGACCAACTCGCCAACAAGTGATATCGCTCATGATGGTCTTCGAGAGGTCCTCAGTCACCAATCTAAATTGCCGAAAGATGTGCTCCAGACCGGCTTACGACCCATTCTCGTCAATCTTGCCGATGCTAGGCGTTTAAGTGTGACAGGTCTAGAGGGACTCGGTCGTTTCCTCGAGCTCTTGACCAATTACTTCAAAGTGGAAATCGGTGTCAAGTTACTGGACCATCTATCTACCTTGGGCGATCATCAAATGTTGGCTGAGGCTGCTCGAGATCCATTGGACGACAACACTGACATTGCTCGCATGACCAGACTCGTCAACATCTTCCGTCTTCTCCCATCGACCGGAGTTCAATTCCTCAAAAGTCTCACGAGTATCGTGGTGGATGTCGAAGCTCAATTACACCAATCCTCTCCTGGGCCGTTTACCGTCAGTTTAGGTCGTTACCTCGATCGATATCATGTTGAAGCCGCACAAAACTTGCTCGATAATATAAGCCATTCGAGATACATATGGACCTATCGGTGTATCATCATGTCGGATTCTGCACCTCTTCTCGTGGAACAATTGTCAAATAACGCAGAAGCAATCTGCGAAATGTGCTTCAAGGATCCAGATAATACAGATCTTGTTATCCCTGGCTTATATCTCATTCGAGAGCTGTCACGCAAGTCTCCTTCTTGGTTGGCAGAACGCGAGCCTGTCCTATCCGCTCTGGTCGTAGTTTGGCGTTCTATTCTCGAGAAATCACGTAACTCGAAGATCAACATGACTGGTCCTCATTATCAGGTCATTCCAACGTTGATTTTGGAAATGTTCATGACAGCTCTCCGATACCAGCATATCGTCCCTCTTCTTTTCCACGTCGTCGAGGCTTTCGAGATCCGTAGCTCGTTCGAAAAGTCCTTCGTGTCCTTCTTCCTCTACGAGCAAGCGGCGTTGCAAGATTCTGTCGAATATCGACGAGAGGTTATCGAACATTTCCTCAATATCTATGAAGATCCTTCCGTTACTTGGGCCTTCAAGACGAATGCTCTTCGTGTCATTGTCAATCCCACCATCAGAACCTACTTTGCAGACGACAAGCAAGACGGTTCTCTTATCACACACGGAGCAGTGCAGAAGATTGCCTCTTTGATGTGGCAACCTCTCGGAGCCACCGCCGCGGCTAGAGCGTTGGACGACACGACACTCATTGAGATTTTCGTACTCACCACTTTGTTGGTACATCATTGCAGTGTGAAAGTCAGCGATGTCCGGAAGCATGTTTTCAAGCTAGCTTGGATGGGTATAAACCTTCTCGAACCGACTGTCAAGCTTACGGCGTATGTCCTGACTGCGCGATTCATGTCGACTTTCGATACCCCTTTCAAATTCGTTCGTCTCACGTGGATCGGTGTTCTCAGATTGAAAGATACGGAGAATCGAACTCTTTTCCGTCAAGCAACGGATATTCTTGCTGCTTGTCTGCCAATCCGAGATCCTCCTACCGTTGGCACACCAGAATGGGCTCAACGATTGCGCGCTATCCTGGTGGAGGATGGACCTGCGACCGGACAAGTGGTCAGCGTCTGCGAGTTACTGGTCAATCACGCCGATTTGTTTTACGATTATCGAGAGCTCTATGTTCCTCAGATCGCCAACTCCTTGTCGAAGCTTGCCTTTGCTGCTGCTTCTACACCCGAGTTGCGCAAACTCACCATTGATATTGTTGAGCTTATCTTCCGGTGGGAGAAACGGCGGATGGCCGCTCGTGATGAGGCGATGGATGTGGATGAGAAGCGAACTCTGCAGGACTCGCCCGAAGCAGCATCAAGTAAACGACATAGACTTGATAGGGCTGGTACGGTCGTTTCAGCCAGTAGTGGTGGTGGATGGGCTGCACCAAGTCAAGTCAGAGAGATGATGACCTCTCACTTGATGCGATTCGTCTCGTCTGCTCAAGAGTCTTCAACCAGAAACAGTTTGGTCAAAAGAGCTTTGAATCTCTTCAAAGAAATGCTGGGTCCGAAAGGTTTACCGAACGTTCAGGTGAAACTCAGCTTCTTCCATCGGACATTGGGACATGTAAGTCATCCCACAAGATTTGAGACATCACTTACTGGCAGGATATAACACCAGAGAATATCAACCAGGTTGCCAACTCGACGGAAGTCATCGCAGCTGTTGCTGCTGTCAAAGATCGGAATTGGGTCAAAACGAATCTGGCCCTTCTCACCAAGCTTCTTGAGAAAGTTTGGATGTTCGACGATTCGACTTTACACGAGACTGTCAAAGATCTCACCGAACAAATGCTCAAGGAAATGCCAGAAGATGAGAACGCAGAAGCCGATGCGGATTCGAAAGCCCTACTTGCCGTCGTACAAAACGCAGTGACTGAAGGTCTCGCCGCAGGTCTTCGATCCAGCTCTCACGTCCCTGGAACAATCTTCCTCCTTGATTGCTGGCTCAAAGCTCAGCCGAAGCAACTTCAAAACGACGCTATATCGTCCGGTCTTCTCAAAGTACTCGCAAATCTTGTCAAAATCCAAACTGCCACTGGCGCACCAGAGTCGGCTCATCGACTGATCATCTCTATCTTGGACCTTTTGCGAGATCGTGTGGCCGACCTACGTGAACAACGGAAGCATCTGCAGAGCGTGCTTAGCACATTGATCGAGCGTTCGACTAATCTCGTCCTCTGTCGTTATCTCCTCGATCTGATCCGTCATTGGGTGTTGGACGATCCCGAGCCAACTTCTCAAGGCAAAGAGAAGGCGGCGTTATTGATGCGCATGACAAGTTTTGATCAGCGGGACGATGCGTTATTCCAAAGTTTTCTCGAGGTGGTTTACCAAGTGTATGAAGTCGAGTCTCTCCGTGGATCAGATATCACACATCGTTTAGAACCGGCTTTCCTCCTTGGCACCCGATCCAAGGACCCGGCACAGCGAGCCCGTTTCCTCGGCAAACTCGAACAGAGTCTTCCTACGGCGATAGATGCCAGATTACAGGCGTTGTTCTCAATTCAAAACTGGGATGTTTTGGCGGATTTCTATTTCATTCCCGAGATCCTGACTCTGCTTCTGGGTGTCGCGCGTACGGACGATCCATGTTTGAAGACGGAATTGGAGAGACAAGACGACGATGACATGCTGGCTGATCTGGCCACCACAGCGACAACTGGGGATTTATTCCGATCCCTCAGTACCTTGGCCTATCTCAGTTCTCCACTCGCTCACCACGCTTGGGTCACCGTATTCCCTCTCGTTTGGTCTTGTCTGTCACGTCAACAACAAATCATCTGTACGCCCCACATTGTCAAGTTGCTCTCTAAAGAAAGCCTTCGAAAACAGGCTGAATCACGTACAAATGTCGTGCAGACCTTCCTTGCTGGCTTCCTTCCCTGCTCACCGCCCATCGCGCTTCCGCCGACTCTGATCAAGTACCTTGCCAAAACTTTCAACGCTTGGTACATTGGATTCGAACTCCTCTCCGGTCTCACCGAAGTGTTCAAAGGTGACGACGCTCTCCGAGAGAGTTGCACGACCTCGCTCGCCGAATTATATGCCGATTTGAACGAAGACGACATGTTCTATGGTCTTGCTAGAGGTCGTTGTGCCTTTGTGGAGACTACGGCTGCTCTCACTTATGAACAGAATGGAAGATGGCAGCAGGCAATGGAGATGTACGAACAGGCCCAGACCAAGGCTAGGAATAGTCTGCTGCCATTCAGTGAGGAAGAGTATTGTTTATGGGAAGATCATTGGATTCTGGCTGCGCAGAAGTTACAGAACTGGGACTGGCTATTAGATTTGGGACGTGTCGACAACGATGCGGATCTATTGCTTGAATGCGCTTGGAGATTGAGCGATTGGACTTCCCCGGATCGAGAAACCTTTGATCAGAATATTGCCAAAGTGATCGATGTGCCCACCCCTCGACGGAAGACCTTTGAGGCATATTCGGCATTACTCAAAGCTCATGCTGCCAGAGAACCACCCAACGACTTCTTGCGTATCCTCGACGAAACTCAGCAGGTGTCGTTACGCAAATGGGTCAGCTTACCCACGCACATCACCCCGGCGCACATCCCGTTACTTCAACAGTTCCAACAATGTGTCGAGCTGGCCGAAGCTGCCTCGGTTTTCGACAGCTTGAGCATGACCAACGCCGCCAACCTTGAAGTTCGCGTCAATGGAGATCTCAAGCAGATCTTCCATACCTGGCGAGATCGTCTTCCGAACTTTTACGACGACATCAATATTTGGTCCGACATGTTGGCATGGCGTAACCATGTTTTCCAAGCTGTCACAAAAGTCTATGTACCGCTTATACCATCTGGTGAGACGGGAACTTTCGGTTATCGCGGATATCACGAGACGGCATGGATGATCAATCGATTCGGTGAGGTTGCTAGGAGACATGGCTTGCTCGACGTATGTTCAATCGCTCTCAACAAGATCTACTCCTTGCCCAATATCGAAATCTCCGAAGCTTTCCTCAAATTACGAGAACAGGCTTTGTGTTTCTTCCAGAAACCTGACAAGTTCAACGACGGACTTGAGAACATCAGTACGACGAATCTCATGTATTTTGCCCCGGCACAAAAGGCCGAATTCCTCACCCTCAAAGGCATGTTCATCTCCCGCCTTGGACAAGATGAGGAGGCGAACGCCGAGTTTGCCCATGCCATTCAGATGGACATGGGTTTACCGATGGCTTGGGCGGAATGGGGTAAATTCAACGACAAACTTTACCGCGATCGTCCGGAAACAGTCCCAGGTCCACCGCCAGAGCCCGAACCCGGGAAACCCAAGTTGACTGAAGAGCAATATGCTAGTATGTACGCTAGAGATCGTGCGGTATTGGCTTCCAGTGCTGTTAGCTGTTATCTCCAAGCTGCGGGAACATACAATAATCACAAATCTCGAGCGTTGCTCCTCCGGGTTCTCTGGTTGCTGGGCTTGGACGACAGTCACGCCACCATTTCGAGGGCGTTCGAAAACTACAAAGGCGATCTGGTCATTTGGTATTGGCTCACTCTCATTCCTCAATTGCTCATGTCACTCTCTCATCGTGAGGCTAAACATGCTCGACTTATCCTCACTCGGATCGCCAAACAACACCCACAAGCGTTGTTCTACAGTTTGCGAGTGACCAGAGAGGATTTCAGCAGTCATAAACGTCAACAAGCGATGTTGAGTCGAAGTATCAACGCCAAGAAAGCAATGGAGGCTTCCAAAGCTGGTAATCCTGCAAGTTCGGTCTCGGGAGATGGCGCTGCCGACTCGCCCAACCCCGACTCGAAAGACTCCAAAGACAAGGAGGATGCCGTCGCTGGTACCCCGTCCAGTCAACCGAATCCCGCACCGACGCCTACTAGCGGAAACTTGCAGGTCCCCGGTATGCCTGGACAGTCGATGGCGGCTCCTCGACAACCGCTGGATTTGGTCGAGGAAATTATGAACCTTCTCAAGACGACCTACCCTCTGCTCGCTCTGACAATGGAAAAGATGGTGGATCAGATTTCTCTACGTGCCAAGCCGTCATCAGAAGAAGATATATACCGATTCTTTGCTGCTCTACTCAACGATGCTATGCAACAATGGGGAGGACGCAATGGTCTGCCAAACGATGATGGTGAATTGAATCAGGCAACGAAGGACAACCTATCCAAGTTTGCTAACAATCTCACCGGGGACCTCAAGGTGAGCTGTCAGGTTCTACCGCGCGGACAAGCTGACACAAAGGCATCGATCGAGGTCGACTTCATGAAGGATATGCCTAAATTGCGCGAGTACATCAAACGTTTACAGTTCTGGCGTGATAGCTACGAAAAATCTCTGGACGCGCGACCCAGGGCTCAACCTATCGATCAAGGTGGCTGTAACCTCTTGGACTTCCATCACACTCGTTTCGACGAAGTGGAAGTGCCAGGGCAATATGTCCAGGTGAGTTCCGTCCTGTCTATTGGGGTGTGCAGACGATCTGACCTTGTTAGCATGTCGATCAAACGGAGGAACTCGTCAAAATTGCCAGGTTCTCTTCGAAGGCGGAGTTAGGTCGAGGCCATGGTCATTGCTTCAGACGAGTCATCATGATTGGCTCTAACGGTGCTACGTACACATGGAACGTCCAACTACCTGCTGCAAGGCATTGTCGTCGTGAAGAACGACTTACGCAACTATTTAGGATAATGAACTCGTGCGTCCTCATCTCCTTTCCGTCTGATGGATGATATCTGATTCTCAGTGTAATGAAGAAACGCGTCGAGACGAGAAGGAGGAATCTTCAATTCCATCTCCCCACAGCCGTAGCATTGGCTCCACAATTACGTCTGGTACAAAACGACTCGTCCTACGTCAGTCTCCAGGATATATATGACGATTATTGCAACAAGCAAGGCATGTCAAGAGAGAATAGTATCATGGCGGTTTACGACCGAATGAAGTTGTTACATGATCCTACCATGTCACGAGTAGGTTTGCACACACACAATACATTCTTCTTGCTGACCGTTTAGACTGACCCCCGTTTCTTGCAACTCAAGATCGAGGTGATGGATGAGATACAGGCAAAGATGGTACCGGAGACGATTCTCACCAATGTATGTTTTCCTCGTCGTACCTCAACTCTCCTGGATCAAGAAATGAAAAGTTGCTGACATAAAAGTATATGATCAAAACGATGAATTCACCAGATAGTTTATGGTTGATGCGTAAACAATTCGCACTTCAAACGGCCACTGTCATGTTCCTCACCTACGTCTGCAGTTTGAGTAATCGTACCCCGAGCAGATTCCATCTTTCGAGGAGAAGTGGATTAATGTATATGACTGAGATTCTTCCGGGTATGTCTTAAACCCTTGTTTACTTTCATTCACTCCATTGGAATGTAGAGCCGAGCTGATGGAATCAGCTTTCGCCAATGGCCGCGCGATCATCGAATCCAACGAATCGGTACCATTCCGTCTCACACCGAACATGCAACATTTCATCACTCGTGTTGGTATAGAAGGGATCGTCACTTCGGCCGTTACGGCCATTGGACGGTCTCTCACCATGCCAGAGTTTGATCTGTCAGGATCGCTCAGTTTGTTCATAAGGGATGAGGTGAGTTGTTTCTTTTCGTTCCTCATTTCACCTCCACACGTTGCATGATTGCACTATCCTTGCAGTTGATGCTTGTTCCATGAAGATTTGTTGGAACGTATGTGGTCATGGATTTGGGTGGTACAGAACTAACATCCAGGTCCTCACTTGGACATCTACTTATAGCAAAGACGCCAAGACGGAAGCTCCCATCACTCAAACAGTTTACAAAAACGTCGATGCGTTTATTCGTCGAGCGTCACTCATGGGTTATTTGGGAGAGAACAAGGATAAAGTTGGTCTTTTCCTCCTTCTTACCTCTTACTCTGGATCTGTTGATTTGCTCTGTCTCTAGCCTATTTCGATCCTCGGGTTTCAAATTAGATGTCAGTTCAGAGCCATGTTGACGCTTACAGACCCCTATGGCATCTCCCGCTGTACATCTCATCGTTCAACTCATCTCACAAGCCACCGCACCTCTCCAATTAGCACAAATGAACGAAAACTTTATGGCTTGGTATTAAATCTTCGTCGTTGCTGTCATTCCAGGAAAACAAAAATCTAATGGATCTATTGTTGTATAGTCAAATCAGAATGCATGTTCATGTCACTATAGTTCAGTAAGCAATATGCATCATCACATCAAATAACATGTATCATTCTGATCTAAAAATGATAGGTAGAATATGCATCGTGATGATATCATTGTTGAGGAGATCGAGAAGCCATTTGAAGAGCAGTGACGATTCCTGCCAATCTACGATAATCTCTTAATAAAGCACCAACATCTGATAAACGTAAATCTGCCAGATCGCAAGTGACGAATCTTTCGATAGGTGGTTCAATGTCTATCAACGAAGGAGGAAAAGAAGGGAGAGAAGAGGTACTTCCCGTGGGTGATTTAGGATCTGGTGTATGAACGGAGAGAGAAGTCGTAAGGTTCTATCAACGTTAGTTTTCAAACAAATACATTCTACTCCAAAAATACGTGAAGAGTGAAAGGTTAAAAGATGTTTTATGATAAACTTACTTTGATAGGTTGTGGTGGAGGTATAGGTGGGATTTCCAAATTAGTATTATTTATCGAAGGAGTCGGACTTGAATATTTCCCAAGTACACCGATAGAAGCTAATCTATCACTTAAACTTGCCCTTTCTTCTTTTTGACCTTCTTTATCATCACGTATTTGTCTCTCTTTATCTTTATCTTTTTCTTTTTCTTCCTTTGATATTCTATCTTTTTCAATTCTTTCACGTTCACGTTGACGTTCTCTATCCTTTTCCTTTTGTTCCCTCATAGTTGAACTAACGCTCTTTATACTTCTAGCTTCACTACCAGCTCTAGATCTTCCTAATAAAATAGGAACTGATTGTTCTTCCATTTCTGATTCTGATGATCCATCTTGTGACTCATTTTCAATTCTACGAGAAGGGAAAGAAACATCAATCATTTCTCTACCCATTGGTAAAACTTGAGTCGCTTTTGAATTAGCTCTTGAACGTGATCTAGCTGCCGCAGTAGATGCAGCAGCAGCGGCTATACTTGCTACACTAGCCGTAACACTTGCTAAAGAAAATGTTGAAGCTTGTCTTTGACGTATTCGAGGTCGATCAGGTATTAAAGTCGTTTCTGATCCTTCTTGAGATTGATTAGAAACTATTAATCCACGTAAAGCTGTCCAAGAAGAATCAACTACTCCAGTTATAACTTTATTCGCACTTCCCGCTGCACTCCCTGCGAGTTCACCAACTTGAAACACCTTTCCTCGAAGACGTGAAGAAGCAGATGCTATACTAATTGCATCTTCGTTTGATTCATCCACTAAAGCAAGACCGATAGGTGATAAATCAGCTATTGACATGACTTTGGCAGAATCTTCTCCTAATCCTAAATCGACCAGATTGACATGTTCGAGGAATTCGACAACGGCAGTGAGGTTGACAACGGCGTAAGAAGCTTCCCCAGTTAAACAAATGGCAGATCGATATCTTCGAAGGTACATGAGTTGTGAGGCCAGTTGAGGTGGGTTTGAACGAACGACAGAATAGATGATGATTGGAAGTATGAGATCAGCACCAGATGTACCAGGTGTCGAGGTTTCCAATTTCTCATTGTTGAGCTTATCAGGAAACGAATCTGTCATGAGGATCATTGGTGTGGTCGAGGGCTCGGGAAGGTCGGTCGGTTCGATAACGGGAGTGGTCAATGAGAGAGGGGCGATAGGAAGTGTCAGGACCGATGATGACATTGCTTCCTGAAGTTGAGAAGAATCCATGGGTTCTGTCGGAGGAGATAGGTCTAATACAGGAGGTGCTGTATTGGAACTGGACGGAAAAGCATGTGGAGTCTCTTCTCCCGTTTCATCTGCTTGTACATGAGAGTCTGTCGAACGATCCCAGGTGGGATCATCGTGCATCGAGGCGTCGTTATACACACCCTGCTCCAGGATTTCCGGCAACTCTACATCTGGTAGTCTGTCTCTGGACGACGGTTGAGGTGTAGGCCTGTACGGCTCTCCTTCCGGTCTCAGCTTTATGGTTGGCAATTTTGCCAATCCATCCACTACCAGCTTGTGAGCCCGTATGAGAACATCCGCTTTGTCCTTTGGTGACAGGCAGTCTACCGAAGTGAGGTGCTGAAATTGTTCGCCGACCTCTTGAGCGATATCATTCAGACCGGTAGTGATAATGCTATCATTTCCTGTCGCCGTACCAAGTTCCTCGTCAGGTCGAGTGATCAAGCCCAAATGGTCGAGTGAAAGATCCAATATGTTCAGAGCCGCGATCCGTGAGGCCAGAGCTTCATCATGTTTTGGATCATCAGATTCAAGAGGCGAGTACAGTCTTTGCCGTAAGCGAGCGAACAAAATCCGCAGCAGTAACTCACCGGTTATACAGAAGTTGACAGACAATTGCCTCCACGCGTTCTGTTCCATCACTGGCTTGTCGCTCAGCCATCTCTTCTCTGTCCTTCCGTCTCTTCTCCCTCGCAGCGGCGTCATCAGCTTCTTCCAGATCACTTCTCCCTCGGATCCCACCGCTGCTTTTCCGCAGGAGACCCTCGGCGATGGTCGATGAAGAATCGGATCGAAAATGATCCACCAGATCGTCATACACCCCCTCCATGAAGTCTTGAAGCCTGTCGCCGCATGCCGCAGGATCGCAGAAGTCCAGCTGCAGCATCCCTTCGTCGGGATGAGGTTTGACCGATTCTTTCTCAGTTGCATTTCCCAACGTTGGACAAATAGCAGGAAGAACCAATCGGACCACCCTTTCAACGACCTTGTCCGGCAGACGGGCCAAGTGCTCCCGCACATATGCCCGGAGGGCCTTACTGAGGGTCTTGTGAACTTCTGAATGTCGAATAGATCGAGACACAGTGTATGCAGATACTGTGAACCCATCTTGTGTAACATCTGCGAGGAGGGAGGCGCCATCATGATGGTCGATGGACAGAACAGATGGTCGAGGACTGTTGAGAAGAGGTGAAGCGGTACCTTCCGGGGCATACCCGGACGGAGACAAGGGACGTTCCAGCGTCGGAGCATCACGCTTGGTAGGGGATGTGGCTTGGCCGAGGGAAGGCGAGGAAGTAGGAGTAGGCGAAGAAGATGAGGAGCCAAAGAACGAAGCGAAGGGATTTATCCGGCCTATTTTGCCAGGTGTTGTCTTGTCTTTCTCCTTTTCCGTCGCGGTGATCAAGGAGGCAGACTTGCTAGGGGGAGGGAAGACGAGAGACGCTGTATCGGTTGATAGTGTGAAAGAAGGGAAATAGGTGGGAGGAGGAAGGGGAAAGAGGGTCGGACGCAGTGCAGAGATGGCCGCTGAACGGCTGCTGGGATCGCGCAAGGCCTGAAGAAGTGGTGAGTCGTTCGGAACAATGGATTGGAAAGACAGCTCGCTACTATGCTTGTCAGTATGAGCTACAGAAAGACCACGGGACGTACTTATGCAACGTACCCACGAGACCTGACAGTGTCACTATTACGTTACACGTGGTCGTCGATTCCTTTCCTCCTTCGCTTGATGGCAGTGAAACGCTCGGTCCGAGATAGATGATATGATCTCTGAGTATCTGAGGAGTGATGGGCAGCGATGAAGACGAGGACGTCGGGAGCAATAGAAAGGCCTGATACGTGAGCTCGAGGAAGAAACGTCATGACTGACACATACCTTTCCGTCGTTGAGGATCCTGAGCACATCACCCCAGTCACCTCCTTCTCCAGCCTTTTGTCGTCCAGTCCCACCCTTTTCAAATATTGTGTCGATCATGGCTATTCCCATACTTCCATTCCCCAGTCCTATCCTCTGTGCTGCGGCTTTGAGACTTTGTAATTGCAGTCGTGTGGTGGCTGTCCCACTGCTTCCGGTCGATGCTGTCAAGTCCTCTGCGGCGGAAGGTGGGAGCGCGAAAGTGGTGGAAGTGGAAGTAGATGTTGTAGGTGCGGCCGCCACTGATGATGGTGACATTGGAACAGATACGGTAGGTATAGATGGTCCGGTACTTGGTGATGTATTGATGCCGAAGACCGAATCGTAGCTACCGGTGGAAGGATGACCGGCATGTTTCTGTCGAGGTTTGTAGGGCAGGCCACCCACTTGACCGACACCTTTGTGGAAGCTAGATTCGCGTGAGTGAGAAGGAGGAGGTAGGTGATGATGAGATGGACCGGCCTCTGAGGTGTCGGCAGGGACGGTGAGATTGAGCTGAGAAGAGGAGGCTGCTAGGAGGGGATGAGTGAGTGTCTCGGAGGGAGCTTTACGTGCGCGGAGACTCAGGGTGGAGAAGATGGACTGCTTGGGTTGAAGATGTGCGTCTGACATATCTAGAAGATAGTTATGTTTGAGTGTGATATGGGTACAAGAGGAAGAGGATACATTTGACCATAAGTTAAGGGACGACACTGCCAGAAGGGAACCCACACTGACATCATCCTTGACACGCCTAACTTGTAGTTTAAAGCCTAATCACGGGGAGCCCTCGCGTGCCTATCTCGGCTGCTCCTTCCGTTCCTCTTTCCGAACAAAGACATCATCCTCATCTTGTAATACCCTAATCCTACTCTTTGACCTTGTCCCGTCTCTATCCTCATGTCCCTCCGATCGGCCCTCCGTGTAGCTCGTACAGCTCGTCTGGCTTCTCCCAGATTGACCGCCCCCAAGAGATATGCCTCGAGCGCTCATAAGCCGAGCAGCGACCTCCCCTGGGCTGCGGGGTCATTTGTGATCTTTGGAGGATTGGTCAGTATCATTTCTTCATCTACCCCTCGTTCTTGCTTCATCGCATGACTCATAAGTTACTACCATTCAACTTTCACTGGTATCCATCACACTGCTTGTATCTCTCCGATACTCAAGCGCTTCCACACGGAATTATAGCTGATTTGAAGACCGCCTTGATACTCATGCCTTCTTCGAACACTCACCACAAGGTCGCTGCTGTACATGACTTTCCGAAAGATCCTGAAAGTCCCGTTGCCAAAGCGCAGCAGACAGGTGGACATAGTGCAGTGAACGAAATGCTCGATCAGGCTTCAGAGACGGACAAGGAGGAGAAGGAGACGCCTGAAGGCGGCGAAACTGAAGCGGTCGAAAAAAGCTTGGTGAGTCTGCAGTCCCAAATTTCACTCGTCGTGGAATGCCATATCCCCTTCAAGATCCTTTGACTAACCAGTGTCACCCTGGTACTAGAACTGCGGCACCACGAGCCGAATGCCGACCTCTCTGTCTCCTGTCCCAACATTGCTCCGCAAAGAGCGGAGGATCCAGGGAAGCATTTGGGATGAAAGGGCGAATTGAGGAGGGATGCTAATCCATTCCAGAAGGAAGATGCCCCTCCTGTAGCTCAAGCAGAGGATGAGTCTGCAGGTCCATCTGGTGATGCTGAGACACCCGCCAACGTAGATGACAGCGACAAACCCAGCGATGCCGAGGTCAAAGGTAGCATCAAAAAGGGCATGGTATGTCCACACATCGTACACCTCATTCGATATTGCAGAAGCTGACAGACAGGAATCCAATGCGCCCCCGGTGGCAATGGACGCTGAGGCAAAGGGGAAGGAAAACTGAGTGTTTTAGAAGAGACAGGGTGAAAAAAAATCAAGCAACAATCAAAAGAGAAGAAAATGCAAAGCATCAAAGTAGTCTACTGACCCGTGCTTTACTAATATGTACACTACTGTAGCATCTCAAAATACCTCCCCGTATCAACAACTGGCCTATGTTACCTTATCACCAGCTCGGCACCTCATTAGCCTGCGCAACAGCCTCGTCGAAAGCAGCCAATCCTTCGTCGCTCTCCCTCCTTTCACTCATATGCGGCAGAGTGGCGCTTCCGAGAGCACCGTCGAACAACCTCTCATTGAACATGACGTGACCGGAAGGTTCTTGCTGTGCTGGCAGATGGAGATCGCTGGCCCAGTCACGTATTCGGTCGTCTGCTTGTCTCTCTCCAGGCGGTGGCGGAACTTGAGAATGACTCTGTACGTTCCCATCAGCTTGATCTACCATAGGCGGAAGACGATATTCCATCCCGGTCGGAGCTGACACTCCAGGCATCCCAGCGGGATTCGGTACACCCATCGCCATGTCACCAGAATAACCTTCTCCAAGACCTTGCTGATAATAGTCCGCACCGTCCATGCCGACCGGAGTTGGGTATTCCATTCCAGGCGCGGCATCATAGCCCCCAGGGTAAGGGTTCCCCTCCCATCCTTGACCGTACATCATCTCACCTTGAATCGGCGGTAAACGGTACATTCCCTCTCCCATCGCCATGTCGTACATCTCTCCATACGCCGCTGGTGCACCCGGTGCAGTAGCCATGACAGGTCTCCCTTCCATGTCATATCCCACTGGAAGATATTGTTCCGCCATCGCGTATTGCATGTGATGTTGAGCTCCTGGATGACCCAAGCGTTGTTGAGCTTGTTGATGCTGAGCGTTGTACATGCTGACGCTGAGCAGGTTACTTCCGAGCAAATTCTGTCTCTGTAATTTTGCTCGGTTCTGCGCTCTCTGAGCTCTGAGAGCTCCTTTGGACAGCTGACCAACATCTCGACGACGACGACGGGAACCACCACTGGATTCGGCACCACTCTCATCGCTACGTGCCTTGAGTTGATCTTTGATTTCTTCTTCTAGGGTTTGACCAGTTTTTCCCTTGATGAGTGCCTCGGCGACAGCGTCGACCTTTTCGTCTTCTGCCGGATCTTTTCGAACACGACGACGGATTATATCGGTTCTACGGAAAACGGGTTGGTATCTGTATCCTGGATACTTGCGTTGGTGTTCTTCTTTTTCGATACGTGCTTGTTCTTGAAATTGTTGTCGAACTTCCTGTGGAGCTTCACGCCACATTTTAGCCGCCACGACGGACTATCACATCAACACCTTTCCTCAAAGAACAAGAAATGAAGAAACTCACGATATTCTGATGTTTCACTTCGACCGAAGGAGGAATAAGTCCCGAATCGGTAACATGTTTCCTGAAGAGAATAAAGGCATTTCGAGCTCTTTTTATATGTCCCGGTGGTTGTCGACGAGCATGTGACTTTTTCTGTTTCGGTCCTGGTACTCCACCTTCGCCCGTGGCATCCGTTTGTTCACCTTCTTCCAATTCTCCTTCTGCGTCTTCATGTCCTCCAACGGCATAACCACTTTCGCTCGATGTGGATCCTTTGATCGCACCAACTCCGATATCCGACGACACTCCCAGGTCGGTAATGCTAGATCGACGAGAATCAAATTCTCCATTCTTACGCCCGAGCGAGAATGGCAGTTCGTTCTGAAGACCTCCGATAGGTGTAGCGGGGGAATTAGTTTCCGTGGAAGGATTGGAAAATTCACCCCATTGACCTTGGGTGTTGACGGGTACGAGAGGATAATGGAATTGTTTATTCTCAACTTGACCATTCTCCCCGTTGGACAAGTTGGAGGCCGAGGGGTTGAGAAGATGTGAAGTCCAATGAGGATCGGGGTTTGTTTCACGAAGATTACTAGAAGGGGAAATATCAGCCCGGTCGCCCGGAAAGGTTTCAGAAACACCAGGGATGGGATCATCTTTGATCGAATCTCCCACGACAACATTATCAGCGTCAGTCTTGGGTGAGCGTCGTTGATGAGGACCTTGATCAAGAAGTGCAGGATCGATTTCATCTGTCATTGCCAAGGGATTTTGTATTTGGTCTTGGTTTTGACTTGGAATGGTCATTGGTTCTTGAGGAATATCAGCGGTCAGTTTTGACTCAGTCGAACCGAGGATGATCTCTTCAGTTGCTTGAGCTTGGGGGAGATTGATAGGAAGTGTTTTGGGAGAAATGGAGTTGAGGCTGGGTTGACGGGGTTGAGCATAGCCGATGGCAGATGGGGTGGAGTCTCGAGGGGGAGAAATGCTGTTTCGAGGGTCTGAAAACATCAGTGATCCTCTCGTCGTCACGGGTATCAGACCGATTAATCGAAGGATGAAAGTATCAACGACTTGTCGACGGGATGTATGGACTATTGAACACCGGACCACCAAGTATGACGTCAAAACCACGGGAAACGTACAATGCGAGGTTTATGGAATAATGATAGGAAACAAACTTACCGACAGAAGGTTGTCTTCCTGGTTGAACTATTACCCCAGCCGGAGAAACCGACTTAGCTTTGATCTCTCCCCTCATTTGCTCGACAGTCTGAAGAGGAACAGACATTGTTTCTGCACTCATAATGATCTTCCCTTCTATCTCTGTATTTACCAAAGGAGTATATGAAGAATCGAGAAAACGCCCTCAACGGCTTATACCGATATCAATGTGAAAAAAAGAGACGAAACGAAACGACGAAGTATGGTAAGATCACAGGTCCAAAGTTGTAAGGATGTCGACAATGGTTATGTGTGAGAGAAGAGACAACGGTGGATATGTTGTTCCTTCTATGTCTTGTCAATACTGAAGAGAGGAGTTGAAAGACAATGGGTGGCGGGAAAGAGGTGTTGTATATGTTGTATTTTTTTCAAAAAAGAAAGGATAGAGGGTATATGAAAGAACTTGGGGGGGGGAGGAGGAGGTAAGGGGTTGAAGCGCGGGGTGAGAGGATGTGAAAGTGAGTAGGGGGGGAAAGGGGTTAGTAGGGGTTTTCTCCTCTTTCTTTTCTTTCACTTGGAAGATCCCTTGTAGATCTGGGGAGAAAGGAGGTTATAGAAAGGGTGAAACGTTTATGAGTCTTTCATATCCCTTCTTGGATGTCGATAATGGGTTATTAGATCGACAAAGATCGACGGGGGGTTGGTCCCGTATACTCCGGATTGTCAAGACATAGTCAGTACAAGGAGATTAGGATGCGCGTAAGATAGTCATGCAATGAGAGGGGGTAAAAGATAGAGAAATGAGTGAGGTGGAGGAGAGATGAGAGATCGGCCGAAAGATGAACCGCGGTGTTGAGAAGGGGGCGAGGGAGAAAGGGAGAAGAATATGAAAGGAGGATGACTTTGAAAAAAAAATTGAACAAAGGTCTTCCTTGACCTTCAAATCGATTCAATGTCTATATGGTCCGAATGGGTGTTTTGGCCAGACGGTGAAACGAATAAAGCCGATGAGAACGGAGAAAGTCGTAATCGTTTGTCTGGCCAACTCGGGGTGGGAAACGTTCGGGTAGGGGTTTTGTAAAATGTCCTTTAGCGAAAGATATGGGTCTAGACCACAGGGGAAATATACCGAGAGGAGTAGTGATTCATTCGGTTAGATGTGTCAGTATTGAGTGAGTCGTTGAAAGCGATGTGGGGGGAAGGTATAGACATGCATTGACTGATTAAACTAGGATAGATGGTGTATTGGATCAGGATAGACTGTCAGTCAGTTATATTCGTTTTCTTTCCTTCCTCTTTCTCTAAGAGATCTATTTACGACTAGACATGCTAATCCTATGATAATAGTGTACTCCCGAATGTATTATGTCATGCACGACCATAAAGAGTGGGATAATGAGGGTACAGTTGTGTGAGGGAAGCTGGGGAAGAGGGAAATGAAAAAGGTATTGATGAAGAGTGAAAGACCAGTCGAGAACAAATAACACTCACACCTAATCAATCAACTCTTCGACGATAATCTTGCTCTTATCCCAAATATCATGTTTCCAATAGACATCTTCTTTGACCCTTGCCCAACAATCTTCGAGAGTAGGGAAGATGTAAACCATGAGACTACCGGCGATCCTTGGGACTCCTTCGGGAAGAGGTCTAGTACGAGCTTCGGTGTCTGGTTTAGGAAGGATAGCACCTGCGTAGACTTGAAGTCAGTTTCGTTTATAAACTCTTTCATTTTACACATTGAATCGTTCTCTCATGTCTCCTTGATTTGAAATCACACACGCCACTCGTTCAAAATACTAAACTTCATGGAAGTCCGAGTACTCGGCTTGTCGCTCTCATCCAGATGACATGTCAAGCCGACCGCGAAAGATTAAAGGGTTGTAGGTGTAATGATGAAGATAAGTATAGTCAAGGGATTGAGGAAAGAGAAGAAAGTCTGGACTCACCTTGAGTACCATTCTCCAAATCCGGTTTGGCACGTACTAAATGTTGAGGACGAACCGCCAAACGTTTGTCGAGAATGTCCGGGTGATCAGGACAAACACAAAGGAATCTAGGCATTTTGTCTTGTTTTGTCTTGTTTTTCTTACTCGTTCGAACTTCTTCTGACAGATGGTACGGATTCTTCACAATCTACCACTTGTACACATGGCTTTTATATACGCAAGAGGGAAGAAGAAGTCTTCGGTTGAACTATGGAGTTGAGCCGGCGGACCGGAGGCCGAGAGTTCAAGTCGGTATCCGGTAGGCCGACACGTACCTGGGACTATGTACCACTTCGGCACTTCCTGCTGTTCTCTGAATCTCTCCACTTCGTATGCTTTCCACGTAACCGCGAAGTAAATTCAGTAGGATGATGAGTACGAGTTGGGATGGATGGAATAGATGCAAAATAAATGTTAAATGTCATCTCACAATTATCTCCTCACCCAAGATTTTTCTCCGTGATTCCATATCATTTCCTCCTATAGCTAATAACCGCTCTGTCGCTAACAGATCAAGAGCTTTCAATTGATCCGGAGTGGTGGACATTGAATCGGGTACGACGGTCGTCAGTGTTTCACCCTCTTCAAGTAGTTTCCCTGCGCACTGGACGTTAGTCATATACATATTGATGATGAGAGTGAGAGGATATGAACCCCGAGACGGATTAGAAGTTTGAGGTTGGAAACTCACTTGCTTGACTCCCCACCACGCTTTCGTCCTTTCCGATGGGGCACTACCACGAGGACCGTTCTCCATCTCGACTGCTCTCAGGAAGTATTTAAGGGAAAGAGAATAATCCCTGTTGGTCAGTATCACATTCCTCAAAACCCGTATGATGGTGTAAGCTATCAGACAGTCCGAACCCAGAATACTTCCAGAGGAAGCGGCAGGGGTTAAATAGAGGCAGAGGATGGGAGAGAGAGACCTGAGTGGTGGAAAAGTGAAAGAATCGCAATAATGACCCACTTCATAGTATACGCTATCTCTCCTGCTTTGGTCACTGCGTTGCTGTCCCATGATTGTAGCAGCATCAAATGTCCCATGGCTGTCAAAGCTTGAGCGTACATTTGAACACGACAATACAAATCGGCTAAGAGAGACCAAGCGGAAGGATCAGAGTAAAAATTATCAAGATAAGTGAGTAAAACAGGGATGGTAGTAGGGACGTCGGTTGTTGAGAGTGATACTGCTATGAGACGTTGATGAGCGGTCTGAAATCAACATTCCACATTCTATCTCATTTTATCCCACTCTCAGCTCATAAAAGCTGTCATCACAACGAGATGATTGAAAGAGTATTACGAGGCTGATATGAAACATGGATAAGGATGTGATGTGATGATACCACTCACCACATTGGTCTCGTCTGTCGCTAATACCGCCATATATACTTTCTTCGCTGCAACAGGTTGATCCTCCGCTTCCAATCGTAAACCTTTGAGCAGTAGAACCCGTGGTGAGGCTGGGAATTTCTTTTCGAGAATATCAATTTGTTCCTGATTGTCAACCATCTCGATGTTATTTATATTGTAGCATCAAAGGTCCAGGAAGTGGACGATTTTGACGTCTAAAGACGACATAGAGATGAAACGACTCACCGAAGCCAGCTCTATCCTGCCCACGTCTAACGCAGCGATGACAAGCTGCTCCCTCACTGCCCATTCTTACTATAAGCCCTTGTCTGTCTCTCGAGGAATGTGAGAAGAAAGGAAGGACGTACCTTGATCCGTCGACCTGGCCAAAACTCTAGGAGCTATCTCTATGACCTCTTCAGAATGACGAGAACCGATAGTCCGCCATTGAGCCAATCGTTCAGCATCTGATACCATCCTGTTACTTGAACGGGTCGTACTATCGCCTTGACTGAACTTGAATGCAGCGGTATAGGAGTTTTGATATGAGATTGACTATGTAAGGAGTGAAAAGTGAAATATATCGACTTGAAAGTCAGCCCACTTTTACGGTACACTTTGCTCTTTCTCTATCATATCCCTGTCTCTTTCTCATCCTTCTCCTTTTCTCCCCTACTTCTATACAGCTCACAGTGGAGACTTGATAGAACAGCCTTCAAACTCCTGATCACAACCATGGCCGCTCCGCTCTACGTCACACAGTCTGGTCGACTATGGCACGCTGGTCTCATCCTCATTTGCACCGTCGGTCTCCCCGGTGCGTCTTTTCAACTACTAGCTATTCGTACGGCGATTCGGAGCTGATCAATTAGCTAGAGGCAAGACTCATATCTCCAGAGCATTGGAGAGATACCTTCGATGGTTAGGGGTCAAAACTCGTGTTTACAGCCTGGGAGATTATCGTCGTAAGGTACTAGGAGGAGCCAATAGCTTGCCACCAGATTACTTTACCGCCAGTCCAGATGGTGAGCGGTATCTCTGCTTTACGCATATCTACTCGCATGCCATGATACTGCTCACCACTCTCATGCTACTATCATTCACATCACAGTTGGATGCGTCTACGATAGCTTGTTGTCGGTAGAGACTGACACTTAGCTCCTCGTGCCCCGACGACTGAGGCATTACGAAAACGAATCAAAGGAGAGCTAGAAGATCAGATCTGGGACTTTTTGAGTATTCAAGGTGGACAAGTGGTCATTTACGATGCCAACAATGGGACGAGAGAAGCGAGAAAAGAATGTTATCAAAAGTTTGAGAGTCGAGGGGTTCATGTGATCTTCCTGGGTATGTCTATTTTCCCGCTCAAACATTACTCACCAGGACATCCTGCAGGTACATCATGTGCTGTGATGATTACAAGACTTCAGTAGGCCTAGCTGAAGAATAGAATCCCTTTGTAACAGGAACGATATCATCGAGCGTAACATCCGTTCCGTCAAGCTCTCTTCCCCAGATGTAAGTCGTTTCATCCGTCACCTCTCCATCCCCCATTCCCAGTGGTTATTGTACGGATCTGACACTCAGTACCAAGGATGGGACGCAGATCGAGCCGTCGCAGACTATTGGACTCGTATACGTGAACAAGAATCATTCTACCATACTGTTGATGTGGACGAAGGACCATATATCAAAATTATGAATGTTGGAGAGCATATTGAAGTGAATCGTATTGAAGGTTAGTCCATCTCACCCTGTCTCTCGACTCATTACGCTCGACGAGGGTGACTAAATATGTGTGAGTTAAGGTTCAGGATACCTTCAAACTCGATGTTGTTTCTTCCTTATGAACATACATACCAAGCCCAGGAGTATCTATTTTGCTCGGGTGAGTCTCTGGTTTCTGACTCTGTTCGGGATTAACGGGTAGTCGGGACAATCATTGATCGAACACTCTTATAAGGCCGATTCAGATCTGTCTCCAGCGGGATGGGAATACTCTCAGAGACTCAAAGCTGCAGTGATGGCTCGACGTAAGGCGTACAGGGAGGAGGAGAGGTTAGCTGGGAGAGATGTCGCGCAGGAGCAAAATCCTCTAATCGTATGTTTCTTATATCCTCGTCCTCTCTTTTCCTTCCTTCACATCTATCCTTCTCCATCTGCTGTACCACCTTACCATTCTCGGCCCCCTTTTGATGGTCACAAGACCTGCTTGTCAGGCTTTAAAGTCTACAAAGCACTCGAATAGATGACTCACACAACAGGTATGGACTTCCACCCGACGTCGAGCGCATCACACAGCTGGCCATTCACCAGAGGGAAGTACAAAGTGGTACAAAAACAAATCATGTGTGAAATCAATCCGTCAGTCTTTTCCACCGTGACAAGTCTATCACTGACGTAGTAGCGGCGTTTGGGATGGATTGTCATCTGACGAAGCTATGAAGTTGTATCCTGACGAATGGGAGAGACATCTGACGGATCCATACGCTCATCGAGCTCCACGAGCAGAGTCGTACCATGATCTCAGTGGTGGGTTTTCGTCCTATAGAACATTCCATCTCCATATTTCATCGCGTGCTGATGTTCAGTCCGACTGGAACCTATTATCTTCGAATTGGAACGATGTCAAGAGGATTTACTGATCATCGGTCATGCTTCTGTCATTCGTTGTTTGGTGAGTTCTGCGTACACTTCATCTGCTACGTCAATCTTCGCCCGACGCTTTAAAGACCGTCTGCCTCTACCTGCTTACGCTGTTCTCGCACCCACTACCTTCTGTCCTGTCAGGAAACACACAACAATTAAACATAAATACGAATTCTGTTGATATTCTAGCTCGCTTATCTAGTCGGTTTACCGCCCAACGAAGTTCCCGCTGTCGAAATTGCTCGAGGTGATTTGGTAGAAGTCACACCCGCTTCATATGGAGTAATGACACGTGCTTTTCATTTCTGGTCCGGAGAAGGTAGAGGGGATTCTACTGGTCAAAACTTATACGAAAACTTTGCAGAATCAGCTTTGATGCAAATGCAACAAGACTCTGTTGTATTCTCCGCCAAAGCTCAAGATATGAGACAAGAAGCTAAAGATGAAGAAGCTTTGGATAGAGAGACAGAAGTCGGTGAAAGGTTGAGAAGAAGAGTAGGGAGTGGAGGAGCTTTTAGATTGGATGGGGATGGAACTAGGAGTGCACCAATGTTAGAAGGTGTTTTAGAACATGGGGATGAAGAGGTTTTAGAGGTTGATGATGGGGAAGTTAGTAGAGGTAGACCAAGTGAGTTGTTTGTTTGTTTTTTCTTTGTTCCAAAATCTTCATGTTATCATGAGTTGTTGTGAAACAGATGAGTGACTGACAATTAGTGAGTGTATTTAGACTTGATTCAAGTCGGAGTCGTTGATATGATTCAACTTTGGAGATCGAGGTACTATTCTCCTCCTACAGTTCAACAATTCGTCAACTTGTAAAAAGAGTTACGAGTACAGGTAGAGTACAGCTAGACTACTATCATTCATTCACTTGTACAAATTGTCTCTCGAGTCAGTTGGACAAGATTGATCATGTAGAAAATTCATGTAAATGCATCATGTGGATTTCCCACACTCAACAACTTTTCCAAATACCCTCTAAAACTATCCCCATCAATCTCGTAGAATAACGTCTGCAATTTGTCAACTTGCTCTTCAGTGGCCAAACGCCAATTGGGCGAATGACCATGTGGAAAATCAAAATCTCGTATTTGATCATACTTGTTTATTTCCTATCTATCAATGACCTCTTCACAAATGTGCAGCATGCAGCTCATCTAGGAATGATGATAAATACTAGAACACTTACAGTATGTGTTGTGTTTTGTTGATGAAGATGAGTCCTTTCCCCAGAGAAGGATTGCTCTTTGTCGTTCGAGTTGAGGAGAGGGGAGGAGGATGGGAGAAAGAAGGGACAAGGTCCAAAGATCAAAGAATTTGACTGCTCCATGATAGGTACAGAGGGAGTATGAATGTAGAAAGAAGTTTGAGAGGAAGAATATATTCGGATCTTACATATCAATATTTTATTCGAGCTCTTGAAGACAGAAATACAAAAAATCACGCTATTAAAAATTCGAGAACTCGATACTCCATGGGTAATGGAGATGGGAATGGGGAGTGGAGTGGGGATAGAAGACGTACTTGATGAGCTTTTGATATAACTAAACAATCGACCAAATCGGATAACAAAACACTTCCTCTCACTTCGGCCAATATCACACATTTTCTCAAGTTTTTGAGATGGAGCACAGTAGGATATAACTTGTCTTCCATTGTCCAATCTTCCATCAATCTTTCGGATGTAGCTATATCATCTAGGTTCGTGTCGTCTTCCAGTCTCAGTATCGAGTGTCCTGATTGGGGGTTTTCTTGTGAATGAGGACGTAAGTCGATAATGGTGTTTTGTAAGTCGGAGAGGGATATGGCACCCCCTTTTGTTGACAATTCAGAGAGTGTGAGATATCCTTTAGATATATCACTTCCGGTATTATCAGTTAAGGATATCGAAGTCCCAGATTGGTTCAATGTAGAGCCAAGTACATACAGCTGGGATGTTTCTGGAGGTCCACCTGTGGCTGCGATAGGAACAGAAACTTGGGGAGAGTTTGATATGACAGGTCGGTCGGAAATCTCAGGAAGGTCAGAAGGGAGAATATGGAGTAAATTACGAGTACTCTCGGATTCTGAAGCACCAACCAGAGGAGCAGGGGCAAGGACGATCGAATTTGGATCAGGGATGGAATCAGATGTCTTTAAAGAAGAAGAATCTTGTGTAGTTAGGATAGTCGAGGAATGAGAATCGGATGTTATCTTAGGTTTGAAAGTAAATTTAGATCGTATGGGTTTATCTCCAACTTCTTTTAGACGACTTTCGAATTGAGAGATTTGCTATAGATTAGTTCAGTATATTCATTTTCACAATAATAATGATGACCAATGAAGCTATGTCAGAGATGTCATATGAGATATCAGATCTCCAAGAGGTTAAAGCAGAATTTTATTATGGAAAATGATTGAAGGATATCGACACCACAAGAGATAGAAAGGCGACAGAAGGAGGAAGAGGGTAAGAAGAAGAAGAAGAAGAAGAAGGAGAAGAAGAAGAAACATAACCTTACTAAATCGTATTTTCTCTTATCATAATTTGGTAAAACTTCACGAATCATTTCATATTCTTTCTTAATCTCTTTAAACTTGATTTGTACTTTCCCATCGTTCTCACTGACAGGAGGATCTTTTAGTAATGAGAGAATTTCTGAGATATCAGCTTTTCCCGACTGAGTTTTTTACCGAGTCACTACTCAGTTCACATTTTTATTGGGTTGATGAGTTGGTGGGTTATTGGGTTGGTGGGTTTTTGGGGATAGAGTTTGGATGGAGAAAAAGTTTACTTACCTTCTTGAGCAACAAGGAAAGTGGTATGGAATTGTTGAGCTGTTTCAAGAGATACCATTTCTTTCTATGATCGTATGACGTTCGTTTGGTCGTTGGTCGTTGGGACTGTTATAGTAGTGTTTACCTTCCCTAGTGTGTCATGTATCGTTTATCGACTTGCTAGACATGAGCACCACATGTAATAATGTTGGTTTGCTTGTCGGCTTGTTATATCATGTCTTATCAGTCATTGTCAGATCGTAAGAGAAAAGTTCAAAAACGAGAAAGTCAAAGTTGATTTTTGACAGAACAATCCAAGATTCACACTCGAGATTACCATTTTGAAGTTGACGTGAATGGTCGGGTCGGCCAGCGGCCGGTGGGCTCAATTGACTATGCGATGAAAAGCTGAGAATCGAGCTAAAGTGATGATAACAAAAAGCTAATGATGCATACATCTACAACAATCACATACCTCACACACTCCCTTCCCCACCTCGTTTACCAGTCAAATGAGCGGTCAAACCTTCTTCCCTTGCCCTCTCCCAAGCTTCATCCTCTTCCCTATTCCCTATCACATACCCACTCGACTCTTCCCTCGTCGTCAATGGAGCTGGAGCATGTCCAGTGAGATGAGCAGTGACACCTTCACTCCTTGCCCTTTCCCAAGCTTCATCCTCCTCTCTATTCGGCACCACCCGACTTCGTGAAATACTTTCTTCATTTTCGAATGGGTTGGAAGTGTCGAATGGGTTGGTATTTCTCGCAGGCGGTGGACCAGGGGGAGGAGCGAATCCTACTGTTTCTCCTTGCGCCCACTCAGCTTCAGGATGGTAGTCACTCTTTTCGAATTGTGATGGTCTGCCAGCAGGGGGTCCAGGATAAGGAGGGACCATCCATGGTTGTTGGCCGTTTGGTGGAGGGTAATATGGGCCTGATTGCAATGGAAAGGCCTGAGGTACGTTGGGACGAGTACGTGTGCGAACTGAGGACGGATCAAGGAGTTGACGATAGTAGGCTATGGCTACAGAGCCGAAGAAGAGCTAAACGTGAGCAACGATCACTTATTGAAGACACGTCCAAGTAGAAGCATGGCTAAGGTAAACAGCAAATCTTTGAGCTTTGCATGTAGGAAGGAAGGTCAACGTTGACGACTTACCGACAAGACTGTGGTGAAGATGAGCCATACAATGACAGTCCATATGCCATGACTCCAAGCATCGTGACATACTGAACATTAGCACGACAAATTGGTCCATCAAAACAAAAAACAACTGACAGCTCGTCGCTTCGTCGGCGCTGATGATCTCTGTCCCGTCAAAACCCTGCCCCATAAGCTATATACGCGAGGGAGGTAAGCTTGCGTACATCTGTCAATGTCTCGCCTTGCGTATTTGCCACACATTGACTGATAATATCATTCTGCTCGTCAGCCGGGTGCAGTCAGAACTCAAAGGGCATTTACCTTGAGGGTGAAGTGTAAGATGACCTGTAGGAGTTGATCGGCAAAGGCTACGATGATACCTAAAGGGGCGGCCACTAGGAGTATTCTGGCCAAAGAGATTTTTTGCTGCTCGTCAGCTTCATGCGAACCAAGCAGACGACCAGACGAAGCGTCATGTAAGAACCCCCAGGAGGAAGCAGGGGGAAGGGGCAGAAGAGACCCACTAGTGAAGCGACGACCATCCCGAACACTTCTACTGCAGCTACGACCAGATACAAGATGGCCAAAACCAGGTCAAAAATCTTCTCTTTGGATGTTTCTGGGTATCAGCGCCTTTCCGTCCTCGTGGGGTCACTCGTCAAGAACTGTCATCTTAACTGAACGCCGAGAGAGAAGAGTAACGTACCATTCTCGGAGCCACGATCGCGGATCGATATGATCCCCATTGCCAAAGCCCATATGAACCCAAGAAAAGAAGTGAAGAACATGACCGGTCTCAAAGAATAAGGATAAACCTTTGTGACCTAGACCTTCAGCTCATCTCTTCAGACGGTCATGAACTTACAACGGCGGCATATCTCGGTGGTGGACCTGTTGGTGGTAAGTCATTAGCGATGTCGGGTGTTATGGTTGAAGTTCGCGATTTGGACAAAGACGGAAACCGCATGGTTGATAGTTCGCGCGCAAAGATAGTCGAGTGAGATGGAAGATGAGAGAAATGGTCGGGTTGAAGTGAAGAAGCGGTGTATGAGACGAACAAAGGACAGAAAGAGGGGGTCGATACGCGTATCGAAGCAAGTCAAGTGTCAGCTTTTGCTTCACTACCGAACGAAACTAGATATAGATAGTAGTTGTGGGTGTCAAGGTGACATGCATGATGAGATAGGAAGAGTTGACGACGGTTGGTAGGATCAATTGGACAGAGCGGCTTTTGGGGAGAAGCAAAGGACTGACCGGTAGGTGGAGGAGGACGGGTCTCTAAACCGCTCCACATAGGCATGATGAGTAGTACCTTGTAAGATGAATGGAGTGAGGAGGAATGTAGACGAGGTAGTGAGGGTGATGTACCGCTCGACTGCGCCAAAAACACAGGTCACGGAGAGGCGCAGTTGACGTTGAAGACGAAATGCGACACGTGGCTAATCGTTGGCCGTTGGTGGTGTGAAAGACACGTCACTGAGGCTGCACTAGCTGCGGGGCCCTGCATACGATGCAGATGGCTCCGAGATCCGTCGGAACGGTCGGTGTACTGTATCCCCGTGCTGGAAATTGGAACTTTGATCGCAGCGAGGGTATGGCTTGTGAGCGAGGAGCGAGGTGTTGTATACAGGATTCCTACCGGATCCGTCTGGAGGACCCATTCCCCACGACGGGGCCATGAGCGGTCTCTTCGAGCGGGCTCATGGCTTATGAGCGTCTGGGCTGGGCTGAATATTGGCGGGGTTGAGATTGGATGGGTGTGGTGTATGGTGCCTGAAAGTTGAAACGGCCTGTGAGCTGTGGGGGCCTTGCAATTGCCGGCCGCCGAAAAGGAATCTTGCTCCCCTTTCTGGCAAACGAATCTTCTCGGCACACTTCTCAATCTTCCACCCCTACCCCCCTCTACCCTCTGTCTCCTGTTTATATAATTCAATCCTCTCATGCATCTCTCTCCTCTTCCTTCCATCTGTCCATCCACCCACCTCGTTACTTTCTTTATCACCGCAAGTTATTATCAATCGCCATTCCCTCCTGGTGAGCTGCCTCGTCCTTTCTCCTGCTTTGTTTGGAGGCCGGCTAAATTCCTATCAGATTTACTGCATCACTCTCCATCGCATATACACAAATTGGGATAATCATCTCCGTCATGAGCGACAACCCGCTCTCCCCCAACCCTCGACCCGACACTTCTTTCCAACCTCACGATGAGCTCCACCCAGATCCCACCCCTTCCACCTCGATCGCCGCCCAAGACCATCGGCGTGACGATCATCTCGCCGACATCGCCGCTCAAGCACAAACGACCGATGGTCAGACTTTGACCACTGGTGTTCCTTACCCTACCGCCATCGGAGCGGCCAACGTCGTCCCTTCTCTCCCATCTCATCTCAAGGTCGACTCTGAACCTCCCAGTCGACATTCCTCCGAGGTCAATCGAGCCGTAGCTCTGGATTTGGAAAGAGAGAAAGCACAAGCACGGGAACTCGCACACAAGAACAAACATAAAATAGGTAAACACCAAAAGGCATCTACTCTGTCGGAGAAAAACGACAAAGATCAAGCTTCACTTTCTTCATCTGACGATGATCCCAAGACCGAAAAGAAGAATCGTTTGCCTTGGGGTAAAGCTCGTAGTGCTAAAGAAAAGGAAGCTAAGAAAATCAAAGATAAAGAAGCCGAAGCAGCTGCTATTCCACCTGTATCATTCCGCCAGTTATTCCGCTTCGCCACACCCTTCGAACTGGTATGCGACTTTGTCGGTTTGATCCTTGCTATTGGAGCTGGTGCCGCACAACCACTCATGACTCTCATCTTCGGTCGACTTACTACTTCATTCACCGATTATGGGATCGCCGTACAGCAGATCACTTCGTCCAACTCCCCCGAAGCCCAGGCCGCATTGGAAGCCGCCAAACATCAACTCAGGATCGATTCAGGTCACAATGCTCTGTACCTGGTTGCAATCGGCGTCGGCATGTTGTAAGTGCTTCCCTTGCATGTGATACGTAGAGATACTCATGCTTAGCTTGGCTACTTGGGCCTACATGTTCATCTGGAACACCACCGGAGAGTTGAATGCCAAGAGGGTCAGAGAAAAGTACCTCCGTGCTGTGTTGCGTCAAGACATTGCCTATTTTGATGATTTGGGAGCTGGTGAGGTCGCCACGCGTATTCAGGTCGATTGTGATCTTGTCCAAACCGGTACAAGTGAGAAAGTCGGGTTGTCAGCGCAATACATTGGTACTTTTGTGAGTCTCAACAAGTAGGACCGGAATAGCCGTTGACTGTCTAGTTCACTGGTTTCATATTGGCCTATGTCAGATCATGGCGCTTAGGTAACGGTTCCTCAAGCTTCTTAGATGCTTGCTAATTCCCCAGCCCTGGCGCTCTCTAGTATGTTTCCCGTTATTCTAGCTACTGGAGGAGTTCTCTTCGTTTTCATGACCAAATTCTCCACCGTCTCTTTGGGACATATCGCCAAAGCCGGATCCCTCGCCGAAGAGGTTGTCGCTAGTATTCGTACGATCAAAGCCTTCGGCTCGAGCAGGACACTCGGAAGAGGTTTCGACGACCATATCGAGGGTAGCCGACGGGTCGGTGTCAAAGGAACTTGGTTCGAAGGTGCCGGATTGTCGACCATGTTTTTCACGCTCTACGCCGGTTACGCTCTCGCCTTTTACTTTGGCGGTGTTCTCGTCGCTGAAGGTCACGCTACATCTGGTATAGTTATCACCGTCTTTTTGTCGATTTTAATCGGTTCTTTTTCCATGGCCATGTTGGCTCCGGAAACTCAAGCTATTGCCAAAGCTCAAGCAGCCGCCGCCAAGCTGTTCGCCACTATCGACAGAGTACCGGACATCGACTCTGCGAATCCATCGGGAGAGCGCCCGGAACATGTCGAGGGTGTCATCTCTTTCGAAAACGTCCGCTTCCATTATCCTTCCCGTCCTGACGTGCCAATATTGAAAGGTCTTACGACTACTTTTGAAGCTGGACGTACGGTCGCGTTGGTTGGTGCAAGCGGGAGTGGGAAGTCTACTGTGGTGGCTTTGGTCGAAAGGTTTTACGATCCGATTCAGGGGTGCGTCAAGTTTGACGGGCGTGATATCAAAACTCTCAATCTAAAGTGGTTCCGCCAACAAATTGGTGAGTCGAATATTCCACAGGCAGCCGTTCACGCACTTGTGACGCAATGCCAGTCACAAGTGCCTCCCTTGATCTACAAATGCCCACGCTATCCAGCATCGGCTTATCTTCGCTTTTGCTTCAAGTTGCTTTCTGAACCCGGCTGATGTATAGGGTTTGTACAGCAGGAACCTACTCTATTCGCCACAACCGTCCGCGGGAACGTCGAACACGGTCTTATTGGCTCTCGCTGGGAAAACGCATCGGATGCCGACAAGTTCGAATTGGTCAAGAAAGCCTGTATCGATGCCAATGCGCACGATTTTATCTTGAAATTGCCAAATGGATACGAGACTTTGGTCGGCGAGCGTGGAATGCTCCTCTCTGGCGGTCAAAAACAACGTGTGGCTATCGCTAGGGCTATCGTCTCTGATCCACGTATTTTACTGCTTGATGAGGCTACCTCTGCTCTTGACACTCAATCAGAGGGTATCGTGCAGGACGCCCTTGACAAGGCATCAAAGGGCCGTACAACCATCACCATTGCTCATCGACTGTCCACGATTAGAGACGCGGACAAGATCTTGGTCATGGGTGGTGGGGAAATTTTGGAAGAAGGCACTCATAACTCGCTTCTTACCAATGAAGACGGTCCATACGCCCAACTGGTCAACGCTCAAAAATTAGCCGCAGCCGAAAACCTCATCATTGTCGATGACGAAGTCGCCACCACTGCTCCAGCCGCCCCTGGATCACCCAAGACTGAAAGACTGCCCGATCTCAAAAGGGCTATCACCGGTCGTTCACTCGCCTCTGCCATTTTGGAGGACCGTCGACTCCGTCACGAGGCCGACGATGCTCAAGCAGACAAGCCTGCTTCGTCTCTGAAGCTGTATTGGCGGTTAATACGACTCAACTCAGAAGACAGGTACATGTACATTGTCGGATTCATGGGTTCCGTCGCCGCCGGTATGGTCTATCCCTCTCTCGCCATTCTTTTCGGTTCGGCGTTGCAGGATTTTCAAATCACCGATCCTCAACAACTCAAGCATGCTCTCGCCAATCGGGCTTTGTGGTATTTCGTCACCGCCCTGGCGGCTGCAGTCGCAATCTACCTTCAGACAATGTTCATGAGTCGAGCCGGATGGAACCTTTCCGCCAAACTCCGAAGTCTTGCTTTCCGCTCTGTGTTGAAGCATGACATTGATTGGTTTGACGAAGAGAAGAATACCACGGGTTCTGTTACCGCTGATCTTGCGGATAATCCTCAAAAAGTTCAAGGATTGTTCGGGCCAACATTAGGAACCATCATTCAATCCTGTGCCACCCTTCTCGGTGGATGTATAATCGGGTTGAGTTATGGGCCTCTTCTCGCTCTTATCGGTATCGCCTGTCTTCCCCTCACGGTATCAGGAGGATACATTCGATTGAAAGTCGTCGTGCTTGCCGATAGAAAAATGAAGAAGATTCACGCTAGTAGTGCCACCATGGCATCCGAAGCCGCAGGAGCAGTCCGAACCGTCGCTGCTCTCACTCGTGAAGACGACGTAGATCGCTTATACTCTCAAAGTTTAGAAGCTCCTATGAGAATGGCCATTCGTGGTTCTCTTCGGTCACAAGCTTTATACGCCGCTAGTCAAGGTATAACTTTTCTCGTCATCGCTCTAGTCTTTTACGTTGGATGTCTTTGGCTCATTTCTGGAAGATACACAACTAGTGAATTCTACACCGTACTCAATTCTGTCATTTTCGCATCTATCCAAGCTGGTAACATCTTCACTTTCGTTCCCGATGCTTCTAAAGCTGCCTCGGCCGCCCAGGCTATATTCCGTTTGGTAGATTATCAACCCACAATCGATGAGAACACTTCAGCGCCAGGAATCGTACTTGATCCATCAAAGGTGGAAGGTCATATCAAGTTGGAAGGTATACATTTCCGATATCCCTCTCGACCAGGTGTGAGAGTTTTGAGGGAACTCGATGTGGATTGTCCAGCTGGGAAATATGTCGCTTTGGTCGGTCCTAGTGGATGTGGGAAATCAACAACTATTCAAATGTTAGAAAGGTTTTATGATCCGCTAGCTGGAAAAGTAACTTTGGACGGTGTGGATATAAAAGATATCAACGTGGCTAGTTATAGATCTGAAATGGCTTTGGTTTCTCAAGAACCTACGCTTTATGCCGGTACAGTGAGATTTAATGTGTTGTTGGGAGCGAATAAACCGATGGATCAGGTGACTCAAGAAGAGATTGTGAGAGCTTGTAAGGATGCGAATATTTATGATTTCATCATGAGTCTTCCGGATGGGTTTGAGACTGAGGTTGGAGGAAAAGGATCTCAGTTGTCTGGTGGACAGGTAAGTCTTTTGGTCTCTCATTTCGATCACCCATCATCCACATCAACAATTCCATCTTAATGAGAACACTTCCATTCTAAACATTGTTACTTTCATTCTTTTTTTATGTCCCACATTCCTCTGGTCTGTATTGGCTTCAATATGGAAAGTAAAGCCAAGTCTCATTTATCATCCAATATATCATCTCCATCATTGTCACGTGTTGTGTCTTACTTGAATATGATGACTATCAGGATAAATGCTAATCAGCAGAAACAACGAATAGCCATCGCAAGAGCACTCATTCGTAATCCCAAAATCTTGTTGTTGGACGAAGCGACCTCTGCTTTAGATTCACAATCTGAACGTGTGGTGCAAGACGCTTTGGACAGAGCTGCAAAAGGAAGAACTACGATAGCTATCGCACATAGATTATCTACAATTCAAAGAGCTGATATCATATATTGTTTTGGAGAGGGAAAAGTGATTGAGAAAGGGACGCATAATGAGTTGTTGGCGAAACGTGGGGCGTATGTGAGTTGTCAATCTCACACTCTCCAAATATCTCCCGTATCCCTCCGATCATCTCGTGTTTTGTCGGATCGGCTTCATCATTTCACATATCTTCCCTCGTAATCACCTTCCTCTCTTCCCTTGCTTCCCTATTCTACTTCCTCCCTTTGTCGTGAGCTTCTGCCTGTCTGGCCAATCATCATATCACTTTCATCCGTACTTGGTCATTTCAGGTATAAACATGCTTTATTACATATGTTACTCTGATGTCAATCCGACTTGATGCCATGTAAATATGACACTGACAAATCTAGTGGGAATTGGTCCAAATGCAAAACCTCAGTAGACAATGATACATGTAACATCAAACCGCATCTCTCTATCCATTCCTCCACTTTAGATCCCACTCTCACCCGTCATATAGTCATCATTCAACTTGTCATGCATGTAATCTTGTAATTTGTGCCATGTAGAGATTAGTGAATAATTTCAATGCCTAATCTGAACACGTTCAAAGATATTCACATAACTACGTTTGAGGCAAGCAATGCAGAGTGTGTAAACTAAGTTTAGACAAAAAATCAATGATACAAGACAGTGCCCTTTCACTGTCCCCTATGGGCTATGCGATTGGCCATATGAGCTTTGTTACGAAGATGAACTTCGAAATTTTGTAATGTTTCATCTGGACCTAGGGCGTAGATACGTCCTGGACTGAGTAATGTAAGCGGTTGTTCTTCTTACTCTGTATGAAACCATCATCACCATCACCATCGTCGTCGTTGTCGTTGTGGTAACTTACACTAGGTTCTCATCACAATGAGGAATGTAGATACAATATACAAGGACGATGATGAGGTAATGGTAAATATTATCAATGATGGTGGTATTGACATATCGAGGATAACATTGTGATAAGAAGGAAGTTGATGTCTAAGAAGAAAAAGAAGAAGGGAGATGATGTAAAAAGGGTGTAGGTAATTCACTCACCAATCCATACATTTCATTCTCCATTCATGTGGTAATTCCGGTTCTCCAACAGGTTTAACCCTTTGAATAATAACGAAGGAATCTCTTGGATATCTCTCTTTCAATTCTTCATCAGCTTTCAATGCCCAATCAGGAGGTTGTACACCATTCCCTATTCCTGTACCGGTACTTTGACCTAAAGTATGTGTTGAAGAACTTCTTTTTCCCATTCCCGATAATGATGGAGTTACAGAAGGTCTAACGGGAGTTTTACTAGTTTGTTTTTTATTCCTTCTAGGATCAAAATCATCATCATCTGAATCATCTGAATCAGAAGAACTAGAACTACCATCTTGTTCTTGTTCTTTTTCTTTTTCTTCTTGTATTGATCCTTTAGAAGTTGATTTTATTACTTGAATTGAAGTAGAAGAAGAAGATACATTTTGATTTGAAAGAGTTTGATTTGAAATTAAAGGTGTTGTTGAAGATAATTTTTGTAAATGATATGATTCTTCTTCCGTATAAGAACAAGGTCTATCTCTACCTGTTCTTTGAAAATATTGAGAACAAGTCGAACATAAAGTTTTGTTACCTTGTTGATCTGAACCTAAAGCATTTGTTAAATGTTCCGGTATACCACAATTTTTACAATGCCAACTTTTTTCAAAATGTTCGATTTTAAGCATTTTATTATTATTGATTTCATCTTCGAAATCTGCTTTCCTTTTCATTCCGTTTATATCTTCATTTTCCATGATATCTAAATGATTCGTTGTAACTCTTCGAATGAGAGATTCATCATCCATCACTGAACTTTCTCTGGCGGACATGGGAGAAGCTCGACTTTGTTCACGTGCACCACGTTTCGGTCGACGAGTTTGAGGTTGTGGGATGGGTGAAGGTGGTTGAGGTAAAGGTAAATCTTGAGCTAGAAGGTTTATACTGGCTTGAGCGGCGATAGCAGCCGCTCTACGTGATGTTGGAGGGGCGGTAGTAGGTGTTTCAGGTTTCATATTAGGTAATGGTGCGTTTCCATGAGAACGAAGAGGATTGAGTAAAGTACGATGAGTTTTTAAGGGTTCTCGATCGGGTAAAATAATTCCTCTTCTAGCACGAGTTCCTCTCTTTTTTCGTTTAGACTCTCGATCACGTTCTTTCTCTATAGCCGCAACGTCTTCTTCCGTGAAAGTCGCAAAGATGGGAGTGTAAGTCGACATGGCGATATCTTCTTTACGGAGAAGAGATGATGGGACGAGGGATGGAAGGAAGAATGAACGAACTTCTTCATCTTGTATGAGACCAGAACCTGGAGTGTGACCGATGAGGAAGAGAGAACGGAGATGGGTAAGACATTGTTCATGGATATCGTGAGCAAGAGCGGTACTATAAATCAGCCCGACAACACTCATTTGGCTCACATTGAGCCACTCAGGCCAACAAGAAGCATAACACTTTCGTAGTGTCTAAAACAAGATTTGAAGGAAGATCAATCAGGAGAGGCGGCAAATATAAACCACAAGGGTCTGTGAATACGGGTTGGAAGGGTAGTAAGTAAACTCACGCGAATTCCCCACTCAGACCCAGTTCACTACAATGAGAACTTGCAAATTCCTCTGGTGTCACAGAAGAGTTCAAATCCCATTCAAACGTGTCGCTCAAATTCTGTGTCCCAACAATAATATCGACCTGCACGTCAACTTAATAACTTTTTCACCCCTCCATTCCCACGGCTTACATATACTGGAGTGTTAAAAAAACGACGCTGGTTTTACATGTGATGGAATTGCACAAGGCCGGAGTGAGAAAACTTAACCCCACACTCACCTTGACTAGTATCCTCAATTCATCCGCTTGATCTTCCGGTAAACCCGCCATGGCCTCTTCGACACTCATCGGCTCCTCCTTCGTCCTTTCTTTTCGAATCCCATTTTCTGTGGGGCCCTTCCTCTCGCACCCAATCTCCTTATCCGCGCTCTCATCTTGATCAGAACCCCCGACAATGACCACCATCTCATCGCCATCCCCACTTGGCGTCTTGACTGTTTGCTCATCACTGAATGTACTCTCCCTGACCCCCCGGAAACTCTCCCATATTATCTCATCCTCCGGGTGTAGTTGCCCTTGCGAGGAAAGTGAAGGAGGGATGATGGGAAGGATTTGATCTTGATATTCTTTCACCCGCTCTTGTATGGCAGTGACTATACGATGATGAAAGTGTTGAAGAGGGAGGTGAAAGTCGTCGCATAATGTTTGAGCGAAGAGCTCGGGGGTCACTACGGTGTCTAGATGTAAGCTATGCTACTCTCGCAGACAGCAATTATCATGCACAGATCAGCATAATCAAGGATCAGGAGTAGAAGAGAGGGGGCCAGGGGAGAATACTCACCAGAACAGTTCCACATGAATGTATCTTTGAGACGATGTGATTCATGTTCGATATCCAATCGGATGGGCACCACATGGTCCTCTACCTCTGCCATGGCTTTGAGTTGAGCCGGTGTACTTCAAGTCAGCGTCTCCTGATCACTGCCCTCTCTTATGTTGTACTTCCCTATCGAGGACCACTCTTATTTGAGAGCCGTTGGGTTGAAAGTCAAGATGGAGTGAATGCACAAATGATAACGTGTCGCGGCAGTATCTAACAACTTGGGAGAAGAACGAAGGACGAAAGATCGAACTTACAACCTGATCTCCCTCCTACCCCTATGCGTCGACTTCGCTCTCATACTAGCCTTATCCTGCGGCCAGAGAATGCTTAACCTTTCTCTCCTTGTGGGAGGACCTTCTTGATTCTTTCTGATCCACCATCCCTTCTCCTGTTCTTTCCTCTCTGCCCAACGCATAACCCTCTCCCTACTAGTCCCCTTGTAACTCTTCATCACCTTTGCATACTCTTTGTCACTCTCCACCCAATCACGCACATTCTCCTTCTCTTTTTCGGTCAAAGACAGCAAGCGTCCGTCGAAAGTAGGACCAGACCGTTCATCTATCTCCTCCGTGGGCAGAGGAGCAATGTTGGTGATTGGAAGATCGAGTGGTAAAGCCGTCTCCCATTCTCTCACTGGAACAGCATGAGGTGTTGGGGGAGGAAGTGCAGGACTGGGAGGAACATGATCTGGAGCTGTATGTGGAGGTGGACGAAGAGGTGTAGGCGTCGCAGGAACTCCCATTCCCATTGAACCAGCACTCATAGGTACTCCCGGTTGACCAGGAATGGGTTGACCATGTGAGGGAATCCATTGTGGTGGAGGCATTTGACTACCGGACTTTCGATCTTTGCCTTCTGACATACGTTGTTGTACAGGTGTACCCTGAGGTATGGTATGTGGTGGAGGAAGATGAGGTGGTGGTCGCATTGGAGATATTTGAGCAGTTTGCGATGATCCAGAAGTCTGAATTTGTCCAGGTAAGGGAGGACGCCACTGTCCTGATAATTGTTGTTGAAGTTGTTGCAATTGAGGTGGAATACCTTGACCTGTATTATCCACATTGGGTACATTACCGATGCTCCTCACTCCTGGTACACCCGAAAACCCAGGCATGCCTTGAACACCCATTCCCCCGATGGCTCCAGGTAAACCGGGAACACCCGGGCCACTAGGACCAGCAGTATTTCGTACAAGTCCTTGCGCCCTGGCCATGTGGACGAATACTTGCTGCATCCGGTTCAAAGTATCAGGTCGAACGCTTCCCGTTGACATCATCTGTTGAGCACTCATGGCCGCATGGAGCAGACCTGGATTTCGAGCTTGCATCTCGGCGCGCCACTTGGGATCGCTCACTGAGGATAAATGTGGAATAAGACGCCAATCGAAGGGGAAATCAGAAGTGTTGATGTTGGGCATTTGGAGAGGAGGACGTATACCCGGGCGAGGCTGTTGAGGTAGTCCACCAGGGACGGTGGTGGCAAATGAAGATTGAGGCTGAGATTGTAATTGAGATTGAGCGGATTGAGACATGAGCGACATGGCATTGAGGACTTGTTGTTGTTGTTGAGGTGTGAGGTTTTGCATTCCCTGAGGCAACATGGCATGTAGATTTGACTGAGATGGCATACCGGGAGGCATGTTTTGAATGGAGGACTGATGTGGAGTTTGACCACCAGGAGGAACTGAAGGAGCTCGTTGACTGTTCTGTTGAGGAGCGGTGGGACTAGGATCTGTCGTTTGGGTGGGCATAGGAGATTGGCCATGGTGGGACAAGGCGGTTGATTGAGGTGTTGGGGCACGGGTTTGGGAATGATGCGAATGAGCAGAAGGGACAGGTGAAGGGGCGCTCGACATGCCTTGCTGCTGGTGTTGCTGCTGATAACCAGGCGGTGGAGGGGTAGGAGTATGATGTCCGGAGGGCGAACCCGTGCGTCCATGAGGAGAAGCATCTCGTTGAGCTGTACGTGATTCTGGACGAGGAGGGGCCATATGTTGTGGCAAACCAGACAAAGACGGTTGTCCTTGTTGAGAACCTGACAAGTCTCGTTGTTGGGAGCTAGGGGATTGTTGTGTGCCCACCGCAGGTTGTCCTTGATGAGTTTGGTTTGACTGACCGGTCGGAGGTCCCATCACACCCATTTGCTGTTGCTGTTGATGTTGTTGTTGCTGCATAGCAAACGTTCTTAGCATGTTCTGTTGCATACTGTACAGATACGCTTGTCGTTGACTTTCGGGTAGAGATTGGAATTGAGGGCTAGACATGGCCGCCGATTGCGCGTGAGCAAGCTGAGCTTGTTGTTGGGGAGTAGGATAAAATCGTTGTTGAGTTTGTTGTGGTCTAGGGGAAGTACCGGGAGGAACAGCTGGAGGAAGCATCTGCTGAGTATGGGACGGAGGACGAGAAGGAGATCCTGTCATACCTCCAGGTATACCTCCTACGCCTGGGTTCATCTTGCCTTGAACCGCTTGAATCTGCTGATGCGACATGCCTTGTTGCAGCATCTGGATCCGTTGTTGTTGCTGCTGTGCCATCATCGCCTGGACCTGGACAGGATTCGGGGGGATCTGACCGGGTTGTCCAGGTTGTCCCTGTTGACCGGGTTGAGAGGACATGGGAGGTCGTGTCATGCCTCTCATAGCCGCCAGCAAAGCTTGAGGGTTGACATTGCCCCCTTGAGCTTGGAAGGCGGCGACGGCTTGTTGCATCTGTTGAGGAGTGATGGGTTGACCATTGTTGGCTCGTTGTAGTTGCTGCAAAGTCTGGAGTTGTTGTGGGGTGAGGTTTGGACGGGGACCGAGGTTGATACCGGACGGTGGAAGAGACATGTCGAAAAGACCAAGAGGGTTGATAGATGAAAGATCGTCAAAGATTTATCAAAACTGTGACGTGAGCGACCTATCTCTTTCATAACGAGTGAGTGTAGAGGAGTGGGAACGCACAAATTCATGAAATGATCATGACACGAGTCGTCCAAGACGAGTGACCAGTGATCCCAACGAGCTGAGTGCCGAGCCGGGTGGAAGAGAAGAAGACTACGCGTCGTGTGCGAAGTACGCGGTCAAGTAGGAATGAGAAGCTGACTTTGCTGACTGGGAGGATCTATCAGCTACGATAACCACGCTACATACAGGCTCTGGGAGAGAGATGATAAGATAAGTACTGACCTGGGCAATCGAATCTAGGCACCCAATGTCTGCCTGCACCTACGACGATACGATGTCCCGTTGTGGTTCGGGCGGCGATAACGAGGAGGTTCTCGTGAACGGCGACGGGATGGCGGGCCGAGTCCGGAGCGAGCCGAATGGAGGGCTGGGTGAGTGTGTTTCTCTATGATCTATGAGTTTGCAGTGGGGACTCCGCAGTCTCTGTCGGAGTGAAATTTTCGATTCTCTTTGTGTGTAACCGAACGACGCCTTAGAACAGTCAACCAAAAAACGAATTACCCCACCAATTCACTCCCCGTTTCATCATCAATCGGGCAATTTTCCACAACAAAGGGTAATTTTCTCACTTTTCACTGGTTTTTCCACCCTGGTTTTCTGCGAAAACCGACGCCTCACCTTGCCATCTTTTAGAATCTCCGAAACGCCGCTTCCTCTTCACTTCTGTCGTGTTCCAACTCTCGACCTCGGTGCGATCTTTCTCTTTCCTCTTTTCTTCTTTTTCTTTGTCTCTTTTCCTGGTTTCACTCAAGCTTCAGAATCATCGCCGCTGTTCTCAATCATCGTGGGTATCTTAACGCTGCCGCAAATTTTTCTGCGAGGCGACTTCGAGAAGAAACACCGGCTTACCATGTTTTTCCTCTCTTTCCCATCTGAACCCCTACACTCCTTTCTCCTGCCTATCTCCCATTTGTGCCTGTCTACAATTCCCAATATAGCTTCGAAAATAATAATCAAGAGTCAAAATAACAATGTCGCGCCCGGATGAAGAAGAACTTGTCGATTACGACGAGGCGGCTGAGGAGACCTTCGCGCCACCCGTCGCAGCCACAAATGGTAAAGCTGAAGGCGACAAAAAGGGATCTTACGTCGGCATCCACTCCACTGGCTTCAGGTTAGGAATTCTACTAGTTTCATAATGAGAAACTGAGCCAACAGGGATTTCCTCCTCAAGCCAGAATTGTTGAGAGCCATTTCTGATCTTGGTTTCGAACATCCATCTGAAGGTTAGTCGCGCTCTAGATTCTCCGCCAATCAGCTGACTGGTCAGTACAACAGGAATGTATTCCCCAAGCTATCCTCGGCACAGACGTTCTTTGTCAGGCCAAGTCAGGTATGGGAAAGACTGCCGTCTTCGTCCTGGCTTGTCTTCAACAGATGTGAGGCGCCGATATCTTTCATCGCGCCAGACTGGCTAATGACAGTGAACCTGTGGATGGCGAAGTGTCCATCATCATTCTCTGTCACACGCGAGAGCTTGCGTACCAGATCAGAAACGAATTTGCCCGTTTCTCAAAGTTCATGACTGCCGTCCGTACCGCGGTGTTTTACGGTGGTACCCCCATCTCTGCCGATCAAGAACTTCTAGGCAACAAGGAAAAGTGCCCCCACATCGTTGTCGGTACTCCCGGACGTATGATGGCCTTGACTAGGGACAAAACGCTCAAAGCAACTCACGTCAAGCACTTCGTCCTGGACGAGTGTGACAAAATGTTGGACCAGCTTGGTTAGTAATCGATCTTTCATTTTCATCCGACTTTGATCATTTCGAATTTTCACGACGCTGCAAAGTGATCATGTGCACGATGGGGCGTTTCGGCCGCGTCATCGTCACGTGTATCCAGGGCGTCACAAGTGACGCTTTCATAGAATTCATGGGCGATCTTAAATCCGTTCAAAATGCCAGCATGGGTGATGCCAGCTTGTTGGGGGAGTGCGTCACTGGACCTGTTTGGATATGGTATTGTGGTCATACGGGATCATCGTGGGACGCTATGTTCCCGTAGCCTTGTAGAATAGATAGACGTGCTCGCAGCTCCCATTTCCACTTCACAACATCTCCACATGGTCACTTTCTGTAAAGCAAACATATGAGGAGGAGCGTGAGGGCATGGTAGGGATTTGAGCTTACACTGAACCTTTTTTTCGACAATTATCTCGACCGCAATCTGCTATCAACTTCGTTTATCGGACCAACAGACATGCGTCGTGACGTTCAAGAAATCTTCCGTGCTACCCCGCATCACAAGCAGGTCATGATGTTTTCCGCCACGTTGTCGAAGGAAATCCGTGCGACTTGCAAGAAATTCATGCAGAGTGTGGGTTCAATGTTTCCATTTATGTTGAACCGAAACCGGATCTCCCTATGTTCAAGTCATCCCCCCGCGAGGTAGTCGACGGTCGCGATGCTGATGCATAGCCCCTCGAAATCTATGTCGACGACGAGACGAAGCTCACGCTTCACGGTCTCCAGCAGTATTATCTCAAGTTGGAGGAGCGAGAGAAGAACCGCAAGCTCAACGACTTGCTGGACAACCTCGAATTCAACCAGGTTAGCTTGATTCCACGAAACCGTCTGTCAGCTAATCGTCTAGGTTTGTATCTTTGTCAAGTCGGTCTCCCGAGCCACGCAGCTGGATGCATTGCTGCAGGAATGCAATTTCCCCAGTATTTGTATTCACTCTGCACTTCCCCAACCTGAGCGGTCAGTGTCAATGTTTCTCATGCTCGTGCTGCCTAGTTGATACAATGAATGTCGACTGACAGAACAGTATCTCTCGATTCCAGCAATTCAAGGCTTTCGAAAAGCGAATCCTCGTTGCAACCGACATTTTCGGCCGTGGTATCGATGTCGAACGTGTCAACGTTGTGATCAACTACGATGCTCCTGGGGACGCCGACTCGTATCTCCACCGAGTGGGTCGTGCTGGGCGTTTCGGTACCAAGGGTTTAGGTGAGTTGAACATTTGTCTTTCATTGACGCCATACTGCCAATCTGACAGCCGTTACTAACTTTCATCCTAACTTACGGAGATTGCTGACATGTAGCCATCACTTTTGTAGCTTCCGATGCGGACCAAGAGGTTCTTCAAAAGATCCAGGAACGATTCACAGTCGCGATCCCTACTCTGCCGGAGACGGTCGACCCTGCCACATACAGTATGTTGTTTCGTCACTTGTCACGTCGCATGTCGCTGATAGATAGTGACATCGTGAGATGCATAAAGTGTGATATGGCAGAGATAGTTTTGTAGGAATTGGAGAGTGAAGAAATGCATACCTGCCGCTGTCATTCTTTGTTGTTGTATGAGCAGAGTTCAGCTGCACCATGCCCCATAAACCAGTGGCCAGTGGCTGACGTCACCATCCGGTCGCGATCGAGAGTTGCTCAAGCGGCTCTTTTTCACCGACTTTTCACACTTCACCTAAACTTCCTATAAACATGTCAAACCTAACCAGATCCGAGCGGTCGGCTGCCCGTGCCACTCGGGATGAGCTCTCAGATGAAGAGAACGAGTTGGACATGTCGTATGAAGAAGAGCGGTTGGAGAATATCAAGTAAGATCTCGTCCTCCCTCCTCACCTTGATCTGCACATAAAGCCCATTACTTTGACCTGACCTTCTGTCCACTTCTGTCCACTTCTCATGCAGCGTTCAGAGCACTTTTGGCGAAACGTGTACATCATCTCACCAATGTCGCTACAATGACATTTCTCAGTGTACAAACAAACCCTTCTTCCTGACATTGAGAAAGTGAAGAATTGACCAGCTGATCATCAAAGAAACAACGCAGCCCTGTTAGCATCATTAGGTCTTAGCTCGGTATCTCTTCCGACGTTGAAACCACGTAATCAACCTGATCAAACGAAGAGATCTACAGTGGTGAAGAAAGAAAAAATAGAGTATCCTGAACCTAGTCGAAGGAGCGGAAGGGTAGCAGCTTTGCAGGAGATAGGGTAGGTATTTTTTCTCTCACTACCTACCCATATCCATCTCTGATATCTCTCACTCACAATAATCTTTGAACGTCCTTGTTTATGAGTATGTATCTCGATCATGTTTTGACTTCAAGAGGTTGAGTGGTGTTACGTTGCAGTATCAAACTTAATAATCAAGTGAAGGAAAATGTTTCCAAGTGGATGGAAATGTCTCCCAGTGGATGGAAATGTATTATAGACCAGATAGTTCAAAAAGAAACCCCCAGAAGACTAGAGTTGTGCAAACTAGTAGCGAATGAAGAGATGGGAGTGAAAGTCATCGAAATATTGTGCTCATTACAGACCTGAAAGAACACATTCACGCTCAAATTCCCTTCACTCCACTCCTTCTCCTTCTCCTTCTCGTAAAAACCCTCTGCCGAAAGCAGTCGCCCCGATCATACCATCCGGACCTACTTACAACTCAACAGAATTACAAAGAGCTTCGAGACCAAGAAGGAAAGTAGATGGTAGTTTGATATTCGAAGGTAGATGGGAAAACATTTTCAAACCTAACATTACACCTGAAGAAATGTTTACCGGTGGAGCTTTCGGAGGAGGTTTCTTTTGGTAAGTCGTCAATCTACCCGTCTTTGGATATAATTCATTCTATCAGTTTTCAGGGTTTTTTTCTGACTTTTCAGTAATACATATTCTCGTATTCTTCATCAACCACTTTCATCACAAGAAGATCTCGCAAAACTTCCTTTTACCGTGACAGATTCAGATAGATTATTGATCAATGATTTACCTGATGGTCAAGTGAATAGGTTCAAAGTACGTGCTGGTCAAAGTTTACAAGAATGGGAAAAAGCAGGTTGGATTTGGAGTGGGGATCCTAGAGGTTGGGCTGAATGGTATGTTAAGTTTTGGGATGGTAGGAGGTGTGAAGATGATGAACGACAAATTAGACGTTGTGAGTTTGTTAATGGGTTTCTCACATTTAATCCATTCAATCCCCTCCTCCCCCTTCCACCCCACTAAACTCCCCCTCGATATCTCACTATTTCTCGTTCTACTCACCCTGATCAATCGTTGGCTTCACTTCGTAATAGACTACAGTAATCATTCCCCGTTACTCGCTATTAGACGTGCTCTCGAGATCTGTCAATTGTATACCACACCCACCATCCTATCCCTTTGATCACGTCCAGAGGGGGAAGTGGTATCGATTCATTCTGCCAAGTTTGATACACTTTCCATGAGCAACGTGCACCACAACCTTCAAATATCAGCTATATGTGGATTTTCGGGCAGGAGACGAGGTGGAATGGGAGGTAGATTGAGAAACCACGTCGAGCTGATCATTCCAGGGCTCAAAGTTGCCGGTCCAACAGGTCGTTTCAAACGTGCTTTAGTAAAGAAAATCCATTCTTCAGGTGGACGTTCAGTAGCGGAGGATGAAGATGTAGGGAGGACTTTGAGACAATGTCTTTGGCAATGGGGATATCAATTGACTTTGGAAGAATATGATTTGGCCATTGCTGGGGAAGGATAAATATTCCGATGTGTGATTATTGCATCTCTTACTATGGTATGATAATCTTTATCGTAGTACCGTAGTCCTTCTGTAGCATTACGTAGTAATGTAGTCCTCTCGCCTGTCAAGGAAAGCGAAAGCTGCTGAGACATCTATGCATCAATTAGGGTACTTGCTATGTATACTATGCTCCAATATAATCGTTAATGTACTGCTTCTCATTGTTGATGATTGCTATAGGATAACAGTTGACGAATATCACTTCGACGTCTAGTTCTAGGCATAAAGGTGATATGTGTCGTTGGACAACTATCATCTGTATTCGTACTCTACAGTACGAGTAGTGTGTAATCATTGCATGTGAAGAAAAATGACAAGTTGACAGTATTTACATTATGTTCAAGTATGTATCAATTTCAAACGATCTCTATCGTTTTATGGTCGATGCAAATTGGGTATTCGTTGAATAACGATGGACTGGAAGGGGATAGGAAAATATAGGGAAGGGAATGAAGAAAGGAAAAGTCATCGCATCATATTAGGGAAACCGGAAACCATTCCCATTCCCATGTTTACATTGGTAGAGAGTTGGGGGAATTGAGAAGGGAGTTGATATGTTCCTTGTGCGTTTGATGGTGGATATTGAGAAGGGAGTTGATATGTCCCTTGTGCGTTTGATTGTGGATATTGAATATGAGAAGGATATGTTGATTGGTTCATATTGGTAGGGTTAAGGTATCCGTTGAAACAACCTCCCATTCCTCCGCCGTTCATCCCTATGCCACCTGCGTTCATTCCGTTCATTCCCATACCACCTGCGCTCATTCCCATACCACCTGGATTCATTCCGTTCATCCCCATGCCAGTTCCGTTCATTCCGTTCATTCCCGTTGAGCCGTTCATCCCCATACCAGTTCCGTTCATACCGTGTGGCCCAGGGAAGCCATTCGTACCATTCATCCCGTTAAAGCCGTTCATATTGTTGAACCCGTTCGATATGTTCGAACCACTAGACCCAGCCATCACATTCATTCCCCCTTCGACTGACATCTGTCCAAGATATGGTTGATTTGATGGCGGATACCCCTGTGAAAACTGTTGAGACCCTTGAAAATGTTGTTGCCCTCCTTGAAAAGGAGCTTGAGGTTGAAATCCCATACCATAATGCATTCCTCCCTGGACCATCGACTGTTGACTCTGTTGCGGTTGGGTCCCAAAATTATTTAGTTGTAATGGTAATGTCGAACTTGTCCCTCCGTTCAAATCTACCAACAACCCTTCCTCTTTCTTACTTCCCCCACTTGACCCCACCCCCGCATCGGACATTTGTCCTCCAAGATTCATAGTATTGCTCGAAGGTGATCTCGCCGGTCTAGGTCTCGCACTCGCGCCTGTTCCCAAAGATACACTGATTGGACGTGGAGAAATACTATTCCCAGTTGGTAAAGGTGGTAAATCTCTTTCTTTTCTAGGAACAGGTGATCTTACTATCACATCATTTAACTCTGGATTTCTTTTATTCTCCCCTATCTTTTCACCTTGACTATTGACCCTAGAGACCTTTAGATTCCAAGGATCTATTGAAGGTGCTAATCGACCATTTCGTTCTTTATTTACATTGACGGGAGTCGGTTGAGGGGGAAGCTTGGTGGATGAGAGAGATTTGAAAGCTCCTATTTCGTATTTCTTTCGGATGTAACGTTCAATTTCAGAATCACGAGCTTCGGCAGTGGAAGATGTTGGAGGTGGATGAAGACGTTCGTTAGGGTTGTATATAGCATTAGAAGCTTTGTTCCCTATAGTTCTCATGGCGGTAATTTGATCTCGCGACCATGTATCTAATGTAACGCTTTTTCTATCCATTAGGGAATATTCCTACGTCGCATGTGTTGTCTTATCTCCCATCACAGTGATTGTGCTTCAATTGAAACTGTCAAAGTGATGTGAGATAGCTATTGAAGATTGATGGTGGTGAAACATGGTAGGATGGGTCATGCAGGAATGAAGGAGAGTACGATTACGAGCTGAGAGGTTCAAGGTGAAATGACAAAACTCACACTCTTGATTTATGAGTGCCAAGCTTGCGATGCACACTTGCACAGTTGACACATAAGAATATACCCAGATTGACGGAAGCCCATCTAGGAGCTGGAGCGTGACAATCGGCACAGTTATCTATCGTGTCAATTCACACCATCGGATGTGGGACCAGCTACCGTTACTTACGGTTTGATGGATATGACTAAAGGAGTGTGAGTGTACGAATGAATCTGAAGGGTGGGTAGGATATGTGACAAACATACCATTACCAGGTAACTTGAGCACCTCCTCCATCATACGTTCTGCTCTTTTGTCGGCCATGGTCGCGAACTTATGTTATGGTACGACGGAATGTATTGCGTAGATGATGTCCAGAGGCCAGAGGGAGTGTGAGAGTAGGAAAGTGAATGCAGAGATGAGATGTATCACAAGTAAGTAGCCGGACTACGATAGCTGGAAGCGGTCTGTGCGTGTCGGACACAGGCCCAAGCGCGTGGGTGGCAAATGGTCACGTGATCAAAAAAGACTTGGCTGCGCATTGGAATGTCTCCGTTCTATTCCAGCATTCTCCTGCAGTATGCGCTGGATCCGACCAAATGAGCTTTATGGAGACAAGAAGAACATCCTGGTCACTGTCTACTGGTGAGATATCATTGACGTGACGTGATGACCCACTCATTAGCACCGAAACCTTGTCTTTAGGTACGGGTAATTATTCTCGAACTATTCTTGACATGAATCTCCGGGTTCGCCCTCTTCCTTGTTACTCTATCAGCTAGCGCAGCTCTACCCCGCCCGCCCGCAGTAACCATCATCAAAGGTTCCCAACGTTCTCTATACCTCTTCACACAATCACACAGCTCTCTACAGTCCATCCATACCAAAGCTCAAGGCTAGGGAGTGACGACGTGGACGACGTGCTACTGTATGATCGTGATCATCGTCAGGTGGCAATGTCAACAATTTCGAACCCTACCAAACCCTTTGTTCGTCACCAACATTACGATTTCCCCCAATCCTTTGACATTCCGCCCTTTCAACCTCACATGATAGCATTCGCTTCTACTCATATCTTCCTTTGAACCTCTTCTCCACTCTTGAGCCCCTTGCTGCGAGAACGATCTCTCACCTTCCTCTCTCCTACTCCACAGATCTGAAAATGTTACCTACCATTCACATCCACGCTTCCTCTGACCCTGGTCCATCCAAACTATTCTCCTTACCATCTATCTCACTCTTCCGCTCAAGCGAGAAACAACCTTCGATCTCCAGCACTAGCGTGAACATGAGTATAGGACATTCAGGTGCTATCCTCCCTGGAGCACCACATTTGCCATTACGAAGAAGAAGGATGGTCACACAGGGTGTGGCAGTCACGGCTTTGTTAAGCTTGTGCTTGTTGTGGTTCACAGGAGGAGCTGGAATGGGGACGTTGTTAGCCCCCCCGAAACCTGATTGGACGGGTGAGTACCGATTATCACTTTCTATCATTATGTCTTCTTCGACATCAATGCAGGCTTCTGCGTGATAGGATCAGAGAGGAAAGAGATTATTGATCATGGCTGACTAGTAGTTGAGCAAATACCACCCGGCAGAGTCATAGATCCAGAAATAGCAGCCCATTTGGGGAAACCCAAGGGACCTCCAGAATTCACAGGATATCCTATTCCCTCTCCCGACCTTAGTTTATGGGGTCTAGATCTCCGTTCTGATCGATTATTAGCTGGTATATCACCTTGGCCACCAAATCCAGCCGTTGAAGAAAGTCAACCGGCTTTATCGTCTCTGGGACATTTCGCGGATAACATATATAAACATGGGCCATTGGATTTGGAAACGTACTCTACGCAATTGAGAGAATTCGCAGAGGTCGCCTTTCCCCGAAATATAGCTGAGGAGTTGAAGAAGGGAATAGAGATGTACCTCGGGGAAGGGAGAGGAGATAAGGAGATTGACGAGAATGTTCCAGGACCTGAAGCTTGGGATAAACAGAAATTTATGTGGCAAACGGATAAAGATGAGAGACGCGAGCAAAGTGTGACGGTGGCTTCGTGGACTGGGAGGACGATGAAGGATGAAGGATGGAACTGGGAGTTGATGACGGATCAGTGAGTCGCACGTCCTTCGCATTTCATCCTTGGTTACGTATACAATGTCTCTAAAATATTGTTCCGAGCATATGAGACACGACCGAGATTCATTTCGATCACTATTCCACGAGAACTGATAGATCAGAGAAGCAGACCAATGGATGCGCAAAAAACTTCCTGACTCGCGAATAGAATTGATGTGGACCAGTCTCCCCACCGGTATCCTCGTGAGTTTTTCCTTCTCCTCCTCGTAGAGATATCCACAATCGATTGGGACTTGTAGCGTGATGTATCAGTGAGACGAGCTGACACATAGCGTTCGGATATGATACGATACTTACTTCTGCTCATACACGGAGGTATATATTCCGATACCGACACGGCCCTCCTCAAACCTCCTTCAGACTGGGGTAAAGGTGCCCGGTTGTGGCGTGACGGACTCGGTTGGATAGGCGATGCAGACAAGGCTAGGATAGATGCAGGGGAGGAAGTGGATGATGTGATTGGAAAGCCAAGTGTCGTGGTGGGTATTGAAGCTGATGTAGGGGATAGATCAGATTGGTATGAGTGGTGGCCTAGACCGGTGAGTGTCATAACATCCTCCACAAAATCATTCCTATTCCAAACCCGAGTGATCTCTACAGTCTGACATCGTCACTTGTAATTACACGTCCCAATCCATATCTCGGGGTATAGACCAGACGAACGTTCTTTCTGTATTTCAACTGGAGGCGACGAGGGGTATGGAAGTACCCGTTATGAACAATTATGTGATCGGGACTAACGTCAGATCCAAATCGTCCAATGGACAATGGCTTCAGCTCCATATCATCCAATTTGTCTTCAAGCTCTCTTACGTATACTTCACTCTACCGCACACGCAGTTCAATGGTCACACGAACATCGTCGGAATCTCAAAGCATTAACTGATTTAGGCATGTTCCGAGAAGTTTCTTCCTTGAGGGAAGTTACGGTATTGTCCGAGCCAAAAGGTGGAGGACCGGTCGGAGTCATGGCTTGGACTGGACCGGGAGTATGGACTGATGCTGTTTTGAGGTGAGTGACATTACTTGTTTTGATTGATCACCAGTCTCCTTCCTCCAGTTCTCATCACATATCAAATGACCAGAGTTTCCTTCGTTTTCTTTCTTTTCGTTTTGTCTGCATCTCTTGTGCTCTGGCCTCTTAATTCTGACAATGGGAGAATGTCGAAGGTGAAAGAGAATGTGCAGATAGTAGTCACGTTATAGCGCTTCAGTTGACGGACAGCTATATAAGGGTCAGATACGGAGTACAATGGACCGATCTTCGGGAGTTGAAAGAACCATTAAGGATAGGTGATGTGATGGTTTTACCCGTAACTGGTTTCTCACCTGGCGTGGGTAATTTCGGTAGTGAACCAGCTTGGCGTGAGTATTTTCTCTTTTCCATGAACAAACCAACCCCTCCACCTTCCTCCTAAAAAAACCCCTAACAAGAGTAATGTATGCAGAAGACTACATGTGACTGTGAGATGAAAGATTTGATCAGAATGGTAGGGGAGAAAAGAAGTGGTTTAGTGGAGAACTGATAGTATAGACCCACAAGCAATGGTGGAACATAAATTCGAAGGATCATGGAAGAATGCCATACCTTGATCTACCTATTCAAATTTCACTATCGACATTATCTACAGGTAAACATTCACTCAGGTCATTCAATAAAATCCGATGCTGTACATACATGGAAATCATTCCCATCAGCCCCGAGTTATGGACAGACTTGTCATTGTCCTCTTGTCGAGAAGTATCACATGATGTTCTTCTCGAAATATCATCAATATCCAAGATAGAGATAGTGACGAGGGATATGACTGGTATTCTTTTCAATGGACACAATGACGTTGGAATATACTCAAGATGAATGGAATGAAAATAGAGCCAAGAGGGCAAATAGAAGTTTGATATTGTATAGATGGGAACCACGAGTGAATGTACTGTATCTATAGAATATGAATTTCTTGATTTTACAACTCTTGATAACGTTAGTAGAGCAACGAAACAATCGCTAATATCTGATTGGATATTGGACGCAAACGTTTCGTAGCGGTATACGTATAAGGTACCTCTGCCTCCTAATCAACGTTAATAATAGAAATGTGAGGATAAGTAAATAGTGAGGAAGAATTTGGAAGAATGGGTAAATTTGCATTTCCTCAGAATAAGCTCAATTTATATTGGAATACAACATATCTATCTTCATCTCTATCCAAGAATCCTACTCCACTAATGAACCACTAACCATTAACCATTAACAGTTCACTCAAAACCTTGGTATTGACCGACGCCCACACAAGTATCCCCAAGTTTTTTATGTTGTTTCAAAAACCTTCTCACAAAGAATCAAGTAGCAATGACCACATGAGCTCTTTCATTACCCGTTTCTCTATCTTTCCTATCTCTAATCCTTCTCCTAAACCCAAATCGTCTATTTCTCTCTTCTTCCCTTTCTTTCTGACCCATCTTTCCAACCCTTTCTTTCCCACCATCCAGTAATCCAACATCACCATTCATCATGACTAAACCATTCTCCTTTCCTTCCAATTCACCAGGTTCTTCAACCAATTTCTCCTCGGTCATATCTTTATTGATGAGATAAGAAAAAGGTCCTTCTTCTTTACCTGGGAAAGGATTGAAAATAGATTCTATAACTGTTTCAGGAGCTAAATCCCTACTATGTCCATGTACATGATGTTGATGTTGATGTTGATGTTGTGGATGATGATGAGGGGAATTTAAACGAGGTGAAGAATTAAAAGAAGATGAAGGTTTTAAATGATGATCATATGTTTTATATCCTGATGATCGTTGGTTAAGAGGAGGAAGGATCATAGGATCACAATTCATATCACGAGAAGAAGACAGTGAAGTGTGTGAAGGTGTTTTTTGACCGGAAAAAAGAGAAGAATCGGAAGAATCAGATCGACATGTATGTATCAATGTAAGGTCATGACGATCATGTGGATCGGAAGGGAGGAGTTCGTTGGGTCCAGCTACGTGTTGACCTTCTCCAAGTGGTGGGCTGGGAATTAGTACTAGTTTATACCGCGTCGGATCAAGCGAGTTACTTGTAACGGAGAAATATAAGGAGAAGGTAAAGGGGTTCAAATGAAGTTATCCCGTGGGAAAAGATATGAGAGATTGAGCAAGCTCAAAATACGTAGACTTACGCCGTCCATTTCTCCTCACCACCCATAAATTTCATTTCCACAGTCAACTTGACCAAAGCATTCGTCCTACCCTGTAACAAAAACCTTCTCGTCACTCTTCCCCTCCCAGCAAACATGGCCAAATCGATATCTACCCAACCATAACTCTCTTTTTCACCTCTCTTCCCCGCTTCACTTGGGTTACCTGGGAGTCTCTGGGCGTGATGAGCAGCAGCGAGCACACTGGCCACGCTATCCGTATCTGCCGCTTGAGCAGGTGCAGATGATGTAGCTCCAGAAACCAACATTTGTTCCACTTCAATTCGCATGCCTGAATCTGACAGAGGTCCGAATCCCAATAATGGTGGACGTAACGATGCTGAACTGGAAGAATCTTTGCTAGGTGGTTTAGCTGGTAGTTTTCCCACAGGTAATCGAAGTAGGTGTTGTAATTGGAAATCCCAAGTGCATGAATGATCAACAGCCGAGACTTGAGCGGGAGGTGTTACTCCTTTTCTCTCGGTAGAAAAGTTGGGTCGGGGGAGAGGAGCGTGTATGGATCGAAAGGAGGTAACAGATACTCCTGATGTTGATCGTTGACGAGTTTGATCAGGACGTAAAGAAGTGGTGGGACTGGGGATGATAGGAGATGGAGGGTTATGAGATGATGTCCGGGATATCCCATTCCGAATATTAGAATTGAGTGGTTCTGATGAGTTTGGCAGAGGATCGACAATTGTTGAAGTGGATGGGACGGTACCGGAACGAACTGGAGGTCGATTCACCGTGCGAGGGAATGGGACAGAGAGATGAGATTGTGATGAACCGACCGACATGAGAGAAGGTGGACGTAGATGTGAAACTGGAAGAGAAGAAGCGTGAATGGGAGGTAAGAGTGAACCGCTTGTTGATGAAGAAGGAGGCCTACTAGGTCCGGATGTGGAGGTACTACTCCCACTACCAACCGTTCTCCCACTAGCGGTAGTCTCATCACTTGCTTTTCGTAGTCTTGGATTGATGGGATCAAGAGGACTTGTCATGTTAGGAGATTTGATCTCTTTTGGGGAATCTGTAAGGTTGATGGGGTTTCCCCCAGGCTTGGTGCTCTGTCGCAGAGGAGTAGGATCCGATGTTTTCTTCTCCGCAATCCGGGATGGAGCTCGAGATGACGGCAAAACTCCGACAGGTGTGAAAGTTTGAGGTGTGGTACTGGCTCTTCCGGGAAGACCATAGCCTAAGGCAGGTGTGGTGGATGAGTATGCCGGTCGGGACATGGGAGCAATGGGAGATGATGCGGTCGAGGAGAATGAATTGACAGATAGTGAACTAGCCGATTGACCTGGTTGAGACAGTTTGAGATTTGGAAGTGATGGTTTGGGGGTGGGAGTGGTATGAGCTGTTTCGTCAGTATGAATCACACGCTCCCTCTCAGTACTACCTTCCGATAGACAATTTCTGAAAGCTGCAGTTCTGAAAGCAGGAGCGGGTTGTTGCAGTTGATGCGGGACTCTAAAACATGTTACAAACGCCCATGATGTATTATCGATGGTCAGAGACAGGTTCAAGCTGACCAGAGGGTGAAGTGGATTTGACAGTGAGAAACAAAAAAGAAGTGGTGGTCCGAACTGCAAGATGCAAGACGAAATTTGAAGATGACGCAATAACCCACATTGAGTAACACCCTCATATCCCCTAGCCCTCTTGCCTCGAAACTTCCAACGAACAGCAAATTGTCCGTCCATTTGTGGTACATTTCCCATATCATGTATCCACACAGTAGTTTGAAACACCGCATATTTATTAGTCGAATCGAACAAGTGTGCTAACTTGTAAGCTGCTCGAGTGGTATGTTGATGATGTGCTAAAGTTTTATGTCCTCCGTTGACAGTAGCATTGCTGGTGTGTTGAGTTGCCGGGAATACAGGTGTTGATGAAGGTGTCCTAGAAGGTGCTCGAGTGGAAGTTTGAGACATGTTTCTTCAATCGTCAATCAAGATATTGATGGATATGTTCAAGGAAATGATGTATGTCGAATCATCCAAATGATGTTTAAGAATGACAAAAAAACAAGTCCTAGGCGTACTGTTCTATCGTCTTATCTTCCTTATTTCTGTGATTTTCCCATGAAGGTATTTTTCGTGTGAGAGCGATTGGGTATGGAATGAATGAACTGAAGGGGGGGTATCTGAACAGATCATGGATCATGGATAAGTAGATGACGCTCCGTTGTTGTAAGTGGTATAGAGATGTAAGAGGACAAGTACTTTGAAACGCACCCCCCACCGTAAACGAAATTGTTGTCTGTCGTCGGACGAAATTGAATCTGTCAAAATCTGTGGGGAGAATGTTTTAGACCAAAGGTAGACCGCGAGTAAGGCGCATGTCCCCCATGTGTTCTGATCTCTCCGTTCACCGGTAACTTTGTAAAGTGTCTCTGTTTCCACTTCGGCCGTGCGGACACCGGTGATCGTGATGGGATCGGGATCGGGATCGTCGAATGGTAGATGATGGTGACGAAAGTGATCTGTCACTTGTTCACTTGTTGATAGTGTCAGACCGCTCAAAGGCAGGAATGTAAGGGGTAATGAGTGAATGGATGAGAAAAACGGAGAAGAGAAGTGAGATGGATTGAGGACCGAAGGCCGAGGGTGTACGAGGTAGACACTCCGGTTCTCTTCACCCGGTGGTCACAAGGTTTCAAACCGCTCAGAGATTCCGCCTTCTACACTCTGCTCTCTTGCCCTACCACGGATGCCCCCGGGGAAACCCCGACTAGCTTAGACACGAAAGAAACCGGCAGCTGGTAGACGCATGTTACCACCGACTACTATACGGACTGACGTAACGCCGTCGGCTTGATTAGTGCATGCATGTGTTCCCATGTCCTGTAATCTACCCCAACCCCTAGAGTAGACTCTCAGGATGTCATGGAGGTGGTTTACACTTTGTAGCTGTCCAAAAGCCGCCTGAGAATTAGCCAAGCCTTCCGCTCCAAGAATAGACACCGTACGTTGTAGCGATACTCCAACATTCCCTCGGCGATGCTGGTGTATGTCGTCGGTATCATCTTCTCATCCTGTCTGTTAACTCCAGATCTGACGAGTCTCATGGCAGAACTTCCTCCTGGAAGGTACATACATTTAGCTCAAATCCTATCTTTCTGGCCAAAGCCTTGACCTCGTCCAATGACAACTCAATAGATCCCTCACCTTCTGGCGAAGTGACCGGCGAGTTCTCATAGTGCCATAGCAAGGGTCCTTGACGTCAGCATCCCCCATCATGGGCTGTGAATATGCAGACCTATGTTGATCCAGATTCCATCCTCTGCCAATAACTCATGAATGATCCTCAGATACTTGACGACATTCCTTGCCTAGAATCAGATGCAGTCCGCCGACGCAGAAAGACTCACACAATCGAGGAAGAAGCAGGTGACGACGGCCCCCCATGAGCCCCTTTGCTCACCATTCTCCCATGCTTTAGGGCCATAGATATCTTCAAAATCACCGGCGGAGAGAGAAAAAGGTCCATTTTTTCCAGCGGAAAGCAAGTCTGGTGCGGCGACATCTGGGATACTGATCGGGCGGAGTAGGTGATGCTGAGTGGTGAGGTGATTGGACCAAGAGTGAACGTGAGGGTAGATGGTATGTTGATGGGGAGTAGTCACCCTACTGATCAGCCAACATCTACGCGCCATGAATGGCTAGCTTTCTGAGAAGAAACGAGTACCAGGCAGTGATGTAATGGACAGAGTGTAAAGTGGATGACTCACTGATTGAGCATGTAGTTGGAGACGAGAAGTTGATACACCGAAAATTCGTTGCCCTCCGAGGCGAAACCTGTTTTATCAGTTCCTCCACTCTCATTCACATGTTGTTTGAATTCCTAATTTCGTCTTCTTGTGAGATGTAGAAGGGGATATGGACATATGACGACGAAGAGCTAAGAGAACCTATCTCTGGCAGCTATCTCCAAGGCCAATCTGCCCAGCCCACACCCAGGCACCAACACCTTCACCCGGTTTTTCTCAACAACACTGAGACGCTGGTAGTGTCTTTCGAGAGCTGCCAAACATGGATCATAGCAAGCTCTCCTCTCTTCTGCTCCTTCCGCTGACCAGTCACGTACAAGTGAACGAAGGGTTGATCTTATTTTGTCCTGTGATGAGTCGGATTCTCTCTGCCCCAAGCTTGCTTCTTTTGAAGTCGAGGTAGCGACGTCCATTTGATGTGAATGACTGTGATCGTGTGTTGTCGACGTCTGGGCGTGATCGTCCGGATCATGTAAGTGAGAGTGTGAGTGATGGTCTTGGTCGTGAGAATGGGAATGATGGTCCTGTGAATGAGATTGAGAGTGGGTATGATCGTCTCCAGGGTAGAGTTGAGCTCCATTCTCGAAATGAGCTTCGTGGTCTTGAATGAGGAAGTCGTTAAATAGAGGATCGTCCAACATCTCATCTATGAACTCTGCATTCCTATTCGTCAGTCCTACTCCAGATTCAGACCCCACTGACCGACGTATGGCCTCATCAACAGCGTTGAGCTTGTCTCTGTAACCAAGAGAGTCTAGTAAGATTTTATCTTCAGATTTGAGGGATAGAAATGACATTCTTCTCGCTTGATTGGCGGAGAGCTACTTGTCAGTCTATCCGATCCCCGGCTTAGGTCCATTCCATGGTGGAAAGAGCAAGTTGAGAGGAAGGGGGACTGACGTGATATCGCATATAATGGTCGAAAGCATTTACCACCGACCTCCAATGATGTCTCTCTTCCGGTGAGTCGAATTGACTCATTTCTGAACTCTCGCTTGTTGATCACTTCCAGTCACTCCTGACTATTGTCGAATCTTTGTGTTCAATGCCATCATCCATCTCCGTTCGACCACTGGAAGTGCAGCACGAAGAATGCGGAGCCCCAATATAAGCACGTGGCCGGTAGATTACAAACCCCGAATGTGGCACTTGGCTCGTGCTTCGGTCTGCGCTGCTCTTTAGCTTCTAAGAGACTTGAACGACGACCACAAGCCCAAACAAGATCCAAAGTAGGTGATCAAGACACCAGCGAGATCTACGAGAACACACAGGATGTCATCCACAGCACCAACTGAAATACCTACACCTCTCATACCTCTCCTCTCTCTCCTCTCCAGTGCATTCTTGACCCTACAGAGTCTTTTCCATCGGATCCCCGGATCTCCCATCATCGTCCGATACATCAAAAGCAGTTATCAGGATGATCCATATAGGAGTTTGCTAGAGGTCTTGTTGTTGGCTTTTGCCGTCAGGACACTTTTGCAGAGGAGAACGGGTGGAGAAGCGGAGGGAAAAAGTTTTATAAAGTTGACTGCGAAGGTGAGTAGTGAGATCATTTCATCAGTTTTCTCCAGGACCTATAGGTCCAGCTTCCCCACTGTCTTTTGAGGACTATGGTGAGAAGTGTTGCCAGTGGATGTGGGTATGAGGAATATGAATGCTATCCAAGGGGATTGCGAGGAGGGGAAGAGAAATGAGGGAGTAACGAGTAGTTGGTGAATGGATGACTTGGTGTGATCGAGGAGAAGGATCGACGGCATTGAGTGTAGGACCCCATACGAGTGAAGAGCGGATATGGAGCCAAATAAATTTCACGTATACTGACCAGTAGGAAATAGATGAATTGGTAGATGACTGGCAACCCGTTGCTCTCGTCGAAGAACCAAACGAATTAGACGCTATGATACTCCCTACAGTACCTACCATCTACGGTCCTAACGGTATTAAAGTGAAGACTTCTCCCACTGGCAAGTCTGTAAGTCCTATCATTGCCCACAAAATTGGGCTGAGACTGATGGCTAGCTACTCAATATGGTCACTCCGAATTGGACGGGATTGGTGGAGAATGAAAGGTTGAAGCAGGTCGCAGTGGAAACTCTACATTCGTACGGAGTTGGAACTTGTGGCCCTGCTGGTTTCTATGGTTACATTGGTGGGTATTCACTTATTCTCGTTTCTCTCTTCTTTCCATATCCTATGCCCTTTTCTTCATTCAGCAAATATCCTTGTCTTACCTGACTTACACCCTCGCTATTGACCTGATACATTCGGGACAGGTCAGATATCCGACTGGGCGCTGGCTGTAAGTCAATTGTGGCTGTACAGCGTGTTCACTGCGACACTCAGAGGACATATAATACAATGACAGGGTAGACGGTGGTTGTTGAATGAAGACCTGATGGCCAGACGTTCACATGGATTTCGAACAAGAATTGGCCAATTTCATCGGCACAGAATCATCCATCACCTATGCTCAAGGTTTCGCAGCTGTCTCATCCTGCATCCCCGCTTTCGCCAAACGAGGTGACATAATCGTCGCTGATCGTGGATGTAACTTTGCCATTCAGAAAGGTCTTCAAATTTCTCGATCAACAATACGATGGTTTGCACATGGAGATATGGCGGATTTGGAAAAAGTGTTGCAAAGCGTAGAGAGAGATTTGAAACGTAAAGGCGGAAAATTGACAAAGAAATTTATTGTGGCTGAGGGGATATTCGAAAATGATGGAATGTTGTTGGACCTTCCCAAAGTGGTCAGTGATTGTTTCCTCCTTCGCTCTCATTCACCTTTCTGTTTTCTTTATTAGCCTCCTCGTGAATGGTGTTGGCAGTAACGTATTGCATGTATCGTCAAGCATATGAGAAAGCTTTGTGAAAAGACAAGGAGGGGATTTGTATTGAGCGAATGACAGCTGATAAGAAAGATGGAATTGAAGAAAAAATTCAAATACCGCTTGATGCTTGACGAAACTTACTCTATCGGAATGGTCGGTGCCCATGGTAAGGGTCTCACGGAATATTACGGCGTACCAGCCGCGGAAGTAGATATGATATTCGGTTCAATGGCAAGTTCGTTTGGAACAGGAGGTGGATTTTGTGCAGGATCATCTGTAGTTTGTTCTCATCAGGTAAGTCCATTCCTCATCCAACAATATAAAATCATTGACATTGCAGCGTATCAATTCTTCTGCTTCTGTCTTTTCTGCTTCTCTTCCAGCTTTATTGACAACAACATCCTCAACAGCACTTTCGATCCTTCTTACCACCCCAACATTATTCACTACTCTTCAATCCAACGTACTCACTTTCCGAGCTCAATTATCGAAACTTGAAGCTGTCCCTTCTGTCCCTCCAATTTCTTCACCACGACCTTCTCTCCCTGTTTTACCATCTTCGGCCAGTTCCACAGAATCTATACCCATAGGAGCTCAAACACCAAATAAAGACGCTATCATTCAAATCCCTTCTCATCCCAGTTCGGCGTTGATGTATATCTTCTTATTGAACCCTCCATCGACAGTGGAGGAAGAAGAAGCTTTGTTACAAGATGTGGTGGATGAAGTTCAGACTAATGGAAGTATTTTGATCACTCGAGCTAGACGTTTAAGAGGACAAGAAACTTTCGAACCTGAACCTAGTCTGAAAGTTTGTGTTAGTGCTGCTATGGGGAAGAAAGATGTAGAGAAAGCTGGTCAGGCTTTGAGAGCTGCTTTGGTCAAGTTTTGTTCGAGTGAGTAATATGAGATTCTTCTTTTTTGGTAATCTTCGTCTAACACTTTCTCTGTCAGATCCCACACCCACTGCTCTTTCATAGATCCTTCAAATATGAAAAACTGATCCGCAGAACGTCGCTAATATATGTCCCGTAATAAACTTGTTCTTGTCTACGGACGTACGAAAGGATAGAAATGAAGTTTGTGATCCCTGGCGGATGCAAAGATTGAATAAGATAATAGCTACCAAGTAAGTACCTTCCTTTACAATATAATTTCTAAAATGTCTCTAGTCATTAATGCATTCATCGCTATTCAATTGAAACCACACTAAATCACCCTATTGACCCATCTCGATCCTTCTCACAGCTACACCTTGCTTCTCCAAAGCCTCCTTAACCTCATCTATCCCAACCTCTTCTCTATGAAATATCCCAGCAGCTAAAGCCGCTTCCGTACCAGTTTCTTTGAAAACCTGTACGAAATCTTCACTCGATCCAGCTCCACTACTACTGACCACTGGAATCCCAACATTCTTCTTAACCAAATTGATTAAATCCAAATCGAAACCTTTGCCCGAACCATCCCTATCAACAGAATTTAATAATATTTCTCCCGCACCTAATTTTTCAACTCCTTTAACAAGTTGTATCACATCTAAATCCGTAGTTTCTCTACCTCCTGCAATAGTACAAGCATACCACCAAACTTTTTCTTTTTCTTCATTTTTCGTATTACTTTTAGCTTTATCACCAAAAACTAAACAATCCAAATGTTCTTTTGGAAAATTGTCCATCCAATTGGAATCATTCGTATCCACATATACTCTCCTAGGATCTACAGAAACTACGACAGCTTGTGATCCATATGCTTTAGCGATAGTTTCTATACTTGTTTTTCCCGTCAATCCATCGATTCCTTGTTTTTCACGTTGAAGTAATTCTTTTACGGAAGAAACAGCATCACTACCGATTGATACTTTATCAGCACCACTTCTGAAATAAATACCAGCGACTTCTAATGCACTTCTTTTCGTACCATCCGGATCTATTGTATCTCTTATTCCACCACCAACAGTCAAAGGTACGAAAACTGTTTCGGCAGCAGAACGTACTACATCTAACATTGGTTGATCTCTTAATGCTGAAGAACGAAATGAAGTGATGTTGAGAAAACAAATTTCATCCGCTCCTGATTGATAATATCTTTGAGAGAGTGAAACTGGTAAACCTAAATTCCTAACGTGTTTTGAAGATGAATCTCGAACATCGTATTGATCTCCTTTTGTAACTACTAAATCTCCTGAATCGTTGGAACGAACATCGAGACAAGCGACTATACGACTTGTTAAACCTGTACCGGGTCGAGGGTGAGGATCAGTGTTTTGCCATTTCCCTTTTGGAAGAAGTTTCAACATGTCGGGATTGGTCGAGGTATTTTCATTGTGAGTCGAAATGGTCTGATAGTTCGTTTGCTGAGAATTGGAATTGTAATTAGTTGTGATGTGTGAATTGAGGCTGCTTGAAGAAGGAAGGAAGGAAATGAGTGGAGGAGATGTTAGAGTAGAGGAAGGAATCGATAACCATCGTCGAAGTAAATCTAATCCCGCCGGACCAGATTTTTCAGGATGAAATTGTGTTCCGAATACATTCCCAACCTTGACGGAAGAAACAAAAACTTCATCTCCATACCTCGATAAAGTGTATGCGTAAGGTTTCATAATTTCTTCGTCCTCAGGAGTTTTCAACATGGCACCGTAGGAATGAACGAAATAATAGTCTTCGTCAAGCATTAGCGTTTCTTCCTTCGTGTTCGACGTAGAATCTTCATCTTGCCATGCTTTCCAAGCTTTGTTCCAACCCATATGAGGAACTGCTTTTCTTTTTCCCTTCTCCTCCCCTTTCCATTCAACTCCACCCATACCCTTTTCTTCTCCACTTGGGTCTGCGTCAGATTTATCATTCAGCAAGCTTGTCCCATTTGATAAACTCGACGAATGAGCGGTCCTTCGAGAGGTCGCGGCTTCATCGATAGAGGTGAGAAGATCCGAAGTAAACCTAGAGATCGGAAAAGGTATCACACCCAATGCCTCAGCACCGGGAGATTCGGTAGAAGTCGTGAATAACATTTGCATTCCAATACAGATCCCAAAGTAAGGTCGACCTGATGAAATGTATCGTCCAAGAGGTTCGTCGTAGCCTGAAGTTCGGAGCGAAGTTGTAGCTTGACCGAATGCACCCACACCGGGAAAGATGAGTTTCTAGATCTCAGCACATTTTTTAGGCTACTTCATTCATACGCCCGTATGTTATCCACTTTCTCAACCCTGTGCCAGTGGAAAAGTTGAGAAAGTTGGCGGTTTATCTCGTGAGACCCCAAGGAGGGAAAACGAAAGGGTACATGAGATGTACAACTGTATGACTGACCTCGGCTTTGTCAAAATCAGAGATATCGCGGATCCATTCAAACTCATATCCTAACTTTTTGATGGAATTCGCCAGACTAAAGATTAATACACGTCCACTATCCCACATCATTTACTCTAAGTGGGCCATGTCAATCTCATACGCTTCTCTGATAGGAAGGTATCCAAACGCTGACGAGAGGAGGTTTGTAGGTGAACATGGTCGGACCACTCACCTTCTCACATTGCCAGCACCGTAGTCCAGGATGTACAATTTCGGGGGAGGATGAGAAGGAGGGTGTCCGGATGGTTGAGCGACGGGTGGAACTGGAATGATATTCTCGGCCATTGCGTTTGTACTGTAGAAACAGAGCCGATATGCTCACTCTCTTGCCAGTGCTCGGCGACTGAGGACTTTAAAGTAGTATATTGATTGAGCGTTCAAGGTTGCATGCAACATTCAACATTCGACATTGGCCAGATTTCTTGAGTCGATATTTTCCCACGGTTGATTGAAATGTCGGATTTTGTTTCCGCCAGAATCATGGAATTTCGCAGCGGGTTGAGAGGTCTGAGAAAAGCATGTACTTAGCTACTTGAACGTACAAGCAGCTCACCTCGCGAGCCGCAGGTATTTCGCAGGACGTGAAATGAGTGTGAAATAGCCTCGGCGGATTTCCGGGAGGTTTCCACAAGTGTGAAATACCTGTGGAACGGTGTTTGTGTTAGGCATGCATACTCATGTCCATAATAGGCACGTTTGCTCCTGGTATCACACAAATTTGACCTTCAAAGTCTCATCCATCCTTACTTCATATTCTTTGAACACCGCAGACACCACTCAACAGACCGCTTATAACTTCCGAGCACCTAGCACACTCCACGAGTTCACCCCTAACAACCAGAACACAATTGCGGGATCCCAGGACCAGCTAGGGTGGGCAGGGCGGGAATTGTATGAATCATGGGGACCATAATTCTCCGAGAGTGAACCGTTAAGAGGACATTATGCCTGGTAGAAAGGTGAGTCCTTCTTGTCCCTACACGGTTTGCGCGCACCACTGACCCCACAGCGAGTATTTTGCCGATGTTCATCATGCCGGAAGAACCCATCAGGGTATGAGATGGTCCACCGCGACATTCGTCAAGCTCACACGCGTCGCGATCAGCTATCTGAGTCGATGCCAGTATCTCGACCACACCCCCTCCTCAACTCCCCTGAGAACGATCACGCAGGTCCTTCACGTCCATCGGCAAGGCCAGACACTCCAAGGTTGGGGTCACTCCCCAGGCGTATCAGTGAATCCTCCGAAGACGAGTTCAGTGACAATGTTCCATTCGACGAATACCTCAACTTTGGCGTTGAAAATGAACTTTCCCCCTCTCAAAGTGAAAGTGTTGTTGAGAATCACCAAGACTCCCCCGATGATGAAAGGGACGACTACCATTCGGACAGTCTTTCAGAAGTCAACAGCTTGCCTGGTGGTTCAGATGATGAATCCGCACGAGACAGGGCCAGACGAGCACTGGACCCCATACAGTATCTACACGAAGGGCCGGACACCCAAATCGCCCCAGACCCCCAAATTATCCGAGCTCTACAACAACTCCCTTCCGTCACCAACCGTTTTATCCACCATGACCTTTCCCAATGTGAACGGTTAGTGTATACACAGGCTGCCATCGCTTCAATTTTAGGTAGTACACATGCAGCCGTTGCCCTCAACCTTACGATATCCAATGCTCTTACCGCAAGAGCCAGCGGCCAGTCCTTACCCAAACCAACAACCGATCCTTTTGAAGCTTATAGCCGTCTGGGAGTTCACCCCGATACCCTTATCCAGAGGTATGCAGTCTGTCCGGACGAGACTTGTTGTTTCATATGTCCTATCGCCTCGATCAACGAACTTACAGAAGAAGGTCATCCCCATCCAAATGGAAGCATTTGTCACAAATTACTGTATCAAATGAAAGGTCAAAAACGAATGCCTCAAAAAATCATGCCATTCACACCGCCATCGTCTATGCTCAGATGCTTCCTACGAGACCCGTGTTTTGTGGGTAATTTGAAGGAATGGCGCACTGGAGAAGAAGATCAGGTCAATGTGTGCCCCCCGATTCCCATTGACCACCACCAAGATCCCGATTTGCCAATGGAAGGAATTTTTGACGGGGCTGCTTGGCGCTCGAGGGACTCTCAAAAACGGAGGGATATTTTGGGAGGAGAAATTGTCGACTCATGGCAGCCTGGCGGTCCTCAACGACTAGTGGGCATGGAGTTTGGTCTGATTGGGGCTGTCAACTTGGATTGGTAAGTACACTTATGGTTGGTGACATTGTTGATGCGCACAGGTTTTCTGTTAGAGATGTGAAAAACTGTTCCATTGGAGCAGTTTACATTACAATCCTCAATTTACCCCGTGAGATTTTCCTCAGGAGAGAGTGGACAATTCTTGCATTGGTCCTGCCAGGACCCAAAGAGCCTGTGGCTCTCGCTCTCAATAACCTGTTGAAACCCTTGGTAGACGACCTCAAAATTTTGGAACGAGGAATACTGGCAAATGTTTACGGTCATGATCAACTGCAACCAGTTCTCATGCAAATGATGTTCTCTTCCTCGGACATGCCTGCTACCAGGAAGATTGCGGGTAGCTACGGACACGCGGCCAAATACTGTTGTAACCACTGTAGGATCAAGACGAGTGATTTGAAGACAGCCACTGCTTATGATTGGAAGCGTGAGTAGTCTATTGTCATGTTTTGCCATGTATCTGATCAAATCAGATCTGCCCCTTCACGAACCTGCAGAGTTACTGAAGGCGGCGATAAAGCATCGTGATTCATCGCCTGAAGAGCGGATAAGATTGGAGAAAAAGCATGGTGTTCGGTGGTCGGAATTGGTCACCCTGGTTGGCTTTGAACACTCGGCTTTCTGTCCACCGGATGCAATGCACAATGTGGCGTTAGGCAAGTTGCTTGTCACCTGTGGAGTTATGTTCTGATCATCAGGTATGACAAAATCTCTAGTGGTCTGGATCATACGATCAGGCTTGCTGGACAACCCTGAAGGCGATAATGATCGATACACATCTTTTGACAATGCTTTTACCAACGTCACATGGCCCTCTCACACCGGCAGACTCGGACGCGATGCTGTCAGGCAGATAATTCGAGGTGTGGATCCCCGCGCTGTTAAGGCAGTTGAATGGTCTCATATTCGGGCGGTCTTGCCAACTGCGTTATGGATGGCTCTTCGTGATGAAGTGACGGACGAGATACAAACATCAGAAGAACATCCCAACCGTTTACTCATCTATCGTGCCGTAGTGGATTTCACGGCCGCACTACGAACACTCCTCTCTCGAACAATATCTTTACGACAAGCAGAAGACGCTCAAGAATTACTTGCTTCAGCATGTAGAAGCTTTGTCGACGCCAAGCTTCCAATGACTATCAACTGGCATTTATCGATGCATTACTCGAACTTTATACGCCTCTACGGACCTGTAGGTGCTTATTCCACATGGGCTTACGAACGGAATAATGGAACCTTGGCTCGGACAAGGTACTTTAAAGGTGATATTGTTCAGATGACCGGAACCGCAGCTCGTCGATGGGTCAAACAACAACTCATGGCTTCCGTTCTAGAAAATCCAGCTCCGGATGCGACAGAGAATGAACTTGACGACATTGATACAATCCGTCGCAGCTTTTACAAAATGCCGTCGGTTGTTGATGGAACTTTGCTGGTCAATGAACCAAGGCCTAAAGCAACCTCTAGGCACATGGTTCTCCCACCTCCCATGTCCAAGTTTTTGGATCTCCGACGTCACCAATGTAATATCTACATCCCCATTGTAAATTATGTTCAACACATGTTTTCTGAGCTCAAGATACGATCTGAAACAGCTATTTGGGACGAGGGTATTGCCCTTCCAAGCAAAGGTCATGATGAGTTTCATACAGTTCGATGCAATGGTTTCCGGTCAGTATCGTTTGGGGTTAGGATCTTGCTGAATCCAGGTTCTCTTCATCAGTCAATGTGCGAAATCAGAGGGATCGGTGGGCCATGGCTCAAACCGATCAAATGGAGCAAGAGCCATGCCGGATTGAAACACTGCTTCGAGTCAAGCTTCCTTCAATATTTGGGGAAGTTGACGATATTGACATCTGCTTGGCAGTAGTAAGATTTCTCCCTCCATCAGATGAGTTGGTAACTCCATGGTCATACCGGTGAGTGCAGACCAGACTGGCATGTGAGATGATTACAATGCTTACGCCCAAGGTCGGTGGGTTTGGGTCAACGAGTGATGCAACTACCAGACAATGAGACAGTCTCCATCATTCCAATAACTTCTTTGATCTCACCGGTTGCAATAATGCCTGTGACAACTCGCTCCGGTCCGAGGTTGGTGGTTCTATCTTTCAACAAAGTGGGTTGTTTCAATCACTAGAGTTTTGCCTGACGTCAACAGGGCGACAATGAGCAGGATATTGAGTTTGATGAGGGTGATGTTTGGGAGTAATGGTAAACCGCTTCTATAATCTCTGAGATGAGTCAAGCTGATCACCAGTACAATGTTTATACGATGTGACAAACATGCGCGGGCGATACATACGGAAGTCTAATATACTGACATATGCTGACAATAATGTGATGAAACAACATGAGCCTCACTAACGTAACATTTTACAACTGTATATGAATCTTATTATTACTTACTCATACAGACCTCCAAAATCGTCTTCCTCATGCTGTTGACTCTCTTCGGGTATGGCGGGAAGGGGGTTTACGCGCTTCTGTGGGGAACGGCTTCGACTTCGACTGATAGGTCTGGGGGGAGCATTATCAAGACCTTCAAGTCCAATCAATGGGTCATCCTGGTCTTGTGAGTTTACCGATTCAGATCGCTTTCGTTTGAGTGACGAAGAACTTGAGTGGGATGCCGAGTTGTTAGATGATTCTTCGTGAGTCCCTTTCGTATGTCTCTCTGGATGATCTAGATACCATTTCATCCTTCGTACTTCAGCAAAGGCTAGTGGGACGTTTGTTGGCACAATATCATTCACGTGTGCCTCTCGATATCGTTCAAGATATGACGAGCTGAACTGCCATTGCTGAAGCCGTTTAGCGGGATCACCCCTTTGCCACAAGGGGTGAGGGACACACACATCGCCAACCTTCTGACCGGCCCTATATGACGTGTCTCCGTTTTTAGACTGGGTGGGCAAGGCAAATGAGGTGATTTCAATCAAAATCTTGCGTACCTTGGGACGTCAGTGTCTTATTCCATTTGAAAATGATCAATTTACTATGTCTGATATCCAGGTATCATTCCCCCATTCCCTTAATGGTTCCTTGCCAAATTCCACCATTTGCGAGTGTGGCTCGTCTAATATTTCGTATACTCCACTGGAGTATCGTGGCATTCGTACACGTCGGACTTTCACCAACTCTGCAACCTGACTGATCAGTGCCCCACTGACATTTAAAGCGATTGACGTACCGCAGCACGCCGACGTCTCAGTGCCTGTTTGGTAAGACCCCCAATAAGGTTAGGGTTGAGTCTGACAGGTGGCTCTGAAGGACGTTGGGATGAAGAGGCAAGCATCGCATTTGCCAAACTGGCAATGTCTTCTGGATCAATCTCCGTGAGTCCAGCATTGAATTCGTCATTCATCTCTTCCACATCTTCGGTCATATGAGTCCTGACATCATTCCTTATATTCCTGTCTTCTCTCCTTTCGCCGCCCTCCGATAAATTGTCTTCAAACTCCCCACTTTCAAACCGACTGTCTTCCTGTTCGGTATCTCCCATTTTCCACTTTCTTCGTAAATTGTTGAAGTATATCTTCAATGCATCTCGGAAAACATAATTTGGCGCCTCTTTTGCTTTGACACAATCGGGATAATCAGCGGGCCACTGATCTGTGTTCTGATCGATCCATTTCATAACACCCGCGAAAGCTTGGGTATTGTGAGGGTGTCCTGGCGGCTGATTAAAATCAAACCGCAGGACCAACTCTGATGAATCTTCAAATGTCGGCCATTCTTCGTCATCCTCTGGTCTGCTAGGGAAAGGTCGCTCCTCTGTGTTATACAGGAAAGCGACTACTCTATGTATGACCGCCTGCAAGTCAAAATCTCTCTTTGGACTGATATATAGGAGGAACTCACGGACACTGACTTCGCCTGATCTACAGGTACCATATTCCGTCTGATGTGTAATATGGGTTTCTTCTCTTCCCTTCTGGTCGCATCTTCCTCTAACGATTCCACTGATTCCATCAACTTATCAATGTCATCCCTCAACGCCCCAAAATTTTCTTCGACATCGTTCTCTATCCGTGTGACACTTCTCCGTAACTCCTCCCTCTCTTCCACTTTGGACTGTGTCATGTCGTTCAATCGCCTCTCCACAGCGTCAACCCTAGTTAGTATCCTTGTCTCAACATCTGTAATCATCTTGGTCAATTCGGAACGTAGTAGACTGAATTGACTTTGTATGGCGGATAAAGAGCTTTTTTCTTTTGATCTCAGCTGACTGCTAACAATATGTAAAATTCTCATACTGGTTGGAGATTCCACTGGGCTGAAAGGTGTTGTCGCTCCCAATGACAAAGATGACGTTGTCTCCAGGGGCGAGACTGGCGTAGGTGGGACCACTGCCGGTGAGTCTGGGCTCATAACATTCCTCTGGCACAACTCACTACCGAATCCTCTGACTGGCGGACCTCTGGGCATGGACGAAGGGCCGGCATTGGGACTCTCCTGTCCTGGCCATGGTACCCGGGCACCATTAGGTGAGTCACTGGATCGACCAGGCGGCCTGAAAGGACGTGTGAGTGGGTTCATTGATGTTCTATGTAATGAGGGAGAAGAAGAATTTGATGCATCAATTTCGGCGATTGTACCGGGAGCCGGAGCCCCGTGATCAATGATAATGAGCCCTGACGTGCGTGGCTCATTCCCTAATCACACGTCACAAAATCACACAGTGTCAAATCGGTGTGAAACTGTAGGTTTCACACCGATTTCACACTGTGTGGTCTCTCAATTTCAGCACGTGTGAAATAGGTGTGATCTGGCTATTTCACACTCATTTCACATCCTGCGAAATACCTGCGGCTCGCGAGGTGAGCAGCTAGCAGCTGACAGCTCGGGGTCGAGGTTAAGGGACACGCTATCCTCTTCATACAACCGCCACTATCGGATCAGTACTGGAGTTTCAAAAGGCAATGTACTTCGAAGCGCTCTTCAACCATTATCTGGCCATCTGAACTCCACCTCTCCCAGGGCGTACGCAAGGGTAAGAGGATCCGAACAAGTCAGATAACGGTGGTACTGAATATATCGCATCCTATTCGACGATCGACGATGGGTATACAAAGACCCCTAAGACGTATGATCTCCTTGTTCATGACTTTAGACCCGATCCTCTCGCTCCCCAACAAAAAAACGATATCGTCGATCATGAAAACCTCCTTCATTCCGCCCTGATTCGCGTCGCTATCACAAGCCGCTACGCCCTGACTAAGGTCCGCTTCATCTTCGTTCCTTGAGAGACATAGTGGACAATGTTCTGTTGCGCCGCCAAGTTGTCAATTGGGGATCCGCAATTCAAGTTCCATGGCAGGTGAAGATCAGGTACTGACTCTTCGGTTCCCTGTCGCAGTGTCGCGTCTTCCCTGATCGCCGTCCCATTCCGCGCGATGGCAATTGTACGACTCCTTGGATCCTAGAGCTCTGATAGGATGAACATGCAAAAGACAGCATGGACATGGGCCTAGGGCCTGGAATCAAGGCGATACGCGTAGGATATCATTCGATCAAGTGGCAAGTGGACAGGACAGGATGGTATTTTATACCTGCACGTGAACATATCCCCCTACGCAAAGGTATCAAGGTTAGCATCATGGATCGACGAATATCAACCAAACCCCATGGATTGGAAGGTTTTGATGGAATCTTGAAACACCCTGAATCCTGAACGAAAGTCATGGCACATGTCCCACCCAACCGGCGGCAACTTGAACGGAAGCTATTCGGTGACTAACCCAAGGTTTGATATCTTTGACTTCTTGTATACGAGCCACCAGTCATCTTTCTTTCACGTGGCTCTTTCGTCGTCAACACACACAAGAGGTAGTGATTAAAGAAGAGTACTCTACGACTGCCACGAGCGACGGATGGCTCGAGGCGATACGGTACACTGGCGCGCGAGTCCCAAAAGAGCGAATGTAGATTGACCATTGGTCGATTGTTTCAGCGGCGACTAGCGTATCTCTTTACGCGATCTTAGTTAACGGCTAGCAACAGCCGGTCGATCAATTCCACTCTACTCTTACCCCTCACCTCCTCCTAGCTCCTAGATCCTACACCGCTAATTCGTTATTGGCTCGGGCACACTCAAGAAAAGTAGATTGAAACATTAGCGAAAAAGAGAAGACGAAGACGGGACACTCGATTCTATCACCAAGTTTACCCACAGCTCGGCATGGTTTCATACCATTAACCCCAACGACTTGCGATTTGCGACTTGGCTATTATCAGCCACAGACCAATACTTTACGAAACTCCTTCTACCCCTTACACCTTCTCACTATACTATTCCCCTTTAGTCTGTTCGTCATTCTTCCCCGTCAATTTATAATCTACCTCGATCAAGTTGCAAGTTATCACCTCTTAGGTAACAAGTTGAAACTCGATCAGATCCGGCGACTAACCCCGTTCCCGTCATCTCATTGCCACCTTGCCGCTTCTTCCACTAGCTTGAACCCGTCCTCCACACATCGTCTTCCCGTCTTGGCTTTCAATACTTTATAACACAACCAGCGTCAATAACCACATTCTCCACACCATAACCTCATCTCTCGACATTTGGTACACTGCTCATTCCTCCTCGTCGATTCATCATTCCTACCCCTCACCGCATCTGTATACGAAAATGAACGCTGGACATCCTTATGCTCGACCCGAATCTATCCCACAGCCTCAACAGGCTCAAAGTTTTCATATACCAATCTCACAGTCTGCACAATTGTATCAACCATACAATGCGTTGCCATACCCTCATCAAGATCCTTCTCCTCCCAATCGTCGAGGACCCAACAGGTCTAGCAGAGTGTCCGAGGAGGAGGAAGGCCGCTCACGTAATGCCGTTGCACAGAGGAGGCATCGGGAGAAGAGAAAGGCCCATCTGAGAGCTGTGAGTGATTGCCATTTGTCTTCGCTTTCTTTTATCAGCAAAATTCTTCCCTCTCTCCCCTGTGAAGCCTGAACCCAGTGTCATGACTCAGCAGGCTTTTGTGAGCAGAAGTTAAGATTGGAGCAGATACATCACCTGTGACTTACGCTGACTACATCAGCTCGAAGAAGCTGTAGCCCGTCATGACCTTGAGATGGAAGCGGCCGCCCAGCATATCCATTCATTGACGTATCGTCTTCAATCTACCCCACCCAACGAGGCAGCCGCTCGGTTATTGGCCGACAATAATTTCTTACGAGCTGAGAATGCCGAGTTTCGGCGACATCTACACGCATACAGAGCACACTTTGGCGAGCTTCAGCCACATCAGCTAGACGTCGCAGTCGAAGCCGGATCCTTCTACAGTCCGCCTGAAGAGGACAGGGACAACTCACCCCCTACAAAACGAGCCGAACCTCGGCCTGAACATGGTCAAGTGGAACAAACGGAGTTCACTCGTCACTCACCACCACGACTGCCAGGTATCGAGTATGGTCTTCGTCATCCTCAAGTGCAGGTGAGCTTGCCGATCTATTGTGATTGTACTGATGACTGACATCTTAGGAGTCGATGCCATCTATGCCATCTACGGCAACTAGCATTTCTGCCATGTCCACCTCTTCTTCCTTCCCCCTTCCCCACGGTATGCCTCAATATCAAACCCCCGTTTCGCATTCTCATCGCAATCTCCACTCAGCGTCTTCGGTCAGTCTTTTCTCCTCATCCCTTCACCTACTTGTATCTCATGCTATGTTGGAAAAGAGCTAATTGACAGGCTCCTTCCACCTCTCCATTTGTCCACTCCGGATCATACCATAACGATCTTCATCATTGCACACCTCAAACATCTCATTCAGATCTTTCAATACAATCTCTTCCATATCAACATCATACCACTCATGAGACCCCTCAAATGACAAATGAACCTGAACTGGACGAACATCATTACAACCCCACCATGTACCCCACCACAGCCGATCAACCACATCCCCAGTCTCTCCCTCGTGTCGGTCAAATGCTCATTCCATCCGGTCCCGGGTCGAGCAATTGGCAGGGAACTTATCGTCCTCAAGGGGACGAAACCTGGACAGGTCAAGCAGGCGGTTACGGTGTGAATTATTCACAAGAAACAGAGGAGTGGGTAGGGGAGGAGGTGGACTGAGTTGATCAAGGCTACTATCTAAGTGTCACAAAAATATGAGCATATATGTCTCAAGAACGAATTTTGGAATTTTGAGAAGCGATACCCTGACATTCTAGGCAACCATCACGTATGTCGGCAAGGAGACAGAAGGAAAGACGATTGTAGCTTTAGTGCCTGTCAATATGTTTATTTCTTGCATGTATGGACATTCTCTTAGCATGACAGTCTCTATTTCCCTTCTGCCTTATGCAAGTCGCAACATGCTCGGTGTAAATTATAGCAGACATCTCTCGACTGACCTTGTCGAAGAGAACTTGTCATTTCGCCACATGCCACATTGAAGATACCACCAGTGCCAGCTAGTTCTAAGATCACCTACGAGTACTTACAGTACTTACGATTACTACCTCTTACTTACTCCACTCGTAGGTCAATCCAAATACTACGTACCCAACAACATTCCTTCTCTGTTCCTTGTCCACCATGTCCTCCTCTCCCCCAGAGCCCGATGTCACCCCTGCTCCCTCCCAACCCTCCCCCTCCGTCCAAAATACCGCCGACCTCGCCCCTCCTCCTCCCCGTCCATCCCTAGGCTCCATGCTCTTCCTCACCGCTTTCTTCTTCTTCATGTCCGGCGGTAACGCCCCCGAGCAAGAAGTTGTCCTAGGTCCCAATGGGGAATTTGTACATCGTGTCACTCAATTGGATCTCGCTCGAACTTCTTATGAAGAATACCAAGGATTGTTGAATGGTACGATTGGGAATTGGACAGAACCATCTCCTCCGATCATCAGACCTGAGATATTGTTACCAAATAAATATATACATCCTTGGGGTGGAGATGAAGGTCATTGGAGAAATATAACTGGGTTTTATCGATCTGCTCGATTACACCCTATAACCTTCACAGGAGAAGATCAAGTGTCAGAATTCTTCAATGGAGTGGAGATACCTCATTTTTTATCCCATCATCCTTCTCTCGACACCTTGGACCCTTCCCACGATGAAAACTTAGCAACATCCACTAGTCATTATGTTGGACGACCACTACAAACAGATCATTTTCCTCCTTCCGATGATATATTCGAAGAAATTACCGAGGAGAATACACACCATTCTGGTGATTCTTCCGATGTTGATTTCGAAGGAGGTTCGGAAAAAGTCAATTCTGGTCCTCATTATCCATCTGTTGACGATATCCTCACAGAAGACACTGATCCGGAATATGGATCTCAACCCAATTCACCCCCTTCCCTACCCGAGGAAGATGAGATACCAGAAGGAACGTGGAAAGAGATATCTCGGCGGATCGTCAAAAGATTCGTGCCTTCAATCAAAATACCAAGAATGGGCAAACCAGAAGAAGTTTCACAGAAGATGTCTAGACGGAATTTACGGAGGGAGAACACGGAATGGAACGAAACCCTCGCTTTGGAATTAAGAGGATCATGGGATTGGGAACATACAACTAGATGGGATATGAACATTCGGGAAAAGACTTTATCATCTACTCTCAATTTAACATCTCTCAATCCCACATGGAACAATGAAGATTGGACTTGGATCAAAGGATCAGCCACTTTGACAGCTGGAAAAGATACATTAGAATATAATTTCTATGGATTACATTATCTGCCTAATGGGACTTATGGACTATATGGTTTACCGGAAGGGAAGAATGTGGATATAAGACATATACCTTTGTTATGGGCAGGAAGAATATTGAATGATGGAGGTGATGGTGGGAATGTTAGTAAATGGATAGTGTTGGGAGAGTTGGAAAAAGACTGGAAGAGTAAACAAGAGGATTTGTTGTTTAGCGACGTCAGACCCGAGGGTGAGTTTTCTCTCAACGCCATCTCTTATGACATTCACTATCCTCCCATGTTCGTGTCAGGTTCATAACGATGATTCCCAATGTCAACGAAACATGACAAGTCTTTGGTCTTCAATCGAGAGATGGGTAAGAATTCTCTGTCTCCTTCTGAGCAGGAACATGGGAAAAGGGGGAAGATAATGGGATGTCTCGCTGACAAGATAGAACAAACTCAAACTAGTTGTCCTCTATACATCCATTTCACTTTACCACCCTTCTCCATCCATGGCACCAAGTCCGAGATCGAATTGTATGAAGATGAACTTCAGAACCCAACCGGATTACGACTGAGTTTACCGAGACCGCCAAGATATTGGGAAGGTATAGGATTAGGGGGTGTCGTAATTGCCGATCAGTGTGGGTGGGCTTTTGGTTTGGAAGGAGGGAAAGGTTTAGGGATTGAAGATTTCTGGCGAAAGAGTGGGAATTGTAAGTCGTCAATTCCCTCACTTCTACCAACTTCTTCATAAGTCTCGTTATCCCACTTTCCATCATCTTTGACCACACCTCGCACTCCTAAATCAGTTCCCTTTTATGCTCAACCACTCCTCGCGGATAGGATATTTTAAGGAAACATGTGTCATCACCCCAATCACGTCTGTATTCTTGAAGGTGTAAGAGCTGGAATTGATGTACCACCGGCTACCGGGAAGATGAGACGATGATAGAGCAGCAGCTGAATCACAGACGCTGCATACGCCACCATCGCTCAACTAATCACTCTCATGCTACTGATCAGACAAATGGAATCTTCACGGACACCATCCACTTTGGCAAAAGTCTCTCTATGGTCAATCGTCATGATGGCCATATTGGATTCGTGGATTTTCTCTTCGCATGTGATAGTCGGCATCGTAACGGATAATAGGGCGTCAATACCATTGCTCTTACCTGGTTTCTTGGCTCTATGCTCCGCGGTCTTATTCGCTCCTGTCAGTCGTCCTTTCGCTCAATCACCTCGTTTATCATGTTTCATCTTCCAAAGTCATAAAGAGGGTGATCTCCCTTGCTTGCTCATTTTACTTGAATGTCACATATGTGTCAATGTCCGATCTCTTCAGAGGCTGACACGTGACCATGGAAGTGTATTTCGAAGAAGAGAAGCAAAAGCTACTCTGTCAATTGATACGGGCGAGGAGTAACGGTCTTTGAGGATGAAGCTGAAGTCTAGCGATACTGCGTTCTTTTACATAGAATTCAAGCACCCGAAAGAGAGCCCTCTCCTCCTCCTAGACCACCAACCGCTACTAGACCGTCCGAATCGGCAACACAAACAGTTCAGAACGCATCGGAATCGACTCAAATGGAACCCTCGCTGAGCGCTTGGGACAGGATCAAGCAGACATTGAATGACTCTCCGATTCTCAAGTGTAAGTCTTCTGACTCATGATGGATCTATCCCATCTCATTCCTGTCTGTGCACGTTTCTCTCTTTTTGTACTTCTCTCTTCATACCGAAGTATATCCTCTCTTCCCCTCCACCCTCATGTGGCGAAGCGTAAATGTTCCCAGTTCAATCATCAAGACAAATGGTTCAATGACCAATTTGAGAATCTGTGGTATCATCGGAGTGAGTCAAAATATCGTACTGATCATCAGTCTTCTAGCCGTATGACCCTTTTGATTTATTTCCAATTCGCCTTCAACCCATGTTCATGCCATTCGTGCTTTTCACGATGTATAGTTTTTGGATCCCTCAGATCTATCGTAATGCTCGACGGGGAACGAGTGGTGCGTTAAATCATGGGTTTATGATAGGAACGACTCTGGGAAGGTTTGCTATTCCTCTTTGTGAGTTGTTTCCTGCTCACTCGTTTTCTCTTCACTAGTACTTTTCGTCGATCTCAGTGTTCACTTTCGGCATCCCGCCTCCAATGCAATTACAGTCTTTAGTCATGAAAGGCTGCCAAGATTATGATGCTGACCGTTCAGATATCTTTGCATGTCCTGACAACGTACTTTTCGTCGAACCGTCCAAGGGTATTTTGGCTACAGTTTTATGGCAGATATTTCAAATCGCTGTTCTATTTGGACAAGAACGTTTTGGTCCTGCGTTCTTGTACGTTCTTTCTATCTACTCTTCAAGCGACGCTGACAAACGTAGCTTACCACGATCTGTATGTGCATGTTTAATACCTCTTTCAATGCCACCACATTTATATCCTATCTCACTCTCACTCTCTGCATCTATTGCACCTCTTCATATCACCTACATCAACCCTTCCTTTTTCTTTCTTTCTGTGACCACAAATTGACTTCGACCTCAAAACTACTCCACTCTGACTCAACTTTCTCAGACACCGCTGGCCAACATCCCCAACATAATAAATCAAGGTGGACTGATGAACAGTACAAACCCGTCGAATCGTACAACTACCATCCACCTCTTCCTCCTTCAGACCCCGAAAATCTTTCTTCGCTCGAAACTACATGTTCTATATGTATGGAAGAAGTCTCCACTTCTCCTTCTTCCACATTAGGAGCTTCAGAAGCTCTTTTGACAGGATTGGGGATCAATAGTTTAGGAAGTAGAAGAGCGTATGCTTTATCACCTTGTCATCATTTGTTTCATACTAAATGTCTTGCTCAATGGTTAGCTATAAAGGTTTGTCTCTTCCATCTCTTCTCGATACTTCTTTCTCTTTTCCCCATTCCATCTAACCCCCATCCTCATTCCCTCGCACTTCAATCCCATTACCTGTCTCTCACCCAAAATATGTTCCATCCATCATTACCCATGACAACTTCTTCTCCACTCGTTGAAAATCACCTCAGGTATGGATCATCACCCATTTACTTTCAATCGTGATTGAACATCTCATTGGGAATTCGAAATGATCAGGGATGATCGAAGTGAGCTGATTGCTTAGACTATCTGTCCATTGTGTAAAAGACCCTTACCACCATTATGATCAATTTTAATAATTCATTGCATACATCCGTCCTACCATCTGTTTTTCACCACGTATCGTGTCAATTGCATACTAGCATTATTTGTATGATAAAAACTTGCATGCATTGTTGTACAATGACAAAAAAAATGTCCGTATTACTGATCACTCTACTTCTCTTTGCTCTCACCTCTACCCCACGAAACTCTCACATCTCAACTTCACACCTCCATACTTTCATCATAGACGAAATCCATGATGGATCGTCTTGGTGCTACTAACCTGGCCCATTCTAGATATAACCTAAATACATAGGCTGTCATATCTTCTTTTCTCCAATGTGTTGAAGACCAATGTTACCTGCTGAAGCTATATAGGCAGCTAAGGCATCTTCACCTGCTCGATCGTTCATATCTCCTCGGAACTGATTAAAATGAGCTTTGTTCTTCATCATTCTCTTGTCTTTCAGAGCTCTCACTACCCACCCACCCACCCACCCACCCCCACAAGATCGTATCCATATTGAAAAGAGATGGATTCTGTGATTATTCAAGAATGACGAAAGATAAACAGGACAGGAGGAAAGCAAGGAGGAGGGAAGAAAGGCAGAAAGGCAGAACAGAGGAGGGAAGAAAGGCAAAAGGGAAGAGAAGTCTTTCATCTATCTCCTAATGGATCGAGGCTGAGCAAATGGGAGAGAAAAAAATCATGGAAGAACATCAGGGTGAAGAAGAGAATGAAAGATTGTGAGAGGGAAGGGAAAAAAAAACATTTCCACTCACAAAAGCTAAAACCATCATATAAATCACTATAATCCAATTGAACAGGAACGTGATGTACCCAAGGTTGTATCCTATCAGTCCACCATTCAGGCATTACATTACTTTTCGATATCAAACTTCCGGAAGATAATAATCTTTTGAACCTTGCTGACCAAGCGTTACCATCAACGTCAAGTATATATTTATAACGGTTTTCTTGTTCAGGTTTTATACGTTCTAACCAATTGAATTCTTCTTGAAGTTGTTCACATGTTCCATTTTCTTTATCACATTCTTGAAACGTCAACTCTGTTCTCACTTTTCCCTCTTGGTTCTCCCCATTGAATGTTCATTCCTTCAAAGTAGACTCGACACACTTGCAAGTCTCTTGACATGGGAAGATGAGAATGAGAAGATTGAGTTCATCCGTTCGTCCTTTTGAGTGTGTATAACGAATAGACATTGTGTTCAAGACAAATTGGGAAGTCCACTGTCGACTATTCGATTTCGATGATAGAGGGGGAGGAGAAACTGGGAAGAGATAAAGTCTAAAGTGAAGGAGTAATTGATGGAAAAAGAAACAAGACGACATGAAAAAGAAACTCACGAATGGGACCGGAAACAAACCCTACATCCAAATAATGCTCATTGACTTCTTCCCATGTTAACTCTCTTACCTCATTTCCAACCATCTGTCCTCTGAGGGATTTCGGAGCAGGTAAAACTTCCACACCTCCATACTCCCCGTCAATATCTATCTTACTTGCCATTCGTACTAATCTGGCACATCAGCTCTTTCCAGTCGCATCCGCGACATCTTGAGCTTTCTTGATACAGGCAGACACATTGAAGTCATAACTCTTCATCGGTATGTGTTGACAGTGGGGAGAGAGAGACAAACATACCTGGTCCGATGACTCGACCTCCAAGTGGTCTGCCCACTATGCCATACACCTGTGTTACTCCCTCTCCATAATAACCGACTATCGGTCTTCCTACCCCATGACAACGCAGGAGTATCTTCTACCCATTGTTCCGTCGGAATCCCCAATATATCCGAATGCAAATTGGTTTTGGACAACACAAAAATAGGCGTGAGATCGCCTACTGCTGGTACTTTACCTGATAATGTTCCGTGAAGAGGAACGAGCTCTGGGTGGTCGCATATATCCATCAAGGAAGAATGAGAAGAGATGAATGATTTGGTTGGGGTTGAAGAGAGATGAGCAAAACGACTGGTTCGAAGACGTGATTGAGGTGGACAAGCTGCTGGCCAACCACGGAAGGTCAGATCGATTTCATCGGTCTCGCTAAAATCTGTTCGTTCAGTGTTTGATCAATATACAGGGTGCAATTTGTCACTCTATGTCAATCCTAATCTCTAGAATTGGAATCTTGGGACATCTAGTGAGTCGCGGATGAGGGATACTGAATGTGACTTTCAGGAATAAACTTACACTCTCCCTCTTCAACATGCTCGATGAGTTCCCGGCGATGATCCCACGATACTACACTGCTTGCTGTATCATGGACCGAATACACCACCGACATATCCCCTATCCATCTTGAAATAGGACGCAATAGCTCTGCCTGATCTTCCAATCGGAAGTCAGCCCCCCAAATAGCCTCCGAGTTGTATGTCGCAGAAGTACGGACAGAACCACTCTTGACCCGTAGAGTGTAGGTGTCGGGTAGGTTGGCCGCTCGTTCGATACGTTTGTTCAGATCAGCTGGTGATAAAGCACGAAAGGGTAGGAGATCGTGATGAATACGATCGTATTCATCTGGAAGCGGTACTTCGTTGTCTCTGAGCGTCAGATCATCACCTAAGTGTGCGATGCGATAGCAGGTAGTGGGGGAGTGATCGAAATGAAGAGCAAACCCACACGACGTAAGACCACCATTTATCAAAACCCTTCGGTGGTGCTTGTTTATATCTTCTCTTGTATTCCTCCACCGCTTCCTTGAGGGTTCTACTCTGTCTAGCAACCTTTGCGTCCCATTGCTCTCTCGAATCTCTTATCAATTGATAAATGGGATGGACCTGACTTTCCATATCCACTTGTAATAACCCTCTCTCCACTTTATGATCAGGAGTAGTTCTCATGGCCACAACTGGCGGTAGCAATGCCCTCTCCGCCACCTTTCCTTTCCGAGTGAATAAAGGGGACACATTTCCTTTTTTTCTCTGTAAACCCGCTGACCGTTGAGAAGCAGCCGGAGTAGTGTCCCATCCTACTACCACAGGACGTATCACCAATAACCATATGCTGATGACTGCAACCACGTACAACCAAAGCCTGATCTTTCGAGGGGAGTCGAGTAACTTGGAACGAAGTTGAAATGGGAGGAAACGTAACGGACGTCGTTTGTTCTTTCCGTCATCACCCTCTGTACCTTCTTCCAGTACACCGGACAAACGACGACCGGCATTCCATACGATTCGTAGACGGGATTCTCGACGGGGTGATGATCTGGGTGAAACTTTCGATGGGTCTCGACGGTAGGACGCTAGTTGAGCTCGATGCTTTTCTTGAGCGGCGTTAGCAGGTAGTGGAGAAGGGGATTGGTGAGGGGAAGAAGGGGGTGATGGTGTGGCGTGAGGAAAGACTGGGTGTCGAAGGGACATTTGGGAAGGTGGATTCTGTTGGATGTGTTGTTTATGGATCTGCGGACGTTTGTGATGTCTTAAGGTCGATGAGCATGGAGAGACTGATGAAGGTGACGGAGAGGGATGATGGACCTTTGGGAAGAGGTCCGTCCCGGGAGTAGCCAAATCCCACTGTCCACGTCGCAGTAGGTAGCTGAATCCCTCTTGCCGAATGAAAAATCTGGATCTGCGATGTAAGTGTAAGATGCCGAGGGTCAGTGGCTTTGAGACGGAAATAGCGTGAGCAGAGGTAGTAGTGGTAGGGTGACGAGGGAAGGGAACGGGAACAAGTTGCCTGTTGACTTTATCAGGAGTACGTGAGAAAAGAGAGTGCAGAGTGTACCATGTACCGGAAAGAGAAGAAACCAAGGTATACTTTGGGCTATTCAAAGGTGTCTTGGTCGCCTTTGGACATAGAGATCGTAATGCCGGCATCGTAAAGTACTTAAACTCGACAGAGTAACGGAGAAGCAAGCTTCAGTCCTGTAGCAACCAGGCATGCCAGGCACATAATGACGTGGCAATAGAGGTTTTGAGGAGTGAGTGGTAAGCACGTGGCTGGATTATCAAAGCCCCCCATATATCGAAGTAGCACGCGTCCCCGCAGCTTGGCGTTTGGCGCAGGCCAGGAACGGATTCTGTCTTGAGACAGTTTGGGAGGCGTCTTTCCATTCGACCTCAACGACAATACGAAAGCATACGGACCCCTATCAGTCCATCCACCCACACGGGAGCTGGTCTCTCTTTCCTCTCTTGTATCGTTTGAAGAGTCGAAAGGAAGCCGTCAATATAGCTGTGGGTGTGTGTTTGAGTACGAGTCCTCGTGGTGCACGGATCCCCCCCCCTCAAGGTGCGGTCTATCCTTCCGCTCATCCCTCCCTCCCTCCTGGACTGGATCACATCTCAACCCTAACTACTCCACTCTCACTCAATAACATACAACTATCACTTATCACATAACAAACATCTTCCTCACCGCTCACCATCATCTTCACCTCGATGCAGCCTCACGACCACTCCCCCTCTCCTCCTGCCTCACCCGGCTCATCCGACTCGAGCTCCCTCTCTGGTACCGAGACCACCCTTCCTACACCTCACATGGCAGAGTCCATGTATCAAGACGACATGTCTCCTGCTCTTCCCCCTTCCCCCTCTATAAAAACCGACATATTCTCTCCCATTTCTATACCACCCGCTCCCTTACCTCCCAACGGTCTCGAGATCCCCGTATCACCGACAACTATCCCTAGCATATCCGTCCATCCTGTCAACCCCACTTCACCACAAGTACAAGAATCACCGAGTCCATCTCCTTATCCAAGTAGAAGAAGCAGTACCACACCTACTCGACATCCACCACCTCCCATTTCCATACTCTCCACCCCTTCTGATCATCGCTCTCACGGTCTGTTCCCCGTAGACACTCGTTCTTCCTCTGGGTTGGCCATTACCGGATTGGTCGACCATCAAAGTTCCATCGAACAGGCTTTCGACAATGACACAATTTCCGCAGCTGAAGCAGGAGACGCTTTACCAGAAATGACCCCTTCTCCTGGACGGTTAGCTTTTCGAACCACGGATCATAATGGTAATCCTGTATCCCCCGCTCCTTGGCACGGATTCGATATTCCCTCTCCTGGACCTCGTCGTTCTACGCAACACTTTCACCCTTTACCGTCCCCTTTACCAACAAAAACGCGACATGGTTCTGTCAATGACAAGACAATGTTTGAACCCACTCCAATGCACGGATTGCACGCTAGAAATTTGTCACTATTTTTCCCTCAACCGGGCAAGGCGCCCGTACCTCAGACGGAGGGAAATGGACACACATTGATAGCCTCACCGGAGCAAGCTGGTGAGAGTCTGATACCGGATGCCACCGGACTTTCTAGGGATAGGTTCGGTGGCCAGGGTGGTTGGAGTTTCGGACAAGGGGCTGCTGGACCGTTACTGGTCAGTCCGGATGTTAAACACAGTAAGCGAAGAGGTCATCATGTGAGTTTGAGTCTTCTACTCATTCGGCGATTCTGTCACTAGACGGCCGGCCAACCTTCTCGAAACTCTGTCAGGGCATGCGCCATAGTTCCAACATCACGGAGCCACGAGAAGAGTTGCTGATCTACATAGCATAAACATTCCCTCTCGCACAACTTCTTTTCATTCCTAGATCCGACCGTCACCAATCCCGCCCTCGCTCAATCTTCCTCCACGCCTTCTGTCTCAACAGTATCCCCCGCTCATGATCGACCACAACCTGTCCCAATGCCCTTACTACATACAACCGCCACGTCAAATTCGACTCTTTCTCCTCTGCCGCCATCGAAGAGAGATCATCACGCTCATCTCCTCTTCTCGTTCGCCCTTCTGGAATTTCTCATTGGTGCAGGATTGTGGGTAGAGGGTCAAATGTCAGGTTGGAGATGTCTTGCAGGTGTGGGGTATCTGGTTGTTTTTGATGCTCTAGGTGTGGCGATACGGATGGTCAGAGATGGTGAAGAAGGCTGGAGGAGTGTCCGCAAACCGTACGGGTGAGATTCATGTCTTCTCTCAATCGCACTTTCCTCGACAATTTGAACTGGGCGCCATGTCGGAAAATACAAAGTCGAGCCGGGAAAGGGAGAGCAGCTCAAGCTGATCACTAGAAACGCTAGACTCACCTCTCTCCTTTACTTCGCTCAAAGCTTGTTCCTTGCCTTCGCAGCTGTCTACATTGCCAAAGAAGCCATCGAGCAGGTTTTGTTAGGGGCCGGTGCACATGATCATGGTATTGGTGGTGGTCACGGTCACGGAGAAGTAGTAGGACACGATGAACAGCGGTGAGTCATGTGACCGCCCACAAAAACTCATTCACTGATGCACAGGGGATTTCCACATTTCCTGCTTGCTTGCGCGGCCTCTTCCAGCGTTCTGTCCGCTAGCGTCTTTGGGAACCATGCGAGGCTGGTCGACGGTTCGTCCTTCACGTGATCGCTTCTCCGTACTGATGTATAGCTGTTGGACCTGTTTTCTTACCTCCCGCATACCTACAGTCAGTTGTCGTAATGAAATTCAGATCGTTGTTGGGTAACCCATTCTCTCTCACCGTTGTCGGGACGTCTGTGGGAATATTACTAGGATCTTTGGTTGTACCTCAGTGAGTAGGATCTAAAAATGTCCTCATCTCAACCTTTCACTTAGCTATCCTTCTACTATCCGTTTTCGTCCCTCCTCAACACACATCAGTTAGCTAGCGGAGTCATTCATAATGCCATATACATTTGACTAACTTTCAGGTCTAACATACATTCCCTCGACTCCTCCCTCGCCCTATTCCTCGCCATCCTCACCGCCGCCCTGTCCTATCCTCTAACTATCACCTTCGGACATATCCTCCTCCAAACCGCCCCTCTATCATCCTCGGCTCAAATGGTCGCTTTACGTCAATCATTACGTGAGATCTCTGACGATCGTCGTGTTCTAGCATTGGGTACAATGAGATGTTGGCAGATCTCTGCAGGTCTGCGTTCCTCCGAGATTCTCAAGCAGAGTCAAAGGCACGATGACACTTATCAGTCTGCGAGTCGACGAGGGTCTGTGGAGGGGTTATCATCCGGTCAAATGTCTCCCACGAGGAAAACCTCATCTTCCCGATTCTCTATCGAATCGAAAGAATTAGGCATCGGGGGTGTAGGAGGGTTTGGCGGTAAAGACGAAGGGGGACCTGTGGTGGTGACTTTGATCGTTCACGTTCAAGAAGACGTGAGTGATAGGGATATGTTAGAAGTGACGAAGATGGCATGGAGAAAGGTCACTTATGCTGTGGGTGAAGGTAGAGGGGCGGGGGGAGAAGTGAGTATTCAAATTAGACGAGGGTGGCAAGGAGAATAAGGTATTGTCATCGATACAATCAGATTAGTAACGATCAAAGAGATGTGAGATCATGAAGTCATGAATAGGGAGCATTTCTTCTGTCAAGTTGTTGTATGTCAAATATATCAAGAATGCATTCTACATCTTTGATCATTCGCATAAACGCCTTGAAACGCAAGTGCATATAGAGCACCATTTTTATAATTTGTTGTGGGACAGGCATCTTTCCCATTTGAACTGTATGCTGTAATACCGGTATGTCTTACATGGGTAAAATTGGTTCAACACAATTATTGACTGTTTTCATGTTTCACAAGATTCAAACATGGCTAAATGAATATTACATTTGACCTTTTCATTTATGTCATGTATGTATGAACTGGGTTTCACTATCATTCAGAGGTACAGTACATAGATACCATACTCTACGTCGCACGGTTACTCTTTTCCGCCACCCGTCATCCGCCACTCGCCACTCTCCCTCTCTGACTTGACTACTCTACCATTCCAACCCACCTTATCCAACACCAACACCAACACTTCTTCTTCTTTGTTATCAATCAAGAGTATCCTATACAATCTCTCCATCCCATACCTCCTCATATACCATACACTTCTCTCTCTCTACGATCAAACTACGAACGGCCCTCATCGCCACATTTCTCTAAGATCTCCAACCGAGTTTACACCACCCCTTCGCACGTCCTTTAGCTCCAACCCGGAATTCACCTCCTTAGAATCTTGGAAATCTAAGAACCGAAGAATCTCAGAATTCAAGAACCGAAGATAACATACTATAACCCAATCGTTCATTTGAAAACAATAAACTCGATCCTTGTTTCCTTACATTTTTCGATAAAAGAGGATAGATAATCAGTGATATTTCCTCTAGCGTCTCGTTGAAGTCAGACCATATTTTCATCGAAGATAGACTCTTGCAGGCTATATAAAGTCAAGCAATATCTTACGAGGACTTCAAAAGGAATCAAAATGGTACGTTTCCACCCAATTTTCCAATTTGTGGTCGTTCTTCTACAAAACCCGCTCAGTCCCTTTCAAAGCTCATCTAAAACGTTGCCACTTTATTTCCTCAATCCGTCTAATTTCCTTCTATTGGAAATATGATATTCCCCATCTACAAAAACAATCATTCCTGATGATCTGCCTCAGAGTTTGATGAGAAGATCTAATTCTTATAGTCTACCAACGCTAAACGACGATTGATAAGAGACTTTAAACGTCTTGCTTCGGATCCACCGGTAGGTATTAGCGGTAGTCCTAATCCGGATAATATAATGATTTGGAATGCTGTCATTTTTGGACCTGGTGAGTTTGGTTTGGTTCTCTTTTATCTTTCTGCCAAAACACTTTCAATCGTGCACCTTTTTTTCCAATCCTAAGCCTTGGTCCTTCTCTTTCCCCTTCCCTCCTCACAGTCGAAGTCGCCATCTTTGTATCCATGATGGTGTTCAAACAACCCCATTTCATTGTAATTCAAGGTCGTAACTCTCTATTACAAACTCATTCACCCCACTGTCTACAATCTGTTCATGATTTGGTCTGGGAAGTCACATCTCACATCTTTCGTGTATCTCTTAGAAGATGACAATCATTTATGTGGAATAAATGCTACGATCTTGAAGAATCAAAGGAATAAGATCATTGACTTTCAGCCGATACACCATTCGAAGATGGTTCTTTCCGTTTAACTCTCACTTTCACAGACGCTTATCCTAATAAACCACCAACAGTACGATTCATAAGTAAAATGTTTCATCCTAACATATACGCAAATGGTGAATTATGTTTGGACATTTTACAAAATCGTTGGAGTCCGACATATGATGTAGGAGCGATTTTGACAAGTGTACAAAGTTTGTTGAATGATCCTAATGCTGCCAGGTGGGTATCACTCTGTTTCATTCTTAATCATAACACTGATTCATTTTTTCTTTCTTCTCCATTTTCACCATATCACCATCACCGCTTTGATTTCTTTCACATATCTTTCTTCCAGAGTGGGTCGTCCTCTCATGTGTGAGGAGGGCATATTACTCCTTTGGCCTCTTTTTCGATTTGAGTGTGGTTCAATTTGATTATTCTCCGATTTGACTATTCGGTCAGGCCTCTGAAGACCAAGGAGATCTTTGGTTTGGTGTCAAATAGAAACATGGATAGGTTCGGGGTTAATGGTGAACTCGTCGTTATGGTAGAATATCACTAACACATAAGTCCTGCGAATGTTGAAGCTGCTCAATTGTTCAAAGAGAATACGAAAGAGTATGAGAGACGTGTCAAAGTGAGTCAACCTCTCACTTATCACACCACTCGTAAATATTCTCCTCCCAATTCACAATCTTCATCTCCATTTACCTCTATCATACCATCATTTCACTTAAACCCCTTTGGTCTCATGGTTTTGGAGAAGAGCTTGGGGAATGTGACATCTCTCAAAGTCATGTTCCTCTCCATTTAGAGTTCGAGTTTTTGTACAAATCTCATCAAATCGAGATCATCGTTGACCATGTAGATTACCGTTGAACAAAGTTGGGTGGACAATCCTGAAGAATTAGAAGCAGAAGTTGAAGCTTCCGCCAACGTATCTGCCGGTAGTTCAACAAGTCCGATTCCTCCACCCACATCTACTGCTCCTTGATCACCTCATCCTCTCAGAGTTTCCGTTCTCTTAACTTTGTTTTCCTCTCTGAGTTCGATTTCACGCATAACTATCTCGACAAAACGTCCTTCCGTTCCTACCCGACGTCAGGTATCGTTAAATGAAGAAAACTTTGAGGTTCACACAGGACATTGGAAAGTGTCATAAGATGCAGGGGACGTGATTTCAGCGGTTTAGTGGTGTAGTGGTGTAATGGAGAAATGTGACGTGGTGAAGAAGTTGGAGAAAACATCATTTGTCAGATCCGTAATACCATTTTTTTGTCATCTCAATCGAGCATGTAGCCTGTTTTCAGGTATTACCAAAAAAGAACGGAAAATGCATGCACGTGTCATTGTATAATCGTAATAATACAACATTCACTAACACTCTGGATCATAGGTACCTACATTGTTTTTTGTTAAGGAGAGAATAAATCTTGAGATGTATCAAGCTACTATGAGAACTTCTCCTTTTTCACCTATCAACGTCAGACGAACTTTGTCAAACACTCGTTTATGTGTATTCCCCTCTTTCACAGCTTCAACATCCGAAATATGAGGATTGAAAAGTGAACTCGAAGAGGTTTGTAGAAAAGTCGAATCGACTTCTATCCCGTTAAGCCAAGTACGAAGACTCAAAGATATAGATGCGTCGCAATAAAGTCTGATGTGATCTCCTGTTTCTACCGATACAGGAGGTATGTCCTCCTTCCTCTCAACTGTTTGACTAGTTTGATCCTCCGAAACAATACTTGTGTCTGCATCAGCCATTTGAGATTGACTCGAGCCTCCATCAAGTCCATCTTGGACGGAATCCCTCTTCCTCTTTCCCTTTTGCTTCAATACATCTGTCCCATTGGTTGATGAGTTCACACTCTTGGGAATGTGTCCATCTTGAGGTGCATTGGCGCGATGGACGCTTGACAATTTCGAACGCAAACATGCATGTTCCTTTGGAGGTCGACAGGGTATGAGATCAAGAAAAGGATCAGGTTTCGGACCGGAAAGACGAATGGAAACTGGACCGAATAAACCTTCATTCTGCATAGGAAGGAAAAATTCGTCGAGGACGTGTTGGAGTAGGGAAGGAGTCCAGTAAAGAGTGGCTGGGGTCGGAAATGAGGGAACATCCGAGTCTTTTGACAATGGACGTGTACGATCAAGCATCTGATGTGGGAGAGAGGTCGTAGGATCTTTGGTGGCAGTTGTTTGAGATGAAGGGAAAATCAGGATAGCAGGTGATGGTGTTGGGATAGATCGATATAATGTCCTTTGATTTTGCCCGTCTTTTGCGAACGTCTTCGTGGATGACATGTGTGTACTAGAAGGTATTGGTAAGTGAGAGTCAGGTCTGTGAATTGGGGCAGATGTTTGATCGTGAGAGGAAGATAAAGATAATTGCAATGGATCAGAAGGACCATCCCGAAGGATCACAGGACCATGTATGGGTATAACCCAATGTACCCTCGCTTTTGGATTTCGACGGATGTAACGATGCAAATTAGGATGATAAGGATGCGATACGAGATGATAAGAACGGAAGAGGTTGTAATTTGGTAGTGGACCTCTTGAGGGATGAACATATGACGAAAAGGGAGGTTCACGAACGTGAGGCTGAAACGTCAGTCTTGCCCGCATCATATTTTGCGTGAAATTGTATGGACGAGCGAGTAGATCTTGAGGATTACCGTGAGTTTCGCGAGAGGACTCCAGCAATACTTGGTGAGACCCTTCAACTTACTTTATACTAATACAAAATTATTACTAGACGAAAAGGAGGAGATAAAAGGAAATTTTCAACTCACTCGGGGTATGATAGACCACATACGACCATATCTCTCATCTGCACAAATCAATCTTTGCCACAACAATTTCCGTCGTTTACTTTCTTTCGTCCAATCTTCCTCTTCTGGGGTTCGTTCCACCCTCTCGACATTTACTGATACCGACACGACCGGTGTGAACTCCTCCAGATTATTCCCAGCAGGCTGTCCATCTGATTCTTCAACATCTACATCCCTGACTTGTTCCATCTGAACATCCACCCCGGTCTCGATCCATTTGCCTTTCCCCTTGTCACGTTTGGGCATATGGTCAGATTCCAAACTCTGGTCATCGATGACAGTGACATCCGTGTCCATTCGCAGAAGACCACCTCTCGATGGGTCAGAAACAAGGAGCTCGACCTGCGAGAAGATCGGCGACGAAGGACGATCGGTAACATCCTGGGCAAGCGAGCGAAAATCACCCGAGACACTCTCCCAACCATATTCGAACTCTTCTAATTCGTCCAGAAAGGGATCCAAATCTACCGGAGGATCTACAGATGACCAAGGTAAAATGCTGTTGCCCACCGCAGGGATGAGATGAGGTGCTGGGTGAAGTGGTAAAGGTTGAAGGTTGGAAGTCGTGGCTGGAATCAAGGAAGGGACCCATGCTTTCGACCATTGTTTGAGCTTTTCAACGTACGTCAGCACGACTTCACGAGTACAGATAAGACCTACTTGAGCAAGGGTATTCCAGCGCTGCGGTATACCACACTATCTCCAGATCCTTCTCCTCCACTCCTCCAGGGTCAGATGCAGCTGAATCTCGATCATGTCCAGTGAACCGACCTGATCGTGAGATTTTCACAACACGCTCGTCCGGTCTCCTCCACGCATCAGTCAATGCCTCTTCTCCTCTTACATGGTGCAAATGCGCATCCCCCAACGCCAGCGGCCAGTCCTTTGGCGGGACAGCAAGGAAGACGTTGATCTGATCGGTTGGAGGGAGAGTGGCTGTGGAAACGACTGTTTCGAGTGTTTCGACTTGAGGATTAGGATTGGGCGCTGAGTGAAAGCTATCGTCATTTGGGATGATCCTCATTTGTGCACATGATGAGACATGAGTTTGGATCCTGACCTGGGGACGCGACTGCTTTTAGACAAGATGGTAGTCAGAAGAACAAGTGGGAGACCAGGAACGAAAGGAAAGATGGGGGGGGAATGGGGGGGAAGGTTAAAAAGGGTGCCACATTGAGATAACGCCGAATATTACAAGAGGTGACGCGACTTTAGGTGGACAGGTCAGACGCGTCTTCTCAACTCGCGGCTGCCTTTCACTTCACAATTTTACTTTGACACTTTTGAGTATCGGCTGTAGTCATGAGTTTGTCTGATATGGTCGAAGAGCAACCCAGGAGAGGATCGAGAGCTCGAAAACAAGTGGAGAGGTACTCAAAAACAGGTGTGTCTCCCAGCTGAGCATAGGTTCATAGCTCACCGACAGTCGAGAACGGAAAGAGGAAGCAAGTCCAAGATGAGCACGAGGATGAGTCTCCATCGGAAGAAGTAAGTGTGTAAAGTCGATCGATTGTTGTGATCTGACCGGCGTAGGAGGAAGGGGACGAAGATAGCGAGCATGAAGTCACTCCGAGACCTCTCAAGACCAATAAGCGAGTGCTCAACGGCGTCACGCCCAAATCAACCGGCACGAAACAGGCGAAGAGAAGCAAGAAGACAATCGCTGGAGTTGCAGAGGTCAATGACGATGTCGAAACCAACATGAACGGGGACATCAATGGGGATGGTATCAAGACCGATTCGAATCTCTTCAGTCCGTATTGCGATCACAAATGTTAGACTTTCAGCTGATAGAATAGATGCTATTCTCGCTGAAGGTGTGAGCAGCGATATGATAGAGAGCTGGATCGAGGATTATCAGAACTCGGCCGACGACGAAACATCCGAGAAATCTGCTGTACATCAGCTGGTTCTTCTCTTCATTCGTTGTTGTGGCCTCAAGTCCACTATCGAACCTGACGAGTCTGTTGATCAAGACGGTATCGCAGACGTTCTGGAAACCATCCAGGATGAAAGTGTAAAGGTGAGCTCGCTGTTTTGAAGGAAGACGGTTGAAAATAGCTCATTGCCGCAGACTACTCTAGCGGTGTACCCCCTCATCAGTAAAGCGAAGCCCTTCCGCTTGTTCCGAAACAACCTTAACGTCTTCATCACTCATTTCATCAAAAACTTGTCCCTCACGCCTCTCCTCTTTGAGTCCCCCGAGACCACTTCACATACATCACCCTTGATCAATGTCCTTCTGGCTTGGCTACATACGATGTCATCTTCGCCGCTTCGCTCTATACGGCATACGTCCACGTATATCACTCTCAAGATCAACTCGGCGCTTTGCGACGTTGCTGCGGAAGTCAGCAAAGACCTGAGCTTGCGACAACGTCAACGTGAGACTGAAGAGAAGAAGGCTGGGAAAAACGGTGTTGCTCAGAGAAAGCTAAAAGAGGCTGAAGAGAAGGTGAAGGAAGCCCATGAGCGCAAAACCACACTAGAAGCTTTCATGAAGGAGATTTTTGACGTGTGAGTTATACCACCAAGATACATCATTTCCTAATTGACGTCCAGGTTGTTCGTTCATAGATCCCGAGATGCCGACCCTGCCATCCGAACCGACTGTCTCAAAGAACTGGGGGTATGGGTGAAAAAGTACCCCGAGGAATACGTATCCTCGTCGTACCTCGTATACTTCACTCGTGGTTGCAATGACCCTAACTCACACGCTCGACTCGAGACTGCCAAAGCTCTCGCAGCACTCTACTCTAAAGAGACATTCGTAAACAACGCCCGTACTGTGACTTCTCGTCTGCTGCCCAGACTGGTCGAGATGGCTCTTCGTGATGTTGACCTTTCCGTACGAGTCAACGCCCTGTCCACCATAGCCTTAATCGACAAGACGGGTATCCTTCAAGATGAAGATGAGGAACGTAGAGAACAGATCGCTAGACTGGTATTTGACCAAGAGCCTCGTGTACGAAAAGCTGTGGGAGGATTCGTCCGAGGAGTATGGGAAGAGCGGGTGGAGAAATTCAAGGCGGAACAAGCTGCAGTTCGAGGCGCAAAGAAGAAACGAGCTTCTGGTATCACAGACGACAATATGGAGAAAAACCTCAGCTGGAAAGCCCTCGCCGATCTGCTGGTGGAAAGTTTTCGGGCTCTCGACCAAATGGATGGCGAGCCCAGTACGTCCAGACACAAAATCAGCTTTCCTTTGCCTGAAAGCGTACTCACCACCCGTGCGAACGCTGCTGTAGAAGCCTTGTGGGCGGATTTCGAGGAGCTCAGGGATTGGGAGGGTCTCGTGGACTATTTGCTTCTAGATCATTCAACATGGGAAGATGACGCTTGGTTGTTGGACGAGGACCAGGAGAATTTCATGCTGCAATTACTTGTAGCATGCATCAAGAAAGAAGAGAAGGTAAATCATCTGTTCAACCAAGTGGCGCAAGCTGACACGCAGGACGAGGACAAGGACGAGCGAACCAAAACGCTCATGAAGATACTACCCCGCTTGTTCACCAAACATCAAGCCGATGTGGCACGAATGGCAGGAATACTTGTCATTCCTGAGCAAATGAATCTGTCCTTATATCTTGACATGCGCAAATCAGCTGTGAGTGCCTCTCTCCCTCCTAAAATAAGATGACTTCTGAACTTCAGGCCTACGATCAGCTCTGGGACGATGTGACCAAGCAGTTTTTGCAACATTCCGATATAAACGTTTTGACAGCCGCGATCAAGGCGGTCAATCATCTCTGCTCGAATGCGTCGATGTCACCATCAAACACAACTAAAATGAACGAGTTGCAAGAAGCCTTGCTCGCTTCCTTGAGAGACGCGATCGACGGAGAAGATGTAGCTACCTTTTCCATCGACGAGGATAAAGTGGCGGCTTTGGAAGCGATCCTACTTCGGATCGCACTTTTAGCGCGGAGTCGGGATATCGTCAGCGTAATGGAAGATGAGGAAGGCGGTCAGAGCAGTGGTTGGGAGATTGTGTGTGCATTCGCCGAACGAGGTGCTGTCGGGTACAAAGAAGAAGCCAAGGTCAGCCAAACTGGTTTCATCCTGATATGGTACACGCGCTGATTTGTGTTAGTTGGTAGAGCACGCTTTACATGTCATATTCGTCCATATCAGTTGGCTCTTCAAGAGATTTTCTGCGGACGACATCAATAATGACGACAAAGTCTCCGACCTCAGAGATAAGCGGGATCGAGTTCTCGACACCTTACGTCGATTGGCGTTGAGAGACAAAACCAACACTTCCGAATCCGTTAGTAGACAAGCATTCGTGTACTTCATCAACCTCCATATCCTCTTCTCCTCGAGAAACGCCAAATCTGCAAATGCTCATCCGGCCGTCAAAGCATGTCCGCTCTCCATGGCCGACGAGTTGCAGCACCGTCTTGGGGGTTCATTTCAAGCCATGGTCGATCGATATGCCTCTGATCGGGAAGAATCATCTGAAGAGGAACAAGTAGAATTTTCGGGGATGTCTGCGGAACGAGTAGAGGAAGAATTGTTGTTCCTCCAAGCTGTTTCTGCGTTCGTTGGTGCGATAAGATGTGGTGTTTTGGATGTCGAACATGCCAAAGAGCCCTTGGCGTATTTTGGGCAATTTGGACAAACGTATGATGCGGTAGTGCGGAAATTGGTGGATGTATTGAAGGATGAGGGGATATACAATAGAGAAAGTGATACTGTACAACATGTCTCAGCTAGCGCTCTGCAATCTGTAAGTCATCCATTCGTCTTCTCTTCTCTGTATTTTGGCCCGATTATTTCCCTATCTACTACGCACGGACATACAAAAAAAAACAATGTGATCCCGGAGAAAAGAAGGAATACCATGGATTCATCACTGACCCTCAGTCATTCTCCAATTTCCTCGAGACTGAATCGACAGAACCCACGGCAACCATATCACTCGCTCGTCTTCTCGCCTCAGCCTTCATCATCTATGGCACCCACTTTTCCGTCCTGCGACAAATTCATCCAAACGACATATACGATCTTCACCTCTCTCTCCTTTCTTACGTTCAACGACGATTGATATCGTACATTTCCTCGGAGAGAAGTACCAAATCCCGTGAGGCTAAACAACGTTTTCAACAAAATCGACATCAAGCATTAACGTTCTTCAAACCCCTCATACTTCTCATCACTCCAGTCACTCCGCAGGATGCGGTGAAACTACGACGTCGTATAAAGGAAATGGAGAAAGAGTTAGGCGTGGAAGTAACGGGTCATAAAGCTTGGGATCCTTGGAAGGCTTATGAAAAGAAATTGGTACAGATAGCTAATCGAGATCCTCAGGCAAAAGCGGCTATCGAAGATAGTCCTGCCAAACGAGCAAGTCAGGCGGAAGTGACAGATGAACAAGGACAGGGTGAAGCGACAGATGGGGATGAACAAGATGTTCCTGTCAGACCTGCAAAACGTCAAAGACAGATGACTCAAGAGCCGGAAGATCGATCCAACGAGCAACAGGGAAATGAGGAGGAGGAGGAAGTCGAGAATGAACAGGAAAGTGAAGTCGAAGAGGAGAGAGGAGATCTTTCGATGGAAGATCTACATTTGGACAATGAAGAGATTGATTTAGCTTTTGATGATGGAGCAATGGGTATGGATGTGGATTTGGATTTGGATGATGTGTTGGGACCAAATACCCAGAATGTGTTGAGAGAAAGAAGTTTGAGTGTTGAACCTGGTGCTAGACGTAAACGTCGGACTAGGTATTGATGAGGTTTTATGGAATGGATTGAAAAATATACTGTAGGTAGATGATTTGGGTGCTTATGCGATTTATTACATGTCTGTCACGAGTCATATCTTCTCTGCTTCTTGATATCGCTTGGGGTTCCATGTACATTTGATACTTTCACCACCATTACTTATAGCAAGATCGGCTCTCGCTAGCAGAGTTGAGATTGAGCTTTTTAACACGGTTTATGTCCGCAGGCTGCAACGGGATCATGACAGACACTTCTGCCATGGGTCGTTGAGAGACTCATGGCATACAAGAATGATTTACATACTGTACCCACATATCCCACAAATCATCAATACCTCTTGAAATCCTTTTCCACTCGCACAACATATTCCATGTAATCATTTCAAGTCCCTCTGGAAACCCATTATGGATGATATACGAGGGAATTACAAACTGTACTACAAACCAATCTGGAGTATTCAAATCAAGCAACCTCTCTTCTCTCGTCAATAACCTTGCCAATGGAATTAGTCTCTCCTTTATCCCACCCATCGTCGTTTGAAGGATAACGAACATTCGTATGAGTGTCAGGGGAAGATCTCCCAAGTGCTTGTTTCACCCTTTGTCCTGCACCTGTACCAAATATGATTTCTACTTCTTCCAATGTCAACTAAGAATTAGTATCGACTTTTCTCTTCTTGTTTTGTTCATGCCGGATGCGAATTGATATACAAGGTATGTAATAGTTGTGGTGGGGGATGTCTTACTGAAAGAATGTATAACGGGACATGGGGATCAGTTGGACGAGAAATGAAGGGTAGGGAAAGACGAGGGATGCAAGGTTTCGTTTATGTCCAGAAGCGTCGAGAGAAGAAGAGGGAGGAAGAGAAGGAAAGGGTAACGAAGGGAAGGGAAGGGAAGGGAAGGGAAGGGAAGGGAAGGGAAGGGAAGGGAAGGGAAGGGAAGGGAAGGGAAGGGAAAGGAAAACACTAAAAACTCACTCCTTTAGTCTCTGGATAAGTGAGATATATCACACTGAACGCAAATGCCATACAACCAGCAAAGAAGATCCATACCCAACCGTGCATGTGTCGATACATTGGTAAAGCCGAATATTGAGTAGCGAAACCAACTCCCATGGAAGCTACGTTGGCGATACTGGTGTTCAGTCCTACTGTAACACCCACACACAGAGGAGGCGAAGGGGGACAGAAGGAGGTGGAGGTGAAGAGAAGGGAGGGGGGGCTCACGCATATCCACGAGCACGAAGACCTGCAGAATAGATTTCAGCAGGTAACATGTTTACCACTGTGCATCAGCTTGTTCCTTGAACGACCACCATCTTCCATATCTGGAAAAGATGCAGTCATACGATAATGTATGTAATTTGACCTAATCGCGACAATTCGTAAAGGTAACGGGGATGGTATTCTCGAGGAAAATCTGAAGGAGTGGACAAATGGAAAGACCGGGGAGAAGAGACTTGTTTAAAGATGATAAAACCCACCAGGTGAGAAAAACGTAACCCATAAGAACCATTGAATAATATAAACACTAACGAAACCAGCTCCGGCTGAATGATTCACTTTTCCTTTATCAAATATCCCTAAAACTACACCACCCTGTATCAACAAACATAAACAAGCTTGACCAGTTCCAATAAGATAATTCGTACGTCTTCCCCAAACGTCTAAAAGGTATCCACCTACTATACCTCCGATACACCAGGAAGCATTTTGGCTCCTGCTATACCGAATTGAATGTGAGGATCTGTTATTCCTGCTGCGGTGAAAATGATGGTGTAGTAATATGTGAAGATTGAACCTCCGTTCCATGCTGAAAGTAAGTTGGTCTTCCTTCTTCAAGTGGATGAGAATTACATGAGAGTCAATCAATCGATTATATGATAGAGATGTGAAATGTGAAAATTGAAAGTATTGTAACTGTGATGAAAAGGAGACGGAGTAAGGGAAGGAGAAGAAACAATAAACTACCCACCCCACCAAGATTGCGAAGAGATAGCAACAAAAGATCTATACCTAGCGGCTTTCGAGTTCCACAATGCTGACCATTTATCCTGACCATGTTCTTGATCCCATGAAATAGCAGCTTTCATAGCTTCAAATTCGACTTGAGCAGCTTCGGATAAAATCATGTTACCATCTTGCATATGAAATCCATGTAATCGACCGACAACACGACGACATTCTTCTTCTTTACCTTTCTCGTATAGATAACGAGCTAATGATGAGCATCTACCCTGCCTGTTTCAGATGTAATCCCTCTGCTTGTGTTGCCTTCCTTGCTGTGTTTACTCAGTCGATGTATTGTGGCACTTGATGATATTCATCTCGTGTGGTATGAGTGAAAGGGAAAAGATGAAATCACTCACGCGACTCTGGTACCCACGGTAAGACCATAAGTAGGATCGTAGCGGGTATAAACGTCACACCCAAAGCCGCCCTCCATCCAATGTTCGAGGTAGAATAAGAGATTCCATCTTTTCCAATTAGTTTTTAACACAGTCTCTAGTTCAAAAACTTACAAATGATCCCGGCCTTTAAGTCAGCTATAGTCAGACAAGGAAGATGGAGATCCACTCACGGCTAATAATCCGAAGAAATTTCCAGTCATCAATAAGAAAAGAAGAGACAAAACCTCTATCTTCCTTTGCGGCAATTTCAACCGCGTAGATCTATCACCTCAGCTGTTATCATCTCGTGTTGTCCGATCCGAATTGACTTAACTTGCCCACACAGGCTGAAAGAGGCAGGAAGAGAATACTCACTTGATAGCCTAGAAGAAGAAATCCGATCGATACCCCTTCAATGACTCGAGCAGCAATAACGATTGCGAAACTACCGCTCCATACTAACAACGCAGTGGAAAGTTGCATCGTCAATGCCCCAATCCCCAAAGTGGGTTTTCGACCCATGGTATCGAGAAAGAACGCGGCTTTGAGACCTCTCACTAGTTGACCAAGGGAGTAAACAGGACCGATCCATTGGTTCTTCGAGCTAAATGTCAGTTGTATCTCATGATCAAGCTGTTGAACTGAGGGGCAAAACAAGGAGGTTGGGACTTACTCAGGGATGGTAGTCTGGTAGCCCAGATGCTTGACCCATGCTGGGAGTTAAATGATAGATGCTATAACGGTAGATTCGTAGCTCCTACAGGATCAGCCTCGCTACGAGGCAAGAGAGAATGAGAAAGACTGACCATCCGTCACCACTCAAACTTAGACATAGGAGAAGAATGTATCGATAAACTCTGAATCGATCCCAGTGGCGTAGATTATCGAAGAAACCCATCTTGCTTGGGTATGAGTCTCTATTATGAACAACGTGATATTCCTGCTTCGCACCTGGATCCTCTTCTGAGTGTCAAGTGATGTGAACCTCAGCGTTAACTACTCAGTGCGAGGAACAGACAAAAGAGATTATAGATGTGGAGAGCACTTGACGATCGGAAAAGGAAGGATAAGCTAAACCACACATCCCTTGAGTTGGTGCTTGTACACTTGTGTTGTAAGATGTGCATGGCGTTCACGATTCCCCATTGGCCAATGGACAAACGGATGAATCCCAAGGGCCTAGAACACGAAGGGCGTTCCAAGCTATTGGGATTGAAGATCGGCAGTCCGTAGGGCAAGGGACATGCATGTCGTGAAGATCGATAGGGATTCACAGGTACCTAACCTAGCGAGCGCAGGTTATTTGGAAGTCGATCTGGATCTTCGAGGGCGGAGTTACCGATCGATCGGCAGGTGATTAACCCAAGGTCGGAAAGACGAGACGTTTCTGTGCCTGGTGAATAGATCCCGAGTTTCGACTTTATAGCACCAGGCACATGGCGATGAAGGAGCTTGTCGCTGACTGAGCCACAGGCTGGCAGCACCCGTCTTCAGCTAACTTGCTTCTTCTCGACCTCTTGACCCAACTCTATTCTTAGATAGCCTGACCAATATTTCGGACTTGGGAGCAATTGTAAAGTTGACTCTGAGGGGATTCTCATGCGAGACGTCGCCAGTCAGCAAAGTGTCACTAAATATCCTCCCAACAGACTCTCGACCATTGGCTCACTTCCTCGGTCCACCTTGAAGTCGATGATCGATGATCACTGATCGACGAGTGGGTGCAGGCATGCAAGTGCCACCATGCCACATTGCCACACTTTGCCATCCGCCACATGCGTTGGGGCCGCTTTTGTCGGGCCGGCCATGACGTCATATCGGAGAAGGCCGTGTCGTCCTGGATGACCGAGGAGAAAGGAGTTGGGAAAGAAGAAAAAGCTTCGACCCGGATGAAAAGCTTGCAGCGTGCAGTTTTCATCCTGCGATCAGCGATCAAAGGACTCCGGATGAGATGATGGCCCTGGAGAATAAACAGCGGGGTCGAGAATGGCGGATGGGCAGTGGGTGGGAGTGAAAATCGAGTGTGGAGACAGAGTTTTCGAGTGGGCATGTGGTGCGCCTGCGTATGCTCCCGGCGATGTCCGCACGTTCCTCGCTTACTTACCTTTTTCGATGCCTCGACCCGCACGATGCATGCGCGTACAGGTATGACATTGCTGTGGAAGTCGAGATGAGTAAGAGAGCCGATTACGACGAAAGTGTTGTGCAAGGTAAATTGAGACCGAGGCCGAGTTGTTCGAGTTCGGCAGGATCTTAGATGGCAGGTGGCGCGCCGCGCGGGGTAACAAGGGAGCGGTGACAAGGGGAGGGGATTCCAATGACGAGTGCAACTTTTGGTAGCCATTTCGGAATTACTCGTTCTTTACTTTGTTGTCTCTTGCTTACTAACTACTCTTGTTTCCTACTTCAACATCCCAACAGTGACACCTGTCAATCAACTCAGTCATACAAAAGTCTGTCAGAAGTAACGAGCTCGCGCTGAGACAAGGAGCCGAAAGGGCAAGGAAAGATTTTGATTGAATTTCAGGGTCATTGTGCTTACTCTCCTCCTACTTTGTCACTCGACTACTTCCTTTTGACGCCTCTTTCCACCACAAGCCGGAATAACCCCATCCCCCATCTTCCATCTCACTCTGTATTCCATTCCTTCCTTCCTTTCCGAATCCTCCTCTCTAGCATCGCCATCGCTTCACTCCATCAATCCCTCTGAACGTTCTTGTGCATAGATCTTCGCATTCCTTCGGATCCCTCCCGGTCAGCCGGTGATCATCGACCGGTCACTCTTCACAAGGGAGTTCTTATAACGAAGACGTTAGGCGACATACCAAGCGAGTGACGATCGATTACTCGAGCATTCTCTCGTCTTTGTCTATTCTGTTTCATACCTTCTCTGTTCTACTGGATGTTCATACGATAGCCCACATATCCGCAACGATTCACCGCCATGTTGTCCTCAAGTCCTGCCGTCCCTCTCGAATCCATTGAATTTGCCGACGACCAAAGACGTCGATTATCCCTCGTCACAGCCCATGGACAACGCATCCTCACCGCTCACGATGGTTTACCGTCACCAGAACATCTCACCCCGATCAGCGGAACACCCGGCACGAGCGCACCGCCAAGCAGGGAGGGAAGTCGTAGGGGCAGTGATATTGATGCTGTAAACGATCTTCACCACCGCCACTTACCCACACAACCTCATGGTCCAGGTCACTTTCATTATGCCATGGGTGCAGGATTGCAAAAATTGAGAAGTAGGAGGGAGGATGATGAGGTGAGTTTTCGTCTGCGTAATCATCCATCTTGATGAGTGATTTCCGACGGGTGAAAGATTGGACAGATGAAGGAGGGATATGCGTGTTTCCTAGCGACCCCGGGCACCATCAATATCTCCTTTCCCGAGCTCGTGTGTCTGACGTGTGGTATCCATTCTTGGTTTTCCAATCTCATATCTTGATCATCTTGAGTACATGTCTTTTCGAAGCCTTCTTTATTTCGGCCGTCACATTCGGCACCAAGGAAAACATCCTTTATCCTCCTATCGGTCAAAGATGTTTTAGACCGCACCCCCGTCCGTTTTCTCCCCAATACTTCGTTTCGATACTTCCATCAAGCTTGTCTTTATCTCTCGTCTTTCTCTCCCATCCCATCTGATTCCACACTCCCCCGCTCCACTCCCTATCACGACCCTACCAACTTATACATGTCCTCAGCGAGATGCCCCTCTTAGCTTTCCACGACGCCATGTCAGATCATTCGATTCGTTCACAACGTCCCTACCGACCTGCGCTCGAAAGAGAATGCTCTAATTTTCCTCCCCCCAAACGCCCCGCCCTTCGATTCAGCGCTTCGACGTCATGGAAGCTTCCCTATCGTTATGTAGGCCACCCCTATACTTCTTTATCCCAATTCCCGTCTGGTGTCCCTCTCATGTTTCTGGCGTTTTCTCTTGCCTGAATTACATGATCGTGTCGGAGTTTGGAAGAGGACAGTGCTAACTTTACAGCCTGCTCGCACTGCTTCTTCAAGAGACGTCTCTCCCACTCCTCGGGCGTTGGAGCAAATTACACACCGTCCTATCATTCCCTCTGCACTCTCCTTTACCCCGGCCACACCTGAAGCTCCGGGCCCGGCTGCTCCATCTCCCACTCCATCTCTCCCTGTGACCGACTCGGATCATCTCCGAGTGGAGAACACTCCTCAGAGCAAGACGGCGCCTTCCTCACCGCATCAGTCCCCACTCGCAACCAGACATCCTAAGCAACACAGTGGGGCATTGCACGACCTACGCAGATTTCTCAATCATCATGTCGTAGGGAGTCATGACAAGCATCATCGCGATAAAAATGGTCAAGCTCCTCAATCAGTCGCTGTAGCCGCTATGAATCAGCATCTGAACGAAACTCCTGTTAATTCGACCCCGGCATCCCCGTTGCATGGTGCAGCGACTCCTGCGATGCAGAGGCGAGGAAGTAGCTTCAACGGGTTGGGAGCTTTACCCCCAAGTGTCGTCGCACCTCCCACTCAAGGCTCTGCAACACACGCTACCTCGCACACTCCTCCTAACGAGACCAAAGTGAAGGACCATGGTGCACACAGTAATCACTTGATTGGCTTTATGCGTCATCATCATCGCGACAACGAAGGGGAGAAATCACATTCGTCGCTGGCAAGTTTCTTCGGGCATCATCAGGAGAAAAAGGAGAAAAAGGAGAAAAAGGACAAGAAAGACAAAGATAAAAGTCAATCGGCGGTTCATACTCCCGCTGAATCAATCGTATCCTCAGCAGCACCGAGTCGCACCACCACTATCCACATGGCGGAAGTCGATCATGCGCCGACAGCGACGACGGGTATGACGGGCATGACCTCTGCTCCTCATTCACGTCCAGGTTCACAAGGTGGTTCCCCAGGTAGTACACCCCTTCACACTCCTGGCATCGCCACTCCTAGAAACGCCAACGACTACCCGGGCGTACCCTATCCTGTCGTTGCGCTTACTCACCCGTCTCTCCATGAAGCCACTCACGCTCATTTGTCGAAAAAGTACGGCAAGTGGGGTAAAGTGCTTGGATCAGGTGCCGGTGGAACAGTCAGGCTCATCAAAGCTGCTTCGAAGAACGGAGGAACTACATATGCTGTCAAGGAGTTCAGACCTAGGCGTCAAGGCGAGTCGGAGAAGGAGTATCAGAGAAAAGTCACCGCGGAGTTTTGTGTCGGTGTAACGTTACGACACCTCAATGTGATCGAGACGGTTGATATTGTCAATGATCATGGACACTTTTATGAGGTGAGTCATCTTATTTTCTCTGTCACATGTACCCTTCCTGATTCTCTTTGGCCATCTTTTTGTCCATATGCGTTTGAAAGGCTTTTCAGGGAGTCATGGCGACTTCAACGTGCAGATTGGCTAACGACTAGATCATGGAATACGCCCCTTATGATCTGTTCTCCGTCGTCATGTCCGGCAAAATGTCCCGTCCGGAGATCTACTGCGTCTTTCGACAAATCATCGATGGTGTACATTATCTCCACTCCATGGGCTTGGCACACCGTGATCTCAAGCTCGACAACTGCGTCATGACTACCGATAACATTGTCAAGCTCATCGATTTCGGCACTGCTACGGTCTTTCACTACCCTGGTAAACATCAGATCCCCGCGTCTGGTGTAGTAGGATCTGACCCTTACCTCGCCCCGGAAGTTTTGAACAAAGAGATGTACGATCCTCGTCTGACGGACGTGTGGAGTATCGCCATCATCTTCATGTGCATGATCCTCCGTCGGTTCCCTTGGAAGATCCCAGATTACAAAACGGACATGTCTTATCGGTTGTACGTCAACACTCATCCCGAGTTATGTCGTAAGCCGGAGACCAAGACACCCGCCCCGAGCGTTCTGAATGGAAACGAAGCACACAGCCGGGTCGGGGGTCCACATGCTTTGCTCGCCGATGGATCTAGTAGTTTACCATTCCGATCTCAATCGTCAACTTCCACCAGTACGGCGGTCGATAAACCGGAAGGCACCAATTGTATTACCTTGCCGGCTTCTTCAATGACGGCGGATTCGAACGCTTCGTATATCAGCACTGATTCTGAGGATATCACAACTCCTCATCTCGCCCATTTGAAACTTCGAGAAAGCCCTGAAGCCTTCCAAGATCCTTCCGACAGGTATTTCCCTCGACCATCGAACGGTGTGGTCTCTCGCCCAGCCTCACGTTTGCCGACTGGTGATCTTGGCAAACGAGGAGATACTGAACCAGTCCCGACATCTCCTTCTGCGAGCGTCGCAAACCGAAGTGGTCTAGGCGTGAATGCCGTGGACTTTGGTGTTGGTCGTTCCCGAGCAGTGTCAACTCCCTTGACACCTAGTTCTCCAGTACCACCTTCGTCATCAACTGAAGATGGTCATTCGGACCCTGCAGCAAGACAAGAGAAACAAGCTCGTCGTGAACGTGCTGCCTCCATATCTTCCACTCGAACTTTTCAATCTGGTGGGGCTGAAAGTATCTTCCGATTGTTACCACGAGAATCCCGTTCGGCTATCATGCGTATGTTAGCTGTCGAACCTTCCATCAGATGTACCCTCAGCGATCTTTTAGTGGGGAGAGGGAAAGACGACATGATGTGTCTTTGTGGTAGTCCCGAATGTGGTGGAGGTTTATGTGCACCTCCAGCAGAGATTACAGGTTTAACACCTGATGAAGAGGATGATGGTGATGAATGGGTTAAAAATATCGAAACGTGTAGTCATCTATTAGGAACGGGTATGACACCACATCATACTCATATCAAAGTGGTACCAGAAGAAAAACCAAAGAAGAGATTGTTCCATTAGTCTTATAGAGTGATTGTCAGGGTGAGGCTTTTTGGGGGGAAAGAGGAATTAGAAGTAGACATTTTATAGGGTGTCTTGTATCAACGTCTGTCCGGATCGATTATACTCGTTGACATGAAGCTTAGATCGGTTAGTTGATGAGGTTGTAGGATGGGGAAAGGGGTAAGCAAGTATGGAGAGGGCTTGAAGTGAGGAGGCAGGGTGCAAGGGTCAGAGATCTCTGCGATGTATGCGTCTTGTTGAAGAATCGTATCAATTGGCTCCAGGTTGACCCAAGAGCATTCGTAGCATTGTGCAAGTATCCTTCTTAGAAGAGGAACAAATAATATCCTGTCAGCTACCCGAAGCCTGAAGCCCGTAAGCTTTAAAAGTCTAGGTGGTCAGCTGCCCAAGCCACCTAGGATATAAGATGATACTTACCCCACAGAGGCTTAAGGGACTCTGCCACATGTGGGCTAGGGTCAAAAACCCTAAGGTTAACGCGACCCGGTTTGACGGTCTGTAGATGGACGACCTAGACGGGCGCTGCTCGCTTCATACATCTCATCTCTTTCTTGCTTCTTGTAAAGATTATCACTCGTCACCAAAACATATCGCTTACTCTTGGCGAGGAGGAGTGATCGGTGTCATAGTGGACGTATACAAGTAAGGTTTGACACTCAAAGGACTGGCGGATTGGACTGGTGAGTATCCGTCAGTGATCAGTGACCCATGATTTTTTGCAGAGATCTGATTCCCTAGCACATTCCTCATATACTCTCCTCTTCACCGTCATATCTTTCCTCTCGGTCATTCTCTCAATCAATCCGATCGGGAACATTTATCCATACGTTTTATTCGAATTGAAGAGTATATCACCAATCTATTCAATTGATTCAGTGATTCAGTAGTGATTCAGAGACCCATTTGATTTTGGGGGCGCTTGATCGCGTCCTCAACTAAGTTACCGCAGTTTTACACCTACCACACTCTTCTGCCTATCTTCCATCCCTCCCTCCCTCCTATCCTCCCAACTTCCAAGTCTAAACCGACTTTTCTGTATCCATATTCAATCTTCATCTCAACTTTCCCCAAATAACATCCTCGCAAAAGGTTTTGTGTGATTTGACCAAATAAAAACCTCAATATCATGTTACGCCCCAGAACCACGGTCACATCCCCTCAACCAAATCACGAACCAGATACTCCAATGTCACATTATCCCTCTAGACACGGTGACGATACTCCTGGATTAGGATACGAATGGTCACCTGATACCCACACACATGAACAAAGTATGAACCTCGATTCTGATCTTACTGGGAAATCTCCAGGGAATGGGAGACGATCGAGTGGGACGGATGTAAGACCTTTGACGGGTGGTTTGAATGGTGGGATAGCGACTAGAAGAGGAGAGAAGGGTATGAATCTAGGTTTAGGATTGGGGTTAGGAGGTTGGCAAAAGAAAGGAAAAAGGAATTGGAGAATGGGTGAGTTTCATTTCTTATCAAATCTTTCGAAATGATCTCCTTTTCCTACACTTGTGAATGGGGTTTTGATCTTTGTGCTACATGATATACGGTTTCTAGAATCGGCCTTGATTGTCCACTTTATTCTCGTTCCAAATTTGGCAGGACATTGTTACGTCTTTACAGAGAAATCATGCTCTTCTTATCTTTTGAGTATAGCCCTCTCTCAGATGTCTTGTGCTTCTCACTGAACAATCGCTTGATAAGGGTGGAATGAGAATATCGGTCTCTCATTAAACTGAGAGGTAGTGCCAGTATGATAAACACATGGGTCAACAGACACTCACACACAGGTCTCTCACAAAGAGGGTGGATGATTCTCACAGGTATCATCGGTTTAACAATATTCACAAAACTTATCCTACGTGAGTCTCGCTTACGATCACCCTTCCTCTTAGCCTCTCCCCCCTCCTACCTCTTTGCTCATTTTTGTGGTAATCTTCAGCTCAAGTAATGAGTGAACGACGCTCACTTCTCAGCGACCTCAACAGATCATCATGTCCACACACACGAATCCCTTCTTGTTCCCCGCGACTATCTCAACAATTCGAAAATTGACCCAGCACCATTCGAATTTTGTCCCGTTTTCGGTCCAGGTGACCCTATCGCTGCTCGAAGAGGACAATTGGAGTTGCTCAGGAGTAGATTACATCTTGGTACTGGCGCCAGAGTTCAGAGAGTCATACAAAAGGCAATGAGTGGGGCGCCGGTGACTATCAGTGTTTTAGGGGGCTCGAGTGAGTCAAACAAAACCTGTTCAAACCATATGAACATCTCTCCTCACACTAGAAACGACCTCGCCTCCCATGTTTTCCATCATACTCTTGGCACTGTGCGCCCAAGGCGGGATCGACCCAATGAGGATGAGGATAGTGTACAGCTGCTGATCATAGTCTCCGCTTGTGTCGGAGCTGGAGAAGATCCTATCGACGATCGTTGCTATCCCGCCAAATTCTTCACATGGTGGAACTCTGTATTCCCACATCCAGCAAACGAACTCACCAACGGCGCTCAACGTAAAACGGACAGCGCTTATTATGCGTATTGCAACAGCCATCACATGCCCGACAAAACGGATTTGGTTTTGCTCGAGTTTGACGCTGCAGATCCCAAGTAGGTTGCTTTCCTTGCTTGCCCCGCTTTCCTCACTCTCTCCGGCTTTGTATCGCCCATCTCGCAATACTCCCTTGTCGTGTCACCATTTCTTCGTCACAATGTCTCTCATATTCACAACGTTGCTGACTCGTAGTGACCCTGAGTGGGTTCAACATTTCGAACTTCTTGCCCGATCCATCCTGGTCCGACCAGAAATGCCAGCAGTTATCATTTTAGGTCACTTCAGTCCTCAGGTTCAAGCGCAAAATGGGTTTGCAGGTCCGGAATTGCTTCACAATGTGGTCGCTCAATTCTACGACGTTCCACATATCAGGTATGTAATATCTCTATCCTCACTTCTGACATTGTCTCGTACCATCGGGAGAGTCCCGTTGCTTTCAGTCGACGTTACAAAACGCACATGAGCTCACATCCAGCGTCAAAGGTGTCATTTACAATGACTATCTTCAGAAACCCGACGTAGCACGAGCAAGCTATTACAACGATCCTCAACATGCCAACGCGGAAGGACACGAGCTCATCGCCGACGTTCTAATATCCTACATGATGTCGCAGATCTGTTCCGGCTGGTCCACTCTTCAAGGTTTCGGCTTTGACGTTCCTGATCTTGGTGTCGAAGGTGATGGTACCAGCTCGGGACCTTCGTTACTCGGAGGAGTGGGTTTACGGAAGGGTATTCCGGGACAACAAAAAGGTGATGGGGACTCAGCCACCAATGCTTTGACGGACCGTTTCTCAGCTTTGAGAGTTCCTCCTATGCGTCTTGGGGATAGGCCAAATGACATACAACATTTCAGAGAGATTGAACCGTTTTGCGTGGCAGCGAGCGATTTGATAAATCCCTTGCCGAGGAGTTTGTTTTATGGCAGTGGATGGCAAATCTATCATCCTCCTAAGGGGGCTGTAAATGAGGATCGACATTACTGGCAAGTTTTCTTCCTCTACATCTTTCGGTGATCGTCTTCTCAAATGACGTCCCTCCATCTTTGACATTCGTGCAGTTTCCTTGACAGATGAAAGTGCCTAGTAGGAAGAGAAGAGTGAATCTGATAATCAGGTATGCAGAACAACCCACTTCCCGTCTTCGTATCCCCCTCAAACTCGGCGCAGGTGACGTCGGGATCTATTTCCTACAAAGTCCAGTGGACAAACCTTTGGGCACTGTGAAATGCTGGGTGGATGATAATTCCCCCGGTGCGAGAGAGTTGAAGGGTACGGCCGAAGTGGAGGATGTGATTGCTACGTGAGTGTCATCTGTCTTGCACTGAGTGTCTCTTCTCGTCTCTCGTCAAAATGATATTTCAATATAATCTGCCGTGCCGATGACATCTACCACTCGAGTCAGATGTTCATGTATCACGCGATCACATGGGGAGTACGAGACATGTGCTAAATAGCAGACTTGTCATGATCGACCGTGGTGTGTCAAGGGGTTCCCATTTTGTCGAATGCGCATTGCAAGGAGAGGCAGGGATCACTTCACCACCTTTCAAGATACTTGGCATGTGAGTCTCCCAGCTTCCTCGACTTCCAGAATGTGATTGGCCTCTATGTCTTTCCAATATACTAACACGATAGATTCACTACATGAAGATGCACGATCCAACGACGCAATACTACTGAAATGATCAACGAGGAACGGAGGAGTAAATCTGACATGGATGGGAAGAGGCTCACTTACTTGGAACAGACGCTGCATTTTGGGCAGAATCAATTACGTTTATGCATGCAAAAAAATACTCATAGCTCCTGTGGGTCGATGGATCCATCTATACTCCTATGCTTCTTCAGCTCTCATGCACCCATGCGCCCAACTCGTACCACCACTGGATGAGGTGAGGCTATGGAGATAGATGCAGGTCGGGATAGAAAGCGGAGTTAGTCCGGTTAAGGCCGAAAAGAAGAACCGCATCGCGCACCATTGACCGTCCATTCCACTCTCCGACCTAACATCTTTGTCCTCGTTACCTCTCACTCCTTTACATCTTCACTTCACTCACATACACACTCATCATGCTCAGAGGTGTTCAATCAGCACGTGTAGTCAGCAAGACGGTCAAGGTGAGTGACTTTTCTCACTCTTTCTGCTTTGGCCTTTTTCGCTACGGGAAAGTTGTAATGCCTGCCCTGTCCTACACGTATCTGATATCCTTGAGCGTGTTTGTATCCATCCGTCACCTGACTTACACTTCTCTCATGTATATCCTATTGCACGCTTCCAACGATGACCCTATTTCATTCCTCGTCACCTCTGGCTCATGACCTTACGCCAGGCTTTGCTCTGTTAGTTTGCCTTGTTGCAGATGAGAGGATGAAACGCAATGATAGATTGACTAATCTTAGACCGTCGGATTGAATCAAAAAAGGAGTTTGTCTATACATGAATACCAATCTGTTCAATTGCTTAATTCTGTGAGTGAACTCTTGGTCCTTCTACATTTCAAACAATCTTCCTCTCGTCCTCCCTCATTCCTAGACTCCTCTATTGCGATCGCTTTGTTATATCGTGGGCTGATGACCTATTCTCTCTCATGTATGTGTCTAGGGATACACTTCGATGTACTGGTATCTATATTTCAGTAACTAAAATGTGGTCTCGGAGTGGTAATAATGGATATATGGCAGAGATCGTGGTGGGAGGGCTGACATGTAGTATGGTATTCCCACACCTCAGGCTAAACCTGCTTTTTCGGCGGAAGAGGCGGAATCTGTTGCTAAATCATTTGGTGGGTTTCATCTATGTCTTTCCTTCGTATCATCAGTGTCGTCTACCAGCCGATTTTCAATCCGACACTACCTCTCACTGTCCTTAAAGCTGCTCAGTGGAACCTTGGTGTTGGAAACGGCGGAAAGGTAGTGGAGTGTGGAAGATGGACGATTACTGATCAGGTAGGAAAAGATCAACTCGTGATCAAGGCTCAAGTTTTAGCTGGAGGAAGAGGAAAAGGACATTTCGATTCTGGTTTCCAAGGTGGTGTTCAAATGGTTGATTCGTATGTTCCTCACTATGTCTTTCTAAGTGTCAAGCTGATGTTGACTTTTTTCCCCTACACCTCTCTAATCTGATCTTCTTTCCCCCGACTACTCGATCTCATATTGTGGATCTTCTCTCCTGTCCGTGGATCGACTACGAACTTTATCCAATACAGTCCCGCTCAGGCCAAAGACTACGCCTCAAAAATGCTCGGACATAAACTCATCACCAAACAAACAGGTGCAGCCGGAAGGATCTGCAACGCCGTCATGCTAGCCGAACGTATGCCTCCTCAAAAAGAATACTACGCTGCGGTTTTGAACGATCGTGCTCGTGGTGCTCCCGTCCTTGTCACTTCCAGTCAAGGAGGTATGAACATTGAAGATGTCGCACATGATACTCCAGAGGCTATCATCACCACTACGCTTGATTTCGAAAAGGGGATTTCGCATGCTGAGGCTGTGGATTTGGCTAAAAAGCTTGGATTCCAAGAAAATGCTCAGGAGAACGCCGCGACTGTTTTTGGGAAACTTTATCAAATCTTCAAAGAGAAAGATGCGACTCAAATTGAGATTAACCCTTTGGCAGAATTGAGTGATGGACAGGTGTTGTGGTGAGTAGTGCATGCACTTTATCGACCTTCATGAATGACAGAATCTCGTTGTGAGAGAGATGGCTGATATTATTAGTATGGACGCGAAATTCGGGTTTGACGATAATGCCGATTTTAGACAAAAAGACGTTTTCAAACTGCGTGATACGACACAAGAAGATCCTCAGGAGGTGGAAGCTGCCGAGGTGAGCTCAGATTTCGGGCAATTGTCGTCCTCTCCGCCATGAAACGATACGCTGCCAGAATGGAACTGATCTTCAGTACGGTCTCAACTTTATCAAATTGGACGGAAATGTCGGATGTCTCGTCAATGGTGCTGGACTCGCCATGGCTACCATGGATGTTTTGAACCTCCACGGAGGATCACCTGCCAATTTTGTGAGCTACTTGCAATGCCAATCTAGTTTGGGTTATCAGCTGACATTTTCAGTTGGACGTGGGAGGTGGAGCCACCGCGGACGCTGTGAAGAAAGCATTCGAGCTTCTGTTGACTTCTTCGAGTGTCAAGTCTATCTTTGTCAACATTTGTGAGATCCATCCTCATCTTGTGAACTACCACCCTGAGATTGTTTCTCGTAGCATTATCGTATTTTCGAGAAAGGTACGAAAAGATTGTGCTGATTCACAGTTGGTGGGATCATGCGTTGCGACGTTATAGCTGAGGGTATCATCAAAGCTACTAAAGAACTCCAACTGAATATCCCTCTCATCGTCAGGTTGCAAGGTACCAAAGAGGCAGAGGCGAAGAAGTAAGTCATCCACATGATCTTATCGCATGTATTCATCTCTGGACTTGGCGTAAGCTGATGAAATAGAATGATCAACGAATCAGGTTTGAAGATATACCCTTTTGGTGAGTTCGATCTTCTGAAAACTTCTTTACTGACCCTCAGATGGATTGGACGAAGCAGCTGCAAAAGCTGTAGAACTGGCGAAATGATGTCTCAACATTACAGACACTTCAATTGCTTGAAGATCGACTCGATGTCACATGCATAGATGTACAACATTGACAACATGCCTCATTCATCCTATGTCCTTTACACATGAACTTATCTTTTACCTTCTCTTGACTTTTCACCCCGGTCATTCTGCCCACGAGCCTTTTTCGGCTTGAAACAAAGAGTTCCAGCTCCCGTAGCTTTATGTGCATCGTGCAATACCTTTCGAAGACTATCAAGTTCATGTTGAAATTCATCTTGACTCTTTTGTCTTCGATAAGATTGAGAAATGACTTCGTATACTTTATTGAGTGATTCGTTTGCTGCAGGAGTGACATATGTTCCGATGGATTGATGAAAATATTCGAATTCTAGAGTTGCCTATCGAGTCAGACGCAGATCACTTCCCCTTACCCAAGTCTTCTCTAAAGCCTTATTTCATCCAACCCTCTCACCTGTGGGCATTCCGTCTTTCCATTTGATGCGAGATATTTTCCGTCCTAAAACTTCCAACTGCTACTATACGATCCATGACTGAACTCATGATATATGACGGAAACGCAGATAACATTATGACGAATGATATTGACTGAAGAGGGAGAGGAAAATATGACATACCGTGAGCATACCACCCGTTCCGAATTTTGATACTTTTTGAAAACTATCCAAAGCTACAGTAGCTATGACTTCCACCAAAGCTTCTAAAACTCTAGGTAATAGCGCAGGAGCAAGATCACCAACTTTGGAATGAGTGTCGACCAACATGAGGATAGCTTTATGCATATATGGTCGGATTTCTGATACATCAATACCGTTTATTTTACTTTTCCTTTCGAATGATCTCATGTCCCATCTTTCTTCTGAGATTCATCAATCCTCAAGAACACTATGAGTGACACGTTCACGAATCGAAGTCTGGTACCTTCGAATAATTTGGTGGGTTTTGATGGATTGGAGGATACTCACCAGAAGGTTTGGGAGCATTCAACCAATCTATTTCTCCATTAAGTATACCATCTTTAATAACCTCCACCAACCCAATTGATCGTCTTTCCACATAATCCTTGAACACCTTTTTATCCATATTCACCACTAACCCTTCTATATCCCTCTGTTCTTGAGACATATCCACCTCTATCATCTTACTGATTTTCTGACATAAGTCAGGTAATATATCCTGTCGTATTGTATATATCTTGCTCAAAGTCACTAACAACCTCAAATCCTTGTCGTCAGAAAAAGCAAATTGACATCAAAGAGAATGAGACGTACCACATCTTTCAAAGTCAAAAGTTTCGTGTGGGAAATACGAGAAGGTCGACGTTTTTGAGGTTCTTCAGGGATAATCTGAGTAGCTTGTATCATATTGCTCAATAACCCATTGGTGGTGTTGACGAATAATTCTTTCAGTTTACGTTTATAATTCCCTGGAACAACTTCTTTCTCATTTGGTCTGGAAGAAATTTGTTTTAAAGATCTCATTATTCGGAGTTGAAATTCTTCCATAAGATTCAAATACTTTGTAGATGCTTTGCTTGAGGAATAATGTGTCCAATCTTCTAATTCATGAAGGACTTTAGAATCTACAGATTAGTTGGTCTTCTCAAATCGAAATATATTGTTTGGAAAAGAAAACGAGAGACTCACCACGGGTCCAAGTAGAAGATATGACTTCTAACATTCTCCATCTCAAAGAGTCCAACATACCCCTCAAAGCATTAGAAGATTCACTCCCTACGTCCACAGCGGCTAATTCTCCGGTACATTCGGCAACCTCTTCCACTAATTTCTCACCGAAGAAACATGCTGTTATCACTGACGTGGACAGAGGAACGAATGAAGGTATTGGAGGATTAATATCACTTTTCTTCCGATTGGATTCCGCTACTGCCACATCGGATAGAGTGAAGAATTGTGAGAGAAGCGAGGTGTAAAGTTTTATTATCTCTGAAGCCATGGAACGACATGTGGACGCAGGGCGTCGGGAGGGTGCTAAACTGCCTGATGAGTCACGCTGGAGTGATCAGCCCGACAACTAATTGATTTGCGTAGACAGGGAGGTAGAAAGAAGAGAAGAAAGATAACAACAGACCTTTCGATATCGACCGTCCATGCATGCTCGGGCGATCTTCCAGAATCCAGGAAGAGAACGAGAAACATAGTCAGACAACTGTTTAACGAGTGATTGTATAGCCAGCCAAGCAGCGTCAACAGCCGATGCTATTGTCGTCAGCCCTGCTCTTCAGACGAAAAGGTCGGCTGACGGTTGATGGTGTTCACAAAGTATTGTGATAATGCCAATTGTCTTCTCAGATTGTCAACCTGCGAAGTGGATGTTGATGGCAAATCCGAACACGCTTGATTTGCGGCTACATTTGATGAGCACACTTACACCAACTCTTACTTCCCTACTTCTCGATGGTGTGGACTTCACTTACATTTCACCGACTCTAGACAACGTTTATGTATAGCTTTCATAGTATCGAAAATGTGTGAATGTTGATATTCCAGATAAGCCCAAGCGGGATCATCACACCCCTCTAGATCAATCAAAATCCTGTTTTTCTCAGCGACATTGCTTTGTGAAACAAACAACACTCACTCTATAGTTCTCTCCTGCTCCTCGGCAGATCTTGAGCTGTCCTTGAGACCAGCATCCAATTTGACCCGCAAGTCCGACATGATCTTCTCCACCGATGTCCATACTTTATCAAAGATCCTTCGATGTTGTGCTTTCTGCTCTGGGGTATTGGCAGGAAGACCGGGTATGAGTTGACCTGTTCTGGAAGAATTCAAATACATTCCTCGCTTATAATCCCGTAAAGCCTGTTCGTATTTTCCCTGAAAGTGTAAGCAGGTGTCTCTCACCATACTACTACTGCTGTAGGACTCACAACGTTGATGAGATCCATCAGTAGACCGGGTAGATTGAAGAGAAACTTTGATTTTTCAAACACACCCAAAGTTGTTCGAAGTTTTTGCGCCTTGACCGCATTCTCAAGTACGGGGAGAAACACCTGATCAGCTCTATGAGCAGTGACTGATATATTTTTAGCAATGACTCATGTCGGCCTAATAAAGACATATGTACCTTTAAATATCTCTCTCAATTCCCGAGTACCATGATCAGTATCATCCGCCATGAAACTTTCTTTCATATCTTTGTATACGACTGGAAATCAACTCAGATCACGAGTAACTGGATGAAAGACTCACTATCACTCGACGCTTTGACAGCTACGAAACGATCAAAGTTCTCTTCTACCAATATCCGTACTGCCTCTGACCTATCTTCGATTGCACGTTCGAGATGTGAGATACCCCTCCGGAGGTCGTTGTATGACGCATCGGGATGATGAGCTGATAAGAATACCTTGGGATCGAAAGCTTTGGAAGAGAGAGAAGTAGCAGTGCCTATGTCATCAGTAGGAAGAGAAAGCACGAAGGAGAACGTACGGGTTTTGATATCCATACTGCTAGATCTGGACAATCTTCCCTTCATTCCTAATGGATCCATCTCATCTATCATCCCACCATCTTCATTGGCCAATGTACCAGCTAGGGGTCCTTCGTTTTCGTGGTCGACATCTTCCCACACTTGAGGGTTGATATTGGATATGCCGTAGAGTTTCAGGACTGGTGGGTCAGCGGTTTGCTATTTGGCTTAGATGACTGTGAATCACCTGCCGCTTCGTCCACGTCTCTGCGGCTCATGTTGATACGTTTGGATAGAGTGCCCAAAGGTGTTGAGAGGGAGGGTGGAAGGTGGATAGAAGGAGTGACGTCGAATGTGGCACGGATCACTACCGCCACGTGGCGCCCGGGTTCCACGTTGGTACTGTGGACATGGATGAGGGTCGAAGCATGCGGCGTGTCAAACACAAGACAGATATCATCAATTACAACAACACCTTTCTCTGCTTATCCCTGACGGAGCGCAAAGCTCTCGAGCCCCGCTACAGATGAACGACCCGTTCCCTCAAATCTGTCCATGCCAACCTTTAGAGTCAATACATTGTCTCGTCCACGGAAATCATCTCATCCCCGCGTCCAGAGCCTTTTCCACATCCTTGAGTCTACCCTGTACTCCCTTCTTGGTATCTCCCCCCAGGTCCTGCAGGACGTCCAGTAGATGTCGCACTCGTTTCGTGCATTTGACCATCTTGCTCCGATTGACTTCCGTCGCTTCCACCATCTCCTGGTATGTCCTCAAATCTCTTGCAAATGTATGCGTCTACATATGAGCTTATGATCCTTGTCGATATATGAAGAGAAAACATACAGGTAGAGGATCCACATCGAGCTGTTGAGCGGCCAAACTCCATGTGGCCATGATGACCAAATCCAAAGCAGCATTCGCCACATACTCCTCAACGTCATGTATCCCTCCTTGCACCCCTCTAAGCTCTTTCGTACAGAATTGTCTTACAAGTTGTTCCGCCGCTTTGACAGGTGAACCCTCTGGATCTCGTAAGAGGAGTGATATCTCGTATGTGGATTTATGAAGGAAGGCATCGCCTTCAGACATGATGAGAACCTGCAAATACGATGACAGTAGCGTTGGGGAGTAACCGGGAAGGAGGGCATTGTCGATAGCTAATTTGAGCTGATATTAGTTATCACCTTATTCAGAATTACTTGGATCAACTTACATTCCCTCTAAGAGCTTTGAGAGTGTTTTTGATTTCTTTCTTCTCAAAATCTTCTTTATCCAGATGATTCACATACCTGCCACCGTCAGCTATGTCATTCGAGCCGCTAGTAAAAGATGGGACTAACCGAGACAAAGCTCCAATGAGCAGTATGACCACATCTCTATGTTTGTCTCCTAACCTTGCCGCATAAACGATAGGAAATTCTCCCGCGCTCTTTTGCAATAACAAAGGGAAAGCATGATCCCTGACCCGCATGATAAAATCTATATCGTGTTTGTCTATAGCTTGATACAATTCGTAAGCTTGAGGGGGTCTTGCAAAAGGTTTTGTCTCCAAATGTACGCTCTTCCCTTTCCCACTATTATTCCTGAAGATTGATAGCCCGTTCGGGTCCAGACGAGCGGCAGCACGTTGAATCTCCCATTCTTGATCTTGTAACGCTTCCGCGAGTTCACGTTCTTGTTGACGTTGACGAATTTGTCTGTCTAGTTCTAATTCTGATTGTACTCTCGACTCTCTCTCCAGTGCTCTTGAGGGGGGTAGAGGATGTAACAAAACCGGAGATGATTGTAAACGGGGTGATCTGGGAGGGCCATGAGTCGGAGTGGAAAGGGGTGGCGAGGTCCAAGGATGGCGGGGAGTTGATGGACCGGCGGAGGATTGACCTGGTATCTGTAAGCTCGGTGACTTGAAAGAGTAGCTCGCAGCCATGATTGTTCAGTTTGATGGGCACAAAGACGCTACAGTCGATAGCGGAAAGGGAAAAGAGACAATTGAAGGAAGGTAAAAGGTTGACCAGAAGACGTTTCCTTCAGCTTTTCCTGTTGGGGGCCCCTATACCTATAGTCCCACTACGCACTTGGGGACCAAGAGACAATCTTTCCCTTCCTACGTCGGCCTCTTTACCCTGCATGCCCCGCATAAGGTCACGGCAAGCTCGCTTGTAAGGAAGGGTAGATGGACGACATCGAGGCCCCGGCCTCTCGTTCACGCTCTAGATCTATCTCAACTCCCTCCTCCGACGGACTACCCACGTTCGACGACCTCTTACCCGTTCGAGCACCTTTGACTCTTCCAGATGAAGAGAAGAGACTGGTCATACCTGGACTCGACTTGGACGTCAAGCTCAAGGTCGATGCAGGACCGGGGTGTGGAGGTATCGCTTGGCCCGCAGGAGAGGTGAGATATTAAGAATGATTCAATATCCCTCCCCCTCCATGCCTTCCTGCCGTCATACACCCCGTATCGCCCAATACCGCTAGTGGAATATACAAGTATACGTGTGGACTGTCCACTAACTGGGCCAGGTACTGTCCAGGTATCTAGCTTATCGACATAACCAAACGGCTTTACTCGAGAATAAGACCATTCTCGAGCTAGGGTCAGGGACAGGTCTCGTGGGTATCGTCGCTGGGATATTAGAGCCTTCGGCCAAAGTATGGGTGACAGATCAACGGTTTGTTCTCCCTTCTCTCTCCTCCTTGTCTGATATTGGTAAATGCTCAAGCTGACACATAGACAATTGTTACATTTAATGAAAGAAAACGTTCATCTGAACCTCTCCCCACTACATCAATCCAATGTTCAAGTGATGGAGCTTAACTGGGGCGAAACGCTACCTCCCAACCTACCTTTGAAACAAATTGACTTGGTCCTCGCTGCCGACTGTGTCTACTTCGAGGTACATCCTGCTCTCTCCTGCTTCTTGATGACCACGCTGACCCCTAGCCAGCCTTTCCTCTGCTGGTTCAAACACTGAGGGACCTTGCCATGGTAAACGAACATATAGAAATCCTCTTTTGCTGGAAGAAACGACGCAAAGTAAGTTTCCTTCATTTATAATATTCATTATGCTGACACAAAGGCTGACAAACGGTTTTTCTCCTTGCTCAAACATCATTTTCATATGGACCACGTCGATGACGATCGGCCCAACGAGAGAGAGAGGTATCAGAGGGAAGGTATTAGTCTTCTAAGACTTCACAGAAGACATTGAGCCCTCGGTGTTGGGGAGAAGGTCTTCAGTCTTGGCAGTAGGTCTTCTCGATATTGCTACGGCTCAATACTTACCTCCTTTACAGTGGCATTTCTCACGGTTTAGGAAGCCGATTCGAGCTGGGCAGTGTACCATAACGCCAAGTACATCACTTTCCTTTGGCGCTTGCCGATTTACTGTGTAGTCTTCTTTTCGGTTCGCCAAGACAAGCTCAGTCGTAATAGAGCAAATGAAATACATAAAGCTTCAATGAAATGTGTGGGATTGATTTATCGAAACAATTCGACTGACCAACGTACACTAGTGAGTCAAAGCGAAACAATGTCGACCAGTGATGGAACGGCCGGTTCATCGCAATCAACAACGGGCGACAATCGTCCGCAAATGGATCTACAGTCTGATGATCGAAGTCAAGGTCGTTCAGGCCCTAATCAGGGGCCTGTCGTCATTGAGTTGAAGGAGGCAAAGCCATGTACACTGCCGCAGGGAGGGGGCTACAAGCCAGAGGAGCCAGCCTATAGATCTTCAGACGAGGAAAGCGACGATAGCGATGACAGCGACTCGACAGAACCAGACAAGAACGGAAAAGGGAGCGGGATCCCCACTGAAGGTCACCCGTCTGGTTCAAACACGAGCGGATCCCAAAGTAATTTCAAGAACTCCTACCCTGGGCGTCCAGGGCGTTCGTCTGACCCTCCAAGGACCAGTACACATGGATTGAAGCCACGTTCGAAATCCCCTCTGTCGGCAATCCCAGAGAACTCGGTAGCGTCGCCCTTGTCAGCGAATGATCAGGGCTCTAACCCTACCGAAAGAGGAGATGGTACTGATACTTCGGTCGACACTCCTCAGTGGCGTCGTACTTATCTTCATCATAGTTGAATGCATGCCTTCTGACGCTGACGATCGGAAAGACTAATTTGCTCACGTATTTCCCTACCATCCATCATGTTCGGCACGTACTCACGAATCAAACCTGACCTACATCTTACTGTAGAGGTGCTATTTGCGCAGAGAAAGGCTTTGCACATGATGATGGGATGATTCTGATAGATAATGAGTAAACAAGGCGGATTTGGGGATGAATGAACGATGAATTCAAATGATGTATTGTCCCATCTTCAGGCAATGTTCCTTCAGGTGAGTCTCCAACCAAATCTACAAAGCTGACTTTCAGTTTCAGTGATCGATAAAAGGTCGACCCCATCCACCAAATCATATTCTCCTAACACCCATCGTCTCCATGTTCAGTACGTTACACCGGCAGATAACGGAAGGGTTTTGAAAAGTGTGGTGGGTGAGCAAGCAATGGATATCCTCCACTTCCTTCCGGTCTTTACTTAGAGAGCAACACGCTGACGGAAACAGACAACGCTCCAATGACCACGTTCCGTCTCCCTCGTCAGCCGTTTGAAATGAGTCAGCAACTCAAGTTCATCGTCCAAACATTCATTTCTCAACCGACACTATTCATTCATGATCCCCATCGTCAATTTCCCTGGTCCGGTATAAGACACCACTCCCCTGTCGGCACCTCAATCTCATCCTCCACTGTCCCTTCCACGACTCCCTTTTCGACCATCGCTCGATCTTGATCAGATCTCTCCTCCATACCGCCGAAAACTCATCGCACCTGTCGGAAAACGAAACTCGTCTGACCTTCTCTGGACACTCCAATCATCATCTCGTCCTCAAACTTGCGAGCGAAGGGACTCGACACCATTTCTGTGGAGAGAAGTGGACTGAGAGTGAATTCGTTCACGTCGGAGTTGTCAAGATGAATGGATACATCAATCATCTCCGCCCATTTATACGATGCACTGCTTCGTTGACAGAAAAGTTGTGCAGGCCTTCTAAGCAATCCTTTGACAATGGTGTAGGAGCTTGAATAACAAAAGGCAAAGTCTGTGCTCACTGAGTTATAAACTGATATGGCTCTTGTGATACGAGTTATATCCAAGATGGCAGACAGCGACGTTGAGATGCAAGAAGCAGATACCGGAGAGGCCGACGAGGACGTTTCGATGCGCGATGTGATTGCTGTAGGAGCGCCGCATATCCATGTGTTGAGAGCAGAAGAGACAACACCGACTACCAACAATGACGGGCTTAACGTCTCTACATCGGCTTCTTCAACCGCCATCGTCTCGGATGCGCCCGGGAGTGGGACGCAGAATGAGACGGGAACTTCAAGGAGAACAATCAATGAAAATCTTCTCTCTCCGACAACGCCTATCAAGTTTACATCCCCGTTTCTCGATCCGCGGAACCAAGTAAAGCAAAGTCCGGAGGGCTCGGCGAATAGTGATCCACCACCGCTTGAAGTGGATCCTGACAATCAGCGGCCACGCTCTGTTTCGATGAGTGAGGTCAGCAAGTCGCAGGCACAAAGCTTAACTCCTGTGACACGACCTCGGGCCGCGAGTCTGAATAATGTGACCAGTCAAGAGATTAATAAGAGTCGCGGTACCAAACGCTATCGCGAGGGAGACGTCGACGGCCATGCCCCAGGTTCGGCATCAAAGAAGCACGCTGGCATTTTGGATGTGGGGTGGTCTCGAGGGGATCTGGTTGAGTAAGCCCGCGCGCCGAAGAGAGAGACAGGAAGCACAGGACGCCATGACTTAACTGTCAGAGGAGAAATGACCATCAGGAAAGTTATTCATAGGCCATATGGTGCTGCTGTCTTGCAATGTTAAACTTGTCCATGATACGAGCAACTCAGCCTACTAAGAGCCATCACACAGAAGTAGACATTGTCTCCTGCTCTAGCGCGGCGATCCCTTGCCGTTAGCCAATCTGAGTCACACGCCTTCGTCTTCTCCATATCATCTATCCTGACCATGGGGAGAGCGTTGCTCGAGGTATCCACTTGTTTGACGTGCGAGGGCTGAGAATATCCCGAGGGTGGTGGAGCAACGAAATTTATGGATGAAACTGCTCACACTAGTTTCTTTCTCGCTCCCCCCACTTTGAGAATGCTCTCTGCCCATTTCTCACACTCATTTCTTTCTCACTCTTCCCACGTTCTCACGGCCTTTGCCAAACGGTCTCTTAACTTCTTAGAAGACCCGAATCAATCTCAAAAGTTCTAGCCCCATCCATCTCGATAAAGAAGCGACGCGGAAGCGTGAGAAACAGCCATAGTTCAGGGAGAAAGTGAAGGATAGTAAGCCATGAGAAAGAACTAAGATTCACCTTCGATTTATCTCAACCTTGGAAGCCCATGCCCGAACGATTTCCCCACGAAATCGTCCTCGAGAACCCGCGGAGTCGTAATGAGAGTGCGACATTCACCGACCTGCCCGGGCAACCGGTTTGGATTGATAAACCTATTTCAAATAGAGTCGATTCGAAGGGGACGGAAGGATATAAAAGCTCGAGAATGGGCTATCTGACTTCAGTGAACGAATCACATCTTTTCAGTAGAAAAACTTGCCTTAGGACTTTCAATGTTATTGACCGAAGAGGATCCATGCAAACTGGACCGCAGTTTTCTAAGCCCCGGGTGGACGTCTGGCTGGAGGGACGACATCGAAGACAATGCAGCCGGCTACAGAAGTGGTAGTATCACGCCTAGGCCTCAGCGATCGACTGCGGGTGCCACAAAATCCCGGAACTCGCGCACCACAAGGACAGCAGGGCGTGGACGAAGCACCGAAGTATCGATGCGGAGGAGTAGTACAAAACATACGTCGGTTTCGTCCGACGACAGCTTAGCGCTACAGTGGAGCGCAGCGGTGACGGCTGCTGTCGAAAATTATAAGCGGATGAATGATTCCACTAAGTCCACCGGAAAGCGCCGGCAGATCGGGGACAACTGGCAATCGGACAAGGACGGGAGTGATTGCGGGCATGTCCCATTCGTCAGGGTTGATACAGAGCAAGAGACCTCACCCGAGGCGTAGGTGAGGGATACTGGTGAGGTACTACCAGAGAGAGTAGCCTAGCTGTGATGAGAGAAGGTGATTCAGTACTTGTTGCAGTTCAGTGTAAGATGAATGAACCCGTTTCGAATTCCGCCAGGCAGAAGGGTAACATCCGATGTCGTATAATGACAATCCTGTGTGAGCGAAACAAGAAGGTGTGAGGATACATTGACTGAAATCGCGTTGCAGTTAGTCCCGTCAGCACATCTATCTATGATCGATTCATGGCGTCCTATAGCCCAACAGAGGATGATGTCTACTTTACTCACTATCCCGCTGACCTCTGCTAAGAATCCAGCATGAACGACAAGTCACCGATTAAGCAAAGAAGTATCTATATTGTCCGAATTACGTCTATTCAATATTTATTCGCGGGACACGTCACTGATTGTCAGTTTTTGATAGCAGGCTCTGGCAGATGAGACATACCGCCCGAAAAGCTTCACTTTGGCCCAGTCCGCCATCACGAGAGTTCTGTTGCGTACTGAATATAGCGTTGACTGACATATCAGCTTTGCCCACAAGGAGGTGAGAGTTGTTCTAGTTGCGAAGGATGTATCAGAGGAATAGGTGGAGAAGGTGGACTTACGATGTAAGCGGAACGCCAAAAGAGCATTGCGGCTCCACCACCGGAAGCGAAGTTGCCATTAAAGAAGGGTAGATCAGCGATGGCCTTTTCTGACCCGATGTATCTAAAGTGTCAGCTTGTCCCCTCAAACCGATGTCAGCTTCGGAAGACGTGAGTCAAAATGACGATTGGGCAATGTGATAGATCGAACGAGCTGGCCAGCAGCCAGATGGGGAGGAACTGGGAAGAGCTGATGACTTACGCAAGAGATCCCTGGTGGGAATAATGGAAGGGAGTCTGCTTGCTTGCTCTATTAAGTTTCTTCACTACTGCCTCCACCTCCTCTGCTACCGCGTTGGGGCTGGCCCTTAGTTCCGCTAGTTGTCGCTCAAGTTTGTTCTTCTGCCCAATTTTCGAAAACATTTGCGCCAAATAAATACCCTCTTGACTCGCGACCTGTGCTGTCGGAGCATACTGAGTGGCGGTACAGTCTCCAAGAGCGTATATACCCTGTGTGCCAAGCATGCAGAGATAGTCATCCACCAACAGACCCCGTCTTTGCGTTTGAGCAGCGGGAAGTTTGGTCATGAGGTTTCGGGTGATTTGACGAGATGTGTTTCCTGTTGCCCAAACCAGTAGACCGTAGGGGACTTCACGAGTCTCTTTGTTCGCATCCTGCACGATTACCGATTTGTCCGTTACGTCCTTCACCATGGTACGAGTGAGCACATCGATCTTGTTTTCTTTGAACGTGGATTCGGTGTATTGGATAAGCTGTTTGGAGAAGGCAGGGAGGACATTTGGGAGAGCTTCGATTAATGTGATACGAAGTCTGTCGGCGACTTCAGGATACCACTTTTTGAGATCATCCTTCTTCATCAGCTTGTTTCATGTATATTGATGTGACGACTGACGATGAGGAAATCGTGTAGTTCACCAGCGTATTCAACTCCAGTAGGACCTCCACCAACGACGATCATGTGCATCAGTCTATCGACTTCTGCTTCTGGTTGGTCCTTGAAGGCAGCAGTCTCAATACCTACACGATAAGTATTATACCATTTATCGAAAGAAGTAATAGACTTACAGTCAAGAAGTTTAGTTCTGATCTTGTCCGCATCACTGAGTTCTTTCAGGAAACAAGCGTGCTCAGTCACACCCTTGATACCAAACGTTTGATTCTCGCACCCCACCGCATAGACAAGGTAGTCGTAAGGAATAGTGACGGACCCAGCCGCTCCGCGTATATCAGACAAATCTGCACGTCAGTCTACCTACTCTCAGGAGAAGATCAAAGGAACAGACCTTGGAAAGTGACAGTCTTCTTGATCGGATCAACATTCTGTGCCTCGGCCTCATACACGGCCACGCGGCGTTTCTTGTGTCTGGTAATGTACCGAGTAGGTTGGATGATGCTACGGGGTTCTAGTGTACCCACAGTGACGGAAGGTAACAAAGGGGTGAAAAGGAAATAATTTCGAGGAGAAACAACGACAACATTAAATTCTTCTGTGTCCAAGTTCTTCAGGAAAGAAGTTGCTCCCCATCCTGAACCGAGCACGACTACAGTAGGTTTGGCGGGATCGTCGGGTAGTTGATCACCTGGATGAGTCGCTTGTCTGGTTACTACATCGTTAGCTTGAATGCGGTAAATCGTGGATTCTGATGAGATTCACCATACAAGAAAGCTCCTGTTGATCCTAGGACAAGGATCAAAGTGATACGTCCAAAATTTTGCAGAAAACGTCTCCAACGAGTGAGTATGTAAGGCTATCGTCGTCAACGATCTATCGAACGTTGTTACGTGAAACAGACAAACCTTTGGAGTTACTATGGTCGCACCGGGGGGTAGCTGACCCTCTGGAGGTAGTTGAGGACTGGGGATGACAGGTTCCGCGAGACGAAATGGAGTGCTGGAGAAAGTGCGGAAGTGAGAGATGTTGTTAGAAGGTAGGAAACGAGGGATGATGGCCGAACGTGAGATGATAGAAGGGCGAAGGACCGTGGCTGGACGAGCTTGACATGTCAGTATTAAACGCTCTGTCTTATAGGAAGAGTAGACTCACCCAGCTGGCGAAGAGCCATATCGGTACGAAAGTGATATGAAGGATAAGAAGAGACAGACAAAAAGTGAAAAAGTTCAAGTGGAATGAAATCTATCGAGTGGTGCCTGAAAAGTTCAGCCTTTCAACACGACAAGGAGAGTAGTCGAGCTCACTCACGACTTGATGTATAGACGGTACTTTGAAATGCGTATGCCTCGAGTATCAAACAACGAGTAGGGGTGTAGACTGACCAAGCGATGAAGAGGAGATAAGCGGGGTTTGTAGAAGAAACAAAGGTGATTCACTGACTCTTTTTCGCTATCGCTATCAGCTGTCTGCTTAGCCTCACGCAATTCCGGAAGTGTGGCATGTGGCACTAAGCAGCCCTGTCGGAACTATCTCGGTCTTAACTCTGCTCCCATATAGTTTGCCCAGCCGTTTCAGTCAAACTCATCAGTAGTCGTCCATCCTATCTCAACTGACGACCAAACGACCATATGTATGTTCACAAGCCGGTGCACCCCTTCCCCTCTCCGAGATCGACTTGGCAATGATCGAAGCTGATTGTAAGTGCAATGCGATCGGCCAATGTGGAAGAATACATTCGTCTTGACAAGGATGATGGTATCTTATCGTTGCATCTAGGACCACATCTGGAACGGTGGCCTGCTGATAATCATACAGATGATGCATGACAATCCTATCTAGATCCATCGAAATCCCACGTGATCATTAATCTATACAGCTTAGGTTTTTTTGGGGACAGTCAAAAGCATGTGACACAAAAACAACTCAAATTATGTTCTCTTACCTTCACACATCTTCCAACTTCTATGCAGCAACGACAGGTCCCTCATGATGAGGCATCTTCTCCGGACGATACCACAAAACGAATATTAGACCGGTGAGCATGATGTAAGCCGATGTGAAGAAATAAGAGTTTTTGCTACCTGTCCAATCTTGGATGGTACCGTCACCAGTACCGAGCAAACCGGCTTGGACGGCGATACCGATGACAGCGCCAACTTGAAAGATGACGTTGGCGAATGAACCACCGACTCCGGCAAATTCGATAGGGAAGGCCTAAGATTTAGCTGACTGTTCCCTGATTTCAAGACCCATCACGTCGGACTAGAGGAATATGGTCTCCTGAGATGTCGTACTTCATAAGACGATGCAGTGACAAGAGAAGAGAAGGAGATTGAACTAACCTGGATGATAAGAGTGTTCATACCGATGAAGACGATCATTCCTCCTGCAGTTCTGACCAGTCAGCACTGAATCTTCGCTTTCAATGTGGTCTCAGTGAAAGGGGGAAGAGGTTTCCAAAGTGCTCACCCAATAATCTGTCCGGTGAACATGTATTTCCAATAATTGTCACCAGCACCACCACCACTGAAAGCCCAAAGCATACTTCCGCAAAAGCATAAGGCAGATGCTATAGGTTGAATGAAACGAGGTTTGGTAATGAGGAAAGGGAAAACTTGAGTGAGAACGCCGACGACGAGAGCTGTTAAACCCATAGGAAGTAATTTGACAGCGGTGAGAATGGCAGAATTATGAAGTGCGAGTTGGAAATACGTGGCGATACGTAATTGACCAGTAGCGAACCACATGAAAATACCTGATGCTTGAATGACCAAAGGAAGAATGTTGGGATATTGCCAAAGGTCGTGAGGTAATAAAGAATAACCTCTCTTGACCCATTTTTCCCAGAAAAGGAAAACGGGAAGGAGTACTATAGAAATGACCAAAGGAGCGATGAATATCGCACTCTTCCATCCTTCTATAGGAGCTTGGGTAAATCCTAAGATGAAAAGAACGAGGATAGCGATAAGAAGACTGACACCGACTAAATCCATTCGTTTCCATTTTTCTGAACCTGGAAGGTCTTCGGCAACTGCTGATGTTCGGGGCATGAGGAACCAGGCAGCCGCGGCGAAAGGAGCGATGATGATAGTGATGAATCTGAAATACCATCTCCAAGAAGCGAGAAGGAAGACACCACCGAGGACGAGAGCGATAGTGTTGGCTAAAGCACCTGCCATACCGAATAATCCTAGTTTCTTGGCTTGTTCCTCCGGCTCGGGATACATTTGAATGATCATGTTGATAGAAGAAGGTATGGTAAGGACGGCTAGAAGAGCGGATAGGGCACGAAGGACAAAGAAAGCATATTGGTTTTTCATGAATGAAATGATGAGGTAGAATATGGCGATACCGATAAATCCAACTGTGTAAACCCTGTGTGGAGGATATAAATCGGCAAGACGACCAGCAAAGAGGACTACCCGTCAACATGTCTTCTGAGTACACCAAAATCCGAGACGGTTATACTCACGAGTAGCAGCGAAACACATCGAGTAGGTACCTAAAATCCAAGCTTGATTCGCTTCGTTGATTCCCAAATCGAGAGCGATGGGTTCAGTCATGACGAATGTCGCACTGACACCGGCTGCATCGA